TGTCAGGTCAGGTTATGTTTACTTTACTTGGGGTATGTTTGGTTAAGCGAGGTTTGGTGGGTTAGCTTAGGTTAAGTTTAGTATACTTATATTAGGTTTGGTTTAGTCTGTTCATGTTTAATTATGTTAGGTTTATTTAGGTTCGGTTAGGGTTAGGTAATAAAGGTTAAGTTGTTCGAATCATTGGCTGTCCTATAATAAACAAGCGTAATTTTTTCTTCAACCGATGTTATTTTGTTGACTATTAATTTGATAGCGAGATTTATCCAATGAAACGCCAGAGCAGGAGTGGGAAACTGTTTACATCCTGCTGGAGGTGACAAATGCACTGAACAATACCCGTTTATTCTCTCAGGCAGGTTATCTCCTTGTCTACAAGACCTCCTGGGAGGGTCTTAACACGACTCTTGCGTGTAAACGTGTCACTCAAGGTGCATACACGATGGTCCAAACTGGCACCTTCCTCGTCCTTCTCTCTCTCTCGTTCATTGTATAATTCAGTTAATAACTTCATTATAATTCAGCAAGAGAAGCGGCGAGGAGAGAGGAGATATAAGTTGGGAGAAAGAGAGATACGTCCGTCAAATATCCAGTGAAATACATAACTGCGACAGTTGATATCCTCGCAGTCTGCGAGATATCAAGTCAACTACACATCAATAACTTAGTTAGTCAGACTTTCAAGAACCCCAACAAAGAACTGGGTGCATTTTTCGAAATATAAATCACTATACCCACATCTGCATCGACGAGGAAAGCCGTATTAAACACCTATGAACTTAGACTAGGTAAATGACATTTTTCCTCCGTAACGTCCTTACTACAAGTAACAAATGCTCTTCCAAATCATATATAAACAATCGCACATTTTTTCTGTATTTAATGGAAAACAAATAACATCCTTTGCTGATAAATAATAATAAAAAATTAGAATACCTTCGCACTACACTACCACTTATGCCACCGTGAAACAAAGGACTCGCCAACAAGTGACGATGTATACCTGCTAAATATTTTAAGCTTGTCTCCTCACTCAATGGCGCCTGATAAATATTAGTTTGAAACTGAACCTCAACACAGTGAGATATAATGTACCGTATATTTAAAGTAATGTAATTTATAATGGTCGTAGAATTTATGTGTGTGCATTATTATTATCATATGCCTCTAGATATTATTATTATTATCTTTTGTGCTTCAATATCTTGCCTGTTATATATTTTAATTTCTTGTTAACTTTCCACAAATATATTCATTAAATATTTTGTTTATTGATTTACAAATTTATTTAGTTATTCATTTTTCTTTTGCACGACAAATTCTAGATTACTAGTGTAATTACTACCCTAGAATACGTGCTTAAAGACATTAATTGTTGAAGCACAGTAATACAACATAACATTATCAACCCTTTCACTGCGAGGCCAAAAAAATGGACCAGCTGAAGACTCTCCACCCCAGCCTGACCTACCCAATACCTGTATGACCCCATGACCTGCCTGACCTACCCACTACCTGTACGACCCATGACCTGCCTGATCTACTCACTACCTGTATGACCCATGACCTACCCACTACCTGTATGTCCTACCTTAAAGCAGTGGTAGGAGGGGTTGGGTGAGGAGGGTGATATCGCCAACACCACCAAGATCACCCAGTTCTAAGAACCTTCACCTTCGGGGCACAAGAGCCAACTGCCGCATGCGCTCACCATACCCCAGCCACATGCCCTGCTTACCCTCACCACCACCGACACACCCCATACATACATACATACATACACACACACACACACACACACACACACCTTTATAACCTCTTAATTATTTAATATATCTTTCACACTACAACACCTTGAAAGTACATATATTTTTTCCTAAATTTTCGGATAATCTCAAAATATATTACTGTACCCTGTATGTGTTTGTTGATTCGAATAATTCGGTCAAAATATTGGATTTATTTTTATTTGTCTTCTCTATTATTATTTTATGGGTTGTTTTGGTTTGGGTGTTGGTAATGGTGTTATCACGGTGTGTGTGTGTGTGTGTGTGTGTGTGTGTGTGTGTGTGTGTGTGTGTGTGTGTGTGTGTGTGTGTGTGTGTGTGTGTGTGTGTCCCCAAGAACGTCATTCAACCCCAGCAACAGGGTCGCCCTCCCAGCTCTCAGGGTTCATCATTAAACAGCGTCACGGTTAACGAAACTCAACAGAAGAAACGAGTAGATATTTATCCCTCTAAACATATACCCATATGTAAACATCTACCCATATAATCATCTACCCATATAATCGTCTACCCATATAATCATCTACCCATATAATCATCTACCCATATAATCGTCTACCCATATAATCATCTATTCATATAAACATCTACCCATATAATCATCTACCCATATAAACATCTAAACATCAGGACGTTGCACCTCACCTCTTAAGAATAAGACTAAATTCTCAGAGGTTATTACGAGGTCAAGATGTCGTCAAGATTGCACCAAGACTGTACCCATAACTAAGTGCATTCTCTCATTACCAGATAATATAAGTGGGGAGGAAGGGAGGGAGGGATAATCAATATTTCGATTTTTGTGCATTGGAAGAAAGATGATTTACAATTATCTCTCTCTCTCTCTCTCTCTCTCTCTCTCTCTCTCAGAAAAATAAAGTTGGTGGTGGTACTTGTACTGTACAGTATATTGTAGTGTCAACAAAGGCGGAAATGGGGAGGGTATAATGGGGAGGATCCTTGGGGAGGGTATATATGCTGCCTGGGGGATGGGGGGTATATGCTGCTTGGGGGATATGCTATGGGAAGGGTACATACACTGCTTGGGGGATGTATGGGGAGGGTGCATGGGATGGATTGAGGCTTGGGGTGGGGGGCAATAGGTGTGAGTTGACAGGTCTGGCAATGCTTGGGCACCTACTTGGCACTGTCTCCCAGGGTGACACACCTCTGGCAACAACCTCACCCACTGTATATATATATATATATATATATATATATATATATATATGTATATATGTGTGTGTGTGTGTGTGTGTGTGTGCTTATATATTTATTTGTTTTCACATGAAACTCAAATACTTAAAACCACTATTATTTTTGCCTGTGGCAGTTGTTTACAACTAAGATTAAAAACAGCAATTGATAATAGACTAAAAGATTTAAACCATGTGAAGATACGATCACTTTCTCTCTCTCTGTAAACAGGCTTAAGTTTAGATGGCACCCTGTCATAACATGAACTATGACACACCACCTGCAAGTATACACAGAAAAGACACTTCAAATAACTAGTGTGGAGACGTTCACTGACGTGAGTGACAGTGAAGCCGTCACCTCCAGCAGGAGGGAGGTGTAATGTGACTGATCGAGTGAAGGACTTGGTCTCCTGCTGTTTAATGATGAAGACGGTGATGCCTTCTTCAGGAGACAGCTCAGAGCATTTGGGACAGTGAAGTTACAAAGCACAACTCTCTTCTTCCTCATATCCTATTGAAGGGATAGAGAGAGAAAGAAAAAAGAAGAGAGACAAGCCAGGTCCTCACTGAAGGTGTCAGTGGTGCCAATTATAATCTGAAGAGGAGATAATTGTAAAACTACAAATAGCTAACTAGAGAAGCACAGGTCTTCCCATGCCAACACCACAGTTTGGCAGGTGTCATAGTTATATGAACAGGAGAAGTCTCTCTCTCTCTCTCTCAACCCAAATGAGTTTGCATTTTGAATTAAAAACAAAGCACATTACACAGGATATCAAAATACTGTAGTGCCAAAATAAGTTCTAATAAAACCAACTTTCTGAATTCTTGATTGCAATGATTGACTGAATATTATAGAATATAGTCTCATTAAACATACTCAATCAGTTAACATGAATTTGAGTAATGGCATGTACGAATTGGATAATTTTGTCATTAAGAAGATTTGTTGGAGAACTACTTAGTGACCTGAATATGGTGAACACCTGTTTTAACTAGAGACTTAATCTCACTGTCCTTTACTGTATATATTGGCCTTGTTATTAACTAGCCCTCAGCTTGTATTCACTCCTGAAGATGTGACTTACACTAAAGTGCTTGGGAACTTCGTGTTTTCTTATATCCTATGTGATTATCAGCTGATACTACTGTATATACTATACAGAAACAAAGTATAATACTGTATAGCTACACATTATAAATAAAAAATAAATAAAATGTATACTGTACTCACCACCAGATGCTGTCGTCTTTAGCTTGCGATGCAGGCATGCCAAATGGTAATACTATATGACGATACAGGATGGTCTGCTTTGTCCTGGGGGTGCTAAATGTCACTGTCACTTGCCAACATAATCTAGCCAGGCTTGTCCATTTTATTCAAATAGGCCCACAGAAGGTCAAAACATCATATGACATGACCAGAAGCTCTACAGACACACTTATTTCTCTTGAGGTTTTTGCTAACCTTAGTACAGTACTTGTAACACCACATTTCAAAGGCCTCCAACCGCTTTTTGGTGTCTGCTGAGTGTCCACGCTTCTGACCCATACATCAGTCCTTGCCATGTAAAGCCTTTCAGCAGCCTTATTCTCAAATTGAAGTTAATGTCCTTTTTCATTCTTGTTTTTATTTCTTCCATACATATACCATCACAGCTAATGTTACTTTCCAAATACACTACACAAAATCCTACCAGAGTGTAAAATACTGATTTAATCACTTATGTTGTAATGGAACTTGTGCATCAGTTAGGGGCCAAATGTTAAGGGTTGAGAGTGTATGAGACATTAATTGTATAACAGTGTAAGAACTTTTTTCAACTTTGCTAACAAGACAAAGTGTTTTGTAAAATACACACACAAGTTTATAAAATTTAATAGATATTGTCCTAAATGACATAAAACTCTTAATAAGAATATTTTGGGGAATAATTCTCATAATCATAAAAATAATATAAATTACAAGAGATAACAAAAACAAAACATAAAAATTTATAAATAAAATCATATGAACATTTATAAAAAATACATTTATTTGTTATTAAATTAAATACATTATATTACACAAACAAAATGTTAAGTACTGTACCTGCTAAAAGGACAAGTATGTACTGTATTATATACTGTACCTATATATTATAAACTAATAGCTGCCGTTTCGTGAGCAACCTTATTTCTTAAACAAAGAGTACAATACGTATATCATTCTTCTATGATTATACAATACTTTTATAATTCAGAAATAAGATTTTAATATTTGGATACATACATAGTACTGAAAATAAAGTTAAACATCAATGACAACATTCTCAATTACTTTAGCTGTGTTATTTAAATGATCTAAAGGAAATACTGTACAGTCAAAATTCATGAACCTGGACTAATCTAGGGAAAGAAGATTTTGTTTGTGAAATATATTAACATTCTGCCCTTAGATACAGAACAAATACTGTACAGTAGAATCCCAGTTATCCAGCACCTATGGGGATTGAGATGTGCCACATAAAGAGTTTTTCCAGTTAGTTGAAACTCATTCTTTGGATCCCCAATAGTTCCTACACTGCACAGTAATACAGACTGACCTCACAAATTTGTCTCAGATAAACAACCTCACAAATTAGTGTCTCACAAAAACAGACTTCTTTAACACTTATTCCACTCTATCTAAAAGAGGTGGCTTAGAAATAAATAAAATAAAACACTGTATTAAACCATAAAATAACACAAATGAAGAGCATGTGTATGTATATGTGGGTAGTGAATGTGTATGGAGGTGATGGGCTGCCGCATTTATTGCTGCTTGTAATGAAACTATAAAAGTTGTCGAAAAATCATTACAATACTCTAATGTGGCTTAGAAATAAGGAGAATATAAAACTAAAAAATAAAAATAAAATATTAAGAGCATGGTTATGTGTATGTGAGTATTGAATGTGTGTTGAGGCAGTGGCTGTGGTCCCTCTCGATGAAACATCACTGCATACACACAGCCACACTTATGTGAGTCAGCTGGTTGAGTGCCTGAGCTGTGTCGAGTCACCCAGAGGACGGTTTGAGTGTGGAAGGCACAATTTTTTAAAAATTCAATATGTGCTATTGTATTTTATGTTATGCTACGTATCAATTTTATTGTTTATCATAGCAATAAATACGACAGCTCATCCCTGTTGCGCATGGTATTCAAACTTAAGATTCTAGTTGATTTTGGAGCAATTTTTATTTCTATACAGTAATTGCATTTTGGTGCTGGTTAGTTGAATCTTCCAGTTACCCGAATACCGGAAAACTGGGATTCTACTGTACTCTGTATTGCTTTATACCATTTTAGGAACATATACAGTGTTATGATATACAGAAATTCCCTATCTAAATACAGTACTGTGCAGTATATACAAAATTTATAAATGGAAAAAGTGCTAAAATATACAGCTACCAGTTTGCACCAAAAATACATTAAAATATACTGAAAGTGAAAATGGAAGAGCACTTAACATGTCAAATCCCCAATTTTTAGCAGAGATTCATCCCTTAAGTTAAGGTGTCATGTAATTGCTATTCCATGAAGAAATGTGAAAATAAGGGTTAGAATTCAGGAAGCAACTAGACCATCTTTTACAATTTCACCCTTATAATATAATATTTTATAATATAATATATGGTATATTATACCACATTACTGTACAGCCATTATGCAGCATCACCTGAACATTCTAAATAAATATTGGGTAATAAAACATAAAACAACATTAGTACTAAATAAAAAAAAATTATTAACTGTACAGGTATTTATAATGTTTCTTTCCATGAAGTCATGGGCACCACACACTACAGCAGTTCTTACACTAATAAACACTACTTTACTCTAAAAATTTATTTTTAAAATAAATTGGAGGTGTATATAATAATTAGTACAGTTAGTGCCTTTAAATAAAGGTATTTATATTCTTATACAATAATTTTTTATATAAAATAATCCCTACTATGTAAGATCAAAAAATAAGAAACCCTACTGTAGTTGGACGGAGAAACATCATACAAACTTGGCACACCTACGCACTTGCAACATGGTTGACGACACCACAAAATCTGTTGTAAGTGCTTTAGCTAATTGTTTTATTTTACAAGAGCTACCAATTTTCTCAAAGTACTGCTACTGTGGATATATTAGACTGTGATATCCCTACTGAGGTGCCAGGGCTAGGACCCACTTTCAAGTAGCAAATAATGATGGAAGGTGTCAATACTCCTCCCCATAGAACCACCACATGAGATTTTTCTGGGGAAACAGAGTTAATGTGGAGAGACCTAAATAATATATAAAGTCCAATATTAATCTGTCACATTGACACAAATAGCAACATAACAATAGTTCATCATTAAAGGTTTACTGTCGAGTTATAAATAAGGTTTCTTTATGAATTTTGGACTAATTCTGCTCTTCTTTGAATTTTTCTTACAGAAGAAGCACCACCACCTTGTTCACTAGCAAACTTCCAGGTCTTGTCTTTGATCTTGACAATATCATAGAATGTAATTTTATTACATGTATACCTCCTGCAATTTCTGAGCACTTTTACCATAGCTACTCATAAAGTACAATGATTTCAAGCTAACTCAGACAATATGGGAGTACAAATATGTGTATTTTCCGAGACCTGAATATTTGTATTTTTCTGAATAATTAGACAATACAAAAATTCCTTTACCTTGCATGAATGGACCATTCATGAGCAACATTTTTTTTTACCATTCTTGTCATTTCATGTCTCAAAGATAGGAATTAGATACTGTACATCCATTGCAAGCTTATATTCATAAAATTGTAATAATGCAGTCTCCAAAAAAAGTATCATAACTATGGAGTCAATGTGTTTGTGGTTTAATGAGCATTGTTAGTTCACTAGCTTTGGACCAGTTTACAGAGTAAAATATGAACGCACTAATGCTAGTGATGTCCTCTCACTGCAAAAAAGATAAGTAAGAACACCGATATTGATCGCTAGTCATTAAGTTACATGATCACGGCCATGTGCAATCACCATGGAACAAAGTTTGGTATTGTAGTGCACCGAGTGGCTGTGTGGTGACGCGCGGGTGGACTGCAGCTGACAAGTGAACTGAGAGATGTGTTCCATATTCCGCGTAGGCCAGACAATGACCAATATTCATGCGGGTTGTTTTATATTATTGTACATTTTCTTTATTTTTAAGTCACATTAGAGCATTGAATTACAGTACTGTATTATACAGTATTTGAATATTTGAAAAGGGGTTTGGTAAAGGATTCAATATGGAGTACTGAATAGCAAATTCATTTGGTAGAGAGGTAATACTGTACAGTACTTGTATTGATGCTTTTGAAGAAATCCTGTGACTTTAAAATAAATGAAAAATTATGAATAAAAAAATTATATGCTTATGGATTATTAGGATATTAAGACAAAAAGAAAAAGGTTGGTAAAGGTGAATGATGCTCCCTGAAAGGAGGATCATTTGATCCTTGATCCTGGTCCAATACCCGGACCCTTAAAGATACACATATGTAAAAAGTTCCATTCTGATTCCTACACTGGCTAATATGTTATGAATGGGGCACATGTCAGACAAGAAGACTTTCAGACAGACAGAAGATGGACAATGCAGAAGCTTAAAGCTCTTTAATTTTGGGGTAGATATTTTGAGAAATATAATTTTTAGAGATGTAATTCAATATGAGCTTTAACTATTTTGGCAAAATTTTAACTAATGTGGGAGGAAACTTAACTACAGAATTAGCAATTACACATACACTTTCATAAACAGGAATCCAAACCTCTTCTTAGTGTGGAAAGACTTATGGTAAATGATACAATAGAAAAGTACAAATGTTACAAAAAGGAAAATTTTCAATTAAACATCTTCACAATGCTGAAGGAAGACATTGCTTTTCTTTCGAGCTACATACAATGAGTTTGAGCTCCTTAGATTCAACTTACAAATTGGAAGCTTCAAAATTTGGGGGGGGGTAAATTTTTGTAATACAGGTACACCACCGATTTTCTGGCACCTCTTTTAATCAGGAAAAAATTCCCGCGACCTCCAGATTAGTTTACTGGGCTGCCCATAGATGGCGTTATATGTTAACCACACTCACTTTGTTTGTTTACTCTGCAGTTGCTGGTGGTAGCTCCTTGATTTTGTGTAATTCTCAGCTTATTTTGGACATACAGTATTTAACACCACACGTCCAAGATGAAACAGACAGCAACCCTGACAGCCCCCAGCTTCCCGGCCTTTGTTATTAGATCTTCAGTATTTGTGAAACTCTACAAATTGCCACTCTGGGAGCGGCAGAATTGCAACATTCTTTGTAAATAATTAATAAACCTGCATCATTTATACAGCCAATATTTCATTTAATAATTTAATTTACATTTAATATTTGTTTAATTTTAGTTTCTAGCAGCCATGGGGCTTTAAAGATACCGGGAGGTGTATAGCTAGTGGGTCAGAGGTGTATTGCTGTTAATCCGGCAAAACGGATGGTCCGGCAAGGCTCAGGAACCAAAGGTGCCGGAAAATCGGTGGTGTACTTAAACTACTAAATATAATTCATATGAAAATTTATGACAAGTTTGTCAAGGATAAAAATAAATACTGCTTACTTGTAACGTCTTAAAGGCCGATATGGTCTTCGATTCATAGAAGTGCCTGCCCGGCCTCTCCCAGCTCTTACTAATAAACGGAAAGGATCTCTTGGAAGCCGAGATGATGAGGATGAAGATGAGGATGAGGAGGATGAGGATGCAGATGATAAGGAAGAGGTACTAGGTACAGGATTGTTAAGCACCTCTGACTGGTCACTTTCTCCTACATCTTGAGGAGAGATTTGCAAAGTTTCCTCTTGCCCATTTGTAGAAGCAGACAAGTGTTGTAAACTATTTATGTTATGTACAATACGATTATGAACACCAGGAGTCCAACGAGTTCGTGAGCCTGTAGGTGGTGCAGGTGGACGAGGTCCTCTTGGTAAAGAATTCTGAGACTGGACTGAATTTGAAAATACTCCATAAGGTGGCATTACAGAGTTTGATGACAGTGAGTGAGATGATGATGACGGCATTCTAGGAGAAGTTGGTGGGAGGCGTGGAGGTAGTGAAGAAGGAAGATGGGAAGATAATACATGTGGGGGTAATGGTGCAGGAGGTATTGTCACATTAGGTGGGGGCTGTGGATGACTTGCAGTTGGTGGGGATCGAAGCAAGTTGATGGGGTAATTATGGCTGCCAGACGACTGTGATGAGAAGAGTGAACTGAATCTATCATTGTTACTTCTACTGACAACAACAGCAACACTTGGTGGTGGCCCTGAGCTTCGAGTTACTGACTCATTTAATCCTGTAAGAAAACATTTTTTGATCTGAACACACAAAATTCTATTTTATTAAAAAGATATGAAGAAAATATGCAAACTATATTCACTTTACAGTGTAAACATTAAGCCATGACTATTGTTAATTGTGATGGATCTTATGTAACAAATGTACAATGACAAATTACAGTAAATTACTATATTATTGTTAATTTCTCTTTTGAGATAAAAGACACAACAGGTACGTAAACAAAAACTAATGAAAGATCTTTTTCTTTTCAATTAACAAAATATTTTTGCATATTAAACAAAAGAACAGTGCTTTAAACATAACTTCTTTTTTAATTGAACCAAAAGACTAAAATCCAAAATTAATCAGGAAGTGATTATTTACAACAGAATACTGTACAGTATGTAATTCAAAGTAATGAAGAATCTGAAAATTAGACTCTTTAAAATATCTTCAGTTTAAAGAATGATACTTACTTGAAGTGTGTGGCAGAATGTGCCTGAGGGAGGATAACTCCACCTGGGTGAGAGGTCGAACATCACCAACAATACAAGAGATGATGCCATTTGATGTGTTGCTCTTGTTATTGTTACTGCTACTGCTGGTAGCACTGCTGCTGCTAACGATTGTTGACTTGTGATTACCCACATGAGAGCTTTCTTCCATCTAAAATTACCGTTTGAATTAGAAATAATTTTCAGGATATTAAAAAATAAAATTAGTTATACAGTACATAAGAGGCGCTCCAATTGATAGTGACGAATCAACCAATGGCGCTCAAATCAGATTCTTGTTTCATCAGGAAGCCCGACACTTTCTCTACCCATTACAGGATCTGATTTGTCCAAACCATTAATTGTTCAGGAGTTTCCTAAATTTTAGCTCTTGGCCTGACAATGAAATTTCAGGATAGATCCACACAGTATGTCAAATCACTATAACTTGTACCACAACCAGAAAATGAGATTTCAGGATAAATCCTCTATCTATTTCAGTCATATTACTATAATTTATAGCACAAAGGAGCTTGAGTGTAAACTTCTAAAGTGGCAAAGTCTGTCGCAGTAAGTTGGTGCATCCTCCTCCATTATTTTTCTTCTCCCTTCTTTTAGTTACACAACTTCTAAAAGATAATTAAGTTTGAGAAGTTAAGAGGCAAACTAAAAAATAAAAAAATAAAATACTTTATTAAAGTCAGAGCAATAACTTTGTCTGTGTCACACATAAAGGCACATCTAGGGGAATATTCAAATGTGATTTAAAAAAAGAAGCTAATTCAACTTGTGGTCTCCTTTCAATACTCACAGCTCAACCAGGGAGTGTTTCTAACTCTGTTCCCTGACTTACAGCTTTGATTATGCCTTTTTCTTTCACTAACCTCTCGGGCCAACTGAAGAAGCAAATAATCTAAGTTGTACTTTGCTTGAGTGTCAACTTCTCTATTTCTTGGTTTCTTGCTTCTGCTAGAGATATTTATGTTGTTTTTAAAACAATTATCTGAACTATCACAACTAAAGGAAGAACCAATCTTGTTCTGCACTTCACTTAAGGTTCCTTTGGTGCTGGTAATCTGTTCTTCTATGTCCTCCATTTCAGGAACAACCTGAAAAAACTATGATGCTTAATTATGATCATAACTTCACTATTTTAACTACAGTACCAAAATCATCATACATACTAAACCCCTCAAATGTAATGTGGAAGGAGACAGAGGGGATTCTATATAGTACATGAGTAAGGTTATGAGTTTTCAAAGAATGATAATGTTCAAGTCATATTCTGAATCCTTCTCAAAGGAGAGAAACTTATAATAACTTTATAGAAACTTCTATGGATATGCACTCTCAGAGAAGCACTCGACAGAACCATGTCATCTCTACTCATGCCTTTCCCTTTGACTATGGGCTTGAACAAACCCTTGTCCCTTTGTTGATCTTAACCTCCTCTGGTAAGCCACTTTTATAGTCTCGCCCTCTCTTAAAGCCCTTCAAAATGGAACTGAAAGGGATGAATATCCTATAATTACAAGCAGAATGGCTCCCTCCAAAGTGATTCTACTACCTGAAACCTTCTCCAAAATGGTCATGCCCTAACACAGTTAACTTTTAAAGTCATCCATCAGTTTAATTAATAAACTTTGTGAAAAAATTGGGACTAGCACAATTACACACACATCAACATATAATCATATGAGCACTATGCCAGATCAGCCAAAATCTCAAACCTTTGTTATATCCTAATAATCTGCATACCCCAAAGGTGCAGGGGTGGCTCAAGAAGAACCAAACTCAAAATAAAAGGGATAGGAAACTTTCAGGGAGGTTACTTATTCTAATGACAGTTACAGAAATAAATCTACTGTATTTGAGATCCCTTGATACCAGTTGTCCTTTGGGTACCACCCACTCCCAATGGGATCATGGTTTACATATAATATCTTAAACTAAGGTTTTGATATTGAATTACCAGCTCATAACTAAAAAAAAATTTCTTGTATAACCTCCACAGTGCAATATTGTTGAGTCTTCTTGTGGTAGCAACAGGTTGTACTGTTTTTACAAAGTCACACATACTGTGAAATTTTTTTTTTTTATTACCTGTGGGTTTTTGGTGGTAGGATTTGAGATAATGGCAGTGAGACCAGATAAAACTTGCTTGCAGGTGAAGCGCTGAAGAGGGTCTAATACCAGTAATCCACGGATCACATCCTTGGTAGACTCCTTCACAAACTTATCTCCCCTGTAGTAAAATAATTTATAATCTATAAGCCTGAAGCATTAAGAAAGAAGTTATTTCTTATACAATAATCTTCCCATTAGCCGGACTCCCTGGTCCCCAGAACTCTCTAATAACTGGAATGGATTTTGAGCCCTACGGAAGAACTCTCTCCATTCTGGACATGGGAACGAGTTTCCGAGGATGAAATCATACACATTTTCCAGAAAAATTCTGAGAAAATCTCTCCATTCCAAGCATGGGAAAACATTTTCTGGAAATTCTGAGAGATTACATCATGCTCTGATACTTCAGCACGTTTCCTCACTTTCCGAGTGCAAGAGTAGGCTCTCATTCTCGGAATAATTCTGCACCAATTATTCCGGCTAATGGGAATATCATTTGTACTGTACAGTACGTATATGTAAAAGTGGCAGAAAAAATTAATAATTTCTGTTTTCATGGGGATACAACTGTAACAAAATGCCTGAATGCAATGATTACACTTTGTTTAGTAATGACATACGTACAGTGATATCTCCATTAGCTGGAACAATTGGTGCAGGACATGTCCAGAAAGGAGGGATTTCCAGGAAACGAAATGACTCACAAAACCGGAAAAAAAATCCCTCACCCCCAGAATTTTCCGGGTAACAGAAAAATTTTCTCGGAAGTTCCAGAAATTGACCATTACATCATCTCTCGAACCCGGAAAAATATCCCCCATCCCCGGAATTTTCATGAATTTTTCGGAAATCAGGAAATTTTTCTCTTGATTTTCCGGAAAATGTGTCCCTCAGAAAATTTTAATTCCGGCTATCGGAGAGTTCCGGGTCTGAGGGATTCAGGGCTAATGAAGATATTACTAATGTACTGCACCTGTACTCAGATAAAGTTTTATCAGAATATATATGTTGACACAAGAATTATTATCTGCACAATGATTTGGCATCACCTAAAAGCAATAAACTTGACCTCTGATAGAAAGTTGAATTTGGTATTCTATGCTTTGTCATGTGGTAATGTATTCTAATGTGAAAACTCATCAAAGTACCTACAGTACTTTGGTAAGTATCCTATTGCCAAAAATATTAAAATTTTCTATAAAGCATACATATCAAACAGCAAACCAGAGGTGCAAAATCAAATGCATCAACACAACATTCTTACTCTCCTCCTCCTCTACCATCTCTTTCCAGAGAAAAGAAAAAAACAACATGATAAAGGAAGTTAACCCTCTCATGGAGTATGGTGAAATCTCACTCCCCAAGTCAATAATAATAATAATGTACCTGTACTGTGTATGCATCATTCAAATGGGTTTCTTTATAGAATATTTTTAATTCAAAGCTGCACCACTCTTCCCACCCTGTGATCCAATGAAGCCAACAAACAGGTAGTGGGCAAAGTCAAACCAGCCTGGAAGACACATTCCTCCTTCCTTATCCATTTCAAACTCAGTTGCCCCCAATTTGGCCTTCTGAGATGATGCATCCGATGTATTGTCAGTGGTTTTGGGCATTTAAGTGATGGAGCAGGAAAAATTGGGGATGGTGTGGTTTCTACTATAGAGGTACTGAATTTTTGGCTTTACGAGATCTATCTAACGGAACGAGTGAAACTCTTTCCTGGCCGTGTATGAAATCCTGTACCAGCTATATGAGGGTTAAAAGAGTACAGAGGGAAAAGTTGCTCATATGGTAGCACAAACAACATCGTGTGATCATGGCATTTAGAAAGGTTCTAAATAAAGCAACTTACAATGAATTCCACAGTATTGTGGCCACAAATAAACATATGAATCGTTCCAACAGGAGTGTATCCATGGTTTCCAGAACAAACTGATGTCTTACATTTGTCACAGATTTATACCACAAGTCAATGCTCACTCTCCAGGTATTTTTTGTCTGGAAATAACAATAAGGAGGATCTTTTATATGAAAGCAATTAAATCCCAACTTTATTTGTCCTGTTTTACATTCAGTTACCAATTATAATTTCCATTTCAATACTCTATACCTATGAATCTCACTTACTTTGGAAGACTATACTGCGCTGCTTTAATTTTGCGAAAGAGTTCCTGTGGTGAAGCATCATAAAATGGGAAGTGGCCATACAGCATTGTGAACAGAACTACTCCCAGGGCCCACATGTCTGATGGTTTGCCTGAAAACAAAAAGCATTTCATATATCTGCATTAAGCAAACCAAAGATGCTTAAAATTTACATATGAGAGTACAGTACAGTATAGGGTTGATGCAACAGTACATGAGGAGATAAAAATATAATTTACTTTGGGATTTACAAATAAATAATCAAAATACAAAATTATACAAAATTAAAGCTACAGCTATATTGTAGATCCTCATATCCAGGACCTTTAGGACCAAGATCAAACTAGTTTTGAGGATTTTCTGGTGTGTCTTAGGTCACCATCTGTTACCCTGCAGCTTTGCTTCCAGTCACTCTCAATAACTCAGTTAAACGTTATTTTTAGTTAAAAATTACAGAAACAAAATATTAAGAAAATATCATTGTATACAACTTTAAATAAAAAAAAATATACAGTAGTACCCCGCTTAACGCGGTCAATTGAACCCACAGGGTACCGCGTTAAGTGAAAACCGCGTTAAGTGAACAACAGAACATATGGGATTAATTCCAATAGAGACTGGCCCGACCCCCAAACTCCACTTTTTGACGACACACAACTATGTTGTAGTAAAAATTTTATCTTAACTTTATGATGGTATGCACACACAATTAATAATTAAGAGAAATATCAATAATATTAGGTTTTTTAACACTTGCATTAGTAGAAAAGATGGCTGGGCACACGGGGATGGGGGGTTGGTTCCGAGGCAGAGGGCAGATTATTGGCCCTCACCTGTATCACTTGTATCAATTGTATCACTATCCACCACAGAGGCTTGCAGGGCCTCTTTGTCAAACCCCTCAAAGGCCATATAAGTCCATATCCTCACTATAATTATCACTATCACTGACTTGGGCCGGCTGTGGTGGGTGGCGGGTGAAGAACTCGGTAATGTTTTGATGACTGGGCGACCTTGTGCGCATCGTGCCCGCGCCGCTTCCCGCGTATATGATGAAAAATTCCGCGTTAAGTGAAAGTTCAGCTCTGGCGAGGCACCGCGTATATGATAAAACGCGTTAAGTGAAACCGCGTTAGGCGGGGTAATACTGTATATAAAATCAGATAACTAAATTTTTTTAACTCTACTTTTCACAGTCTCATGACTTGTGGGAGCTGCTAGTATGTAAAAAAAAACCTGCAATCCACTTTTTTGGGAACTCTCACTGTCTAAAGACTGTACAGGCTAGTATTATACCCAAAAAAATATTTGTATTTGAAGTATATGTATAAAACGATTTTTTCGATGTTTTCTTATTCATGAACTAAAACAAACATTCAACTCGACATAGTGTACTGGTAGGCCTGGGATAACAGATGGATGACCCCAGGGAAGAATATTCAATCTAACTCAAGGAAGAGAATGTCTGGTTTTCCGAGATCCGGTTTTGAGGGACTGTGCCTGTACATTCACTCCAAAAAATATTTTACGGATGAGTCCGATGAATTACAAAATGAACATTGCGACTCCTGTTTTCTCAGTCGGGTTGTCAAAATCTTTTATGGAGTGAGTGTACATGAGAATGGGGTCTCTATAAACAATAAGTGTTTGTATATTATGAGATAAGAACAAGGAATATCAAACTGTCAGGAATCTCTCCTCTGGAGGTTCTGTTGTTTACCATGCAAATTGTTTAATTCGTCCATACATGTCTCTTTAAAGATTGATCTGCAAAGCTGTCTGTAATAGCTTTACTATTAGAAAATATTCAAGTAATCAACTCAGTTTTAAGTTTTGTGGTAAAAGTTATTGGTTTAGCTTTACTATGGCAGTTTCAATAGCCTTAATGAAAGTCTGCATCACCAGGTAATTTTCACATGGGACAGTGTGTATTAAAATTCCCCTAAATTTTACTAAAGGTTCCATATTCACTAGGATCAAAGCAGTTCAAGACTGTATTTGTTCATAATTCTGTCCATCTAGTATTGTATTGTGGTGGAAAAAGCTTTCAAAAAATGATAAAATCTACACAGTACAGTACTGTACTTACCTTTACCAATATCCCCAGACTTATAATCGAGTAAGAGATAAAGATATTCTTACAGCACAGTTTTCAAATACCTTACCTAAATAGGGCTTGCCACTTAATACTTCAGGTGATATATAAGCAGGTGAACCTCGCTGGTCACGCAGACGGTCTTTCTCAGATGGAAGATGTTGTCCCAGACAAAAATTGGTTATAGTGATTTCTCTTGTGGTCCTGTGTAGTACCAAGTTGCCAAGTTTCAAGTCCCGGTGAACAATATTTTGCTGAAACAAAATCTCATGTCATTTGGACTTAAAGAACAGTTGTGATTCATCTTTCAACCGACTCAAAAGTGCATGAGGTACTTTTTAAGAAACCAGGAGAACAACATGGAATGATATAGTATATGAAGGTTAAACAAGTAAATTACTAATGGATTAAAGCAACTGGGAAAAAAACTAAAAAAGGACTTATTTATGAAATCCTATTTTACCACCAAGAGGAAGAGACAAATAGATTTGTGAAATACAAACACAAGAACACTCCCTGGCAAAAATGCCTTACCCAGAGGGTGTTCTACATTATGAGGGCAGGGGAACTAAATTTTTTTTAAAGATCTCAAGAATCAAGATTTTTTTTTATCTTTAATCCTGATGAGGGCGTGCGAGAACTTACGAAGTTTAAGAACCATTTCTTATCTTTGCATTTGAAGGTATGACTTGTAATTCCTAAATCTCAGCTGGCTTTTTTCACTGCTGCTTCCACTAGCTGCTCAGCTTTCAGTGATGGAGTGATATCTTGTCAGTGCATTTGCAAAAGGATTGTCTCTCTGAGCTATGTGGGTAAGGTCAGCTGACACATCAAATTCCTTCCTACACTGCACTTTGAGTCACACATTCACTCCTAATTAATATATACATATAGCTTAATAGACCATTTGGACAGTATATGTTGCAGGTTCTGCCAGGGATTATTCATTGAAATGATCTCACAGGTTACTAACTGATGGCACATAACGTCATAGAAAATTACTGATAGTCTCATTTTAAGAAAAAATATCCATAAAAAATTATTACTTGAACACTATATAGCTGACTGGGAACCAAAAACTGAGATTCAACGGTTGAATAACTTTGTAAAGTCTAGGAATGAGAATAACCAACATCTAATGAATGTTATGTTAAATTTTTTTTTATAGTTATACTTAACTGAATGGACAATACAGCTGCTCCCCGACTTACGATGGGGTTTGGGAACCTAAATCCAGGTCATAAGTCGAAATGGTCGTTAGTCAAAAATGCTTAAATAATACATAGAAAATCTAAAATGGCTGTCTCTTTTTCTTCTCAGCACCACAAAACTCTCACTTTTAAGCTTGCCAGCCATTTTAAAGTGAATTATAAACAAAAATTTTGTCAGTACACAGCGCAATCACTGACGTTGGGACTCGAAAATACGTAATTTGACAAAATTTTGGTACGACTGAGGCAGTCGTATGTCCGGGTGGTCGTAAGTCGAGAAGGTCGTAAGTCGGGGAGTAGCTGTAATCAATTTCATACTCACCTCATGCAAACTGTGAACAACAGAGACAATGTTGTAGAAGATGGTGAGAGCATCTTGCTCAGCTAATTTCTTCTTGGCAATAACGTAGTGTTGGAGATTGATAAGGTCAGCAGTATGAGGACAATAATCCTGAGGAGTAACGCAATCTAGTACTAAACACACACGTCGCACCAATCCTCCAGTAGCCACAACTGTCCCTCCAGTCTGTTCCCGTGCTCCAGAGGCATAGTCCTGCAATATTCATGGATTACGTATTTCAAAACTTAATAACTGGCTAAATAAAAAAATAAAATATTTGGTGGTGGGCAGCCAATAGTTACAGACCAGTTGATCAGTTGTCACCTGATAAGTTTGGTAACGAAGAGAATTATAGGAGGAAGAAGAAGCCCCAAACATGTAAGTCAAACAAGCTCTGGGCAAAAATAAATTTTATCATCAGCTGTGTAAATAAATAACCAGAAGCAGTGAGGCATTACAAAATACATTTTTTTTACCCTTCTGAGTATCATCCTGCTGTAATACAAGGTGGACAGAATCAAGAGTATAAGCACATACAAAAACACATTCTCTTTTTCATTACTGTCATTCGGTGATTCATACTGCCAAAACAGCTGTCTGGGTTTTCCACCCCTATGCTGAACATTGAGTCCTTGTTGTAATTATACAGTATTGTCTTTACAGTGTGGTTTATGTCTGGAAAAAAGAGTGATGTAAGACAAAGTTACAAAGGAGAAGAAATTACTGTAATTGATAGTTTATGAATTGTATGGATAGATTCATATCTAAGAAAGCTAAGATTGGGATGTAATGAAATGATGATATAGCTATGAAGCACAGATGCAAGATGGAGGTATGAATTAGGGGTGAGAAAAATTACATGATTTACAGCATTGTGTGGGATAAACAGCATGTGTATAATAAGAAATATAAAAATAAGGAAAAGATGTAAAAGTGAGTGAGATCCAGGTTTATAGTACAGTACTTAAGTAATACAATAAAACTGATATAATGGGAGCAGAAAGAATAATAAAAAAAGGTGTACAAGTAGGTACTGTACTCTATTATTAATATTTACTTTTTTAATGTGTAAATGTGATTTAACATTACAGTATAATAATGAATATTTCACCAAAACTAACGCGCTAGGAGTGTAACATATCTTTCCACAAGAGTTAGACTGATTAATTCAATATGGATTCAGTTGTACAGAGTTACCCAGGAGCATAAGTCATAACTCCACAAATCATATCTCACCTGAAAGAGTCCATGGTGCTGGATAACTCCACGTTGACCAGATAACAAGGAGAGGAGAGAGTGCTCAGTATGTAAAAGCATTTTTCCTTGTTTGTCATCCTGTGTCTCATCACTTGCTTCTCTTACAGTCAAGATCTTCAATGTATAAAAGTTGTCTGAAAACAAAATGGTTCCGTAATTTACAAATATCTACAGACACTACATTTGACAAACCTGTACTGGCCACAAAATATTGATGTCCAAAAACTGAAAAATTTAGAAAAAATAAAAATAAATCCATCAAACAGTTTAGCAGTTCTCTACTAGTATATTCAAGTACTCAAAGGATGCATATAAAGAAGTAATAAAATTTAATTGTTCTATGCAGTGTACTTTTTACATAATTCTGCCTTACAAACTTGGGTGGAAAAGAAGTACAGCTACTCCTCAACTTACGACATGGTACTCGACCTACGACCACCCGCACATATGACCTGCCTCAGTCGGTACGACTACCCGGGCATACAACTACCGGAGTCGGTACCAAAAATTTTTCAAATGACGCGAGTATTTTCTAGACCAAAACGTTTCTGTCCCGTATGAGAGCGTCGCGTGGGCTGGGTCGCGCCGCCTCGTGGCTACAGCACCCATGCTGTAGAGCGCTTAATTGGTGTTTGGTTGTCGTTGTCGATAGTGATCGCGCTGTGTACTGACATTATTTTCGTATCTAATTCACTTTAGAATGACTGGCAAGCATAGAAGTGAGAGTGCTGGTGGTGCTCAGAAGAAAACGAGACAGTCAATTACTTTTGAGATGAAAATAAAGATAATAATGCAATATGAAAATGGAAAAACAGTAGCAACCATTCCACGCGACCTAGGCTTCTCGCACTCGACCAAATCTACTATTTTGAAGGACAAGGAAAGTATTCGTGAAGTAGTGAAAGGATCAGCACCTATAAAGGGAACTATAATAACAAAGAAAAGACAAGGTCCCATTCACGAGATGGAAAAATTACTTGTGATATGGATGGAAGACCAGATACAAAAGCGTGTACCCTTAAGCCTTCTAACCCTAAAGGCTAAGGCAAGAAGCCTTTTCGAAAGCCTGAAGGAGCAGGCAGGAGATGAGTGCGACCAAACCTTCACAGCAAGTCATGGGTGGTTCCAAAGGTTTAAGAACCGCTACAGTTTGCATAGTGTAAAGGTGAGTGGAGAGGCAGCAAGTGCTGATGTGGGTGCTGCCGAAGCTTTTAAGGAGGAGCTAGATCGTGTCATCGTGGAGGGAAATTATTTTCCTGAGCAAATATTTAATGTGGATGAAACTGGCTTATTATGGAAGCACATGCCTGAACGGACATACATCCACAAAGAGGCGAAAACAATACCGGGATTCAAGGCATTCAAGGACCGAATCACACTTCTGTTGGGGGGAATGTAGCTGGTTTCAAGATAAAGCCCTTCATGATATATCATTCAGAGAACCCAAGTGCTTTTAAACATGTCAACAAGCACACACTGCCAGTGTTTTATCGCAGTAATAAGAAAGCATGGATGACCCTAGTACTGTTTGAGGATTGGTTCATGACTTGTTTCATTCCACGAGCCAAGGAGTATTGTCTGCAACATGGGATTGCATTCAAGATTTTGTTAATTTTGGATAATGCTCCGGGACACCCACCACCCCTGGACGACATGCACCCTGATGTTAAGGTACAGTAGTCTACATTCCACCTAACACTACCTCTATCATCCAACCCATGGATCAAGGTGCTATTGTAGCTTTTAAAGCGAATTATTTACGTACGACCTTCACTCAGGCTGTTGCTGCTCCTGAAGGTGAGAAAATACTCAGAGAGTTTTGGAAGGACTACAACATTTTGAAATGTATAAAGAACATATCTGCAGCATGGGATGAGGTTACAGGTCAGTGCATGAATGGAATATGGAAGAAAGTCCTGAAAAGTTATGTGAACAGTTTCAGAGGATTTAATGAAGATGAAGTAATTTCTGAGATTAGTAACAAGATAGTGGAGTTGAGTAAACAGCTTGAGTTAGAAATTGATAATGGAGATGTTGAGCAGTTGGTTGAAAGTGTAGCAGAAGAGCTAAGTAACGAGGATCTTATTGAACTGGAAGCACAGAAAAATGCAGAGGAAGAAGAGAGTCTAAATGTAGAAGAAGAACCTGCACCCCCCAAAAATTTTACAGTGAAGCAAATGGCAGAGGCATTTTCCACAATTAATAATGGGATGCAAATGTTTGATGGAATGGATCAAAATGTTGAGTGTTTTGCCAAAGTTGACAGAATGGTCCAAGATGCACTTGCTTGCTACAAGGATATTTATAATGAAAAGAAAAAGCAAACTGTGCAGTCTAAATTGGAAATTTATTTTAAGAAGTCCCCCATTGCTGTCTCCTCACGCCCCACCAGTGCTGCCTCTTCACTCCCTAAAGATGATCCAATACCTTCAACCAGCAAGTTCCCCTGTATATAAACCTGTCTGAAGAAAGCGACATTGATGACTCACCCAGCCCTGTCTCCTCCTCTGCTTCATCCACTTAATGTACAGTGGTCCCTCGGTTAACGAGCACAATTCGTTCTAGAAGGTTGCTCGTTAACCGAAAAATTCGTTAACCGAAACCAGTGTTTCAATGGGTTTTTGGGTAATTGGTTCCAACTCACCGAAAATTGCCTAAAGTCAACAAAAAAGGTAGTAAAGTACACTTACTTTGAGGTGTGTATGTAGAAGGCTCCTGGATGATGATGATGATGGGAATTAGAATGGGGGTGGAGGAGAAGGAAGAAGAGAAGGCATTGGGGTGGAAGAGAAGTCACCCCGTGGTGCCATTTCACCCATAAAATTTTAGTTCACTTGGTGTAATTAAAGATTATTTTCTTTAAATCAACACTGCACTGCATTATATATTGTCAATATGTAAAATAAATTTCAAAATGACCAATAATTTGACTGGAAACACGAAAAAAAGTGTTATGTTGAAGAGAGTCTGAAGCAAGATGTTACCTCCACTGAAAAGACACAGAGACTGACGCCTGTATGGTGTGTTGACAGGCTGTTTGGCGCGCTAAAAACTAGTTTCCCTGTACTTAAATTGTGTTAAATAATTGTTAAAATGACTAAAAATTTTAATATAAGACTTTTAAAATTATTGAATAGTACAAACTTCTTGATATTTACTAAAATAGTAAGGAATTTAAGCCCTAGAACCGATTACTGTACTGGCAGACTAATATGACAGCTAGTGTGCAAGCGAAAACATGTGGAGGGGCGCTCATAAGGAATTCGTTAATCGAGGGAATGCTCGTTAACCGAAGTTAAGAATCTTATGGAAGGTAATTCGTTAACCGGGGCGCTCATTAACCCAGGGATCACTGTAGTCTCCATGTATAATTAGAAAATTATGGGGGCCCCTTGTGCATTCAGCTGACTACATTAAAGGGAAGTGCACAGTTACACTGTATCCATTCTTCATTATTGATTACTTTTACTGTACTGTATTTCATTTTAGATTTTCTATGTAATTTTGCATTTTCGACTTACGACTTGGATTTGGGTCCCAAACCCCGTCATAAGTCGGGGAGCAGCTGTACAGTGGAGTATTAATAATTTGTAGGTTAGGTCCCAGAATACATCAAGAAGCACCAGTACCACTGGTGCCCCACTCACTTTTCACCTCAGTGTGTAGTGCAGGGTGTTGCGCAATTATGAATCTCTTCACTGAATCAGAGAATGAGGGGATCCCTATCCAGTTTCCATGGTACAGCAGAAAAATAATCTTCTCAGACCCAACATAATAACTCGATCAAAAACTGATCCAGGATGATGAAGGACCAAGAGAAACAAACTCATTGCTTCTCCTGTGTCTATGCCAAGGACAAGAGAGAAGCCTTGTATGGCCTTCCCAATTTCAGAATTGGGGGCCAGGATTCACACCTGGATTAACTGTACAGAATCCAAAGCCATACCTCATAGAATGCGGTTCTAACAACCTATTAACAGATGGCATAAAAATGGCCCTATGTCATCCAAAAATTAGAACCAGCATGACAGATCAGTGTACCTCTTAAAAAAGAACAAATGTAAAAGATGAGGACCTAGATAGGTAAACAATTTCCCTCTATGGGAGGACCACACACTTTACACGATAGAGTTGCTTGATTCTGGCATAACATAAGAGGGGCACTAACATTTACAACTAAAGAGTATGCTCTACTGTTGGGAAACACTCTAACCTGTATTTTCTTTGCGTGCAAGACACTGTACAATAGAACGAACTGGAGAGGATCCCAGACGTGGCCCCAGTAGGTATGGTCCCGCACGTCTCAATTGTCCTTTTGGCACAGGAGCTCCAGCAGATAGAACTGAAATAATAAAGTACTGTACAGTATAATACGAATTACTTCAAAAACATTAATTTAAGTTGAAAGAAACTTCACGCACTGCATTTCCTTTTGCAAAACACTACTTTACATCTAAAATATAAAGCACAAGAAGTAGTGGTATGTTCAACATACCCTGTCCCCTATGTCATGCCAAAGAAAAAAAGAATGTGTGTGTGTGTGGGGGGAGGGGGTGAGTGGCACTTTGTCAAAAGGAGGCCAACCAACCAAGGCCCATGCAGTCCCTAAGAGATGGAATGGGAAAGAGAGACAGGGGTGGAGTGTGTATGATGTTGTGTTGGATGATCAAATCAACTGACTATTGAAAATCTTTATTTTGTTTGCACAGTACCTGCCTCAACAAATTTTGGAAAGCAGGTTCATATGGTAAGTCATGTTTCCTGGTGATTACAAACTCAGATCAGAAGTTTTCATTCGTTAAGAGAAAATAATTTTTAAAACTTGTGTACCTTGGAAGTCAATACGAAGGAGGGGATGGAGAAGGAAAGAGAAAAGAAAGAAAGAAAGGAAGAAAGGAAAAGTTATATCAATATGTAAATAGTGCATGAACATTTAGTATTAAAAAGGTGCCAAACTCAAATAGATGTCAGATTCCATATTACTGCATGGAGCCAAGAAGATATTCCCTTTACAATGATATGGCTTACCTTTACCAGATTGGAGTATATGCTTCTCTTTGACTTTACGCTCCTCATCCCTGCTGAGTAAAACCTGAGCTTCTAGTTCATCCTGAGATATAGTAAGGGGTGCTGATGTCAACAATGGTGGACTTGGGTCTTTTGCCAATAAATTTTCTGGAACATTCTTCTCTCCTTTAGAAGTTTCATTTGTTTCCAGTTCAACTTGCTGAGTTTGTGATCTTGAGGACTCTATCGTAAGATGACCATTACTTACATTTGGAGTTACTTCAGGCAATAAGGATAATGGAGATAAATATGAGACACTGGATGGATGTGAAACAGAGCTTGGCATCTCGACAAGTTCATCCATTGGTAGTGTGTTAATAGAATCCGTAAGCAAATTTGCTGTGGGAGAATTATTCCCAGGAATGTTAAATGTACCATGATCTGCTAATGATAAGATTGATGGTAAAGGGAAAGATGTTGGGGAGGAGTTTCTGGCATGCATGGCAAGGCTAAGAGATGTGACAGAACTATGAGTTGGTCCTCCCCCACCAGTTGAGTAAGTCACAGGCACAACACCTACTGAATCATTGGATGAATCAGATGAAGACTCTGATGACAATGCAAGCAATTGCAAAGGACATAAAGAGACAGACACAGGAGGATTATTATTACTGATACTGGAAGATGGTAAACTACATCCAGATGTGGACGAGTGAGAGGGTGTAGGTGTTCTGGAGGTGGTTAATGATGCTGGCACTGAAGGAATGGCTGAGTCTGATATTGGTGGTACAACTGCATTGCCTGCTTGTGATATATTTGATGATATTGCAAAAGATGATGATGGAACACTTGTTGATGCTGCAGCAGATACTGAAGATAACTTCAATGTATTTATTGGTGACACAGATGAAGATGAAGCAGATACTATGGGGACTGTAGAAGCAGCTGTTGTTAATATGGCAGCAACTGTTGATGAATTATTAGCCGATGAATTTGCAGCTGTTGGTGTAGCTTCAGTCAATATAGGAGCTGCTGATAATGTACTTGTAGAAAATATAGGAGCTGTAGCTGTGGCTACTGTTGAAGCTGTGGTGGTAGATGTAGAGACCGGTATAGTCGATACATGTGGGGCAGATGATAAGTTTGTTGTTACTGTAGTTGTTGGTGGTGTTGTAACAGTTGGTGCAACACTTGTTAATGGAACAATATTTATAAATGTCTTCACTGTGTTTACAATAACATCCCTTGTTGATGAAAAATGAAGAGATGATACTGCAGTAGTTTTATTAACTACCAATGACTTTGTCATCATAGTAGATGTACACATCACTGGCGGTGTAGGTGAAGACGTTTGTGAGCACTGTAGCCTAGCAGCAAATGTTGATAAATCACCAAATAATGATGGCATATCAATTGAAGTCGTAGGAGTATTTCTTAATCGAGAGTTAATAGTTCCTGTGGTGGCTTTTGCTGTTCCACAAGCTGCTGTTACTGTAGCTGCTTTCGAAAAAGTAGCTGTATTAGCTGCTGTTGACAATACATCACCACCTAATGTATTAGCTGCTGTTGACAATACATCACCATCTAATGTATTAGCTGCTGTTGACAATACATCACCATCTAATGTATTAGCTGCTGTTGACAATACATCACCACCTACTGTATTAGCTGCTGTTGACAATACATCACCATCTAATGTATTAGCTGCTGTTAACAATACATCACCATCTAATGTATTAGCTGCTGTTAACAAAACATCACCATCTAATGTATTAGCTGCTGTTGACAAGACATCACCATCTAATGTATTAGCTGCTGTTGACAAAACATCACCACCTAATGTATTAGCTGCTGTTAACAAAACATCACCATCTAATGTATTAGCTGCTGTTGACAAAACATCACCATCTAATGTATTAGCTGCTGTTAACAAAACATCACCATCTAATGTATTAGCTGCTGTTGACAAAACATCACCATCTAATGTATTAGCTGCTGTTGACAAAACATCACCATCTAATGTATTAGCTGCTGTTGACAAAACATCACCATCTAATGTATTAGCTGCTGTTAACAATACATCACCATCTAATGTATTAGCTGCTGTTAACAATACATCACCATCTAATGTATTAGCTGCTGTTGACAAAACATCACCATCTAATGTATTAGCTGCTGTTGACAAAACATCACCATCTAATGTATTAGCTGCTGTTGACAATACATCACCATCTAATGTATTAGCTGCTGTTAACAATACATCACCATCTAATGTATTAGCTGCTGTTAACAATACATCACCATCTAATGTATTAGCTGCTGTTGACAAAACATCACCATCTAATGTATTAGCTGCTGTTGACAATACATCACCATCTAATGTATTAGCTGCTGTTGACAAAACATCACCATCTAATGTATTAGCTGCTGTTAACAATACATCACCATCTAATGTATTAGCTGCTGTTGACAATACATCACCATCTAATGTATTTGCTGCTGTTGACAATACATCACCATCTAATGTATTTGCTGCTGTTGACAATACATCACCATCTAATGTATTAGCTGCTGTTGACAATACATCACCATCTAATGTATTTGCTGCTGTTGACAATACATCACCACCTAATGTATTAGCTGCTGTTAACAATACATCACCACCTAATGTATTAGCTGTTGTTGACCGGGAAAAAGTTGATTCTGCAACTGAAGTTGACAAAATACTTGTACCAGTACAGGTATTTGGAACTAGTAATGATGTAGCTACTGCCCTGGTGGAGTAATCTGTCCTTTCAAAATTTGAATGGTTTTCATCCAAATGTGTTACATTTCGTCGTTCTAGAGCAGGACGTCTTCTAGGTGGCTCCAATTCCTCGCTATCTTGAATAGAACGCTTCATTCCTCAGCTTGATACAGACCATTACAGTACGGTATATGTAAGCTGATCTGGAAATACAGATATAGCTATATGTAGTACCGTATTAAATTTAGAAAAAATAAACAAATTATCAATATCTCATTGGAATTAAGCTTCACTGTGATTGAGCAGTGTGCTGCTTTACCTACAAAAAATAAAAGCTACATCGATCCTTTTGAGAGATGTCTTCTGAAGTCCAGTTTGGGGGAATTACTTCCCAGGATTATCATATTCATTTGAATATCTAAGGTGGATTCAGTCATCTATTGGGAATCTTATTTGTACAAATTTCTTAAGACTCACAGACATATTCTTCCTGATCCAGTCCATAGTGAAAAAAAGTCAGCACATAAAATATACTAAACCTCAATATCTTAGATTCTAGAATGATAATAAAAGCTTGTTAGTGGGTAGGGCTGTGAGGCTGTGGGAAACTTATCATTAAAACAAAATATTTTATGGAGAATAATTCAATTTATATGTAAACATTCACTTTGGTGAAACTTCAGTGGTTTGTTTTTTCTTTTTTATTTTACACCACAATTTCCCTCTACATAAAAGTCCTGCCCACTTTGAAGTTGAACAACCATAATTGTTAGTAATGGGGGGGGGGATATCTCCATAATGGCTTATTTAAAACAGAAATTAAGGCCTTTTTTTAACATAAAATACACCAGAAAAACCTATTTTACTTAGAAGTTTCCATGGTGTAACCAAAACGAATTTTTACCTAAAAAAATTGGTAAAATTGCAGATTACAGCAACCAGAGTCTGATAAAAAAAAGGTGTTACCTGACCTAACCTAATGTAATACTATAAAAAAAATTATCATAGAGAAAATAGTTCTATCATTGAGTGTAGTGAATTTATGGAATCTTGTGGCTGCTGTTTACTGCGATATTGCCAAAAAATTTATTTTGGCAAGTTCAGGTGAGCAACTTTTGTGTACAATTACTGTACAGTACTTGGTCTAAGGGCTGCAGAGGCTGAGTGGATACAGCAGTCACCCCAAGTCCTAAGGGTCTCTGGTTCATGCCCGGGATATCTGAAATTTATGTAGATGTACGTGGCTGGTCAAAGTGGTCAAATGCAGTGCCAGCCACACTGCCTGCTTGTGGTGTATTTGGTTTTTTAGTTTACTGTATACTTGTATCCGCATTGTTCCTTTTAGACAGTCATACCTACATGATCCACTATTGTTTTCATTTTGTTTAATACTTTTGTTTTCCCTTCCAAAACAAACATGTAGAGACCCCAATGGATGCAGAACTTTCCTTCTACACGACAAGGTGAAATTACAAACAATGAAGTGGCATAAGGTATACATATCAAGCAATAAATAAGTATAATCAGCGTTGTGTCAATCTTAAAGTGGTCACAGTAGTGTACATAAGAGTGTTGAGTCACCTCACCAACATCACTATACCCACACAGAGCAACATCAGTATTCATTAAGTGGCACAAAAGTGTCCCCATGGTCAAATAGTCAATAACAGACCAAGCTAGATAACAAGGAAGAGACTATGGATATAAGAACAATAATTACCTCACTCGGGAAGATCACTTTCCCTATTGGATCTACTGACACTGATGCTCACTTCCGTGTTATGGTTACTCTTCCCCGTCCGCCACTATCACAGTTTGTCAGTTCAACCCTTGATTAAAATAATGTGAAATATAATTATTACATTTAATCGAAGAATGGTTAGATTATTAAGTTCTGAATTCAAAATTTTAGAAATTTAATAAAACACAAATTATGGCATCTACAGAATTATTCAGAGATTCATCAAGTTTTCAACAGCTTCAACATAAGGTCACGTCAACACAATACAAAATGTTCACAACACTAGCTTTATATGTTGGACAAATAACACCATGTACAGTACAAGACTGTAATGCATGTTCAATTCACGAGTAGTATTGCATGTTTCCTACTTTAGAACAATAGTACACCTATTATGAACTGAATGGCTCTTTAGATTTTTTTTTATCATCTAACTAAACAATCTAAAAGGTGGCAGTTTAAAAAACCATGGTATTATTTTAGTCAGTAATCCGGGGAATCTTAGGAATTTAGAGAGAGTTCCTGAACTGTGGCTAGGTTGGTTAGGTTAGGTAGGTTAGGTTACATTAGGTTGGCTAGATATTTAAATACAGGGATGACTTGAAACTAAAACTTTACCCAAAATACTTGGTCTGATTAGTCAACCTCATAACCTAACCTGGCACTTGCCGAGATACTGCTGGTACTGTACAAATGTACCTATGTAAATACTGTACAGCATTTACATATAGCATAAGGTAAAAACTATATGTACATTCATTCGATTTTTCACGAGTTTATTCCCACTTCATGGTGGACAAGTTCTCGATCACTATAGTCGCTTCTGGCTCGTTTGGCAGCGTCTGGTTAAGATCGGGCTGGTCAGCTTGGGTCAGTCACAGCTGAGTGCATGTTAGAGGTCACAACCAAAAGCCGACTCCAGGAGTATGACCTGATCTCACATTTACCTATAGTTGTATGCAGAATCTGGAGTTGTCTTGCATAAGTGTTGCTGTATTCTTTTGTTTACTTATTCTGGCTACCGCTAGATGATTTTATTCAGCCTAGGGTAATCTCCGCAGCCAAAGGGTTAAAGTCTTACAAAATGTAAATTGAGGGTAATTCACTATACTGTACTAAAATTTTTCATTCATGTTTATTTTCATACAAATTTAACAATTCAACATTAATTACAAAAATGTGAAAAACTTGAAATGTTTAAATGTATCCAAAAGTTTACATTTATTCTTTTGTGGATGTTGAACAACTTGAAAACAAATAGAAAATGAATGCATGTTTTCCTAAAATTAATACCAAACTAAACAGTTGATACTCTTTTTGTTCTCACTCATATTCTAGTTAAAGATCACATAACATATAAAACAAATGGTATATGTTTGCTGTACTATTCTAAGGTATAAAAAATTAAAATGAAATAATGCATGTTTGACTCCTGATGGTTTTCAAGTTCAGGTATATAATGGTAATACCCTTCAAAAAACATGGTTACCAAGGAACACGTTACAATATATTAAGTATAATTTTACTCTACTTTAAATTCAATATGCACCAATTTGACACTAAAAAGATAAGCACAAATGTAACTTGGCGAGTCACATTGCGATTTTTCTTTCTTCTGACCTTGAGACATTTGTTGGTTTATAACTTTATTATAAAACATCTTTAATTTCATACAGTATTACTTTAATACAACAAATCACATATCCAGGCAACTTATGTGACAGACCTCCCAATTTGATACTGTACCATGTGGTTTCCACTATTTTTGTGCACATAAAAAAATCACTTACACAAAAACAGTGCACTCTACAGCACAGAATAACACAGTGCACTACATTTTTACTAAAATGATGGGTGAAATACAAGTTGTGAGAATATGTAGAGGATGACAAGTGTGACATCATTCATTTTTACTGATCTTTCACAAAATGTTTCCAAGAATCAATCTGGATTATTTTTATTGTTTTGCACAACCTATTACTGCACTGTATCATCCATCAGCAGACACAACCATTCCCAAAAGCCACTTGACACCATGTTCTACGGTCAGTCACAGTCACTGGTGTTGTCTGGGTGTCAATCCTCCCTCATTCCTAGTGTGTCCTTCACCCCATATCCTTCCTCATCTTCCACACTCTCTGTCTGACCATCCACCCCTGAATTATACACTCTTTACCAATCTTTCACTTCCATTTTCTCAATACTGTACCTACACCATTTGAGCACACCCTTATCAGCTTCCCGACACATTTTTTGTACTGTCACACCTCATTGGTATTTCTGTATTTACTATTCTTTGCATTCCATTCACCCTACATGTAGCTCTCAAGCATATAATTTCTCTCATCTCTAATTTGATCCTTATGTCTGAGGAGCCCATGCTTCACACTCATAACTATAACTTGATAATTCTCAGGATATAGTTCTCACCATCCATACACTTCTCAATCCATCTATCAATTTCCTTTCCTATGTTATTCATATTAATTTCCTCATTCCTTGTTCCATTTGCTGACACACCTATACTGAGCATTATGATTTAAAAGTAGATAATATTAACCCCTTGTCTCTCTGTGCTCAATAAATTTAACTTGCATTGGTCAAACAAAATATTAAAAGTGGAGTCCTGTAGTGAAGGGGTTAAATACTACCTAGGCTATGTATTAAGAGACTTTCAAACTGATGTATGAATACAAAGTACAGTAGTACATTCTAATACATGAACACATGCATACATTATGAATGTTATACACTCAGGTATACTGTCATACAATCTCCTAATAAAGACATACAGTATTATGAATATAACTATCACTCAAAAACACTTCATTAAACATAGTAATTTATGTGCACCGTTTTATCCACTGTAATAAGAGTACACTGCATTATACATAGTAATGTGAGCACATTAATAATTAGACTTAATGGTACAGTACTGGTATGTAAAATTAAATACTATGATACTGTATAATTATGGAGTACAGTACACATATACCAAAATGATGTGTACATTACATTACCCACTAAATCATTCTTAGTTGAGGTTTAAAGTGAACCTAATATAGCTTATTTATGTAACATAATTTTTCAGAAATTTATCTTTTATTGACATTAAACGAAAAATTGGTAATATCTTAAATAACAAACATATATGGCTGTTAGTAATGTAAAACATTGCTAACTGCTTGACTCCAACTCGTACATTTTTAAATATACAGTAACTTAACAATTTCCTTTCAAACAAAACACTGGGAGTTCATGCACTTGGAGTTAAAAGACATAAGCTCAATACATTTGCATTATGTGTGACAAAGGGGACAATACCAAGAAAAAAATAAATAAATAAATAAATAAAAATCAAAACCCCTGAATCCTATTTCAATAATAATGCATAACTGCCATCACACCTCAATGACTTGGGGTGTCTAGGGAAACTTGAACCACTGACACCTTAGGAAACCTAAAGGGGGATTTCAAATATTGGTAAACTCATTAAAATTTATGCCTGCAGTACTATTGACTTTGAAGCATACTGTACACTTTTAGTGACAACCAAATCTGTATTATAAATGCACTGTACTGTATTGCATTTATGCATTTATAAACACACACCTTACTAACAAATTATGTAATAATTAAAACAATAGATTGTGGTCACTCCAATTTGCCTTAAGTCAATTGAAAATTGCATAAATACTCGTCCAATACTTATTAATACGGAAATGTATTTTCAACCGGGAAGTGAAGAATGACATAAATCTAAAAAATTGGTAAACTCCTATGGCCCTTGACAAGAGTTGAATCATACATCATGTCATTGTTGAAGCAGTGTTTTAAGCATTATTGTACATGTATTCTTGTGATGTTGTAGGGAATCTTAAGGTGTTGTAAGTGGTGTTATGTTTCACCTGGTGGAAATATTAAAAAGTTCAAAGCGCAGAGCACTATTCTTAGCCGAAATACTATGACATTTAACATAATTGTAAGATTTACCCTAATACATTTAATACCATTTATTGCAAATTGTAGAACAAAGGCTTGTGTGTTAATTGTCTTATTCATTAGCAACTGAAGTTTAAGGAAACACAATTACTAAAATATAATTTTTCTTTACCTTTTTCTTGAGTTATTGTATGCAAATAATCAATAGCTATATAAATACTAGAGAGTCTATATCAGGAGCAACAGAATGCAACCCACAGAGTCTGTGATGTGGGCAGTGGGACAACTAAGGAGAAACTGAGGTATTTTGTGAGGGGAAGACAAACATTGTGGCTGGCTGACGACTACACTCATACAACATACAGCCAAACAATGCTGTTTTTTCCTTCAAAGTATCTCTCTTTTCACTGTTGTTTAGCTACTTAATGATTATATAAATATGAACTGATCATCTGTCTCTATGAGGTGTAAATGTGTTATTAAATTAAATCTAATCATTTAATTCTTGCACAATCTCTCTGCACTAAATATGTATAAATCTATGCTGTACTCTAGTAATAAAAGGTATACTATATAACCTTCATTTTTTATATATCTACAGTCGAATGGCAAAACTTTTTTCTTTTAATTTAACCTTTCTTTAGTGAGAGAAAAAAAAATGGCATTCAGACTACTAATTTTCAACAAATTCAGTACATATTTGTGTTGTTACCGTATGTATATGTTTTGATACAGGATGAACAAGTAAGTTTTGTATGACAGTTACCACAATAACTAAAAAGACTATTTTGTCCAGGAAGCCATTTACTGAGATTGGTCTCTTTCTATACTACAGTATTAAAAGTGGTAGAGAAAAGTACAATAAGAGTGGATTTATGTTTTCAAGAAGAAAAGTATCGGGCCAAAGGAGAAACTAATATACTTCTGTACAGTATTCCAAGATTCAGGTTAGGGAAGGGTAATTAAGAATTTTGTCCTGATACTCATAAACTGAAGAGACTCCAAACTTCTCATGAACATAAAGCACTTTACTTATATAAATTCACAATCGTTCTTTGCTTACTTCACTATCAGAACTGCAATCTTATCAATAAAACACACACTGTATAAGTGAAGTTCTCATAAAAAATTCAGTAAATACGTACAGTTGTGATCCTCTCTTTAAACTTTCCCTATGATTGGGTTTTAACATCCATATTCCAGCAGGTTGTTAAATTTTTATAAGAATTGTTTAGAATTTGTGATTTGTAGAACTTCAAATAATACAGGTACAGTAGTTTGAAACTGCATTTAACATTTCAACAATGCTCTCTGAGACTATATTTCTTATCACATTTGGTTTTATATTTCAGCAGTTGAGAAAATAGATTATACACAAAATTGTAACTGTTAAAATTATACAAATTAACATACATAACGGGATCACGTTTGTCCTCCTTTTATATGAAAGAGCTTATAAAAAAAACACCTATGTACCAATTTGCATGTTTTCTTCAAATTTTGATTTATTGTCCTAATCTGATAGGCTTAAAAGAATTAAATAAAATGAATACTGAAAAAACCTAAAAACATAGTTCTTCATCACAAACCAATAACTAGGCACACTCCCCTTTGTCACAACATAGCCAAACGTATTATCACATATTTTAAGACACTCACCAAAGCCAACGCAATTCCACTGTGAGCACATTTTTATCAGGTAAGGCACATGATCAATGTACACAATTAAATATAGTTCCATGAACCTGGCATTTAAATGCAAAATTCCAAGTTACAACATTTCTTTCATGACATACAATACAGCGGTTTGTTTCTGACTGTGCATACTGTATGCCCTCTTTCAAAGAAGTTCGTACAAAGACACAACCATAAAACTTTCACCTTTTACTAAATACTTGTATATTGTATAATTTTTTTTTCCTCCAGGTGAAAGAACAATGTGAATGTTTTACTAATGGTAACATTTGTAAGTATGAATATGATGCAACAAGGGCCATGAAATGTGTAATACATGGTACAGATGCACTTCCATCCAGGTCCAGGCAATGGTAACTTAATTTATCTTAGGTGAATAGAGGCAGCCAAATGGTAACTGCACCACAGGTGTTACATTATACAAAAACTGCTAAATCTATTAACAAATATACAACTGCCTATAACTATTAAATGCCTATAAAACATACTTAAAATGATAGGAGAAACCATACTGGTTATCTGGAGCAAAAATCAGGAGAACTTTCCATAGAGTTTGTGCTATTACATTGATAAGGAATCTAACTAAAGGTGCTCAACTACATTTTGCATTTTTATAAAAATATGAAAAACTTATCCTTACTTTCCCACAGTCAACAACACCTTCTTCAGTTGAAAATTAAATGATGGCAATTTTTGTGATAACCTAATCAACATTTGTGAACAATCCAACAATATTACGCACATCAAAACTACAGTACGTGTGCCCACTATTTTAAGGCAACCTCAAACAACATCAGAACTTAACTTGCCCTTATGCTAGGCACAGTTACCAGCATCAAAATCTAAGCCTTACATATTGATACATAGAGTTGTTGCCCTTATCATTTGTATTGGTAACAATAGGCAATTTATTTGTTCCATGAATCTTAAAAGACTGACACAAAAAAAAAAAAAAAAAAAAGATGATGGATATTATTCACATATGTGGCTATTTTCTTATCAGTGCATTAGAAGTCAATAATTTCCATTCCTCAAATGCTATAAAATTATTAGCACACTGTGAACTCTGTGGTAAATAACCCAAAGACTAAAAGGTGGTGTTAATATACTGAGAACCAACACCAAGGTATATGAGCTAAAGCATCTCAAGCCTCAGCTGGATTGGAATGCCACTAAAGCACATGGAGGAGTGTGTGACTTTTTATGCCACAGTACTTTATCAAAATACATATTTATCTTGAGAAAATTACTAAATAATGAAAAATTCCAACACATGAATATACAAGACGAAAAGTACATATATTCCACCATATATGTGTATTCCTTTCACAAATAAATTTAAACTTGGTAAAAATCCCTAAATCTAATAACAATCTGGTATTGCCAGATGACATTCAAACAAAGCAAATAGATTTACAAGTTTAAGATATGTCTCAGAATCATACAATGATGAGATACTTGGGTTATTGTGTCCAGTCCCAATCACATTACATATTGTAAAAATGAACAAAGTTTATTATAAGCATGGGAAAGATAAAAAATAAATCAAAATAATTAAATTGATATGCACATGTGCACCTTATTCCATGGGGTGTGGGTTGGGAAGTGACAGATATGTAGATATCATAGACTGATATCAATCTTGCTATATCTTTGTACTTTTTACACAGGTGTAGTTGTTAATAATGTTAAATAAACAACAAACAAATAAAAAAAAATATCCTTGTATCCACTCTGAAACACTGATTGTTATTAAGACCTAATTTAAACAGCATTTACTAAAGTAATAACACGACTTAAGTCTAATATTTTCACTACTAGATATTTTGGTAACATATTTGCTTCTCGGTAACATATTGCTGTTATTTGAATTAAGACATACATATTAGGATGCATTTTATAAACTTGGGGAAATTTAACATAGTCACTATAATAATGAGCATCCTTTGGAAACACTGGGTAATGAAATACTATCCATCATTGTAATGCTACCCTCTTAATAAACACCGGGGCAGGGTAACCGATATATCACAATATCATATCAACCTATTAATTATTGTGTCTGGCTTTTTCACAATGTGCCAACAATAAATTTTGCTTCTTATAAAATTAAAACTATTGGTAACATGCAGATCACATGAGGTGATTCAGGTCAAGTAAATATTACTGCCGATTCACATTCCAAAAACTTTAGTGACACAATTGTGGCTTAGAAACTACAACAAGGACTAATTGCTCAACCGTAAGCTGCCAACTAATGGTAAGAGAACAGGCATCAACATAATGGTATATAATCTGGCAGTCAAATAATGGTTGAAAAGCGTACACCTTAACAAAAAGTAAGAGTACCACAGACAGACCCAGCAGGATGCTTCAAGGGCTTGGTTGCCAGGTTTCTGCTCTTATCATGCTCCCCAATTTTTTAATTCATAAAAAAATTTAACTTCACATATTATATTTCATATGAAAAAGAGGGCATGTATTTTATTTCCCTGGCACCCACTGTTACTAAGTCAGGAATTGATTCCTAGAAAGCTTAATAATATGATGTAAAACATCCTTCCTCCATAACATTCAACATAAACTATACCTCAATCGCCAAACACAGAAGAATGAGGTGTTCATTACAGTTGAGAAAATTTATATCACCGGTGAATATTTCACATTTCTGTCCACAATTTGCTTTTAGTGACAATCAAATAGGTAGACTTGAGTTAGTCCTACCTGCCAAAGTATTATGCTATAAGCAAATAACCTTCAATTATATACAGTACTGCATAATGAAAATATAAGCATAATAAAAATACCAACTTCACTTTAGTACTAAAGTACTATGATTAATGCAGCTGCCGTAAAATGGTTAAATTTTTATAACAGAAAATTATGTGTAGTACTTACACCTTTGTTAGTAAAAGAAATGTTGTATTGTACTGTATAGAAAACAGAAAATACAAAATTAATATTTTTGAATACTGTACTGAATAGAAGATAATAAAAATAAGACAATTCAGGATATAAAGTTAAAAACACAGTAGAGATAGAATAAGTCTGCAAGGTGACTACACAGTTGGAGTGTTTGCCATCACAAATGTTATCAATGGTAACTGCATGAAAAAAATCTTTGAAAATATTCTATGAAGATGCACATCTTCCCATTATGTTACTATATTTTCAGACAGCCATATAGAGCATACAGCACTTCTCATCTTCAACACTACTTCTCTCTCTATGAACACCTTCTCAATACAGTACTTCACATTTGCAGTACCAATAAATATGAAAGATATCAAAATTAAAATATTACAGTATTTTGAGAGGCAGTTTCACTGACTTCTAAAAACAATGGGTCATGTTCACATTTGCACTTGCTTAGTTGATGCTCTCGAGAACAAACACAGATTTTTTAAACAAAATGACTGACTAGCCATTGCAGAGCAGAGGTATATGAAATATTTCAATGCAAGAGTAGATGGTAAGTAGACTAGAAGCCCCTTTCTACCTGGGTAAGTAAGCAATACAAGTAATGAGTAAGAACAAAGGAGTGGAATATTGTTTGAAGGACAATATAGAGCAAAGTGAAAAGAGGACAATTATAGATTGAGGAATGTGCAGAAAACTATGAAAATAGTACAAAATCTTTAAAAAAAATAATAAAGCAGGAGTCAGAAGTGGTAGAAAGTATGACAGGCAGTGATATATTACCAAAGCAGATATTATTTACTACTGTACTGTATCATTTTCAATCAATGATGGTTGACAAAAAAATAGACCATTGTGTCTGCAGGAGATTATTGCCCAGTTTTGCACAGTGATCACAGGTTAACCAAAAACCCAACTAAGGTAAATAACTCCCAAAAAGTAACAATAACTGGTTTTGATGTATTGCCATTTGTAATCCTCAAACTGCAGAGGTAAGTGAAGTTTTATAGCTGCATATGAATGCAAGAGCACAGGTCATATTACATGCCCCTTTCACAATAATTATGAGTATATTATGCAATAATTTTCTGAAGAGTGTTACTCACCTGCAGTATGTAATAATGCTATATTTCCAATATAAAATAAATAGGGTAAAGGATTACCAAAATATAACACCACAAAAACTTAAAGGGTTAACATGTGCTAATGACAATGATGACGACAATGATCCTGACTATGACACCTGGGGTATAACATTTGGATTTCTGTACCTCGTATAAAAAAAATAAAAAGAGAAATTTAGCATTACACTGCTTGTACAGCTCCTCCCCGACTTACGACCTGCCTCAGTCGTACCAAAATTTTGTCAAATTACGTATTTTCGAGTCCCAACTTCAGTACAGACAAAATTTTCGTTTGTAATTCACTTTAAAATGGCTGGCAAGCTTAAAAGAGTGAGTTTTGTGGTGCTGAGAAGAAAAACAGACACCCATTTTCGATTTTCTATGTATTATTTAAGCATTTTCGACTTACGACCATTTCGACTTACAACCTGGAATTGGGTCCCTAACCCCCTTCATAAGTCGGGGAAGAGCTGTAATTGTTAATGCTACAGTGGAGTCTCAATAATTCTCAAAATACAACTGTACCTCTACATTACTACCTCTGTTTATAAATTTCTCTGCAAAAAAACATAATTCCCGGCCGAGCACCATAAAAGTTGTGAAAATATCACCTCATTGTTACTTTAAAATGTATAAAAATATAAAATAAGAAGAAATTAAGTGGGAATAGATTCTGTGTGAAGAAGGTAGGGCAGGTGGATGGCTGGACCCAATGGAAATTCCCCAAGCCACGACCCCTTTACAATAAAAGTACCTGTATGCAATTTCACCATAATGGTTTGTTTACATCATAGGCAAACAGCTGACCAACCAGCCAGCCCCAGCACCATGTTGGTGTAATGGTGTCATCAAGAGGATGATTATGAGAAGGGAAGGAGCTGTTTGTGTAATATAAAATTACTTTTGGTACAATATCTATGTGTTACTGTATTTTTTATATATTACATATATTCAGTGTTTTTAAAAGCAGTTTTGAAATATTTTAGGTGTATTTTTTGGCCTCTGTAATCCAACTAATTATTTCCATTTATATAAATTAAACTATAATTCGAAATTTGATAATATATAATATCTTCTGGTACCAAACCCACGAATTATTGAGACTCCATTGTATAAGGAAACACAAAGAATTTTCACATAAGACTAATGGGTGAAGAAGTGTGTGTATCAGACAGCAGTGTAGAAACACATACAGCAAGTTATCAAGTAATCAACTTAAGTGTAAATCTATACACACTAATTAACTCACGACTGGTATAAACCTCAGTCTGCAATGCCATGGAAGTCTTGTACTATATTACTAAAGTTCAAATATTGTTGATGAATTTTGACAATATTTCTCAACAATAACCATGTACTGTACTCAAAATCATGACTACCACAACACATGCAAAATGTGTAATAATCTGGAAAATGTAAAAAAAAAAAATGATTAACACCTCATTCACTTGTGTCACTAGATTTGTCTTGTGTATTTGGTTTTACAAGTAAACTGTTTAATTGTTTCATAAAAATCTCTTAAAACTAAAGTAAACAGAAATATAGAAACCTATTCATACCATTATTTGGTAACAAGATAACAAAAATCTTAAATGAAAAAATGTGCAAAACTAAAACTATTTGGTGGTAACTCCCTCAACCTAAACATTATCATAACACAACCTTGTCTTCCCAATAGTCACAATATCTGGTTTGACTGGTAACAAGTTAAAATGCCACCCATATCACTACACTGGCACAAACAAAATTTTGTTTGTCCTTCACATTTGTTAAAATGACAGATATATGTAACTTCTTTTAACAGAAGCAAAATATTATGAACTTCACTTTTACAATACTGTAATGTATATCATAATATATCAAAAAATTCAAGTACAGTAAATATAAAATACTACTTGAGAAGATCCAAGTTTACAGAATGATTTCAAATAAAGACGTCTTTTCTAATCAAAATGAATAGTGAAGATAAAACAAAAAATTAACATTAATTTCAATGGCAACATGTTTAACCAACAGACCTGTTTACTTGATGACACTTTTCCCATGATCATTTTCTGCAAGAGACCATAATTGAGGGTACAAGATAAACAAAGGACCAAACAATGTGATGTATACAATATTGAGTGAAACATAACTGTCCAATGATGATGAAGATATAACAGAAACTTGTGGACAAACTGTAACTAAATGTGAAAATTAATATTTCTGACAAACTATTTGAACTGACCAACAGATTCTTAGGAAATGTCATGGAATGACTGGTCAGCAGACATACTACATGGCCTTGGTTTTTCAACTAAAACAAAGTGCATCTGTATGGAAGAACATGGATTCTTTGAAGTCTGAAGGCACATACACATCCAGTTTAGTGAAGGACATTTGTAATGTATGTGATGCAACCAGCTTATGTCTAATGTCATGAAAGTATGTCACTTTACTATGATTTTTTTTTTCATTCTTGTAACCACTAATTGTAGTAGTCATTTCATTTATGGTAAATGGACTACCACTGTACTATTTGAGTAAAGTGGTGGAAGACATATTCTAAGTACATTTCCACTCGAGCAAAATCGTAGAAAAAAATGACAAATACATTCACCCTGGTCTCTTAAGAGATGCTGGAAATTAATGAAACTATGGATGTTAACTTGAAAAAGTGAAAGTGGGTCCCATAGGCATGACTGTTGATAACAGCACAAGTAAAGTCAATCACATATATTTTTCCCTCTTTATCTTGCAGCCACAATGTAAAATGTCTCAAGAAAACTATTATTATTACAGATGTTACCATGATGGTGGAGGGGTTTTCACAAGGCAAATTATGTGACATCACTGTAAAGGGGTCCAATGCTGTTGTACTCAAAATTTTACCACATAATCCTTATGACAGCACTATAATAAGTGTCTGCATAACATAATTTCTCAAAACACTTAAGATCAAGGGTTACTGGTACTTAAATACCATTTACATCATTTTGATCATAAAAAATCTAAATAAATATTATAAATAGGTTAGTAGTTAAGCTCATTTTAAGGCTGGCAGATATGAATGTCTGCACTGAAGGCTGAATCATGCATGTAATAAGCATAATTTTGTTTATCTCTCACTGGTACTTATGGTATCTCATTACTGGTATCTTGTGCAAGATACAAAATATTCTTGTATACACTGCATACTGTCTTCACTGTATTCAAGTTAAAGCAAAGTATGGTAATGTATGAATATATCTTAAAAATATATACATTTCAAAGTGACAGAATTTTCCCTTACTTTCTCACACACACACTCGCACGCATGCACGCACACACACACACACACATATGCAACAACTATCCTTCAACTTAACTTCTTAATTCAAACAATTTAATACACTGGGAAAGTTTCAGATACAGCACCAGACATCAACGGTATTGAGGAGTTTATAAAACTGCTAAATAACAGCATCATTATTCAAATGTTGTGGAAATGTTCAGTACCATTAATGGCAGAAGCAAAGTTCACAGGTAAAAAAGTTTCACATAAACACAGATCAAGGTCACAAAAGTTTCACAGATTCACACACTGAACAGTGCAATGGGCACACTTGGTTTTGGATAACTTGAGCAAGATCTAATTCTCGTGTGAGTGAGTTAAATGCAACTGGAGCATCATAAAAACAACACAGGAACAGTGTGACAGATAGGTAGAGAGACAAGCCATCATCAAAGCTCTTAGCCAAGTGTCACTTATCCCAACATGAGTTATACCAACTACCACACTTCCTTAACACATATGCCATTGAAAAGAAAATCTTTATCAATCAAATTACAACCAATGTTGTGCCAATCCCTTAGTCATATACTTGAGCTAAACACAAAGTTGTACAACAAAGCTTCTTAAATATCCTAGTTTTGTGCCAAATTGTAGTTGGTAACTTAAGTCTTCATTATCATCTTTGGTGGATAAAAAACATTATTCTGATGTGATAGTATAAATGTTTCTGCCTGTTGATGCTACCTTTCCTCTTCATGAAGCTGTTTCTTTGGTCTTGTACATCTATTACAGAGTTTAGCGATGACCATTTTTCTTATGTTGGTACATATCATACTTGGTACGAAATAGAGCCCCACATGTACAAGCAAAAGGCTCTTTACCTGGAAACAAAAAAAAGTAATATTCACATAAAACTAAAATGACCAAATTGTCATCACGATATCAATAGTTACTCAATGGTGGTATACACTGACTCTAGCATAACCCTTGAAATTTACAGTACGTATGACTTACCAATACTGTATAGTAATAATGTTTTAAAAACATTATTACCTTTTCAATACCCCAGTGACTGAAATATTTCAAGTTGTTTGAGGTGCCACACTTGGTCAGTGACCAAATATGACTAAATTATATACTTGTAGGAAAAGTTAAAAAGCCAGACATGCACATAAGACTTATCCGGGGATCAGTTTAAAATATCAAAACTTCTTGGAAGCAAAATTTCAAACTAAATCCGACAAGCAATAGCAATACCAGACTTCTGGAGGACTGAGCATGAAATCCCACTGTATAAATGAATCTGGGCTGAACAACACTGTAGCCAGCAATTCATGAAGTACTAATCCCAGACCCCAGAGTCCTAACTTGTGACTAGAATTTAAATAATATGACTAACTTCTCCTTCATATAAACGTCATGAAACATATCTCTCTGGTAAGAGAGTACCGAAGAGGGGAGAAAGTTTGATAGCTCTGTTGTGTACATAACATAAGATGCTCCAACCTCCTAATTTATTGATATGGGTTGTAATACCTTCAACCCTGGTCAACCACCTTAACTCCAGCTACATGAAGCACCCAAAATTAATTAATCAATCTTGACTTGGCAACAAAGTGTGATTTATAACCTATGTCAAGATTGCACAATCTGTACTATATATCAAACCCGGCAGAAAAGGCAAGAAGGAGGTACCCAAAAGCTTTAAGTGCTGTGCTCACAAGCATCCCCAAAGGGAGCAAAATACTGTACCACACTTTCTCTCCCTTACTGTAAAAAATTGTGGTAAGGCAATTATTCATATTACAAAATGTGTATGGGTTGATATGACTGAGAAGATAAATATTATACATAAGAAGGTGCACGTCAATTGGCTTAGAGAAGAAACTAAGCTTATCATTTTGACTTTATAAGTTATTCCATGAAGTGTAATGTTGTTAACTTCTTGGTCACCTGGAAAAAGTTAATGAACAAATTGTATTGATGCTTCTACTTCACCTATTACCACTCATAAATTTCATCACATTCATCTTGAAAGTGTCAATACCAGTCAAGTTGAAAACCCAATTTTGAACATTGAATCCCTTGCATAGATAATGATGTCATACTGTATTTGTAAGCAAACCTAACATGTATTTTTATACAATATTTTTCAACTCCTAATTTTGGGTATAAATAATTTTATTTCATTTTTTTACTCAGTTATATGCACACGCCTCTTACATATAGAATGTAAAAAAAAATACTTACCATAAGCTAAAAAACATAAGGGAATAAACATTTCTCCTCACACTAGAGTTAGCGTGGAGTGTGGAATCTCAGCCGCTCTGAGTTGTCTCTCGTCCAGCAGTGAAAGGGTTAACTGCTACAACCTACATAATACTATACCAACTTCTTACCCTCTTGATGCATTATAGCCATGTGTGTACGAAGTGTCGCAGCATCCCGGTACATTCTTTTGCATGTAGGACACGGTCGAGGTTCATGGAATGCTAGTTTCCGCTGATACTGTTCTGTTGGTGAAAATAAAGACTTTATTTTACATTTGTGAAAGTTGACTTAAATTAAACTTATTATATCTCAAGAAGAATGTATCACCTGACTGAACAAGTAATTAATTATAGATATGAAATGGTATACAATATTTCCCCAATCAGAAAGATATACAAAAAATACTGTACAGTACGATGTGACAATCCTTAATCTTTAAGGTTGCATGTGAGCAACAATTCGAGTAATCTGATATAATTTAGAAAAAATCAGCTGGTTTTAAGATGCCAATTAATGTTGTAAATGCTCACTAAATTGGACATCCCATTACATGTATTGGAAGTTTCCAATGCACTGAATTTGAGAACCATAAGGTTTCTTCCCCAGATGATCCCCTCATTTCTAGTTACAGTACGTACTTACAAAATATGCAGTCAGCCACTCTGATAACATAAATATTTTTATAGCTTCATGGTCTTCTGTGTCCATGGAGTATGTGGTGTTGCATAATTGGCTAATCAAGGACCCAAAGGAAATTGTAATTGGCTCATTTCCTTTCACTCTAAGTCTCTCTCCCACTGTTATAACACAAACTTAAATGATGCAGCAATTTTACCCTTGATTTTTTGCACTCTGAGCTATGAAATACTAATCCCTCTATCTTGTGAACATTACTCTCATCAAAAAACATTCTTTTATCCATTGATTAATTTACAAGAATATTATGAAACATTACCTCCTGCAAGTAGATCATGATGAGCATTATGCATAGAACTTACTTACCTATTGCAAAACACAAACACTGGGATCTTTGAGTGGTGAACACAGAGCACTGATCTGTGTGGACGCATGGCAAACAACAAACCTAGAAGTGAATGTGTACAGCACCGTTCACAGTACGTCAATGACTGGCAACAAACAGCCTGGCCCCCTATTACTAGGCATAGAATTACTTCTTAATTATTAATATTATTATTTTTACATCTATATCTGATTATTTTCAGTAGTTGCCAACAACTCCTCGTCAAAAATTAAAAATGGGTCAGCTAATTTTATATCGTGGAAGCAATTCCCCCCCCCCAAGAGGATGCCGCTCAGGGCAGTCGCCCCGCTCACCCCCACCCACAATCGCTATGCCACTGTACACATTACTTGAGAGGTTTTTATGGGGTGAATAGAATTTAGAAAATAAGAAATACAAAAATAAAGAGAAATGAAAGTGAAATATTTGGCAAACAGCTTATTGGGGTTTGCTCTGAAAGTATTAATATACCAAGAAAATATGAAGTGAAAGAATGGTAAAAAAAATGTATAATTTAAAGGTAGATGGCAGGAGGAAGCAAGACAGACCATGAAGAATCATAAACAGTGATGTGTGTCTATGAGCAGGAGCAAGGCATTAAGTTGTTTTGGAGGCTGGGTGTGTTTTTGATGGGTGGCACTGACTTGTGTGAACCAGACAGATACATAGAACAATGATGTGGAAGGGGAATACCTAAGTAAAAAAAACATATCTAATAACAATAAGAATGAACAAATGACAGTAAATGAATGAAGAGTCTGTATGAGAATGATTCTGACCACATTGTGTTATGACAAGAAAAGAAAAATTGCAACAGTATTACCATGTTTCAACCAAAAAAAAAAAAATAAAGCAAAATTTATTACAAAAACTAGCAGACTTAACTTGTTAAAGTAATCATGGCATTGAAAGATTTCACACCTAGTGGAAAAAAATTGCACATAATTCTATACAAACCTAAAACTCTTAATAAAGATAGCTACTGTATCTGATGGTTACATGAACTGCAAACCCAAGTGTGCTGAACAGACAGCCAAGAGTACAAACCAATAAGCTACCTCTACCTAACCCTCACTAGTATCTTAGTTCTGGATAACAATAAATCGTTTTCAATCAATGAATGGAAACAACTTACCCAGTGTGGCCTGCACCTCCTTGACAGACACAAGTGATGGACGGATGTATGGCTGACTGGAGTAAGAGTTGACAAGGCTAGTTGTTGTACTGAGTGTTATGCCTGTTGCAGTGGTGGGAGTTACACCACCTGTTAGTGGCGTAATTGTGGTTGGTAATGTGCCCGTGGTTGGCAGAGATGGAAGAAGTTGCACCATTTTTTCCATGTTTATAGTTCCTTCATTAACTGCTGTACTGCACATCCCTGTGAGGTGAGAATAAAATAATACATACTAGAGAACCAACACAAGATATATCTCTCCACAACAACCCTTTAATAGATTTTAACTACACGTAGTAAGTTTTTAGTAATAAACAGTGTGCTATTTTTTACATTAAATTTTTAACTGCCTGCTAATGAAACTGTAATGTGAGTTTGGTACCTTATATGTACGTAGGTGAGATGGGGGGTCACGAAACAGGAATGCATGGAGATAATGTAAAGCTGGGAAAAATATATGCTTGGTTCCATCCTGCTGTAGAACTGGATAAAATAAATTGAATATAGAAGAACATAATACCTGAAGGGGACAGCAGTATTGTTGTGTTGGGCTTGCCACTACTACTAGTAGGAAGCATGCTTCCAGGTGTGAAAAAAGCAGCATAGTTCACTGCTCCCAAGGAAGATGTTACTCCTGATGCTGTGCTGTTCTCCAAAAGATTTACAGGCATGATACTCTCTCCTGGTTTGGTCAATGATATTGATAAAGAAGCTTTAAGAGAATCTGAGTCACCATTTTCAGGCCGACTGGAATCAGCAGCCACAGCCTCCTGTAAAATAAGTATATTACCATACTGTACACCCTAATGTTGCGTATATCCTCATAACCTGTATAGATGTGTTTAATATATTTCAATACACACTTGTGTTTAGTATATCATTATAAATTCATCCTGGTGTTTAATATATTACCACTCACCCTTGTCTTTGGTATAATACAATACACCCATCCTTGTGTTTAGTATATAATTGTTTACCCTTGTTTTTAGTACATTCTAATACAATCTTCTGTACAGCCAGCACTACACTCTACTGCCTGTCACTTTCACAACTCTAGAGTCAGGTACCCAATCTGCAGTTGGGTTGACAAGTGAAGCTACACTCTGTAGCCATCTGCTGCAACCTATTAACTATCCACAAATATGTCACAATATTGGGGGGGGGGGCAGAGTTAGCTCAAAAAGGCAAAAAAGAACTAAAAAATATAAGTTTTGTTTCTTTTTTTATCATCCGGGGCGAGATGCAAATTGTCAAGTTGCTCTTGGAATTTGATAAGATGCCAACAAGTGTGTACTGGCAAACAAGATGAAAACAAGCTCTAATAGACCTCTTGCCCCTAGAGGGTAACTTTTATCCTCAATTTTCCACTCTGGAACCTGACAGGCACGAAGGGGAGGAATGTATGATCATCAGAAAAGACCCTAGCTGCCATTTTTTTACAGGGGGGAGGGGGCACCTGGCAGAGAGCATCATGTAAGAAAACCTGAAAGTGATCCACCATTAAGAACTTGGATATTCTGATTGGAGGGAAAGGAGGACCAAATAAATTATATTTCTGAAGGAATTTTGGACGAAACCAATACGATTTCATGGCTGACTTCAGGAATCTACCCAGAAAATTTGTAGGGGGTAGCTCATAGTGTTTATCAGTCAACAAACATAGCAATAAATACAATTCACAGGCCAAGCTTTGAAAATTTTCACATACTGTACACACATGGAAAAGTCAAAAAATTAAAGAAACACGAGATAAAATGGAAAATCTCGAACACAAAATTACAATATGGTTCTCAATATATTAAAATAATAATATACTTACCACCATGCATTCCATCTCCTCAAAGTCCTCCATTTCATCTTTAATGTAACAGTCGCCATTCACCAGTATCATCCCAGTGCCTCTGACTTCTTTATCATTCTTCTCCATTTGGTTTATTGGTCTCTTTTCATTTTCTTTGTCACTGCTGCAGAGCAGAAAAAGTTGATATTATAGTACAAACCAAAAAATTGTAAAGCACATTATGGAATTTACGTATGTGACATTTTATTGGTCCACTCAGTTGTCTATGACAAGACCTTTTCATGTTTTGTACATAAGTAATTTTTGGCAATTTATAGATCATGTTAGTTTTGACACTGCTTGCAACCACTTCATAAACTTGTCCTCGGTTTGGCCACAGCCAGACCTAAGTATTCCAAGGGTGCTTATTTCCTTTCAAAAGAAGTTTTAGTATAAAAAAATAAGACAACTAATTTGAATTTGTGAAAAAACATTGTTTCAGATCCGGACTTTTCCATCTGCACCCATATCTGACTCACAAACCAGTGATGTTTTCTCATAAGCTGTAACATACTGAAATGTTTCAGATATCATCAGCTAACAGGCACATAATAAACAATTAAATAATCTAAACACATTGCAAGGTTTTTCTTGTACTGTACTGCACAGTACTGGTAAAAACTTAAATTAACTGTGATGTACAGTCTTCCAGAATAATCTTAGTTTGAGAGTAAATGAATTGACACAAGGATTAGATGGCCACATATATATGAAGCATTTACTACAAAATGTCAGAGGGTGATAGGGACATTAAAATTCAGAAATAGAAACACTTTTTAAAAAATACAGCAGACAAAGATTTTTTAATAAAATTTAAGGAAAAAACTTAAGTTCTGTTAGAAGAAAGAAACAAAAGGAAAAAGTGAGAAAAGGGGTCAAGACAGATTAATGATTCTGATCAAAGAATAATGAGTTATATATTATGCATAGATGGTGAGTATTCATGAATAACTATTATACTACCGTATATAAATTCAAATATATTGGTTCAATGATAGACAAGTGTGACAATGGTAAAACTTGAATGAAAAATATTTGGATACACTTGCTGAATGAGAAAAACTTTCGTGTAATGCATAAAAAGTCCGAATGAAGAAATGGTTGATCCACTCCAATTACACGACATGAAAATACAACTTCAGAATTAAAGAGAAGTAAAAAATAAATAAAAGTCTTATATAGTAATAAAGGAATTAAGAGCTATAGGGTAAAGAATGAAGATATGATAAGTAGGTGAGGAACAATAATGAAATCCTCCTATAGATGTAACAAGACTTTGCTGTCCACTTTGCTACACCAATTTATTAACAATTTTACCTCTTGATTACCTTAGAGAAATAAAATAATAATACTACTCCTCCAAAAAATTAAATTTATGAAATGACTACACTGGCTCAATGATGGCACATAATGTAGACAATACAGTACTGTACTAACACACAAGCATAATTCTGTGGAACAATGGATTATAATAACAAAGTATCCTAGTACTTTCAAGATAAATCAAGGTTAATTATTATACTCTCTGTGTGAATGAAGAGTAGCATGTATACTGTTTATGTATAAAAACTTTATATTCTCACCTGGTGTCACTGATGGGAGTGGCAGGAACAGGTGTGGCTGCATGGACTTCTTGTATTTGGGATGTACAATTGGTAACTGGAACAGAAGCAACAACACTTCTCGAGGAAGACAAAGATCCTCTGCTCTCCAATAATGATTCTTCCTCTGCTTCTCTTTTACTGCAATTTCCTTGTTGTGTTTCAGATAATTCAAGGCATTGTCTCTTGGCTGGGGGAGCATCACTATCATATGAAGAATCACCCTCACTTTCCACTTCCTTTTTCTTGGATTTCTGGATTTCAGATACCTTCATGTCTCTATCATCATCCTCCTCTTCTTCCTCCTCCCCAAAGTCCTCCTCATCACTGTCATCATCTCCAGCAACCTAATAACATAATTTCTTAATTGCAAAGCAGACACAAACTAATACAATACAGTCTATAGGTAATGTGGTTCTACTCCATCAGCTCTATTCCCCCCCCCCCTGAGATTCCCATGTAAGCAACAGTCAGGGGCACTATCACCTTTGGGGAATGACAGTCATGAAGTTTTTATGGTTAAGTATAAAACTGTGTAAAAACCCATCAGCAAAATGAATATGAACGAAATACAAGAATACTATACCTGGGTGCTGGCTAGTGCAGAAGTGACATGTGTGAGACCAGTGACATTGAGGTTTGAGGCAGCATTCAGGAGATTAGGAAGTTGATCCTCCTCCACCACCACCTCACCACAGTACATAAAGTGTAACAGAGCCACTACTTCCCTCCATCCCAATCCATCTAATATAATAATAGGGTGGTCACACGGATGGTCCTGTAATAAAATGTTCATAATTTATTAATGAGCGATTATTCAGTTTTTCTTATCAAATTACATTACATTATACATCATGGGTTTAATAACACACATCTCGGCAACACCTACCGTATATACTCATGTATAAACCGATCTCATACACAGTTCAACCCATGGTTTTGGGTAAAAAAAGCCTGGGTGTTTCATATACAATACAGTACTTCTTTTATAATTCGACCCAAGCGATTGAGAAATACTAAGTATAATCCTAGATATATTTTGTAGCAAGACACCAGATTCACACCAATACATCTTGGTCATGACCACCACCACAACAGCTGGCCAGTTACCAACTTCTATTTATTAATCTCACTAGATTTACCCTTAAAAGTAGCTTTAACTGTACACTGTAACATCAAAACTTGAAGGCATATAAACAGTAATTATGAAAGCTGCAATCAAGGAAACAGTTGTTCAAACTCAACGTAAGTTTTAATTTGTTAAAAAGTGATTTGAAGTAATGGAATTGGTGTTGCTGTGACAAAAAGTGGTGTCCTAAGGAAATTTTTGGTATACATTTTAGGACTGCAGTCCCAAACCCTGTATTTCCCATTGAAATGATTGAATGGAGAAGAAAAACTACAGAACACTGAGGATTAAAAAAATACAAAATCTTATATTCTTCATGCCAATTGCATCAAGGCCAATAACACTCTAGTGTACAGGTATGTATGCATTTTGTACCATACTATTCGTACCTTTAGAACCTTCCTGAAGTATGCACTGCACGCTGAAAGCACCAATTTATGAGCCCGGATGGTTCGCCCTTCACAAGCCACAGTCACATCCAGGAAGTCTTCATCATAGCGCAGTGATTCTAAGGCTGACGTCACCGAGTCACTATAGTTATGCCACCGCAGCCAACACCTCCGTGGCTCCCCCATCCTATGAACAATAACAAAATACTGTAACAATGTTACCGGAGCATTTTTATAGTTAACATGTGAAACAGTACAGGTTGCACCTCTCTAGTCCGGCATTCTGTGGTCCGTAACGATTTTAGTTTGCCCAATAGCCAATATCCCTGATGTAACTCAAATGTAATTTGAGTTACGGTACCATCACTTCACTTTGAAAGCAGAATTATGGTAGCATTAAAGGTAAATGAAATAATAATTTAACAGTATTACTTTTTCTTATTTATTTATTTCCTATCTTATGTTTTTATGCTTTATGTAGGGTGTTTCGAGGGTGAATTTCCATGGTGGAAATTTCCATTGTCCGGCACCGGTCAGGTCCCAAGGTTGCCGGACTAGAGAGGTACAACCTGTATCACATTAGTTATCAAAAAAATTAAGTAAAATACAAAAACAAACAAACTGTGAACATGTAACTGAAACACAGCAAATAGTACTGTATGTGTATAAGACCCAATAATTAAGAGACAAATCATGGAATTGTAACATTAAGAGAATTTTTAGATAAATTAAGTAAGTAATCTCTCCGATAGCTGGAATCTTCAATCCCTAGAACTTTCCAATAGCCGGATCTTTTTATTTTTTATTTTTATTTTATTTCTTTTTTGGGGGGGGGAGGGGACATTCCAAGAAATTTCAGGAAAAATTTCCTCCATTCTGGGCATAGGAACAACTTTCCGAGGAGTAGCAAAACTCATTGTGACCTCACACCTGAACCCTAGTCAAAAAATTTTGCTTAGACAAACTGTCTTCTCAATGACCTCACCTGACTTACCTTAATAAGTTATTCCATTTCAGCTTGATGTTTCCCATTTAAACAAAGATTTAATGTTTGTCTTTATTTTGCAATTTCAAAGCAGTTGTAAATAAATTCTGTGTATTCCTTCAATAACATTAATATATTGACCTTAAAAAAAGAGGTTTCAGCAATTTACCTTTTAATTAAAAAACACTACAGTGAATCTAAGCTACAACACACAAATCTTTAAATAAACAAATTTATACACCAATACAGGATATGAGACTTTTTCCTACATGCATGATAAAATTTTTGTGGTATAAGTGCCAATTTTGCTGGATAAAATAAGGGTTAATGTTCATCTTTCACCCATTCCTCTTCTAGTGTTTCCCACTTAACTTAAATATGTTATATTTTTAATTATTAATTGATATTTGAGTAATGTTTCTCGTGCAAATGTTTAGTTTTTAACATCTTTAACCTCAAACATTAGGTTAGGTCAGATAGTGTCTTCCGTTGTCGGAGCGTTGTCATATGTTCTGTCTGTTTACAACAGACCAACTTGGTCCGAGTGTACTCTCACATCCACAAAACACGTAAAAATAAGCCATGAAGTTTTAACAAAGTTGCTTTCATTGGTACCAGATATCAAAATAGGTACTTTCTGTTTAAAATGGCAGGGGGTCCAGCCACCTTGGTTAGGTAAGGTTAGGTCGATTTTCTAGAAAAAAAAAGGGTCATTTTCACAGGAAATGAAGGTCATGTTTGACTAAAATACACCAGAAAGACATTTGTCACAGCAATAGAGGGGAATGGACAAAAAACGAAAAATTACCTAAATAGGTTACTATAACACTTGACTGAGCTACACAGCATCAAATATAAGTACCTGTACTGTGCTGTACTTAGCTCTAAAACTAAGAATTTTGAATCCATTCACTCAAAAGTCCTCCAACTCAAATAGTCCTCCACTTATAACGACATGAATTCAAGATAAATCATCAATGGTAGATGGTTGTTGGTGAGCAATTCTGGGAATGGAAAGACACTCTTCAGGTCTGAAACACTGTCCAGGACAAAATTACTAAACTAATAATAAAAATAATGCAGTAAATCCTTATTATTTCTTGGCACTGTATTTATTAATTTAAGAAACAAGTTATAATAGTTTAGACAACACTGTTGAAAAGTTAAGCTGCCAGTTTTTTACGCGTACAGAAAAGAAGCATTAAGATCTTCGAGATGTTAGTCTTTTAGCGCTCACATAAACAGCTGATAATGGCATTGCACTGAGGTGTTGGGTCCACTAAGTTTCATCTTCATGATGAAAAAGTTGGAGAAACAGAAGTAGAGAAGTTGTAATTCCTTAAAACTTTGATATTGAAAATATAAGAAACAAGTTTTCTCCTATATATTTTTTTGCTAAAGTACTCATACTAACATAGACTGTTGTAAACTATGACTCAGATTCCTTGGTATAATCTTAGTTAAATCATCACACTGGTTGTCATTGTAATCCTACAATGTTATGTTCGTGATGAACCTGTGGAATTGTATGAAGGTTCTACATAATATCTAGCAGCATTACAGAGGCAATTTGACCATAAACCTCACTTGTAAGGATCTAAGATGAGTAATAATTAAGGCAGTTGAAATCCTGCAGTGTAGACAAAACCAAGACAGTATTGTGTTGTGCCTCGACACTGCCGTGGTCTCCACACACACACCCACATATACCTTCTATCTCTCTCTTACCTGGCATTTACCTCTTAATTTCTCGAGCCAGAATAGTAAAAGATCCCATCCAGCAGGAGTGTATGTAGTTACTTGAGGCACACACAGTCACATAACTCACTATTACAACGTTTTTCTGGGCAAGTTGTGAGCCACTGCTTCCTCCCCACCACAGCTCCTCGAATTGTTTACATGGTCGCTGTTTATTTACCCTCAGTTGAGAGTGTTCCCGCCTCTGCCTCTTCACTTATAGTAGTAACATAAGGCCGCATGTATCAGAAGACTCCACGAAGAGGTAAAAACATATGAATTAAGGTGTCACAAACCTGCCACAAAGTGTTTGACCTCGCCTGACCTATCCCCAAGGTAAATAAGCAGGAAAAACACCTCGCGCCACCCTGTGTTCCCCAAAATTCATAATGTGAACCTTAAGTCTACGAAAAACTTTAAGATAAATAAATATACTCTCAGCATAAACGATATAAAGGACTCTTATATATATGCGTGGTCCTCTATTTTATAATAATCTACATCGTTTTTTAGTTTGTTAATCACTTGATATATTATTAACTTTTTTTCAGTACTGGAACGTAACTCGCAAAGAGGAAACTAATTTTGAGGGGGTTCACTCTTAAGCTGCGAGACTGAGGGTGGCCCCAGAAATTTGTAAAGAGGGTTTTATCTGTTTGAAACGATACGTTGTTGGACCACCAGAAAATGTGAAGAGTTGTCAAATATAAGAGGGCTGTTAGGAGACCAGTGTCCTCGACTTCATGATAGACCTGCCAACACGCTCATACTTTGTTGAAATTATTTAAAAGCCTTTTAATTGAAAACTGATATAGGCATTTTACAATAATATGTTTTAGGTACCAAAATAATATGTTTTAGGTACCCAAAATGAAAATGTTTTTTAAATCAACTGTCGTAATAGTTTCATACTCACTGTACATGATTGAGTTGCTGCCAACATCTTTCAAACAGATACCACATGGCCATTTTCCACTTTTCACCACGAGACCCTCACCCACACCACTAATCGGTACTTTTCTTTTTGCTATATTCACTCTAGTTTGTAAATATAAAGTACACAGTGATGTTTGAAGACTGGTCATGGTGAAGCGGACCAAAATTTGCCTCGGACCAGAAGTAGCCAAAACGATGGATGATTTCACAGCATACCAGGAGTTGCAGTCCACTAGATAACTTCTGGTCTTCGTGTAGGCGGACCAAAAAGTTCCCCGTACCGAAAGTTACAATTCTGCTCTCGTGAGCATCCACAGAAGGGGGGGAGGGGCAAGGGGGTTTATTATTCATCATATTACCCTGTAGTGGATTCCTCCCCTACAACTGCCGTTGTCGCTGAGTAGCCGACCCTCTTCGAATTCCCCAGCCTGCGCCTCGTGGTCTAGGTCGGCAATCAGCGCCGCCTAACATAGTGGAAGTCAACTATCAAGTCACGCCTACCCCTGCTATATAAGACCTCACGTGGCCGTGACCTCCCTCTCTTTCTTCCTACAGCCACCAGCAAGCAACACCTCCTCCGCTCCTGCCTGGTGGCCCTCACTCCCGTCGGCGACTATGGCGCCCTACAAGCTGCCTGTCGTCCTCTGAGCACCCTCACCAACCAGCTCTCTTTACACCACGCTTGGACTCACGCTGCCACCCCCCATCACCAAGCTGCATTGTACATCCAATATAATATGTATACAGAGAGCACATTATGAGTTTCCTTTCTCCATCCCATCCTGAGTGTGAACCAATATCTCATAACCCCACAAATGGTGACTCCCGGAGAATCGCACTCACACAAGATGGAGGAGAAACTGATCACGCTCCCAGTCTTCAATCACAACATTGAAGACTGGCTTATCCACACGGAGGCAGCGCTCATCGGCTCTACAGCTACAGTCTCTACACTGCAGGTTGGACACCCTAGAGCAGCTCTGCTCCTCTAAGCATGCAGCTGCTCCTTTTCCTGCCCCAAGCACCACGTCCTACCGACCCCAACACACCCGTCCTACCTCAGACGCCGCCCCCGGCCCAGCAGCACCCCCAACAAACTACACCTGCACCAGTCTACCCGCAGTTACCACTTCGCTCACAACATTTCTGGGCACCCTCTTTTCCACCTCAGGTACCCCCTGCTCCTGTCATGGACCCTGCTGCTGTCTTGCACCCTGCTGCTGTCTTGCACCCTGCTGCTGTCATGCACCCTGCTGCTGTCATGGTACCTCTTCCTGACGCGGCCCCTGCTCCAGACACGGACCCACACACCCCAGCAGGCGCTACTGAGGACTCTGTACCTGCCGTGAGAGAAGCACCACATTCCTTGCCTCTACAACCCTCCCTCTCCCTCTCTTCTCCCACAGATCTCGTGTATCTAGACAAAGTGTCTCCCATAGCGGCCGGCTCATCCACGCCCTCGCCGTTATGCCTCACATGTGGGAGACAACCCTGCCGACAACAAGTCTCCTACACCACCTGGAGGGAAGGGGGAGTATTGTAGTGGATTCCTCCCCTACAAACGCCGTTTGTCGCTGAGTAGCCGACTCTCTTCGAATTCCCCAGCCTGCGCCTCGTGGTCAAGGTCGGCAACCAGCGCTGCCTAACAAGGCGGAGGTCAACTATCAACCCACGCCTACTCCCGCTATATAAGACCTCATCCCGCTGTGACCGATCGCCCAAGCGGCTAACGAGCTGATCAATTGGTGAAGAGGATATAAGAAAAAGAAAAGCAACAGACGTGACCGATCGCCCAAGAGGCTAACGAGCCGATCAGTGGTGAAGAGGATAGAGGTAAAAAGTAAAAGTATTAGAATAGCATCTGAAAGCAGAGCACTTTTCGTTCATATAAGGAACAATAATCATCCCATAGATTGGGAAAAGAGTTTAGAAGTGTACAAATCAACATGTGTCACAATTGGGTACGAGTTCTCCTGTATAATTGGGTAACTGCAGTCCTCATCAGTAAAATAAAATTAATATAATATATAATCAGGTTTAAATGTAAAAATGTTTCAAACATGCCACCTCAGGATATTTAAATTACGGTTACTAAATAAAAGGAAATGACAATCGAAACATATAATGAAACATTTTAAATGATCTTTAAAAGAAAACACAATACTGTATACTGGATAGCTTCAAACTCATCATTAATGCAAATTACCTGGATAGCTTAAAACATATGTTGGATGGATATATGAGCAATAGGGGTTGGGTGTAAATGTATTAAATAAATTAATAGGGTTTACATAATCTTTCACTTCTTCTTTTACACCCTTCCAGTAATACCACTAGGTAATTTTTTCATTTGTGCTATTGATACCGCTGTGCCCAGCAGATGGTGCAGCACTGCAGTTCAAAAGAATACTCTGCCTTTCTTCTTCTGAAGTTATAATTCTCTCCCATAATCCTGAGTTTGGTTCTCAAATTTGCTAAGTGATACACTAACCATCAATTCTGTACTGATTAATGCTCGTAGTCTTCACCACTGACTTCTTTTCATGATAGTTACTGCCTGGCCGATGGGTGTTATTTTTTAGGTCGTACTTAACATACTCCATGTACTCAGAAAACTTTTTAAAGTTCTCACTCTGCATTTCCTACCCTGTCAGAGTCGCCATATCCACTTATCTATCACCACAGCACAACTGGTCACTTCTTGTCTGACGCAGGGTGAGGCTGGGTCATGTCACTGTTTGTGAATGTGATGTCACCAACCGCACATGCGCAGTTATCGTTTTGGCTACTGGTCCACTACAATGGGAATATTGGTATACACAAGGGGCAATCTTAATGACGTTTAGGCTAAGTAAACAAACCAACCCTAACCCTTAAATAAAAAAAAAAACACTATATCTCTGTCCCCATTTACAATAAATATTTGTATAAATCATCCAGCACACTCCACCCAGCATACATCATCCAGCACACTCCACCCAGCATACATCATCCAGCACACTCCACCCAGCATACATCATCCAGCACACTCCATCCAGCATACATCATCCAGCACACTCCACCCAGCATACATCATCCAGCATACTCCACCCAGCATACATTGTCCAATAGAATTAGTGGTGGCGGTGTTAACCCTTCATGTACAGAGTCCTCTCTGTGCTGAATAAGATTGTCTGGCATTAGCCAAATAAAATATTATCCTATTAATTATGGAACCTTTTTGTTGTTTCACAGTTTTGTAGACAACTAGACGAATAGCATTTTTTTCACAACACACCACTGACTCCCATTCTACATCCAAACCATGAGAATATATAGCCATGTCTTAGGGAGTAGTGAGCTTTGTAAATCACAACCCACCAGTGGAACATGGAATCATAAGTATCTTTGACAACCTTTGAGCAGTACGATACACCTATTCCCAAAAAGGAATTGATGCCATATTCATACATACCCTGTACTGCTGCTTCTTATATTCTCTTCCTTTACACCCACATAACATCAGTCTATGTACATCCCTTGTTTTCAGTGAACAGACCACTCTCTTTTTTAATTTCCAATACCTCATTCATCTTCAATTAAAAATTATCATTTCAATCTTTTCTTTGATATCCTCTCTTTTCTCATCTGTAAATTAAATTTGTCAAAAATATTCTATGTACATAATGTTTCTCATAAACTGCTCTTTATTTCATTTTAACCAAGCTGCTCCTTTCTCTTTATGCCACTTACTCTTCATAAATACATGCTCTATTGATTTTATGCCCGTGTAATTTTTCATTATCGTTCATTCCACTGTAATTTGCATTCTCTCTCTCTCACGTGTGTGTGTTTTTTCCCACCATTCTGAAAGTATTGGGTTCTGCTGTGCCAGATTAGAAAACCAAGTGTTGATACCTTCTGCCTTGGCTGTGACAGTGGCAGCCTTTGTTGCTGTCACAGCCAGGGCAAAGGTTATTGATGCCGAGTTTTCTAATCTGGCACAGCAGTCCTTAACACTCTCAGACTGGTAGGAAAAAACTTCCCTCAGCAGAAAAGCCAGTGAGCATCTCTGGACATTCTGTGACAGCCTGACAGGGCAGCAAGGTTGTGGAACCTGTTCACTGCCACCACAGATGTCTCCCTATTGTCTACTCCGTAGACTAAGGTGGTGGCACATTGATGGAAGGCAAGACATCCTACTTCCTGCCATTTTTGTACATTTAAAATATTATCAAATGTACAGTATTTAGGCTAGGTTTTGAAATAAATTATTTTCAACGAAATACCTTTTAAAAATTGTTATCGAATAACATTAACATCATTTTTAAATGCTTAAACAAAAATGAACAGCAAATACTTTTAAAGAGAGAGAATCAATCCCTACAGTTTAATACTGTATTATTGTCTATTCTTTAATACAGTACAGGTATATAATTTCTGATTATACGGTTCATGTAATGAAGACCACTGTCATGACACAACCATACAAGGAAGCTTCTTACTGTACTGGCTATCATCCATTTCTTTATTTCTCTCCAACTGTTACACAATTCAGCGATATTTTCCAACGGTTATCAGGAAAACATCACGGCTACAAACAAATCCATTTATACCCTTGGAAGATGTTGTTTATGTCTAGATTTTATTACCCTTTAACAGCATAATGCTGCGTGTAAAACTTTTAGTATTACTGTACTTGTATCATATAAATTAGTTTTGCTATCATATTTTATACAGTACAGTACTATACATTTAAATAAACATTACACACTCCTTTTGTAATATTCTTCATATGTTCAGTTCTAAATTTTGTGTATAATGCAAATAATTTACACCAAATATACTGTATTTTATTTCATTCATATCTACATATACATTTAAGTACATACAGTACAAATATATACATATACTCTATATGTCACCTGTGTGCTCCTGGTCATTAATTATTAACATGAATGGGCACTAAAACAAAAACTTTATACTATAATGTGACTGGTGCTTCAAATTGTAAAGTGACACAATTAACACAAGAGTGCAGAAGGATTTTACCCACTGAAAACCTTTGATAGAGAACCCTTGGTGTTTTTTCTTCCCACACAAAGCTAAGTTTTAAGGTAACTGAGGGTTTTACCATGATGAACAAAACAATCATATCATGCACTCCAATAAAACAGGTGACATTCAGAAAATAAATCAACATTTATTACTGTGCATTCTTCATCTGATCTTCTTTAAGTACCTCGTCTTCTGTAACATGCCAGGGTAGTGCTGGATGAGACCAGGTTGTTCTGTGAACATCCCTTTCACTAATAACAGAGGCTTCTTTGGGACAAATCCCTCCTACAGTTAATGCAGATAAGAATAATCGAACCTGAAATATCATATAGGGAATATTGATAAAATTGCCACGAAAGACTGATTTTAACATACAGTATATAAAATTTGATAAAAAAAAACTCAAACAGTAAACATATCCATCTAGAAAATGTGAACTGCTTTAAGAAATCTCAATGTCCTAAATATTTATGCAAAGAAGGATCACAATAAGCTGCCTTTACATTGGCAGAGGTCAACCAAAAGGGAGGTACTACCGCCTGGGAAGATATTGGAAGCATAATGTATTGTCTAATGGTAGACCCTGCTGCCATATGGCATCACAAAAATTGTGACCAAGTCCCAGGTTGCTGATCTGACTTTCTGCCTCATTTCCACACAATTGTAGGGTTTCAATTGTTTCTCTTACCATTGACAACACAACATACATATATTGTTTCTCACTTTTGATCTTTTATTTTTTTTCTTTATGGTTCTTTATTATTATTATTAGTATTGTTATTATTATTATCATTATTAATTTATTACTGTATTTTATTTTCAATTTTTTATTTTGCATTAAATTTTTTATTTTATATGAATTATTATTATTATTATATTACATTTTTGCCCCCCAGGCCTTGATGTGTGTCAGTGACCTGTGCCTGGGTGGGCTAATCCCCATAAAAAAAAAGAAAAAAGTCCACCCTGGAAACAGTCAAACAGTCACCTACTGTAAATCTGCATATATACTGTAGTTCCTAATATTTTTTTTAATAATCTTCATCCCCACTTAAAATATAGCAACAAAACATGTTATCTTCCCATATTCATCATGAACCATATAAACATAACTTTACTCATAATTCTACTACTCTGACAAATATATTTTCTCAGTAACTTACCTTTTCCGAGGATTCTTTGGATTTTTCAAGATCAGTGTACACCTCAGTAATCCCAGACTCTAAACATCTTTGAGCCAAGATACGTCCAATATTCTCTATAGCGATGACATCTGTGGTGGAGTAGAGCTGCTGTTTGATGGCCCACTCACGTGTTGAGGCAGAGACAACAGTGGTGCCTGTGTAGTGCACAACCTGACCCGTAATGTGCCGTTGACTTTGCTCCAAAACCAACCTAAAACAAGAAGTTTATTACTACAGTATTTATATCTAGTTTATGTCAGTAAACTTACTAACAACTTAGCTATGAGTCAAAGATGGAGCACTGTGTCACACACATATACGTGCACTCGCACATGCACTAATATTATCATTATTGTTTGGGCCATTTTCCACACTTGCATGAGTTAGCTGTAATAACCTGATGGCATGGTGTCCCAGTTACCACCCAACATTATTTTTAGGAGTTCCAAGTGTCCTTTTAGTTGGCAAAGCCAAGTCACAACTCTGACATATTTATAGATTACCTGCCTATGTCAATAACAAATAAAAAGTACTGTATACATATAGTTTACGGTGCAATTTCGGCTTTTTTGTTTTTTAAATGCAACAAGATATATACAGGCATAAATAAATTTACACATGGTAAATCCCCTTGTGAACATGTGACTCTTCTTAGAAAATGGCACAGGTGACTAAGCAAGAATAGACAATAAAAGTACAATAAATTAATTAGCTGGCTAAGCATACCAAAAATCCACACCAGTTATGATTGAGAGTGTTGGGAAATTAACAGAGCAGGTAAGTGTGGAGAAAGATTTTAGGAAATACAGGGATCAAAATTGCAATTATGTTTGGTCTCAGTAGCTTCTGCACCCTAACCCTTCATTCACCACAGACCCGTCTGAATAAAGTCATTACCAGTCCCACATGAACTTCAACATCCTCATTCAATTTCCAAATTTGTACCTGTATACCCTCCCTTTTATCTAAATTGAGCATCATTTCAAGTCCACAAGTTCCCAGCCCTTTGACACTATTCAAATAGGCTTAACCTGCAGTAAACAATACAAGAGCAATAGAGTGAGTGTTTACTGAAAAATTCCTATTAAAATTGAAATTTTTATATCTCATGTACAGTATTAAATCATATAGGCATATTGGAGTGAGGTAATAAATAATAGAGGTGAGAAGTTGCTAGCAGCCAGTAAAGGTACTGTTAGGGTGTGATGGAAATGGAGTACTGTAACTACGTTCTAAGAGGATGGTCAACAATTTTGTTCCATGGGAGACTCCGAGGTAATGCGGAACCTAAGATGCAGATATAGATACAGTACAGTAAAAATATTACTTTACAGAAACAATAATAAGAAACATCACAAAACAACAGTTCATACAACTAAAACCAATGGTACAGGTGTACCGTAGGGTCAAGACCTATTGCCCCCCTTGGCCAATGTTCGGTCCATTCCCCAAGTCCCTCTCCCCGACCCATCCTCACCACCGGGATATCAACATAATCATAAGTGACAATTTCGTTTCGGAAAGAAGTGGGACCAGTGTTGAACAGTAATGAACAGTATTTAAGCCAGTGAATTCAGCACTAGACAGTACCAGTGAGAACCGTGACCCACCAGCGAGATAAGCACCCCTAGGAACTGACTGCCATCTTCTGACAAGGAGGTGCTAATCAGTCTACCCTGGGAACAACAGTGGGTCGGCTTCACACTTGACTTCGAAATAACACAACACCACCCAGTAGAGTGGGGTACTGTGACACCACCCCTCATCATCCGGTGTCCCCATGACCACGTGAGGTCCTTCTTATCAACACCCAAGGACGAGTTACTGTACCACGTGAACACCACACCACCCAGTGTCCCCATGACTACGTGAGGTCTGTCATATTAACACCCGAGGACGAGTTACTACACCACGTGAACACCACACCACCGGGTGTGTCCACGAACCAGTCCAGGCCGGGGCCATCAACTGTAAACTATAATAATTTGTATGTTCAATTCATGTTCCTACTTCTTTCAGTAATGAAAGCTTTTGTTAAACGAACCCGGTTTCATGACAAAACCCCAACGGACAAAACCCCAACGGGGTTGTCATTTATCAACACTAATCTAACCTAACCTAAAAGTGTTTTATTTTATATTTTATATATGAGACTGGGGTTTTATCCGTTGGGGTTTTATCCGGTCACCAAACGACCCACCCACCCCATGTCTTTGTATGCAATAAGTCATTTTTGTTCAATGTATATTTTCAGCCTTCGGGCTGCCGACTTTTTCAATAAACCATTAATTATTATTATTATTATTATTATTATAATGGTTACACTCTTACATACTTGTACCAATATTTAGGCGTTGAAGCTTCAAGATGCCATCCTTGTGGTTTGCGAGCAAGCCGCAACATCTCCATATTTCGTGGATTGCGATTGACAAAATTTGGATTAACACTGTCATTTTCGTCACACGTCCTATTGTGGGCATTTCGAGCGAGAGGCAGTCCGGAACATGAACCTGAAAAACATTAAATACAGTATTTACATCAGTTTAATGATACAGTAGTACTGTAAAGTACTGTGGAAATAAATTCTGAATGCCAATCTTTAGTAGCAAATGGATAACACTTATGACAATAAGCATGAAAGGTATGGAATCTCGAATTCAATAATGTACAGTACAGTACTACTGGAATTAGAAATACGTGGAGAAGGATGACTCTGGCAATTTTTTTTTAAGGATTTCTAATTTTCATAAATTTGCAATTTGTAATTACTGTATATCCTCCATGTGAAGTACACTCGATCGCTTTCACTTCACTAAGTATTTTTAAACCATTGTTTCCCTCTTCTTTCACGCCCTGTCCATTAACAAGTACAGTAATTTATGATCAAAGGATAGGCTAAAAATGATAAAAAAAAAATACTACAATGTTGCCATTTCGATTTTATTACTCGGTACCATCCATAGAACAATTGTGTAAAAAGTAATTATTGACGACTGACCCCGAGGTCGATTTTTCATAGAAAATGATTATAAAAATGCTGCAATTTCACTGTTTTATAGTGCACACTGTCATAGTTTGTGCAAATGTGTTAAAAAGTGGTTACCAGTGTATTTCTAAATTAAACATAACCTAACCTTAGTTGATATGAAAAACAAGCAGTAGAAGCATCGTTAGAAGACCTCACCATCCTAAGCAAACAAACTTACCTAACCTTACCTAACTTCCTGAGCTCCCCGGACTCTAGGGTATATTAAACAGAAAAAAATAACTTTTATATAGTGAAATTTTAAGCTTTTTGTGGACGTGAGAGCAGCCGCCCGTACCGAATGGTTCATAAGCATACACCGAGCATCAGAGTTGATCCAGCCCGGGCGACGGAGTGTTTTGAAATATGTCAATGTGATTGGCTATTTACACCCTGGGTTGAGACATCACCACCGCATTACCATCGAGAAGACAAAGTAGTGTGCGCCAAGGCACCTAATTATCTACCAAATGAAGCAATTGCACACGAAATGATTATCATAACAGTACTCACTGATGAAAACAGAGTAAGAAATTAAACACCAAAACAAGTAAGTCGTTTGCAAGTCATTCGTCAATATAAACTAATTTGTCTAAGCAATTGATTGCATAAATAAAATTCAGGTAATTTTTTACTTTAGGACATGAGTCCCTAGCAGTTGACCAATATGTTTTTCCAGTGTCTTTTGATGTGTTTTAACCGAAGCTGACATTTATTTTTGGTGGAAATTGCTGCCCCCAGACCCCCGGTAGGCCTAGCTTAAACTAACCTAAATGTTACAGTAGTTAATAAAATTTTGGAAGGACCAGGGATACGTAAGAATTGGATAGAATAATCGTCTTTCTCGTAAAACTCGGCAATAAACTTAAAATAATCGTAGAAGCACAAACGACAACCAATCTCCACCACGTCCATTGTGAAAATGGGCAATGAAATTGAAATCATACCCAGGATGCTTCCTTTGAAAAAAATAAAATGTGATTGGTCGAAAAAAATTTGCGTGATATCGATACCTCAATGGTCACAACTGGATGACGTCAGTCAACATTGCACATGCATGATGTGCCAATAACATCACCTCATAGACGAAGTCTGAAAACTACTTAAAATCGATTGAATTCAATTGTATCGCTATTATCCATTACCACCATGTACATATGGGATTCAAAATGCTCAGAATAGCGAGATCTAAATGCTTCAGTAGTTTATAACTTTCGGGGGCGCTATGTCCGCAAATAAAATAATACCCAAATTCTCAAGATTTGGTTGGTGGCAACAAGTAAAAATTACCAAATTACTACCTGAAGATTATCAAGTAATCCATTGACCTAAACTAACAAATATACTATACCTGTTACTGTAGGTTATTCTCTCCCTTAGAGTTAACTCAAGTTTACAAAACAGACATATCAGAAGTAGACATAGTGACATTAGCAGACATTGTGTTCGAAATAGGTAGTTATCACAGATTTACATGCTGCATTGGGGGGCTGTGCATGAAAACTAACATATTCTAATGTGTATAAAAAACAAACGTAGTTTACAATAACATTTTTGCTATTGCTAGACGATATAAAAAGAATTTACCTAATGATCGAGCCAACACTGGCAGTAATGGCCGGACAATAGACATAATTCCTTCTTAATTGAACACTTTATTATATTCCTCACCACCAAACCGGGTAATAAACAAACAGATGTTAGAAAACTACTACGGACAGAAAATGCCAATGCATTTAATTTGGAATGGTAGTTGTCAACTAAACCTATTGTATATAACTTATATTATTAAGTAGAATTTTACATTTTTTTTTTACTGTAGCAATGTAAGTTTGTTTACTTTCAAGACATTGTAAATAGTTTATGATCGTGTTCGTGGTACATTTTTAACATGTAATGACTATCAACAACAACACCAGACAACGACCCGAGGTAAACAAAGTGTATTATGTCAACCCTTGTCCAGGAGGCCGAGCTGTGTTGTAGTGGAAGAAAACGGTAGTAAGGGAGAACTTGTATATTATCCCTGGTAAGACCATCCCACTGTATTAGAAGATATTCTTGCCATATCTCCTGATTTTCTCATCCCCTAGCACACTATCTTTCAGTTAGCCACTAGATCTTCTCATGTAATCATTATTTTTATGATATTCCTTTTCTTATTATTAAAAATGTATTATTAATAATCCTCTTCTTCCTCTCTTTATTATTTATACTCTCATGATTTTGCTGCCAGTATCAGTGTAAAAGCAATTAAGTATTCCAAGGCATATGGGTTAGCGGGGGGTAGAAAGAATACAATATTTAAATAAAATAGTTAAAGAGAATAATAAAAATTATTAATGGTTATAATTATCATCAGTCTCTCCCCAAGCTATTACAGTAAATCGATGAATACAAGTAGTATATATGTGTAGAGGTTTTAAATTTATCAATATGGCCACTAGATATATTACAGATGACTAGGCTATACAACAGTTTCAAGCAACAAATAAGTACTTGTCTCTACACACTTGGGTTGCCACTCCACACACGGTTTGCCAGCTGATCGTTAGACTTTAGGGAATTTAAATTTAAACGCCAATGGCTCTCAATTGCCATACCTGCTGTTGCACCCTATATATCTGCTGCATGCACGAATTTTCAACTCGAAGTGGGTTGACTTGGTATAAGTAGACTTCACAGACAAACACCACAAGTAGTTGATAGAATTGGACGAAACTTTATGGAGACATTATTTACCACCAGCTTATTTCACCAGAAGATTAGGGATCGCACCTTATTTCACCTGTTAGGCACCCCAGGTCATTTCACTTGATTAATTTGGTGGCATGATCTTGAAATGTGTTGTGTATCACTGTTTTAGAGGATATTTGTCTCCACACATTCTACTCGACAAATATGCAATTTTATTCAGTGAAATAATTTGGTGCAAGGATTTAATAATTAAAATTTACTTTTCAGTGACGATGAGAGAACAGCTCTAGATTTGTTGATGAGAAGATGGAGCCTATGAGAGATCAGTGTGCATATTACTACACCAAACAGCAAATTGATAACCTTCTTGTCAGGTACATTATATGGGATGGTACATTTGTTTGGAGCATTCTTGATTGTGCGCTGTTGCCATATCGTCAAAATATGTTATCATTGTATTGAATCTTTTTACTTTCAATAGCAGTGTTTAAGTGCATATATTTTAAGTGATATTAGTTATGGTAAACTGAATTTCATTGTTATTTGACTAAATTTTTAATGCTAATCTTTGACTAAATGCAACAGCATACAAACGGGCATCACCATTTTTCATCTGGACAGGTGAGATGAAAATAGTTTATCTCACCTGTGTCAATGAGCAGCAGATGTTCCCCAATTCACACACAACATCCACTAAACAGGCTCGGGTAAAATTTTAGTTTCGGTCATCCACCTAGCTGTAACCTAACCTAACCAAGCCACAGAACCCAGAAAGTATATCTAACCTAATCAGGGGGGGGGGCTCTGCCCCTCAACCCCCCCCCAGATTCCAATGTTAAATTCCTTAGAGTCCCCAGATGACCAAAACTAAAATAATACTGTACCCTGGCCAGTATGACATTATTAATAGCTATATGACATCAGAGACTACCATCAGAATGGACTAGTGTGAACAGGGCTTAACTCCTTGCACAGTTCTCTGCTTTGCAATTCCTGAATTTCAATCTCGGAACATAAAACTAACAGCTTTTCACATTGCTTCTTGATATATATGTTTGTGTTATCAACACCGTTTTCCTTATATTATGCACTGACTCTCTCTTATCTGTTTACTGTTGAATTTTAGCTTTCTGCCTAATGGTGAGAATAAAATCCCTCTTCTTCTCAGCACTGTTACTTGCTGGATGCCATTACAGGACAGTATAAGAGCAGAATGAGAACATAAATCACAAAAATAAGTGAGAAAACATGGAGCCAATTACTTCAAATTAAATGTTACAAACATTGACAAAAGGGTGATGGCAGTGCAATGAAAACAGTGGCAATTTTAAGAAACTTGTGTGTCATTTTGGCTGGTACTGTAATTTAAATACACGGGCATTCAAATTTTGGATGCTTTTGTATTTTCAAACCAGATATTATGTACTGTATGAGATTTTTATTTACAGGGTATCTTTACAACAACTGACAGGGACACAACTAGTTGATGTATCACCAAGAGTGGTGGAGGATACATCAGGGGTCAAGAAGGAGGAGCTAGCCCTAGCCTCTCGGTCTGTTCTTTCTGTACATTCCCATGATACTTCTGTCTCACACACTCAGCAACAAGTCATCAAGTGGCAGCAAAAAATATTAAGGTGAATTAATTGTTCTCCATAGTACAGTATTGTCAATTTTGGAGGGAAAATTCTATTTGATATTTTATCTCTGTTATTCCAGAATGTGAGTGATTACTTTCTGCACAATAAGGAAGAATTTGTTTTTGGTATTCGTGGGTCTATTTACAGGTACAGTATATGTAGGTAGCAAAAGCTTTTTATTTTTCCTGGAAAATACAGGACTTTGAGAATCAAGATCAAATACACACATGTACACTCACGCGCCATAGTTTCGATGCACCCTCTACCACTAGTCCTGGCTCGAGGGAAGTCGTAGTCAGGGCTACAAACCGAACGGTCCCTCTTGTATAGTAATGTTAAGTATAGTAATGGCAAATAAAGTGCGGTGAAGTCACTAAAATACCTGTATCGTGCATATATTCTCTCAAATATTACATCATGAACTGCTATTCGTATAATCCAGCGAAGCTTTGAGCTACCACATTGCAACACTGAACGATGGGTGGGGGGAAGTGAGAGTGGAGGACGTTCGGTATGAAGCCAAGGCTACAACTTCCATCGAGTCAGGAGTAGAGGTAGAGGGTGCATTGAAACTATGGTGCGTGAGTGTACATGCTGTAACAGAAATGTGCTGCTATGGTCCTTCCCTTCCACAAGATTTTTAGTGTTCATTAAAGCAGTTTTGGAACAGGTAATAGGTATTTCTTGGCCTCTGGAACCAAACTAATTATTTCCATTTAAATCAGTTAAACTATAATTTACGATGTCTTCTGGCACCTAACGTGTGAATTATAGACACCATTGTCTAGAAAAGTATACTGTATAGCAGAAAATAATATCTATCACTGTCACTAATAAATCACTTCAGAAACATACATATGAACAGTACTATTATACAGTATTTAAATAATGGAATGAAATTAATCTGACAGCCCGTGTGAGACAGTGGAATATGGACGTCCCATTTATGCAAATGATCAGAAGTACAAGACTCGTCATGAACAAGCCATCAAACTAAAGAAACTTAAACAATGGAAACGGCGTATTTTTACTTACATTCAACAAGATAATTTTCATTGGCAGGTAAGGAGTCTTTCTAGTAAAGTGGAGTCGCAATAATTTGTGAAATACAAATTCACGTTCCTAAATTCGCGAGTACCTCTATTACTACCTCTTAACGTTTACAGTCATTTATCATAATTCATGGCCAGCTGCCGCATTATTTTTTTTTACATAAAAAAACATAAAAGTTGTGGAAATATCATTTCAATGCTCTATTATGACTTAGAAATAGAGTATAAAAAATATAACATAAAACTACAGCCTCAGAGTTAGATGAGACTTACAATTCTCAGATTCCTTGCTAATAAGACATGTCTGGCTTTGCCAGATTTCCTAGTTTGGGCATAATGAATGATCCTATTGACACATGACTTATGCTTCCCCCTTGTTATTAGCTGTGGAACTCATCAGTTACTGACTTAGGGGTGTAAACCATAATAATTGAAAGATTGTAGGAAAAAACATCTTTTATGGCAAAAGCTGAAATGAATAAAGGGAATCCATCCCTTTCCCAAGGGTTGGATTTAGAGCAGCATGGTATGGAGATAGGAGTGGCAAAGTTCATGATTATGGCTGAGGGGTTTTGTTTACGTAATAATCACTGAATAATCATTGAATATCTTCGATAGTTATACAGGCAACCAACTTGCCAAAAGATGCCTAAAATGGCTCCGGGCATAACTGGGTGAAGAGCTGCACAAACAGAAAATATGTTGTTCACTTAAAAAATGTATCCTACTTTTGAACTACTGTGCCCCATGGCAGTAGCAGGCTCTGCCATGTGGTGTTGAGTTTACAGGGCTTTCATGGATCATTCATCATGGCCCTCAACCATAAATTGGGAGTTCATGTTTCAGTTCCTCATTTATAATTAGTTAGTAAGAGAGCACTTGAAGAACTTTTCAGGTAAGTGTTCTGAACATTCTAATTCTTTTATTATTTATAATTATAAAGGGTACATAATAAGTAGACTTGATGAATGTTTTTCATGACAGAACCAGGATGCAGTTACTTTCTCCAAAAGGCAAGAAACAGATGGTTGGCTGAGACAAAGAAAGAACACCTCAAGCAGGAGGTAAGTAGGACAGGTTGCTACATCACCACTCACATCACAATGTAATACTCAAAAAGTGGTTTCTAGGAATGTTTTTATAGATAGTTAATAAAACATGCCCTTTTAGTGAGGGTTAAATGGCTAAATTTTCAGCCAGATTGGAATACTGGGTTTCCTCCTTATTCACCAGCCTTTGCAGTCAGTAACAAAATTGATAAATACTGTATTGGGTGCACTTGCTGGTGGTTGAACAACTCCATTATGAACTAGCATCCTGCCTAAGGAAATCTAACCTAGCCTTCCATTACCTAATTTAGTTAAGCTTGGTTATGTTATGATAGTAAATGATACCATAAATGAAACAAATTTGACCATACAATACATAAACTACAGTAGTTTTCATTAAATTATACAGAAGTGACCAGTGATTAAATAAACACACTGGGTAAAGGTAACTTACTATGGAATTATGGCTTATATCTTAATATGTTTCAACAGTATCACTTTCTTTTTGCACCTATACAGGGGGAGAGGGTTAGGCACATAATTAAACTGCCATGTAAGGGTCAAAGGAGGATGGAATTAGTGCATTCAAAAACCATCCCAGCTTTTTTTCCCCCTTTACAGAAAAAGCGATAAAGACAACAATTCGAGCATAAGTGAGGGAAACAAAGAAGTGGATAAAACAACAGCAAAGGGTACAGGGGTAATACAGTCTCTCGAGCAACAATATTTTTATATCATGGCAGACTTGGCTCCATCTGAATGGTAAGATTACTGTATATTATCCCTTCCTTATTGTATCACTGACAGGGAGTAACCTGTAGTTAAGATTGTAATATTTCTATCACAAATGCTTAGTAATTATAATAAAAGTTTCTCTATTTTCTCCTCACCCATCTTTAAAAGCAACCACACTTATCAGGGGGACCTATTTTCCTCGCCTCCATAATTTTTCCCGTGGCCACACTAACATACCCTTCGCATTGATTTTCCTTTTTTTTTTAGCTACCTCTGTTTTCCACTGTGATTTATTATACACAAGCTTCTGGGACCTCTCACGGCTCTCACCAACACTACTTCTGTCCATTGAACTCATTATTCAGTACCGGTAACTGTAATAATGAGACCACTATAATAACCCAATTTAGAAAAAGAATCCTACTGGAAATAATCATCTGATGGCTTTGTTGAATTGCCTTACTGTTTACTATTGTATACCTGCACTGTCTAGGTACACCATTCACCTGTGTTGTCTGTTCACAAACTGATCTGTATGCCTGCGTTGTCTATACACATGCCGTACCAATTGTAAACTTCAATGACACTATCACAAAATAAATATTATTATTATTACTGTATTATTATTTATTTATTTATTCGTTCATGCTTTTTTATCATCAGTTTTGCCACTTATTAGATTACTAGCTCTTTGGACACTTAACTTTAATGGAATATGGTCATTAGAATATACTGTATAATTATAGAAATAAAAAACATTATTCAGCAGTTGATTAATTCCTTACTCCGTGACTGAATGCTTCATATGTGCATACAGTAATTGTTTGAACCAAAGTGTTTCTTGGCAGCCTGGGAGAGAGCAAAGCCCACGAAGTAGTGCTATGTAAGATCTGCTATGATTTACAAGGTCAGCTGGCAGTTACTCCAGACTTCACTATGCCTACTACCAAAGCCTATAGGTAAGAAATTGTTATTAATTGATATTTATATTTTGAGAAGAGGCTAGTGTGGAAAAGTTTATTGTGTACTGTATTGTGTATGCCTTTGTCATCATCAGGGAATCTCTTGTTAAAGAGTGTAAATACATTTCTTGTATCTCATCTAGAAGACTTAATTCATGCATGACATACAGTACAAAAAATCCCAGTGTAATGAAAGGCTTGGTCTGCTCTGGGAATTGTTGTATGCTGATGACTTGGTGCTGATAGTAGATAGTATTAAAGAGGCAATGAAGAAATTTAAGATGATAGAAAGGTGGAAAGGAATCAAATGGCTTGAGAGTGAATTGGACAAAAACAAGAGTATTGATTTGTGATGTGAGTGAGGAACTCATGGTGGAAAGTGGAAAATGGGCATGTGCTGTCTGTAAGAAAGCTGTTGGCAGGAACTCAGACTGCAGAATGTTGCTGACTATAAAGTATTCTCTATGCACAGGTTAATCTGGCAGGAGAAACTCATCTGGTTGGCAAACATAGGATATGCTACATACTTATGATGTATGTCACTGATGATCACTTGTATGTACATTAAATGCCATATCAGTTAGTATTTTGTTCTTGTCATGAAAGTCACAAATAATGCTTCAGTATGGCACTTGAACCAGAGTTAGACAGTGAGTACATAGTACAGAAGTTACATGGAAAACTGCTTAATGCAACAGAAAATATGGCATGGCAATTTAAACTGTAATACTGTATATGCTGTAAAATTTTTTGGTTATAAAAAATAAAATACATGACCTGTATTTTTTAACCTTTCATATAATTGTTAATTAAGAGACTGAGTAATTTTGAGTGAATAATAAATAGACAATTGTATATATTTACAGACTAGAAAGTTTTGGGTCTGACAATGCCCTGTATGAGTACACAATTGAGAATACGTCTCTCACTCGTTCTGCAGAAGAGAAGCATCAAGATGACCAGCTCGTAAAACAGGTCAGTCAACAGAATTAATATTAGATTATGTAAAACCATCATAATCATATAAATGCTTACTTTTGAAATACACTACATTCATGTGCAGTTGGATATAAAACTGCATGAAAATTTTAAGATGTACAGTAATAATAATAATAAAGAATAGATTAGGTTCCTGGAAAACCATTTGTTAAGTGAATTTTCCTATCTCAAATAACAGAACAAATGGGAAAAATAGGGTTCCATTTCCCAGCAACAAGAAAACCCCAATATCATACCTACCCCAAAATTATGAAATCGGTTATGCTCATTGAGTGAGAATACGTCAGCCGATCTCTCCAAGGTGGCCGCCTCAGCTGACACTCAGGGGCGCACAGTTTGAATTTATGCTGGGACCCAAATTCGTATAAGCGGGGAAGCTCTAATTAAATGAAAAAAGAGGTGTTGATCTAGAAAATTGACTTAAGCCAAATTTTGTATCTTGAACATTCATTAACCAAGGGATACCTGTAATAATAATTATAATACAATAATAATAATCATACGTACAGTATATGCTGTATCTGTAATGTTAACGACATAGTAATAATAATGATAGTTGTGTAGGTGTATTGTATGTACAGTACTGTACTGTATTATGGGCATGTAGTGTTGGAATAATAAGAAAATAACATTTGCATTTGTCTAAGATTATTCTGTATATTTACTATGTATAGTCACAGCCAAGAGTAATCATCCATCCCTCCTACTACTACACCCTTGAGCTCAAGGCTTTTCTACACTATGGGTAACGAGAGGGAGGGGGAAGCATTGATAGAGGAGAGATGGGGGTGACAGACATGGGTAGGGTGGGAGGGCACAAGTCATGGGCCACATAATGTAGTGAGGTTGTACAGTATGTGATCTTAGAATTTTGTCCTAACACCTGATGAAGGTGTAAAGGATATTTCGGTTGGTAAATGTAGCTTGATGTTGATGGGATTTAATATATGAAAATGCAGCGCATACCACCCTCATCCCCGACAAACGGCCCTCCCACAAGTTTACCATTCCCCCTCACCACCACATGTGACTTGCCGCCCAGAAAGGATCTGGCCAGGCACAGGGTTAGGTGGTGGAGTGGATGATTACTTTTGACTGTGACTGTACAGCTCTCTTTTATTATATTTTTTTCTTCTGTTTAGATAGTACACCAGCAGTTGGAGGAAATACAACAAATAGTTGGGTTGGATTGGGATGGACAGAAACGTGGAGAAGGAGAGCTGCGTTTACTGGTTGTGGGAGAGATCACTCGTGCTCTACATTTCTCTGAAGCTTCCTCCCTCTATGTACATTATGTCTTACATCTTCCCCCTGGCAAGTTTTAAGATTTATCATTCCATTTTATTTGTTAATTTCATTATATTTCTAATGAAGTCACGGTAGAATTCATGTAAATAAGTTACTCTGAGTTGGGAACAGGTGAGAATTCAAGTTAACTGAATCTTCATAACTGATGTCTTTACCTGCATGTGTCTAGTTGTTATGTTTCTGCTAATAATCATTTTTACTTGATAACTTTCTATCCTTAGTTCTGGGAAGCTATTGGAGAAGAATAATGTCTGTTGTTATTTTTGGGTAAAGAATCTGTACTGCAGAAATTTATTTCTAGTTTTAATAGCTCCTGATTTACAGAGTTTGCTAGCTGCATGATTGAGCCATTTATCACCATGTCTTTGATATAACAGCAGGGTTCTTCTAAATCAGAGAGAGGTAGTCCACATTGTAGGAGGGAAAAGCAGAACAATACACTATGGAAAGACTTAGGGAGAGGATAAAGGAATAAAAGATTTCAAAGGATATATATAGTGACAGGGTAACACAATTCTTATTTTGATAATGAGAATATGACAGTACAGGAGGTCCTGGGTTACATACATCCGACTTGCGAACATCCACCAAAACAAACGATGTCCCATAAAGTTAAACTTTAAATTTACAGTATTTTATTTACCTGAAGACTTATTTTTTTAACTTTCATTTAGTGTAATTTGTCATTCTATTTCTTTTCTCTTAAATTAAGTGATTTTAAATGTAACGTAAAGGACTTAAGCTATGATATACAGTAGTGGGATTTTAAATATTGTTCTGTAAGTATGGTATGTGCATAGGTTATATGTTTCGACTTGTGTACATTTTCGACTTGAGAACGTTCCCAGGAACAGAACGTGTTCATAACCCCGGGACCTGCCTGTGCTGCCCTCAGTCCTCAATATTTCTTAATTCCCATTATACAAGGAAGTCTGTGCTGTAATTCTTTCCAGGTTGGAGAGCAAACCCCGGCACAGAATGTGAAGGGTTTACTCCATCTTGTAATGTTGGTTATGTGGATGGCACCCATACTGCACACTACTCTACCCCATTCTCTCTTGATGTTACCAGATCCAAATCAGGTAAGATTAATATGTATTTATTTTTTATTAAATATGACCATTAACCCTTTCACCGCGTGTCACGCACTTGCCATTTTATTCTGGTTACTGCCAGACGATTTTATTCAGCTTAGGGTAACCTCCCGCTGTGAAAGGGGCAAGATATAGAATTTCACTAATGAGAAATTTCATTGGCAAATTTCATTGGCAGGCTGATGATGAATATTTCATCATTCCAAAAATGCGATTTTTGCTTACTATTTCTCCAATTTTGTGGTATTAACTGTGAATATGGTAAAGAAGAATATCTCCAAGAAGCGTTCTGTTGATCGCATTCCCAGTGATGATCGTAAAAGAAAGGCCATAACACTTGAAGAGAAGCTCGATGTTATCAACCTCAAAATCACCCTTCTCCCCCATCAAGTTATATTCATATTTCTTCACGGTAAAGTGTTACATTTACTGTATGATTTCATTATTAGATATGAATGTAACATTTATTTAGACTGTGCTAACCTTTGTTAGGCTAACTACTAAATTTTTTTCGATTTTGAGTAATAATCTGCACCTAACCCTATTTTCTCCATAAGCCCTGTTATTTCTATTACGCAAATTTCTATAACACGATGTTTTACAAGAACACAACTATCGCATTATAGCAGAACTGACTGTACTCGGATATTTTTATGCATTTCTAACTTCACTTCTAGATAGATACAGATATAGTCTTGATTGGGTAACAAAAACAGCTATAATATGGATATGATGCATAAATGAAAAAGAATTCTCATTTTTTTCTTTTGAGGCGGAGGCTGGCCACTACTTTTGCTTGCTGTGTTTTCGGTAGACTGGTTAGGTCAAGACCGGGATGAAGGCTATGCTGCATTTCCATTGGTATCTCCAGGTAAGTTTTTTGAAAAGTTTTATTTAAATTTTTTTATTGAAACTTTATGTTATAAGCATTCTAGCAGTGTTTTCGTTTTCTTAAATTGTCTCAAGTTTTAATAACTGTAGGAAGAATTATTCTGTTAACAAATTTAACCTTAGATGTGTTGACTACTGTATTTTGTAAATATGTTTCTAGTTGCCAGTCTTGTAGACTGTGAAGTTAATGAATGTATGACCAAATTTTTCAATTAATCCTTTATACCTGTATATATTTTTGGTTTCAGAAAATGTAACAGATGATCCTAGGCATTGTAAGGATATGGGAAGTAATGTTCATGCTGTGAATACTTGGCGTCCAGCTCAGCTGTCTCCATTGTCACTAATGCGAAGGTTCTTTATTGGAGGGTGTCAGCTTATGGTTGACTCCTCTTACCTCGCTATTGGCAGTAATTCTAAGGTAAGTACGATTAGTACGTATGTGTTTTTATGGCATGTGGGCCACTAGTGAGTAACTTAAACATTTTAAGCACCATGAATCCTTCACGATAAAACCCTCTTTTTCACAAAGTAATTTTCTGTCACAAAAACATCATTCTTGCATATTCAGTATTGCAATTGTTGTTTAAATAAATCCTTTTTCAGACATAAAAGAATCATAGAAAGATATCCATGGTGCATCCTAACTTGGAGTGAAATTTACATATTGGAAGGATGATAATTGTTTCTACTAACATAAACTTTTATACAGTAGACAGAAACAATACGTGGCAAAACAATCAAACCTTAACACAGATTTTCAAGATCTCTTCTCCAACCACCAGTGGTGCTAGCATCTACAGAACCCATCCAGCACACATGCATGCTCTGTGAGCAGTCCTCTTCTTCACTTGACATGACTTTACCACTACCTAATGATGACTCAGATAACCCTACACCACAATCTCCTAACACAACCATGTTGCTTTCTGCGCTTGGCCAATGCCAAGTGAGTACTGTATACTGTACTCACTTATAATGTTCATTCACTAAAATTTACAGTAGGTATTACATTATACAGTATTAATATAAATATGGAACTCTTTCTTTGTTTATACTAAATTCACTTATACTGCTTCAGCCTTTCTAGGAACAACCCTTAGTATGAATGTAGAACAATGACATTAGGTTTCATGTAATATTTTTTTTCTTTACAATATTTTTTTTTTCCAAGCAGGGTCGAGTAAGTCGCTTAGGATTCAGTACTGTGAGTAGTGGCAGCCTCGAACTGAGAACAAACACCTTGATTCAGGTGGAGTCATTGGAGACAGGTATGCATATAAATTATGTTGTTTTACTTGAATACTGATTTAAGTTCATTAGATCCTTTACAAAGAAAAACTCATCTTTAATTTAGACCAAAAGTTTTTTAGGGAGAATGAGAGGTCTCAGTGGGCAATTGCTGGTTAAACCATGATTTTGACCAAAGGCAAAGAGTCAACTACCGGTAAGTTAAGTGTGGATTTAACCCCTGGGCTTTGGGCTATGGTCGGTATACCCCCCACACAGGTATATTCTGGAGCATTAAAAAAACGAATAAAAAACAATTCTAGTCTTACAAACTGGCCATGCATGATATAAACAGGAAATAAATGTCCTTACCACTGGTTGGCAACAAGGGCTAGGAAGAATGGAGGATGTTTATGAAGTGGCATGCTGATGCAGTAGTAACGAGGTAAACAACACTAATGTGTAGGCAGTATGAGGTACATGACACTTGTTTTACTATTTACACTATTAACAATCATTATTACTGCTCCAGTAATTGATCACAATATACTAGACTTGTGCTTGAGGGTTGGGGAGGTAGAAACACACGGTGAAGTGAGTCATTTCCAAGGATGAGATACCTCCATCACAAAAGTTGAGAAGGGACTGGGAGGCTCTCATGTGTGAGTGAGATAAAGATACATACCTATTTGGCAACATAATCTAGCCAGGCCTGCCCTTTTTATTCAAATAGGCCCGCGAAAGTTCAAAACGTCATGTGACGTGACCCTAAGCCTTGGGGTTAATGTTGACAAACTTCCGATATAATGAGGCTCCTTTGTACTCCAACAAACACACACACACACACACAGAATGCTAGGGAAGTGGACAGCTTGACATAAAGATACTGAGTATAAGTCTCGGTCATAACCGAACAAATTATCTCACTGTTGAAGCTGTCCTACATTTCCCACGCTTACCTGATCTGATCCAACTGTAACCAACCCAGATTTCACTCCAATCACCTCCGTCATTCATCCTCCTCATCCTAGGATGGGGAAGTTGAGGAGTTGACTTTGAGGAGACATTTCAGTCAACAAACTAAACAACACATCATCACAGATTTATAACCATTTTCATTACAGTAATTGCATGGATTAGCCTTGGCAAAAACATATGGAACAAAATTACTGAAATCGATGACTGAAGATGTGAAATGGATGTTAGAATATGAAATATAGCCAACTTTGGATTAAAGTATGTTTCAAGACGATTTTTGTTTACACATTTAAAAAGTTGCAAAATGCTGTTTTGCTTGACCTCTTGGTTGAGTATTCAAGAGGTTATTACCAAAGTGCTGGTCATACCTAGAATAGATTTGTATTAATTTATTTTGCCATAAAATTTACATCTAGAAATTAAGTGGCCTGATTTTCAAATTTCAGATTTGACTGTGCAAATGGAAAATTCATCTAGCTGGCAGCTGTCCACTCTTGCAGTGATTGATGCATTTAATAAATCAAGGCAAAAACTCAGAGCAGCCAAGCAAGGTCTTTTGTGAATTATAGAAGGTTAATATTTTATACAACTGCACATAATAATATTTATGAATATGCATATAATACAGGTATCCCCCAATTTACGATGAGGTCACGTTCCTGAAAACCCCCATCGCAAATCAAAGGATTGTAAATTGGGATCATTATAACAGGGGTTCAATGGAATACAGTACCTTCCCAGCCAGTCCAACATCTACACATGTCAACGAAAAAAGAATTCTACACTAATAAAATAACACAGCTTTCCTGAGTGCCTTGGCCTTCTCAGACACAGGAGCCTTCAGCAAAGCAAGTTTGGTTGGATGATGGCCATCATTCGTGCAAATTTTTTTTTATCGTAAATAGGTAGGTGGTCTTAAAACATCACCATCGTTGAAGCGAAATATCGCAAATCGGGGTATTCCTGTACGTCTTTAAAACTTATACACCCTGGTAATTGCATGAATGCTTGCTGATGTGTGAGGTCTTCCATAACTTTGAGACAGCTTGTATGTGTGTGTTTGTGTGTATGTTCAACACAAACAAAAAATAATAAAGCCTTGCTAGTTTAACAAGATTTGTGACAGGGCTATTTAAATACCATATCAACTATACTGAGTACATAATGTGGTTGAATCCCCTTACAAACATCTTAAATTATTTATTTGACTTTGGTATTTTTCCTGATGTATGGAAACAAGGTACCATAATGTCCTTACCTAAGATACAGTACTCACATCAACTGAGCTTCTTGGTGACCTTAGCCTGAACTTTGGTAAAAGATTAGAAGGAATTGTAACAAGGTGGGTTTTGAAGATATTGCATCAGAGCTTGATTGAGAGCTGCAATATGGCAGTGTGAGAGGATAGTCAGCACTACAACTGAGGGCCTTAGAATCACAAGGCTGCAAGTGCCATTTTTTAAAAAGTAAGAAACAAGCCCCTAAAGTTTTTTGTGTTACTCCACAACCAATAAAGATATCGAGGTGGGGTTTGTTTTATTTTGAAGATTTTTGTTTAAAAGTTTTGTGTACGAGTGTCATGCAACGCAGCACATGTGCTCATGCCGTCGAAAGTACATGCTTGGTGTTTAATGTGTTAAATAGGTATTTTTGTTTTGTTTTTAGTACAGGTTGTACCTCTCTAGTCCGGCAACCTCGGGACCTGACCAGTGCCGGACCATGGAAATTCACCCTTTTCCTGGATAGATAGTGACTTGTGCTTATGCTTGGAAGCACTAGCACCACTTTCTCTGCATCATGGTCTCTTTGAAGACATATGGAAGGGTTAAATGTCATATACAGTAGTAGCTTCTCAAATTTCGCGAGTTTTTAATTCTTAACGTATTTTATTGGAACACAAAAAAATAAATAATAAAAATTTGGACGGCGGAAACTTGAATTTCGACGGGTTTGAACGGCCCGCCAACGTGCAGACGACGTGCATAATCGTGTAAACAGCGTCATTTCTCTTATGTACAAAAGATTCATTATTGTTTATTACTGAATGTCTTTTTTATTGAATTAATGTTTATGTGTGCAAAATGAGCAATACAATTCATTAATAATACGTAGAATATTAAAACACACGAGGAAATGACACAGCATTGTTTTCGTTGATTACAAAGCCAGTGACTGACTGGTTCTACTTATAAAACTGAAGAAAATAAGACCTTGGTTGTAGCTGTAGTAAAATTAATATGGTTGTTTTAAGTAATGTTATTTAATGTTAATAAATGGAACAATAGAAGTAGCTAACAATAATGGTAAAGAAAAAAGAGAGATCGCGTATGTAAGTGCGCATGCGCACACGTGAAAACATATCGTCATTACTTTACATAAGAATATGAAAGCAACACTTATTTACTGTTCATATATATTTTAATTAATGTTTCTGAATTTGTTTTTATTGAATTAATGTACGTGTGTGCAAAATTAACAATACAATTTATTAATAATACGTGGAATATTAGAGGAGACGAGACGGCTGCCGGCATTGTTTATGTTAAAGCTTACAAAACCAGTGACTGATTGGTTCTACATATAAAACTGAAGAAAATAAGACCCTGAGTTTAGCTGTAGTAAAATTAATGTAAAAAATGAATATGGTTGCTTGAAGTACCTGTAATGTTATTTAATGTTAATAAATGGAACAATATAAGTAGCTAACCATTAATGGTAAAAAAAAAAGTGAGACTGCTCGTATGTAAGTGCGCACATGTGAAAATATATCGTCATTACTCTACATAAGAATATGAAAGCAACACTTATTTACTGCTCATATATATTGAAGGGTTAAATGTTGTACTCTGTATAGACAAGCAGAGAGAGAGAGAGAGAGAGCAGCCGAACTGCCGGATGTAAACAAACCTTAATTTCCCGCGGCTTTTTTTTTTTAAGGGGATTAGCCCACCCGGGCATAGGTCACTGACCCACATTGGGTCCTGAGGGGCAAAAATTTATACTCCTGTAATAATAATTCAGATAAGTAAAAAAAAAGAAAAAAAAAACTGCCTATCTACCTATTGGACAAACTAAAATCGTTCCGGACCACAGAATGCCGGACTAGAGAGGTACAACCTGTATTATATAATAATAAAGGAAACAAGTGAAAATATACTATTATATGGTACAGTACTTACCCTGACAATGGCGTGGCAGGCCCCGAAGTTGTGCTGGCTGTTAAATGCAGGGCGTTTCATGACACCATCACCTGATGCGACCTGGGTCACATCGCACCACGCACATCAATATTTTTGTTTTTAGGGGAGGGGAGGTGCAATGGAGGAACCCCTCCCCTACATGTCGAATCCTCCTTGCAGCAGGGTCTTTTTCTATTTTATGTTTTTTCCAATATTCATGGCATCAACACTAATAATTTTCATTATAATAATCCTGAATACTTTTTATTTTCCATGCAAATTTTTATACTTTTTACCCCCTACACTCCTCTATTTACGCTTCAGCAGTGGTGCAGAGTGGTTGCCATGGAGAACTCCAGGATGCTATAGCCCCAGAGCCCACAGGCTACCACCCGACTTTTGTCAAGAGGTACTAGGCCATAGAACTACTCGACGTAATCAATGATGTGGTCATCTTCGTCCACCTCAACATCAGAAGAATGTTTGCCTACCATTGACTGCTGTTACCTGAATATCTGATGGAAGTACTCTTTCTTGCTTTCTGGAGCAATTTAGTGCACCAATTCCTGCAGGGTCCTTGAGCTTTTCTGGGGCCAAAGCGATGGGCCCAGTGTACCTGGGTGGAAATGGCACAGCACTAAGGTTGAACATCTTGCAGGAGTAGCCCTTCTGTCCTGGCATCAGACGAACCCGGGATGCAGGATTATTGTCAGCGTAGCCCTGTTGCACTGCAAATCCTTCCTTGTATGCAACATTGAAGAGCAGTATCCTGGCATTTGAGAAGTCCTCTTGATGAAGTATGTCTGCATCACTCCAAAGTCCAGGAAGTCACTCTGTTCCATCTCCATCACCTTGAAACCCTCGATCTTTACATCTTTTATCAAACCAACATAGTCTGCCTTGGTTACTATATTGGGATGCTTTCACAGCTTAAATTCCCAAACTGACGGTCACATGGCATGTACAGTATGAATGTCCTGGTACAAGAAAAGTGTGGTGGATGGTGAAGAAGGGGGTTTTCATGCAAGAGACAAAGGCACAGCAGCATGAAGTTAATGTTTTTATTTTGTCCGGCATAATTGTCAGAAAAAAGCACCAACTGTTTCATTTTGAGCGTCATGGTTGTCCCTAATGCACTTGAGAACACAACTTTTGCCACTTCTACACCTCCGTTCTTTGCTGTGACCTCATCCCACACATACATCGTGGATTTCTTTGTCTTCATGTTGTAGATACAGAAGTTGTATGTCCACATTTGTAAAACGCCACACTTGAGGACTCAGGGGTAGGCAGCATCTGTTGAAGATCAAAACAGAGTGCCAGGACATCTGGATTATTAAATCGACTAGTGCTGTAGGTTGTCAGGAAGTCCTGTCCTTTTTTGGCAAGGGCATCGTGATCCTTCAGCGCTCCTTCCAGCTCGGCAATGTGGGTCTCCTTGCCTGCTTCTTCTTGGTAGGTAGAAGATCGCATTTGCTACATGTGTCCACCCTAACAGGTGCGAAGCATATGTTAAACTCACTATTAAACACATTTCTATAATAACTGAGCTTCACTTTCTCCTCAGTGGGAGGACACTTTAGGCAGCAACCGTATGCGCTCACGAACACACTCTGCCGTCAGCTCTTTGAGCTTGCTGCCAGGTTCATGCAAACAACTTTTGTCAGGTATCCTGCCAGTGAGCGTAAATTTCTTTATAACGATTCGCATCCTCTTCTTCCCAATGTGGAAGATTAAGAGAAACCCATTCTTACACACTGGAAGGTCGTCACCTTTGTACAGCACAATCTGAGAATGGGCTGGTGGAGCGTCATCGTCTTGCGGCGTCGTTTCACAGGCACGGAATACATGAGCGACTGCAGGTATGCTGTTTGCTTATCATGGGATGCCAGGGCTCAAGATTTCTTGAACACCTCCTGTGTGTCTGGCATCGTTATCTTGTCAAAACACCCATCTCAGCACAGGGGCCCTATTTTCCTCTTGGGCATAAGTTTTCCATTTGTTTCTACCCACATAGGCTTTCCCTGAGTCACGTGCATGCTTGGATTTAACTTGCTTCCATGTGTCCACTTTACACACTCATTTCGAACCCAATGATGGGCCTGGTTCGTCAATAACACTCTCCTCACTACCACTAGACACTGACGAATGATCACTATCAGCCATGATGTACTTTATGCACTAACACTGTCTTAAATGGTAAATAAATCCAAGCGATCACTCTTCCACAACTTGAAAGTAGCCGGGGAATGTGAAGATTGAGTAACAACAAAGCGAGGAAGCTAGCAGTGTGAGAAGCGTGATGATTCGCTCATAATACCCCAGAAGCGTGCTGATTGACCGAAGCTGGTCTACTTGGGAGGTGTGGCAGGTGATGCGCGCCTCTCATAGGCTGCTATGCGAGTTAAAGGGAGTCGGTGAGACTTGTGGGCTTGTGTGATGAATGCGCGCTGACGAGCTGAACATGGCCTTTTAGGTACACAAACCAATGTTTCCTTAGCAGCATGATAGATGGAGTCGCTATATCTTCCTGACATTTCCCTGTGCAGACAGGCTCAAGCTTTGTTCATTTTATCACCTTGTACATTTATGTTTATAATTCTGTTTTCATCTACAAGACACAGATATCACTTGCAACTGCCAGAGTACATTCCAAGAAGTGTCCTTCCACCTGGATGTTTGTAGGGTAACGGGCAGCTATGAAATTACCAAGGGTAAAGTATTATTGCTGGTGACAAATTATTTATGGCTGCTCCAGGATATTTGAAACAAGGCAGGAAAAAATCGAGATGTATCGCACACATCCATAGGACTGGTTCAAAATGAACAAGGTATGTTTGTAGAAATGAAAGGGTGAAATATGTGGACCATAATGTTTCCCATGTGCAACTGGATGCTACTTTTAATATTTTAGTTGGCTAATGGCAGGTGATTTTATTTAGCATAGAGAGACTCCTCATACCCAAGGGGGTTAAGTAAATATGGAGGTCAAGGTTAATTATCCTTCCCCAAATTATAGATATGAAATCTTTATTTAGAATATGAAAAGAAAATACACATTTATTAAACAACAGAAAAAGGCTATCCACAAAACTATTCAGGGCCCAATTTTTACAGTTATCTTGCAAGACAGCTATGTAGAATCTTATTGGAGGCTGCCAAAAATGTGGCTTCTCAATTTCCCTAAGTTACAAATAATTTTGTTAATCTTATGTAAAGCTAATATAAAAAAAAATTCTTTCATGTGCTTTTTCAGCATAAAAAATTGCAGTGCCCTTATCAAATGTTCGGTATCTGATAAGAGAAAAATAGTTTAGAAATATAATGAAGTAGCATCCCAATCAGGAAAGCTCTTAGTTGTCAAGCAGATGTAAATATCAAGCCCCAAGTACAGGTATTGGAATGGCTACTAACATATGTTGATAGAAATTAAATCATATCATGTGTAAAATAAGATGATAGATCTCACAATAGTGTGTACAGCACAGTGCAAATAAAACCAAATCTTTCAGCAGTTAATATAACAAATACAGTTTTCCATACAAAACTTTAATACAATTACTAAAGCAGTCATTCTTATTTTATTGAAGAACACAAAACTAACTTTTGAGATAAGATTCTTAAATAACTTGAGGAATGTATGAGGAAACAAGAGAGATTGATTCACAGTAAGCCTAAACCTGATGAAAACATACAAGTATATTGAGGGGATGCCATACTGTTTTCCATGATCTACATATACAGTATATTGTATTCAAAGCTTATTATTGTACAGTATACTTTTAAGAACTGCACTCTATTATCATGTCAAATTAAACAAGATATACAAATGTATTCATTACAAAAATTATTTTCTTGAACTGATAATTATCCTTGGATGATCCTTAATTACTTCTTCTCTTTATAACCTATACACAAGACAAAAAATATTCATATGCACTGACACATTTCATGGTTCAGCTTTTCCTATTACACTGCAGTTAAGAAATCTCTCTGGTAATCTAGTGAAGCATATTTTGATAATTAAGGATCTCCTGAAACATATTCCTAGTGTATCCTGGTACAACAGACACATAATGAACACACACAAGACCATCTCTACTTTTGTAAGCTTTAAAAGCATAGGAGCATACAGACTCTCAATTTATTTGCAGTTTCTGCTTTAATACAATACAATATATCTTGAATTCCCAAAGCATTTCCTAATACGTTACAATAAAAAAAATTCCAAAGTGCCGTATTTCATTACAGAGGTAGTACTCTGTACGGTACTGTACGTGTTTGCAACCAAACTTCTATCAAAACATAGTTGAGGTATTTTATTTCTCTGTAACTGCAAACAATTCTTATAGTGCTATTAAATTTTTGGCAACCATTGGCAAAGAGCATAAGATATAAAATTCTTGAGAAAGCACCTTTTCTCACTTCAACACTAATGCCATCATTTCAAATTACTCTTAACAATTTATAAAATAACTCGTGTCTGAATAACTGCTTCTTGGATTGCAGTTCTTGAGACTTTAGGTGACTCATGTCCTGAGAGAACAGCTTAGTGCTAGGCCTGTGCTAACAGATGACATGCCCACTTGTGCTGCAATCTATTGAAGTCTGGGGAAACTACATATTCACCAGCTGGTTGACTGTCTTTGACATTTATTTATTAATCCTTTAAAAAACTTATTAGCCCTCTAACTCATCATGATGCAAATCGCATAAAATCATTGAGTGGCTCTTATTTGTATCGATGACACGAATTGCACCATTAACCCTTAGAAAATTCACCCCCCCCCCCATTTTTTAGATAATTGTGTCATCTTTTCGTACATTATAGATGACTGCACGATCTTGCGAGAGAAGCTTCCAGAAAGTGCCAAAGCATGGGCGGAGTTCCGCTGTCCATCAGTTTCCTCTTGTCAGCCGCGTTGGTAGGTCACATTTGTCTCTTTATTATCTCTCTCACCCTCCCCGTAATTAGTCACATCAAAATTTCAAAGTCATCATTGGCGTGTTTGTGAGAAAATGGAGATATGGTGCTAGAAACAAATACTCTAACTCCTTTTCTTTATTTGGAGTGAAAAAAATTGTCTTGTTCTTGTATTTTTTTCCTGCACGTTTGAGTCAAAACAATAGCAAAGCGAGTAATGTATAAATCATGCAAAAAAATTCCTGTGGGATAAATTGGCAGCAGAACAAAGATAACCAGACCTCACGCGCGTGGTCCTAAATGACTTTTGTTGTGGTCAAGGAAACTTAAAAACTTATTGTGTACGTAAAAATTAATGAAAAATACAACATAAAAAGTACTGAATGCTTCTCCACAATATGAAACATTAAAGATATATTTAGTGGTTTCCTTGCTATCAAGGTCACAGTCTCAAGTTAAAGAAACCAGAATTTGTCAGAATAAAAACCCAAAAGAGAATGTTGTGACAGTAAGAGTTTTGAACTCTTGTAGTAAATAAAATTAACACAAATGGTACGTATGGTTGCCTCATGAAGGGCCATTATACAGGTACCTGTAATGTCGGCAGTCTGCCGACCTTTTTCAAATCCTTCAATCAGCAGTAACTGAGGCTATTGTTAAATTCAAATTTGTGCAAATGAAAATAACTAAGTATTTCTTAAATGGATGGGTCAAAGACAACTGCATTTGGGCCCAGAGGAAGAGAGTTGGAGTGGTGAGGTTACTGGGTAGGCAGTGCCTGAGATGACGGTCTGTTTTAAATACAACAAATTTGTCTAAAAATGTAACCACCACAAGTTGAATTTAAGAAAACAGGCAATGCACTGGTGTACAATGGAGCTAGGAGTCCATGGAAAGTATGTACGATGCACCCTCGTTTTTTACGCATTTTTTACAGTTTTGACTTCGCGGATTTTCCTCAGAAATATATTTTTATTGCAACAGGTATTAATGATTTTTGTGTTTTGCACTTGAAAATCCCGTCATGGCTCCAAAACATCCTTCTAAAGGTGGTGATAAGGGCAGTAATGCACCAAAGAAGCCTAAGAGAAAAAAAAAGTGTTTACTTCAGTAGGGAAAGTCAAAGTAATGAAGAAAACTGAAACCGGCATGAGCTATGCGCTAGGGGATATGGGATGAACGAATCAACAGTTCGCTACACAAAAAAAAAGAGAGAAAGATGTCGTTGATGTGGTTACTGCTATTGCACCAGCAAAGGTGACAAAATGTGAGAGATCCGGCACTGATTAAAATGGAGAAAGCGCTGATATCGGGTTCAAACCGCCACCGCATACCGCTTGACTAAGTTAATCAAGGGAGAGGGAGGGTCATCTTCAGATTAATCATCACCATTCATTCATTCATCATGTTGTGATGTACTAGGGAGAGAGTTTGGAGGGAGGATCAAGAGGACGGAACAACATAACTGGGCTGGTGACTACAGTATTCCTTATGCGTTGTATTTTTTAGGTATGTAATATATAAAATAATTTTTATTTGTGATTTTCTTATGTTGTTTTTACAAATTATTTAATGATATATGAGAGGGAGAGAAGTTTACAGATCATCAGAAACACGTTTAGGGCCATGCAAGTGATTGGGGATATGTTATATAATATTGAATATTACATGCTAAGTTAATATCTGGAAAAAAGTATTCGCGATTTTGCTCTTTCGAGGTAATATCAGGAACATAACCCCCCGCAAAAAACGAGGGACCTCTGTAGTTTCAGACTCAACAGAAGGATAGGGATATATGTTAATCTTCTCTTTTAAATTACACTATATTAAAGCAGTTGCAGGAGTTTATAATGCCAGATTATTGACATTGCACAATATCCACATCTGAATTTAAATTGGAAGCTGTATGACACCCAATCAGCTTACCCTTTGTTATAAGCTTGCTATCCTATTCAATACAGTAAAACCTCAATACTGTACACCGCACTTCAGTACACTGGTATTGCCTTTTTTGGACTCTGTGGTGCTTCTGACTGCCCCTCTATTTACCAGAAATATTTGTAAAAGGTTCGGAAAATCCAGCATCAGTCTGGACGGTTTGTGTGTGCAGTTGAACGTCTGTACGTGGGTTTCACATGGCACATCTCAGTCCTGCCTTCATGAGTACTGTATAGAATCAGTGTGCCACATTTCACTAACTCCACTCATTTACGTGACTTTTTATGTAGAGTACGAATTACAGTATCATTAACAGGGATATGCCAAGGTTTTAAGAAATGGGTTAAAATAATGTACAGTACTGTACATATTTAAAAAAAATATGAAAAGAACAACATTTGTTCACTGAATACTGTACAGTGGTCTAATCGGATTTGCTGTAGGCCTAATGAGAACTATGACTCCGTATGTAAGCAAGCTGGGGGTTGTGAGGGCTGATAGGGCGTTGCTGCATTTGCCAGGTTTATTTAGTGATTTATTATTATATTCTCACATGATCAGCCTCTTACGGTTTGTGATTCATCATGATTAATATAACATCTTCAATAATGAAAAATATATACATATACAATACTTTATATAATTTGTAATTTGACTTGAAGATAAAAGGATAAGCTGTATCGGAAGGTATTCACTCAGGATGCGTTCGTGTGAGAGCTTTCAGTCAATCAGCTTTCAATAGGGTCACTATAACATATTGTATAGTATTTGATATGGGGTTTCCTTCCTAACAATGTTATTTATTACCTTTGAGTGTTACATGATGGCTCAATTTGGCAACTTGTACACTTAGACATCTGGTTAATGTAAACAAATAAAACAGTGATGAGTAATAGGGCCAACTTGATACATTTCATTGCTATAATCTAATGCTACTGAAGCACTAATATTGTTGAGGATCTTTGAAGATATCTAATAAATAATTTTCTACAGTGCTGTGTATCCATAGGAGACCCACCCAGGTAGTGCCTCAGGAGGAGTTTTGGCAAGACTAAATACAAAAGAAAGTAAAAACATAAATAAAGAAACAATAATAGTACCAAACAGGTAAGAGTTGAGTTTATCTTGTTGTAAATGGCAGTTACAATTCCCATAAGTGCCTGTCTGAACCATTTTCTTTGGTTTCTCTTTAGTATAAATTTATTACCATACTGTACTGTATTTTACTTAATGCTTATTATTGGCTTATAATCATTGTGTTCAAAATTTGTCATAAAAAATATGATAAGTGGCATTTTAACTTTTTATGTTTCCTTTTCTGTAGGAACATATCTTGGCTTTTATAATGGGAGTCTATAAGAATATTGGCTAAGATTTACTAAAGGTTTTTCAGGAAGAGAACCTTTTCATAAACTGGGATACAGGCAGCCCGCGACTTATGAACGGGATCTCAATATATTCATCACATTAATCTGTAATTAAAATCCCATTTTTTACATTAATTTCATTATTCTACATTGTTTAACATCACCGTATTTACATTATTTGTTATGTGTGGGATATTGTTGTCATTTTGTATGGGCAGGGTTGTGCTTTAGCCTAACCCATGGAATTAACTTACAAACAGGGTCCAGGAACATAACCCACTCATAACTCTGGGACTGCCTGTATACCTGCATAAAATGAACAGTTAAAAAATTTACATCAGCAAAGTTTTGCTCCTGTGAAAACAATACTGTATACGTATCAAAACGATTTCCATTATCAAAAGTAATATTATCTTAAGACCTAAAATTCAAAACTAAATGTTTCATTTTGTAAAAGAAAATAAATTTGCATTAAACAAGATATATTTACAATACAATCACCAAGCACAATACACGTTTCATTTTATAAAAGAACAACTATTTTAAATAGGATGTTCTGTTATTTAAATATCTATCACTGTGAACAATACAACAAAACTCCTTGTCAAAGTTAAACATTTTGACAACTGGACTCTGTTAGGATTTGTTAAAAACACTTTTTTGGTGACGTACTGAATATTTTTAAAATATGCTCCTGAAGTGGCCCAAGGTATTGTTACTAAGAAATATACTGTACAGTACACTGAAAGTACTGTATAAGCCTTCTTACACTATAGGTTTGTTAATCAATCTATCATTGTGGTCAAGTCTCAACCTTAATCATCCACTTCCATACTCACGCTCATAAAATGAGTCATGTCCAGTGATGGCTCGCGTGTCTCTTGAACATCAGGTGTTACTGACGGTAGTGATGTTCCCGGTGATAGAATACCACTCACAGCAATGTTGCTGAAGCCAAGATTAGCCAAAGATAATGCCCCTCCAGTTACTGGGTCTCCATGATACACCATGGCATCTGACACTGATGGATAGGCAGACTTTCTTCCACCTTCACATAAAGCAAGATGCCGTGCTGTTGGTGACAGAGTTAAAATAAGAGACAAGAAAATAAACAATATGGTAATTACATCTGACAATTAACAACTTCCTTATTGCTACACCATTCAGCATCACAATCTATCCCTTTAATTTAGTAGTAATGATTTAATGCTCTGCCTGCTCTCCCAAAACAGCTACACATATTTAAAATATTTTCATCATCATAGAAAGAGTAATAAGCAGCATGTTAATACAGTCAACCCTCGCTTTACGCGGTCCCACTTTACGCGTTTCCATGTTTACGCGGTACCCTGCCGAACACGGAATGCTCACTTTCCGCGGTGTGTGTACCCTTTTACGCGGAGAGCGGCGCGAGCAGAGTGCGCACAAGGTCACCCAGTCATCAAAACATTACCGAGTTCTTCACCCGCCACCCACCACAGCCGGCCCAAGTCAGTGATAATGATAGTCTGGATTATGGACTTCTATGGACTTTGAGGGGTTTGACAAAGAGGCCCTGCAAGCCTCTGTGGTGGATAGTGATACAATTGATACAAGTGATACAGGTGAGGGCCAATAATCTGCCCTCTACCTCGGAACCAACCCCCCATCCCCGTGTGCCCAGCCATCTTTTCTACTAATGTAAGTGTTAAAAAACCTAATATTATTGATATTTCTCTTAATTATTAATTGTGTGTGCATACCATCATAAAATTAAGAAGCTATTTTTACTACAACGTAGGTAATGTGTCTGAAAAAGTGGAGTTTGGGGGTCGGCCCGGTCTCTATTTCAATTAATCCCATATGTTATGTTGTTCACTTTACGCGGGCCGCCGTGGGTTCAATTGACCGCGTAAAGTGAGCGTTCACTGTAGTTTGTTTCTTTAAAGACTTCAAGATATTTTAAAGGTTGATCCAAAAACAAGTGTAGATATAATATCAAGGCTCCGAATCTTACCAAGGTGGTTACCACTGCGAGTGCTGAATCCACAGATACAGAATAGTGGTTGAGGAAGTATAATAGGTGGGCCAATATTGTAGTATCGTCTGTTTCTTCCACTAGGGTGAAACACTTGGGCATGCCTGCTGATCATACTACGGCAACATGTTGCATAGCTACATTTAGTGCACTTCTGATATGCTCTGACCAAAGAGAAAGAAAAACAAATATTAGGTTTGCAAAAAGGAGCACATTTTTTCTTACATTTACCAAGTTACTATGCTTGTCACTGCACTCATGGGTATCAGTGGTACACAAAGTAGTATAAAATGCTACTTAAGTTAAAGTACTGCTACTAGGGGGAAAAAAAAAAAGTTACTATAAATAATACTTTCGCTATTTACATACCTGAAATGATTTTCGAGGGTGAGACTTGCATCACACTCAATACAGTAGTAACTCTTATCTTCATCGTTGGTGTCTACCTTCAAGTTGTTCATCACCTCAAGAGTTGAGGATATTGCCACAATGGAATTTTGTCGGCTGGTAGCAAAATAGGTCACATTTGGATTTGGCATTGGTGCATTTTTCACCCATGGCCTAAACATAATGCGATTCTGACCAGCAGGCACTTTATAACGTTGAAGACCTGGAATGAGTCATAAATAAGCACTAAAAACTGATTCCTTATGCATGTCTTAATATTGCTGTGACATCATTAATGTTCTTGTTATTAAGAAAGACCTTGGAAGGTACTGAAAGCTTATCTGAGACTTACCTCAAGCACTCCTACCAAATACTATTAATACAAGTATAGACCTCTATCTACGAAAGGGTTCTCTTCCTGAAAAACCTTTTGTAAATTGAAGCACATTTTCCCAATATCTTCCCTTTACAAAAGCCAAGATGTGCTTCTACAGAAAAGTCTTAAACAACAAAAATGTTACATTTTTGGTGTAGACAATATTTATAATAAGCACATTTAGTGGAATATAACCAAACCATTAAGAAGTTTATAACTGTACAATACAGTAATAAGAAAAATAATAATTATACTTTATTGCTGTACTAATACTGTGAGAAGTCCTGTATTGGTGACTTCATAAGGAGTATGGAGATTACTGTACAGGTATCCCCCACTTAACGAAGGTGTTAGGTTCTTAAAACACTTTGTTCTGTGAAAATTCATTTTGCAGGATATAGTTTCTTATTATTTTTATGGGTAAAATTTAGTTTGTTGTCTATCACTAAGTTTTTAGTAGCCTAAAATTCATTCAATAGAAATGTACAATTATTAGAAAACAGTTAGTAAGCTATACAGTATATGAAAAAACAAATACTCTAAATCATTATACAGTATTTATAAAGAAAGTAAAAAGAATATGATGTGAACAGAAACTCTCCTTACCTACAACATTGACACGACTAATATGATCTCTTCTTTTATGTTCATCAAGAAGATATTTAGTGTAAAAGGACAGCACACAGGATTTGCATTTCCCAACTTGGGAAGAATGTTTCTGAAATTAGAAAGGAATATCATTAATGTTATTGTTAAATCAAAGAAGACTGCATGCCAGTGAGCATTGTACTGTATTACCTTGTACAGTCAATTAATTATACAAATACCCTGTACACAGTGTGCATGTAAAATTAATCCTCCTCCTCCTCTAATAATTTTATAATATTGGCCTTCCACAGATACTTCCTCAACCTACCGTCTTTAACCTTCCATCCAGTCTTGACTCTAAATTTCCTTACTTCATCTATCTCTTAATTAGTTGGTCTTTTCTGGACATTTTTTTTTTTTATCACAGGGAGTCCAAGTAATGATTTCAACTCTTGGTAAGTTCTTGTAATACTGTACTGTATAGTCTTTCTGCCACTTCAGTTCATTTGCATTTAAAATTATGATCTTATAATCTGATATGAAAACAACGAAGTTTAACTTTTGAAAATGTGGTGTTTTAAGAGGTTATTTGAGGTTAATCAAACAGATATCTCACCTTTTTTAATAATTTTCATATTGATGAAATGTAGTGTCACCAACCCTCAATGTTAAAGGTAAAGTTTTAAACGTTCATATAACTAGAAAAGTTATCTAAGGTTGCTGGTCACTAAGATGCCACAAAACACATCAAAAGGTTTTCGAAGTCACTGGTCAATAGGGGTCTACAAAATAGAGAAACACCAGAAGGTAATGGACCATTACCAGAGAATTTCTCTGGTTTAAGGATAGCACTTTTCTAATATGTTTATAAGGCAAACTCACCCATTTTGATATATCCCTTGAATTCTGTAGCTATCACAGTAAATAAAATACCTGTCCAAAGAAAAATCTTACCAGTAAATGCTGGAACATCCGCTGGGAGAAAGTGTTCGCAGATGTGGTGGTGATGGATTTCACTCTGAGGCAGAAGTGACACTGAACATGTGGTGTTTCTTTATGTTCCTGTTGATGGAAACACAATTGTCACTACAAGCTCTCAAGCACAGAAAATAATACAGTACTTAAATCCATCTATAGTCAAAGCAAACATTATTATATAGTTATAAGTATGGATTCTGGAGCAAAGAAATTAGAAGTAACAGAAATGGTGTATAAGTATTTGAAAGTAATATGTGGGATGAGTAAGACACTGAAAATTAGAAATACTGAAATATGAAGGACATGGGGAGCAATTACTCAGCCAACTTTACTAATTAAAATGATGAAAAAAATGTGATGTACCATACTTACTTTATTAAAGTGATCAATGACACTGAAGTAAATCGATGTAGTGAAGTGGCAGACCTCACAACGATACGGAAGTTCACTCTCGTAGTGTTTTTTAGCCATGTGGTTTACTAACTGGTATTCACCAGTGAAGCTTTCTGAACATATTCTGCACCAAGTGTATCTTGTATCCATTTGCATATGCCGCTAATCACAAAAAATAAAGAGTAAAATACAGTCAATAAATTCTATCAATATTATAATTTTTTTCTGGGATAACCAGAACTAAAAGACATTAACTTCAGATTTATTACATAATTTATTTAACAACTTTGTTGTGGGGAAAAATATCCTTATCTCATTTTTGTGTCTGAAACAATATTTTCATTTTACCATAAAGTTAAACTGGCCTAAACAACTTGTGTATGAAATCCCCTCTATGCTGAATAAAATCAACTGCATTAGCCAAATAAAATATCAAAAGTGGCACCCCCTTACTGAAGGGGATTTTCAAGGCCAACTAGACTAAATTCTAAGCGATGCACAACACTTGAGTAAGGGCTTTTCTTGACCTACAAGCATGAAATATTTGTTAATTGTGTTGTCTATTTTGGTTGCCTATACCATCTGTATAAAAACTGCCAGATAAGGCAGAAACTGCATAGATTAATTAATTTAACAATTTAGTAACAATGTTTACTGCCAACATCAAAAGCCATTATAACCTTTTCCTTTTCTATTTTTAATTTCTTCCTATTCTTATTTTTTTGCCCCCTAGGTCCCGTTGTGGGTCGATGACCTGTGCCCAGGTGGGCTATTCCCCGCAAAAAAATAAAATAAAAAATTAAAAAATAAATCTGCCTACCACTTACAATTTTCAGTGTAAGAAGAATTGAAAACTTCCTTTATAATTTAGTTACAAAGGCTATTTTTGCCATTAACATTCTGAATAAAACTATCAACATTTTTCCTATTTTGCATTACTATTTGGCAGCTCTTTCATCTACATTGAAATTCCTCTTACTTAACACTAAAAATTTAACCTTGAAATATCATATCCCTGCAACTGCTTGCCTTAATGCACACCTACATCCTTTCTCATATGTATTTACTAACACCATGTTACATTGTCCAGTCTGTATCTGTATTTTTATGACTAAATAAACTGTTTCAGTATTATTATAGTCTCTATACTCCCTTTCCATCTTTTAGAGGCCAATTATTTAAAAGAAACTAAATGAAAAAAATATTTGAAATACTGTACTTACGAATTTATGGTGGTAATCTCTCTTTTCTTCCGTTTCAAAATGTGCAATGCAATAGTTGCAGCAAAATTTATCATTAACACCAGCATTGCGACAAAGATGAAACTTCAAGTGTGCGTAAAAGTCCAAATTACTATTGAACACCTCCTGGAAATAAAAGTTAAGGCAATTGAATTAAAAAAAATAATAAAATCATACACCTGTACAGCTCCTCCCCGACTTACGACCTACTTGACTTACGTCCACCCGCACTTATGACCTGCCTCAGTCGTACCAAAATTTGGTCAAATTACGTATTTTCGAGTCCCAAAGTTAGTACACAGACAAAATTTTCATCTGTAATTCACTTTAAAATGGCTGGCAAGCTTAAAAGTGAGTGTTTTGTGGTGCTGAGAAGAAAAAGAGACCCCCATTTTCGAGTTTATGTGTTATTTATGCATTTACGACTTATGACCTGGATGTCGGTCTCTAACCCCGTCGTAAGTCGGGGAGCAGCTGTACTGTACAAGATAATATTCTGGGCATGGGAATAAGTTATCTGCTAAAGGCATACATAACCTTATTCCTAGCACAGAGACTTATGATTTTAAAGGCTCTTGAGATCCATGTGACAAAGTTGTCTTGTTGCACGAGAGATAAGCAGTAGCGGAAAAGTTGGTAGTGTATTTGAACAGCTGTTTCCAACCATACTTGGCTCTTGGTATGGATGTTCCTAACTTATAGTTTCATATTGTTCACAGGAAAAAGGTTATTGTATTTATTGTCCAATTAATATTACAATATTTATAATGATAGTTTGATTATTTTCCATTCACGATTATACTTACATTACAAATGTGGCAAGTATACGAATGAATTTTTACGTAACGACCCAAATTTGAAAGTCCTTGTACTTGACCATAGTAAAATGGCTCCAGCTCTGTAACATCAGCTTTGGGAGATATTGATGCTACAGGAACTTTGCTTGCTGGAGCCCCCAGTGAGGATCTGTAATAGAGAGCAAACACGTAAACATTACACAAGATTTATTTTGAGAGAGGGCGAGAGAGAAAGGCTTACAGGTAACTTGCCAAATGACCTGTTGGACATGCAATTAAGTTTAATTGTACTTTCCCCAGGTGGGAAAAACAACAATAATAACTGACTATATTAAACTCGTTATAGTTTGCAAATAAATTGTTAACACAGAAAAGACAGCTCACATTAAAGATGGCTGGCTGGCAAATACTGTACTAATATAGTATATCACATACCCTTGCATCCGACGTGGAGCTAAAGTCACCTTGTTTGTGTGTTCCATGGGGGTTTGAGTCTGGAGATGTAGAACAATTCAATCATAAAAATTCTTAAAAAGACATCATTAAAGTCAGCTTCAACTTTTACTGGCCTAACAGAATTATTTCAATTTGCTTTTACATTTTCAACTTTGGGAAACAATGCTCCTACATTACTAAAAACATTCACAATATCTTGACTCGCTGGGAAGGGGTAAAACTGGGGATGAGGTGGCCTTTGAGAAAGCTACGCATGTTACCACCGATACATGTACCGAGACTATAAAATTGGGGAAAAATCATTACAATACTGTAATGTGGATTAGAAATATAGAAAATATAATATAAAACTATAAAATGAGAAAAATTAAGAGCATGGGTGTGTATGTGGGAAGTGAACCCACATGTGAAGGCATTTGGCTGTAACTACATTGCCAGCCTAGCTGCGTTCCTTCCCTGATATCAGATTCAGATTTGCCCCCGAGGGGGCTAGTTTATTGGGCACCCCCTTACATCTTGTGCAAGGTGAAGCGCAGAAGCGTTTACAGCGCCCAACAGGGAAGTATGAAAAGTTCATACTTGCCTTTATGACTCGTACATTAAGGGCGTAAAAGCCTGAAGGGTCATAGGTTCTGTCAAGTTACATTAACTGAGAGAATGATGAGTGTGTGGGGGGAAAGTTCCCGGTACATTTTATCTGTTTATGGCAAAGAGTGGCAGGTCCCTAATAATGTCAAATGCCAGGCCTGTGACTAGGAGGAGGGCCTTCCCTGATATGACATGATGGCATACATAAGCACAGTGCAACATGGCAGCATCCACATATCTGCGAGTCAGCTGGGTGACTGCCTGCTTCAAGTATGTCATGCCACTCAGAGGACGGTTTGAGTGTGTAGGAAGCTATTTTTTGTAGAAAAAATGTGTTATTGTATATTATGATATGCTTTATTATTTATCATCAATTTTTTTTGCCTTTTTGATGTATGCAATTTGAAATTTGTTCAAATTAGGCTCACCTTGTGCTCACTACATCATTTTAATACTGAACCTTATCATTTATATAGAAATTTTGGTGTTAATAAATCAATTGTTTACAGTAAAGCCGCCTCGAATAACGACGGTAATGTGTCCTCCAATATTGCAGTGTAAGGTGAATCATCGTATCGCGAATCACTAATTACCATTAAAATATAGCAATATTAATGAGATGCGTTCCCAAGTGTGACCTTTTCATATCAAAACAATACAATTAATGAAAATTGCAAACTATATTCTTTAATTAATGTTTCTGAATGCACCTTATACAATATAAATTAATTATAATATGGTCACACAAGAGGAGCTGGGACGCCATCGTTTTTGTTTGTGTTTGCAGCCGGGAGTCCGGGACAATAGTTCTACACGAGAAAATTAAGAAAATAAAACCCTGGTTGTAGCTGTAATAAAATTAATGTAAAAAAAAAATGAATATATATACATGCGCATTTAAGGATACCGCGTCATTTATCTTTTTAAGAACATGTACAAAAGATTCATTATTGTTTATTAATGAATATGTATTTGATTGAATTAATCTTTATATATGCGAAATGAACAATACAATTCATTAATAATACATAGAATATTAAAACACACAAGAGGATAAGAGACGGTATTGTTGTCAAAGTGTTTACACCCATAATGTCAGTTATCCACTTGAAACTGAAGAATATAAGACCCTGGTTGTTGTTGTAGTAAAACTAATGTAAAAAATATGCATGTTTTAATTTATGTTATTTAATGTACAGTAGAAGTAACCACTGATATTAAAGAAAAGGTGAGACTGATAGTGGAACGCCAATGTATACGTGCGCACTCAAGGAAACAGTTATTTATCTTAAGAATAAGTACAAAAGATTCAATATTGTTTATTACTGAATATGTATTTGATTGAATTAATGTTAATAAATGTGAAATTAATAATGCAATTCATTAGTAATACATAGAATATTAAAACACACACAAGTAGACAAGACGGCATTGTTTTCGTGAGAAACTGAGGAAAATAAGACCCTGGTTGTAGCTGTAGTGAACTTAATTTAAAAAAATTTAATACCTGTATGTATGTTTTAAGTAATGTTATTTAATGTTAATAAATGGAACACTAGAAGTAGCTAACCACTAATGGTAAAAAAATAAAGCGAGATGATTGGGAACGCCAACGCATGAACAGTAAGTGAGTACATGTGAAAACATATCGTCATTTCTCTACATATGAATATGAAAGCAACACTTATTTACTGTTCATATTTATTTTAAATAATGTTTACGAATGTAAAACAAAAATTCTACTCACCAATGGTTGTAAAGGCGAAAACATAAGGACAGCCAATGAATATTGTGCGAGTTTTTACTCAGATGATGAAGTCATCAGGTTCAACTCTGGCTGAAGCTGTAGCTTTCCATAAAGCTATTGCTGAAACTGTTACTGAACCTGAAGTTGATGTTGAAGCTGCTTATGATGCTGAATTTTATGGTGTAGCTGAAGTTGATGATTTAGGCCTTCAAATAATAAAGCTGTCAAAAGAACCTTGCACAGCTGCTTTCTTTTCTCATTATACATCTTTATGTCAAGGTTAATGGATCCACTTCAGGAAATCTGTTCATTGCTTGCTCCATATAATATCCACAGACCTCTCACCTTTTCATATCGTTTTAACACATCTAGTTTCTCGGCTAAGCTTATACACTTTCTATTAGCTTTTGAAACAACACTACCATCACTTGCTCTCTAGCTCATGTTGAATAGGGATGCAAAAATGCTGTAAGAAAGTTTTTCTCCTGTCACTCTTCCAGATGTGTGAAAACAAAAGGCTCGCCAAGCTCCAACTGTTGTTTACCACTCATTAGCCAGGCAGCGACTTTGCGCAAGGCACTCTTCATTTTTTTACAGTATTTTTTTTATAATACATATCAGGATTTAGTTATTAATTATATGAAAATGTAATTTTATTTTATTTTTATTATATTTTGGTCGTAAATACGAATGAAATTAGGAAGTGAATTGAATTGGGTTCTAAATTAATTAGGGTCTTAAATATGAAAAGTTTTTGGTCGAACCGTTGTTATCGGAGGCTTTACTGTAATTTCAAAACCATTTCTAATGAACTCTTTTGCAGCATGGAAGTACTGTACACAGTGTTTACCACTTGCTGTTTGAACCTGTTGTTCAATCTCCGTGCTTCGCTGTTATCCCACGTTTAGCGATAATTTCTGTTAATGTTAGGTTTTACAGGAATGCAATCCAATCGTTAAATGAAGGATACCTGTACTAAACTATGAAACACAAGACTAAAATGTATCCTATTCTACTATCCAAATATTCTCACAATAAATTAAAAATAAAATAAAATAAAAAATATATACCATTTGAGTAGAATCTACAGCCATCTGAGGAGTAATTGTGCCAGTGTTGGGAGAACTCATGATGATAGACGGCTGGAGAGAGGTAGGTCCTTTTGGGAAATGTTGACTTTTGTATCTCCAGTTATGCTGAGGTTTTTGAGAGACAAAATCTAGAAGATGCAATACCCCCGGATCTGAAAAAGTAAGTGTAATGCAATACAAAAACATCTGTATTTAAAAATATTCACATAAAACTAGCTCTCTAAAATAACAAGGTTGCCTCTATGGGAGGATAAACTCCCCACCATGCCACAGGACTTACTAACTGTGAACAGTGGTCATAGGGTATACTGATTACTGAATTTGTAGCATTGTAGTGATCAAATTATCAGGTTCACAACTCCAAATTACTGTACATGTATAGAGAAGGATGCATTCCAACATTTTCCTGGGACAAAAGGGGACCTTAAAATGGAAGTACAGTACAGTGACCCCTCCGTTAACGAACTCAATCCGTTCCAGAAAGTCGTTCGTTAACCGACACCATTGTTTCAATGGGTTTTTGGGTAATTGGTTCCAGCTCACCGAAAAGTTCCTAAATTCAACAAAAATGGTAGAAAAGTTCACTTACTTTGAGGTGTGTATGTAGAAGGCTCCTGGATGATGATGATGATGATGGGATTTAGAATGGGGGTGGAGGAGAAGGAAGAAGAGAAGGCATTGGGGTGGAAGAGAAGTCACCCCATGGCGCAATTTCACCCATAAAATTTTAGCTCTCTTGGTGTAATTCAAGATTATTTTCTTTAGATCAACACTGAACTACATTATATATTGTCAATATGTAAAATATATTTCAAAATTACCAATAATTTGCTTGGAAACACAGAAAAAAAGCATTTAGTTGAAGAGAGTCTCAAGCAAGATGTAACCTCCAGTGAAAACAGAGAAAGACTAACTCCTGTTTGCTGTGTTAAGAGGCTGGATGCCGCGCATTAAACTAGTCACTTTACCTTCAATTATGTTCAATAATTGTTAAAATGACTAAAAAATTGAATATTAAACTTTTAAAATTATTGAATAGTATAAACTTCTTGATATTTACTAAAATAGTAAGGAATTTAAGCCCTAGAACCAAATAATGTATTGGCGGACTGATACTAAAGCTGGTTGCCCGGGCAGTGCAAGCAAAAACATGTTGAGGTCGGTTCGTAAGAACTTCGTTAACCGAATTTTTTTTCGTTAATCGAAATTGCGTTAACCGAGGTGTTCGTTAAACGAGGGGTCACTGTACAGTATACTGTATTGAATGTAATAACATGTTTATTTACGGCTTCTCTGGTATGCTATGGCCATTATCTAAAAGATCTCAGCCTTAGAAAAAACTTACTGTTGTCAACTTCAGCTTCAATGTGTACATTATTTAGGAGGAAGGGCGTAGGGCCACACTCTCCTGCTAAAATCACTCAGGTTACAATATTTTGTTTATGTTAAATTCCTACTGTCTTCTAAAACTATATAAGGCTAAGTTATTTTTTTTTATTAACCAAACTCGTTATCCTTTGAAACTCGCATATTGCTCTGCTTGTTGCTAAAGTTGACTCTTAGTACTGAATATTATTTGTTTCTAATTTCTGTTTTTTTATGTATTACAAGTGGTTTTCTATGACTTTACTAGGCTGAAAATAATTCTATAAATGCTGTACAGTACTTCTAATAACTAGCATGCTGGGCACTGTAATTTTCTTTTCTTTTTAATTCACAAGTGTCTAATCAATATACAGTAGACGACCAACAACACAAATATACATGTAAGTGTGAACATAATGTGTGTATCCTATTTAGGTTTTTCAGATTAACTGTTGAAGCTTTCTTGAAAAAGACTTATGGTAACCAGTTCAATGAGGACATACTACACACAAAATGATCCGCCTCAGGCAGTTAACTTTGGCTGTGCTATTCATGGAAAACAAACTCATTATATGTCAAAAGTGCTGCACTGAGGGTACACTTAAAATTCAGACCAACCGCATTAAATGGCATTTATAAGATTTACACAAGATTAAAAAAAAACTTACTCTCAGCCTCCCGTGCCGTAAGATATGTGATATGATCAACCATATTGATGTAAGCCTGTGCTGCACAGTGGCCATATCGCTCACGCCAACATAATTCATCTAAAACCAATTGTACTTGTTGCAAATTTAGATGTGACAGTGCACTCTGGAGGAAAAAGAAAAGAAAAATATTAAAAAACTTAAATAAAGATGATTATGATACTACCAAGTTTCTGTATTTTACATTATTAGTAATTCCAAACTTTCTTACAACTCTACACCTTTACTGTACACAGCATATGAAATTTAAGAATAAAGAATAATTTTTCACATGAGTGAATAAGGAGAAGCTGAACAATAAGGAAACTGACTGAATGACTGTGCTGGAGATGAGCAGAGAGTTTGAGGAGTAGGTTGTAAGATGATAGTAGGAGAATGATGACGCATTGAAAGATTATTTGTAGATATAACAACACTGAGAATATTAGAGAAATGAATTAAGTAAACATACTGGTAATAAAAGAAAACTACAGTATTATTTTAGCACATTTTCATTATTACTATGAAATTTTTCGTAACTTCAAGGCTTTCACCTGATCAAAGCGTGGATTTTTTTTTCATAATTGCAAATTTCCATAAACCAAATCCTTGTAAACCAAGGTCTGCTTGTACTCCCCATAAATGCATAAAAATACAATAAATACAGATTAATTTCAGGGGATAAATTTGACGCATTCAAGGTAGAGTACAGTATAGTCTGGATTTACGCGGTCAATTGAACCCGTGGAGGCCCGCATAAAAAGAGAAACGCGTAAATGAAATAACAGAACATATGGGATTAATTGAAATAGAGACTGGGCTGACCTCCAAACTCCACTTTTTCCGACACAATACGTACCTTGTAGTCAAAATAACATCTTAATTTTATGATGGTATGCACACACAATTAATAATTAAGAGAAATATCAATAATATTAGGTTTTTTAACACTTACGTTAGTAGAAAAGCTGGGTCGGCACACGTGGATGGCAGCTGGTTCCGAGGCAGAGGGCAGATTAGTTGCCCTCTGGTGAATCACTTTCACTACTCGCAGAGGTTTGCAGGGCCTCCCAGACAAACCTCTCAAAGTCCATATCCACACTGTCAATATCACTATCACTGACTTGGGCTGGCTGTGGTTGTGGTGGGTTGCGGGTGAAGAAGTCCTTAACACTACGTTAACGACTAGCATTGATGTTGTCGAGATAGATCTGGATATACGCCACCTTAACTTTCGTCAGATGGTTATTAGACGCTTCACACAGATGCTTGTCTGGGTCATTGTCAAGGATGAGCTTAAGTTTCTCCCCCAACTCGATGATTTCCTTAACATTATCATGGCTTGGTCCAGGTAATTCAATGTTTTTCTCTGGTGGTGGGGGTCCCGCGGAAGCCATTGTGAGTTGTGAGGGGTATAGCAGGCACAAGAGAGAACTGTACATGCGGACTGAGAACAATGAGACAGGCCCTGCTAGGTCAGCGATGTCTACCCTCTGGTGGCAGGGCACGTCATGTTACATTAGACCAATCACAGCTAGCGGCGGAGGGAATGCGTGGGTGGTAAGGATGCGTGGCCCAATCACAGTCCGATACGTCATATGACATCGCCAATAACGCAACAGCGACATACTGCGCAACCTTACTTGTGCCGCTTCCCCCCGCTTATGGTCAAGCATGGGCCGCTTGAATACAAAATGGCGCGGCGCGTCTGGACCTCCAGCTGCTCTCCGCGTAAATGACCAAATTTACCGCGTAATTAAAGCATTTCAATTCTGGCAAGGCACCGCATAAATGACCAAACTCGTTAACCAAAACCGAGTAAATCCAGACTATGCTGTACTGTATTGTTTACCTAACAAACCTAGAGGGAAGGACACAGTTAAAGCTCCTCTCTATAAAAGGGAGGGATGGCTGGACATGTGTGCATCACTCATGTGTACATTCTTTTTGAACAACTGTACACTACTCACGAAGGTGGTTCGAGGGAAATAACTTCTACATACAAGCTAATAAACAAAAAATACCAGAAATTTACCTGAAACATCTTAGGGACATGTCTCCGTAAGTAAGACATAATTCTTGCATTAGATTGAAGGTTCTCTTCATTGTCACTTGTTTCACATACACTAACCTGTAAAAGTTCATTTTCAAATTTTAATTTCATACAAAATGAATAATTTCATGAATTATGTGTACAATTAACTGTGTGGCAAATCAATGTTGTCAGGTGGTGTAAGAACCAAGTTATTTGAGGTTGAATTTCATGATCCTCACATTTAACAATTTCTCTGAATGTCAACATTCAAAACACAGAAGTGGTTGATATATTCTTCATTCTCATAAAATATGTAGAAATTTAAATTTTAACCCAGTAACAAAAAAGTTTGTTAGAATGGGATATGGGGAAAAGAAAGATAGGAGGAAAATGGGGAAGAATGGAATGGGTGAGGTAAAGTAATCTGGATAGATGTAAACTAAATTGCAATTATTTTTGTTAAGAAATCTTATAATTTGTAAAAACTACCCATAAAATAAAATTCTGATTTAAAATTACTGTTATGTAAATTTAGTAAACTCTGAATGAGAAATTGCAATTTTTTTTTTAAATTTCTTCTTCATAGAGAGAAAGATAAAAAGAAAAGTACTGTATACTGAAAGGTTAATACTATACCTTTCCATAATTCATGTTGTATAAACAGTTTCTGTCAACAGACTGGTCACAGAGTATTATGGCATTGATATGAACAACTCTTTCTAATGGCTTGAGAATGCGCACAAACCTCTGCCGTGATGAACTACCTGGTTCAGGTTCAGAAGCAAACAACCTGTAAGACTTCATTTTTCGGTCATAAAGACCCAGGATCTCCACCTGAATAACAATGATAATAGTAATTAAAAGGATTGTGATGCTTAAATAACAAAACATAAACAAGTTTTACATTAAATTTTATAAAAAACTCTTAATCTTATCATAAAGTGTATTGATAAATTAAGAACTTGTGTAATCACACTTGATTGCATTGCTAGTGAGTCTCCCCAACATCAAGCTATGGTACAATGTGTACATACTAGTATGTGTGCCACCTGTTAATAAATAAAGATACTAATGTTGATGGTTCAGACTCGAACCTCATAGCTTTACTGTCACTGATGGGGATACTTTACTCAAATTCTTCATCATGGGTTTTGGAACAGAGCATGGTGAGTGTAACAAATTATTTCATTGTATTAGTTATTAGTTATACAATATGAGTACATACATACTGTACAAACCTTAACTGCTTTCTTAGCGCCATCTGCTGTGCTGGTGCCAAGACTGACAATGCCAAGCTCTACAGTTGTTCCATCAAAGCCAAAATCATATACCTTATCTTGAAGCATGACAGAACTTATGCATCTCATGTACTGGTACATTTTGTTGATGAAAGTTTTTTCCACCTGCAATAAATGAGGGAAACTTAGTGACGTTATATGTAATGTACTGTACTGTATACCTTTTGGCTTCCATTTATTCTTACAAAATCTAGGATGATGATACATTTGCACTCTGTATCATGCAAACACATTCATTCATAACCTTCTTCCATTCTCATCAACATGGGAATGGACAAGGTTTCTATTCTCTTAACTTCCTTACTCCATTACATTCTGAATAGGGTGGTACCAGCTATGTGAGAATACAGTAATAAGGACACACAACAATAATTGTGTTAACTAAAAACTGTACAACACTTGGAAGCAAACACAGGCCAAATAAAATCTTCTTTTCTCCTGCCACCCTGTCCCTTTCATCTTCCTCCTGCCTTGTTCCTGCATGTCTGGCTGAACCTTTCATCCAGCCACATATCATGTCAACCGTGTTCAACACAACTCCTTTATTTTGGCCCAACATCTTGCTACAAAACCCTTTATATTGTCACTGGATGTTTCCAGTCTTCTTATTTCAGTATAAAATGCTCTTACATTTTGTTGTTAATACCTCATGAACATATACTTCAAGGAGTGTAAAACAATTTCACTACTAAAGGAAAGCATTTTCGATGTCTCACCTTAACCCATAATTCCACATTGCTGATAGAAGTCTGGCACGCCCAGTGGTATACCAGTTTGAGCACAGAAGTGGGAGGAACTTTGTCGATTGGAGTTGACCCGAAGATAGAACCACTGTACACGGACACATACTTCTTTCCACAACACTCACTAATCCACACGTATCCTCCACTAGTGGATAGAACTTTTGGGTCCGAGAACATTCCCAGCTGTAAGAACCAGTAGGAAAATGAGTTTAAAAGATTGAATACAATAATATACTAAACTCATCTATCACCAAAAAAATTATCTAATAGTGGACAATTTTCAGAATACCCACAATTCTAGCACACGTCCACACTGTATCATGGTAATGTACCACATCCACACTCTCATGGTAATGTAGTTGCTGTGATGTACCCAACCACATTACTCTATGGGGTAAACAATGTTTTATTCCAGACACAACACCTAAGCACTGGTGGCACTTAAACATACACGTACAGAAATTTGAGTCACTATGGTCTTGTCACTAGACCACAGTGTTTGGTATAGTGGTGAACAAATGTTACGAGCAATTTTCTTACAAAATAACACACAGTATTCATTATGAAAAACAAATAACCTGCCAAACTAATTAAGAACACTGCACATAAGTGAACATAGTGAAAAAAACATATAAACGATGTTGGTTATTTTCACTGTCTCCAGATAGTAAATTCAAATAAAAGATGCAAAGCTCAGACAAGACTTACTGTGAGTTTCACAGGAGTTTCGCTGAATGGTATCTTGTGTATTGAACAATACTGGGTGTTGCGTATTAACCTTACAGTGAGCAACCACTCAACGAACTCTTGTGGAGATTTGAAGAGGACCGATTTAATTTCTGCATCTGTATAAATAATGACAATTATTGAATGTATACAGTACTGTATATATAGAAAGTGGGATTTCATAAACCTAAGCACACAATTCTTAATAAAGTAAAAAATCTCCCCAGGCATTTCAATAAATAGTTCCACTGCAATGGTCTTTTATTGGTGTGCAAGTCCCTGATTATCAGTAAGTAAGAATAAATAACTTTATTTAGGCCATATAACTTGTTCATATAATTCCACTTACAACTGCACCCTAATAAATGAGTTTGTGTAATGACAAGGGTGAAATCAGACAAGTGTTAAAATACACCCAGTAGGCTGATGTACTGTACTGTACTGTACACTCAAGTACTGACCACCAATTAGGGATTATGACAGAATAAGGTTCAATTACAGGAGGTAGGTATTAGGTACAGTATTATCTTTTAACTTACTTGGTCATTTTATTACCATACCTATACAAATCTACAAAAAATCACATCAAAAAGTACAATGCAATAACAACTTGTTCCAATATGGTTCATTGGTTGTTTAATCAATTTAAAATCCTAACTGACTTTGCATATCCACACTGCCAGGCTGGCTCAACATGTCTTTCTACAGACATTTGTATCACACAAGTACTATAATCAAAGAGGACCATAAAATTAACAAATGGAGTCATAAAGAGGCATGGGTCATGACAATACCCCACTAACTTTAGCAGCCAGAGTCAAATGGACTATAAAGTTAAGTGATGCACAATGACTGGCAGATGGACTTCTTAGAAGGGCAAGGGCCCTCATAATAACTGGTTCTTGTGTGGTCAGGAGGTAAAAATGGGACTAAAGCTGACCTTTAAGTTCTGTATGCCAAGTACTATATTTAAAAGAAAAGAATGTTTGGGATATATTAATAAGATATTGCACTTATAAATGCAAATTTGCAGAGATTACTGTTGAATAATTAGCATATACAGTACAGTAAGTGTATCAATATCAGCATTTTAGAAAAATCTAAATTACAACTTTTAGTCTCACTGAATAAAATATCCATACAATGTATGCGATCTTTAACTGGTATGTTAAACCACGAGGATTAAGACATTATGTTGACATTCATTCCCACAGATAGCAATAACATGAACAGATACTCAGACTTACCGAGTTCTTTCCGTTGACTAACTGCAACTGCTGGGGGAAGGGTGTTCTTTGGTCTGGCGATAACATTAAGTAGGGGCAAGAACTTATTGATGGGAGGACTTGTCCCGCCACTGGTATTTGGAGGGCTGTTACCACATGATATGGTAGATGTTGTCTGCAAAATCAATTGTACCAAAAATTTGTAATAATTCATTGTTTATGAACACTACAGTGAGTTCTGCTATAACGCGTGTTTTGATAACGCGAATTTGCTCTAACGCGATTTATGAATTCGGAACAATATTTGTATAACGCGATCGCTTGTTTGCTATAACGCGATTTTTGCTTACTATTTCTCCAATTTTGTGGTATTAACTGTGAATATGGTAAAGAAGAATATCTCCAAAAAGCATTCTGATGATAGAATTCCCGGTGATTATCGTAAAAGAAAGGATATAACACTTGAAGAGAAGCTTGATGTTATCAACCTCAAAATCACCCTTCTCCCCCATCAAGTTACATTCATATTTTTTCAAGGTAAAGTGTTAAATTTACTGTATGATTTCATTATTAGATATGAATGTAACATTTATTTAGACTGTGCTATCCTTTGTGTTAGGCTAACTACTAAATTTTTTCGATTTCGAGTAATCTGCACCTAACCCTATTTTCTCCATAAGCCCTGTTATTTCTATTGTGTGAATTTCTACAACGCGAGGTTTTACAAGAACACAACTATCGCGTTGTAGCAGAACTGACTGTACTGTATAGTGGAAGTTCTATCATGGCTAGAGTGAACTATCTGCCTGAAATGTTAAAAACCTTCAATGGGAAACCTTCTCTATGAATCAAGTTTTCTGAATTTAACTGGAAGAATTGCTTCTTGAATACAATCTGCCACTGGATTCAATATAACAAAGATTAAGCTGTCACAAAAGATTAGCAAGGACAGTAAATCACACATCATTCCCTGAATTAATAATAAAGAAATGTGTACCTGTGTAGGTAGTCCAGAACTCTGGATAAGTGTGGGGATCCTCATCTCTCGTAACACCTGAATGTCAGGACTGCTCGTGCTATTGGTCGTATTGTTCTTGTTGACAATGCTTCCTCCTAAAACAACAAACAAAAAACATATTTCAATACAACTGTAAAGATATTATATCAACTCAAGGTTAAAACTAATTTTTGTGATCTGGATTCAAATGAATGCAGTGATTTTTTCAATTATCAATACAATAAAAACCCCATAACTCGGCATCTGATAAATCAGAATTAGTGGTAAGTTGGCATGGTACCCAATAACCATTACATTTTTTAGTACGTAGTCTGCAAATTGGTACTAAGTCAGCAGGAGCCAAGTCACATGCAAGAACTCGGCAAGGTGGCCCACACTGAACTTCAGCTGGCAGCCCATGAGCATCAGTTTATGTGTGCCTCTCATCACAGGTAGACCTTCTGACAGTGATTAAGTGACTGAGAAGTGTTACTGTACAGATAGTGTTTAGTGTTATGTATAAAGTGTAGTCTGTAAGTTTGTCCGAACAATTATTACAGTGCCATTAAAGAGTTACTGTTTGTCAGAACAATAATTTAGAGAGACCCTGAAAAGTTAGTGTTATGTATAAAGTGTACTGTACATACTGTACAGTGGTTTTGAGTTCAACAGAACAATTTACAGTACTGTACTGACAGTACAGTACCTGTGAAGTGTTGCACACAATACAGTATACAGTACAGTTCGTCTGTCTTTTACAAGCTCATCATGAAATTGTCTCGTGCTGTTGATAAGTACTGTACCTCATACAACACTGTTTATATTTAATTAAAAATATAAAGGCTCATAGCCAGTAAGTCGGCAAATCAATTACTCGGCAAGGCATCAGCCCCATATGTGCTGAGTTATGGGGTTTTACTGTACATCTGTATAAATATTGGGTAATATGAGTTGACTCTCCTCATTTGCTCTCTGACGAGATTGGTAAATTACATAATGATGTCTTCCAGTCCATTCTAGTTTGTTATTGGCAATAGGTCACCAAGAGAATTACAGTGTGAGATGCCTCTCCATGGTATGACTCATCTATAAGTTCTCTTCAAAGGGTTCACAAAAGTGCTGAACAAGAGCGGCATAGGCTGCGAAAAGACCATACTACATCAGAGTACATGACTGTGCATAGGGCTGCTGTTTTTTCAGAGGGGGCATGCAAAGTTGAAGACTACAGAAGTCAAGTATGCAGCTATGAATGCGCCGAAGGTCTGGGACTACTATGCCTTCTTCAACTTTAGATGCTCAGCTTGCCTCTGATTTTTCCTTGTTTTTTATGACAAAGAAATGACCTTGATGTTGGTTGTTTCTTTGAGGAATTTTCAGTTGAATTTCAACTGAGTTATGCCATAAACCTCACTCTTTCATCATTTTATCCTGCAGGAGTAAGCAACATTCTGCACAATATCAAGGACTCAATGAAGACTTTTTGTAGCCTTGATCCTATAAATGTATCTAAGGTATCATTTGCTTATGAACATGCTGCAGACTTTATTTGTAGTCATATATAAATGCTATGCAGAGGGTTATTTTGTGAAATCTGAGAAACAGGCTTTATTGCTTTCACATTTTTAGAAACCTGGTGTTGATACTGAAAATATGTTAAATTATCATCCTTCTCCAATATCTCATTCATATCAAAGATCATGTAGTCTTCTATAAGGGATCAATTACTTCCTCTGTCAGCCTAAAGGAAGTATCATTCAACTGAAACTGCATTCTGTAAAATTCATAACAATTTGGTAATAAACACTTGCACAGGAAAGTTAGATCTTTATGCAGTCTATAACAGTGGATCATTATCTGTTGCTTCAGGATCTTTGCTCGTTTGGTTTCCGTGGGAATGCATTCACTGTTAAAGTCTTATTTGTCAAGTGCAATCTCAGCGTGTGATGGTTGGTGGAACCATTTCAGACCCGGTCCCTTTGCAACTTTGAGACCAGTTAGGTTTGTAGCTTATACCAGTAGTCTTGCATCTCTGCTGGATGCTCATGGTGTTGCTTTCCATTTCTATGCCAATGATACACAGCTTTATGTGAAAATAATAAATGTCTAATACAGACAAAGAACACAATAATGCACACTTACTCGTCGACCTGGTTGTTATGGATGTGGCACTGCTTGTTGTGGTGGTACGTATGGTAGAAGTCTGTAAAATATATATTCCACATTATGACAAGACTCACATAGTACAGTATTTAACATAGTAAGGAAATACAGGAGTCTGCACTTAATGTTCCCAATTAAAGATGCGTATAAGCAGTACCGAACATGATATGCCTCCTTTGTGTAATATGCAGGAAATATTCCAGTGAAATAAAAAAGTGAATCATATGAAGAAAACATGCAAATCAAAATACTGAATAAATCACCTTTGATTTACTGACAGGATCAGTTGTTGTGTTGGAGGGGCTGACACTGACTGTTGATGTTGTTGCTACAAAGCTGGTTGCTGGAAGTAAAAGTTACACTACATCTATAGAATATAAGTCATAATTATACAGTAAATAGGTTACATCTTCATCCATAAAATTTATAAATACATTAACAAATATTATTACATCAATAGCAATTATTAAATACCTACATCCAATACACAACTTTCTAATATAGAGTACAACAGATTAGCAATGCAAATTCTCCCCTAGCATTCCCATTCTTGTAGTTATTAAATACACCTCATACCAACAGTTCTCTCAAACGCTCCCTCATTCTATCCTTCTACTTTGTCTCATCCGAGTCTCCCTCATCCTCTACCAACATTCTGTTTTCATCCATGCCCAGATCACCTACAAAATCAATCCTTCAGACTTCCAAACACATCTTTCTATATTAAAATCTTACCCGATGATCCTCATTAATTATTCTCTGTTCTCATCTTAATTCACTTTCACAATGATACAGGGTACTTTAAGTACTACTTGTTGATCTACTTTATAAACACTGATGTTATCATTTACACCTGCAATGTTCACACACGTGTAGCTAAATGGTTGGGAGAAAACAGCAGAAAGGGACCAATGAACATTGGAAAAGTCGGGACTGAGCTAGTGGTCAGTGGCCAAAATATGTGGAATAGCCGACTGTCTTATTCTACTTGACCTACTTCAGATCATTCAGAAAGATAGGAAAATAATTTATCTTTCAGGGCTTAATGTGTGTGTACTGCTTCACTACCCCTTTAACTATAGAGCTTTAGCTTTTGTCAGGCAAAGAAAAGGTCATGTGACCATCAGTAAGAAAATAAAATCAAGGTAAAGGCAGCAGGTCACACAGTAGTCTAAAAGTTTTACAGTACCTGGGCAGGGTTTGAACCCATAAACCACTTAATGACTTGCCAACACACAGGTTCTAGGAAGATTAGATGTAACAATTACATTTTTCAAATAGTGTTAACCAATATTATTCAGTGACAGTACAAATACAAATGATTAATGTATGGAGAGAAATTAGAGAAACAATTCTTTAGTCAAGTAAAAACTAAGAGTTATATATATTATCTGTAACTCATAAAAATTAAACATTTGCAAATTTGATCAATATCTGCTAGATCTTGAGACACATTGGAACTTATGAATACTTTACAGTATAGTCCAATAAAATACAGAAATATATACTGTATAGTACAAGAACAGGTGGACATACAAAGCAAATAAATAATAATAATAATCAGATGGATCTGTAGTTCATAATTTCTCTAATTCTGAAAAGTTTAAAAGAATACAGTTTACCACGTCAGAATTTGAGCTATGATAAAACTTTGACATTAAATTTAAATTAAGGATATACAGTACTGTATAAGGACAACAGTAAGTGATTTTACATTAAGTACTACATGACCCATAAATACAATACACTGAATGTTTATTAACATCAGAAATGTGCAGACCTGGAGTAGTAGTGACAGTCTGCCCATTCGTTGGCAAAGTACCGGTGGTAGCAATCATCTGACCATTCTGAAGCAGCAGAAACTGGGGAACTTGAAGACCAACCTGAGCCAAAACACATTTATTTATTAAAAATATATTTTGGAAAAAACTATAGAGATATTAACAAAGTATATTTTTACTCTCACTCACTCACGCACACACGCACGCACACACAGAGGCACTCTTACTCATGCACTCTCCCACTATTACTTCTCACCTTCCCTCAGTGTCCTAAATTAAAATTGAACCAGATAATGTGCCTTTTATACTGACTAATGCAATGATGTGGGTACAGCACAGAGAGGAATCAACAATAAACTCTCACTTTTCACCTATACTGACCAAAATGGCTTTTATTTTTAACTTTGAAGATTTCATGTGATTTCCCAGCCTTTTTTAAGTAGGAAGGCATCATTTGAATACAGGGGGTCCCCAGGTTACGAATGGGTTCCGTTCCAAAAGACATTCTTAAGTCGCAACACATGCTATGTGCATACCGTACTTACAGAAGTGTCTAAAATCCCACTATACCATAGCCTAAGTCCTTTTACATACATTTAAAATCAATTAATTTAAGAGAAAAGAAGAAATAGAATGACAAAATACAGAAAATGAAAGTAAAAAAAAAAAAGTCATCAGGTAAATAAAATACTGTAAGTTTAAAGTTTAACCTCATATCGTTCGTAAGACGGGGACCCCCTGTAAATAAATGACAATATCTTAGCCACAAATAGTGCTTGGAAAAAAATATCTTCTGCGTGATTTCTGGTCACTATGCGAGCCCAGAAGTGGTCCTGTGACAGGCTCATTAAATAAATTTCAGGCAATCACTGAGAGTGTTAAGTTCTGTTTGAAGCACTATGGTGACAGTGATAAGCAGTCCTCTTAATTCCCATTTATCCCTAACAAATTTGATGGACTGTTTTGAATCGGTTTCATTTCATCCAATGTGGGGGATTAACAAACAGTAAATTAACGGAAAGCTCACAACTGTTAGTTGGCAGTTCCTTTCAGACAAACCAAAGACATAAACTCACAAGTTATATCAAAATCTTGTTACCATAACTACAAAAAACACAAGCTGAAACTTACCACATTGGTGCCATTGGAAAGAGGCTGAGCCACAGTGGCAGCCACTGAGGTAATGTTACTCCCTGCTGTGCCATTAACCAAGGTTTGTACAGAGACATTCTCATTCTGAAATAAATATATAATACAGTACTCATAGTGTGCAATACACACAAAAATAAATTCAAATGTTAACATGATCAACATTCATGTTTTCCAACCAAAAATTTGCAATTCCTGTGCATGGAGTCCAGACCTCAGTTTAATATCCCCTTTGTCAAACAAGAATATGTTGCACCATTCACTCAAATACAGATGAGAAACAGATACAGTACTGAAATACCAGTATACAGACAAGCATGACTCAGGGCAACTTAGGTCTTCAGCAAATCAATGTTTGATAAGCCAACATTCCAAAATTTGTGACACAGCACTTTCCATATGCTCATATATTCTGGGTTATGACAGGCTCTGTTTTAATGGTGTTAATCTTACAGGACATGCATTGATGACCAGTAAGCAAAAACAGAAAATCTTGTACCCACAAATCAAGCACTACTGAGATAGTAAACAATATTTTATACAGGTATGCTATAACTACCTATAGATATAAGGCATTACAGGAATTACAGTGATACAGTATATAATTATGAAGTTTAACAGAAATACAATGTTCAGTGAGGAGAGTAATAAGTCAAGGATAAAACTGAATCTACTGTACATTGTGGTACATAATGCCTTGGTGACAAAAGATAGAGTTCTGGGTGAGGTGCCTTAAAAGTTATCTTTCAAGAGGTTTTGTAAACAAAAGGTTGCTGTATTCCCATTTGCAGAGGTCAATGTAAGAAAAGGTCAATAGTGGTACCTTGGTGCCAAAATAAATAACCCCAGTCATGTACAGTCTCGTTCAAGATTCTTCGAACACTGCTGGAGACAGCTGGCAACTCAAGGCCGTTTGTTTGCTATAGTACATAGTATAATATAATACGAAACAACAAAGCCCAACCATTAAATTAAGCAACGGGGAACTAAGTAACCAATCACCGATCACTTTTACATTTATTCATAATTTAGACTCAGTACTAAAGCAAACAAACGGCCTTGAGTTGCCAGCTGTCTCCAGCAGTGTTCGAAGAATCTTGAATGAGACTACACTACAATACCTGCACAGCTCCATTCTTGAGCATGAACTGGAGCTTCAGCAGATCATCTTGAAGTTTTTGAATCTTGGTGATTTGGACATCAGATAATCCTTCACTCTCACACTCCAGCACCAACCCCGGGCCATTATGGGTTGTGGAGGTGCTTCCTGTTAAATGAAATTAAATTTGGTATAGCTACAAAAGTTATTTTCTCTGTCAATCTTACTGATTAGTCACGATCTATGTACTTGTCATATAATTAGGGATGAGGGAATAACAACAGTAATATTAATTGGCAAAGTTGAGGGCCAGAGGAAGGCAGAGACTGGGATGGATGAATGATATTAAAAACTGGCTCAGTCAAGTTCTTATTTTATTGCCGGGTTGGGATTGGTTTGGTTAATTTCAACGACTTGTCTAAATGTCTAGCAATGGAAATCTTAGAGGAATGGTTATGAACCACTTTTATACAGGGTCTCCTCTGAGCTGAATAAAACTGTCTGGCAACAGCCAAGTAAAATACTAAAAGTGGTGTCACTAAGTGAAGGGATTGTGATTAAATACTGATAGTACAGTTTCCAATAAGGATTTAAAAAAAAAATCAAGCCTAACTTAAGATCTTGTTATATATTTAATTTTAATTTAGTTTGTTAAGGTTTCATGGGTTCACTTTGTTTTCTAAAAGGAAGTGGTTATTTGACCGGGATTCACGGTCAAATAAAAATCGGCTATTTGTATGGAACCCATGAGAGTTGTCTATGATTTTAATGGGATTCTGATATTCCAAAATGTGCCATTTCTCTCACGGACATAAATTAGCTTAGGTTAGGTTAGGTTAAGTAAGGTTATGTTAGGTTACGTTACATTACAAATATAGTAAAATTATAATTATTCACATGGTACAATAATGCATACACAATAAACATTATAACCCTACATAATCCATGGTCAAATACCCTCTGCCTTTCTAAAAAGAGCTTAGAGCAAAATAAGTATCATGTGTATACTGACTGCCAGATGTAGGTATTATAGAAGAGTACGTGTAGCAACTGGTACTGGTTCACAGTGATATATTCACTTCAATGTCAGTCTGAAATCCTACCAAATCAGACCAAACTAATATTTGACATCTTCTGAGCCTGAGCCAGAAATCTGAATTTCTCAGAGTGCAGAAGTAAAAACACCTAACTGAAGAAAACATACTTGGACTTTCCCTTTCCTCTATTATGCCATATAAGTGCTTACTCCATTCCAATGGCACAGACCATTGCCTCCACACTTTTAATGATTAACAGAAATAATGTCTCAGCTAAGTATTATGTCAGTAATAATGAACAACTAAACAAAGCGATGGAGACCTGTAATCCATTTCAGTAACTCCTCACACTGCATCAGTATCATTGCTAGACTCTTCAACCACCACATTTAACATGTGTTACTGCGATATTCGTATCAGATTTATATTCAAAGCATTAAAACATCCATCAACAAAAAGACAAATAAATTAAGCGGCGACCCTCTCCTTAATGTACTGCGCCTCACCTTTTATGCATGAGGGGACAATTAAAAAACTACACACACGTAAAATTATTATAGTGGATCCCTGTATTCTGTGGATTGTTAAAAAATCTAAGAATAATAAAGAACTCACAATGATCACAGGTAATTAAAGATGGTAAATGAACATATGAAGTTAATCCCTACCTCTGTATAATTAATAATAATGAAGCTAAGTGTAAAATTCCACCTCATACTCCGGCAAAAACAAGGATACTCCTCAACTTCATCTTTACTCGGACTACTGATAAAACTATACATGACCCTACTGACTGATTCTCCACTCTACCAGTCCTCTGATAAAGCATCATCTATAATTATACAGCACATGCTGACAGTGCTCTCAGCACAGTTTTCTACAACCTTCGTTTATTAATCAATTATTTTTTTTAATAACAGGAATTAATACCATGATTTTTATTATTACTCGCCGTTTGAATAGTTAATATATCTCACTTCCTCCACGTTTACTTTATGATCATTATGGTCTTCTTTCTATTTATTTGTGTTGAGTTTTGAAAATACATCAAGAACATAAACAAGACCACCAAAAGTTATACTAATACGACTTTGGCGGTATTCCATTCTAAACACACGCCATGTTATGAGATAGAATTCCCGTTTTCGAAGAGACTCTCCTTGTCCTGGAGAATAACAGTAAATTTAGGGAAAACCAATCCTTACCTCGCCCCATTATCACAGCCGTTTATGCACTGGTTATCCAGCTATCCTTCCAAGAAGTTTCAGTAATTGATATTAAAAAATGGTCAAGTTATCGAAGAAAAACTATAACATTAAAACGAACACAAATGTTTTAGTCGACGCCATATTGTGATGTCAGTCCCAAACAAACCGCTCGACCAATCACAAGCGCCAGAACGCAATGTGACTGTGACGTCATGGTGCAAAAGCATGAGAATAAGATGTGTAAGTTCTTCTAAAATAAACCAATCTGATATACTCTCCTATCTAACCGCTTGCTGTTTTTCATTAAAGCGATGAAAACATGAGTAAGGTATCTTTAGAAAAATGTATTTGCTGTTTTCATTAAAACTGCTTTTTTATTGAAGAAACAAGTACATAATAATGTTCCAATAACATTTCCTGTGAGTGACTTGTTGGGCGCAGACACAGAAGACGGGAAATTGCAAGGAGTTGGTGCTTCCTTTATGCTTTATTCACAGGAATAATGTAGGTTTTGACATTGAAAGTTATTTCAAATGAAGGTTTGACATGCAGTCATAAAATTACCTTTCGATTACTTTATCTGTAAGTTGTGTAAATTAGAAAAATGTGTGTAAAGAAAATTCAGTTGCCTAATAGTATTCCATAAAAGAGAAGCTGAATTGGCACGATTAACTCTGTCTTTTTTACCTCTTGGAATCACTTAGTCTAATATCATTTCATTGCACTTATTTTCAGCTTACTAGCCATTCGGGATGTTAATCTATCCTTTGTACGACTCATTCTACAATGTTAGTACAGGAGGTAACCTGAATACCTGGAGAAAACCTGAGAGGTATGGTAAGGTCACACTGAACACCCTTTTGACCCGGGTAAGGGATTGAACCAGGGCGCAGCGCAATCTTGAGATTACACTCTTCAATCTGTACCACTTAAACAACAATGGTGGTGATGACAGGAAGCATTACTCCATTCCTTTCTAAATGGGGCAAAAATCGTAAAAGATATGATTAAAGTAACTGAAAACGCCAAGCAATTAACTAAACCTAACACTACGGCGTTTCTTGTGGGGCTCCGTCGATACTTTGTCTTTCATCTTGGCCTCGGTTTCTTTGCAATTTTTCTGATCATCTGATATAATTATCAAAGAAATTTAGCAGTGGAAAAAACCTTAAAATTTGAATAGGTTAGGCTGAAGTTATGAGATAAAGTTTGGAAAATATTAAGTTAGGTTAAGGTTAAGTTAGGACTAAAGTTAGGTACAGTTACCTTATTTACCGAATGGCCACTCAAACTATAAAAAAAAAACTTTTTATTGATATCCAAAATAAGCACCGCCTACCAATATGACGTGTCGTTTTGTGAGTGGATGATGTGTCCGTGTGCCCAGTGGAAGCAAATTTTAGTCAATCCAGAAATTTTAGAGCACTTCATTATCAATTAGTTTTCTAACCAAAGTTTAGCAAAACTAGTATAGTTAATGTATCATCATCTTACTAGATAATGTAGCTATTGGATGCATTAATAAAAATTGATTTTTATTTCATAGGAAGAATAAGGTAATCATTCAAATAAAATCTGGACTAAAGCTGGCGAGAGGAGTTTGCGTGAAAACGTCACGCAGTGGTGCTTACATTAGTGACCTTCTGTACTATGACGTACTCTCAGATGACAGACACTTCCAGTACACTATAATTATATAAATATGATTGATACACTGTAGCTTACTAAAAGTAAACCTTCAAAAATATAACATTGATGTTTTTTACCAACTTTACTTGATTTATCTTAATTGGCAGTTAGATTTGCTATAAAAATAAGAAAAGATAAACATCGATTGGTGTCCATGACATGCGGCCTTGCCTCGGGAACAAAGCCAGTGGCCTGTGTGGGTACCTCTATTGTTCTTGATATTCTTGTCTTCTAGGGCTACTTTGATACCCAGTACTATTTGGTCGCCATTCAACACCTTGAATGGGTTGACTGTTCCAAAGATCTACCACGATCTGTGTGGAGTATGTCTTTTTCTTTTTCTTTTTTCTATTATCCTCTTCACCACTGATTGGCTCGTTAGCCGCTTGGGCGATCGGTCACGTCTCTGTTACGCACTGTTGGCGAGTACTGGGCACGCACCGGCTCCTGAACCTGAACCTGCTCCAGTGTTGGTCAAGTCTGGTCTTGAAAGAGCTCACATTCGGTGCCGTCACAACATTTTCTGGTAGATTGTTCCAAGAGTTCACAACTCTCACTTCGAAAAAGTTTGCCCTCAGTTTTCTGGACCTGTGACTTCTTCAATCTTGAGCTATGACCCCTTGTAGGGGTCTTATTATATTCGTCCTGCATGACATCTTGGCGAACTTGAAGTTGTGTCCCCTTGTGAAGGTTAAATTTTTCTTAGTTTACGTAAGGTTGTGGTTAAGTTTGCTTGGTTACGTAAGGTTGAGGTTAAACTAAGGAAGATTAGGTTGCGAGCGAAGAGAGGCAACCACTGATATTCCAAAATGATTAATGGCACGAAATCGTCATCTGTACCTGTAACAAGTGGGGTACCGCAGGGTAGTGTATTGGGCCCGCTGTTGTTTGTTTGTTTCATAAACGATATGCCTGACGTTGTACACTCCTCCATACAAATGTTTGCCGATGATGGCAAGTTATTTCGGGAAATTAAGAACCAAGCGGACTGTGAAGAGCTGCAGAAGGACCTCTGTGGGCTCCAGGAATGGTCGAAGGAATGGCTGCTGAGATTCAATGTCACGAAGTGTAAGAGGATGCACCTGGGGCGTACCAACGGTAAGGAGGCGTACCATATGTCCCAACGGGATGAAGAAAATGTACTAGTTGAGACTGTGTGTGAGAAGGACCTAGGTGTGTATGTTGACAATGAGCTGAAGTTCTCGGGCCATTGTGAGAAGAAGGTAAATCAGGCAAATAAATTATTGGGTCTTATAAGAAGGTCGTTCAGATATCTAGACGGTCCGTCCCTCGTGACGATCTTCAGGAGTGAAGTGCTTCCCCATCTGGAGTACTGTCACCCCATCTGGTCCCCGAGATATGCTAGGGACTGTCAGTTGGTTGAAAATGTTCAAAGGAGGGCCACCAAACTGGTGCCTGCACTTCGGCACCTCAGCTACCCTGAGAGATTGGAGCGCCTGAACTTGCCTAGCTTATACTACAGACGGGCAAGGGGGGACCTAGTTGAGGTTTATAAGCATCTCAGGGGGCACTACTCAGTTGAGTGTCCTTACTTGGAGCTGGCGGACGCTCGCCCCACAAGGGGTCACAGCTCAAGATTGAAGAAGCCGCAAGTCCAGAAAACCGTGAGGGCAAACTTTTTCGGAGTGAGGGTTGTAAACTCTTGGAACAATCTACCAGAGAGTGTTGTGACGGCACCGAGTGTGAGCTCTTTCAAGAGAAGACTTGACCAACACTGGAGTTCAGGTACATTCAGGAGCCGGTGCATGCCCAGTATTTGCCAACAGTGCGTGACAGAGACGTGACCGATCGCCCGGGCGGCTAGCGAGCCGACCTTTTGGTGAAGAATATAAATGAAAAGAGACGTGACCGATCGCCCAAGCGGCTAACAAGCCGATCAGTAGCGAAGAGGATAAAAGTAAAAGTAAAAGTTATATCCTAATACTGGCATTATAAAGCTGGATTGACGCATGGAGCTATAATTGTTGTCTGTACATAATGACATTAATGAAAATATAATGATTCAGGTTTATTTTACGGAATTGGTCACATATATGAAAATAAATCTTTTACAAACTACGGTGTGTAGGGTTACGGGATATAATGTTGTCTAGCACTCAGGATGGATGGAAACTCTAAGGTGGTTTTCTTGTATAATATAAGTTATATGATAGACAGTCTGGTGCTGGAGGTGCCATGTGGTGAGGAGCTGCTCAGTAGAGATGTTCGGTGAGTAGCGTGTTGAAGGAGGTAGATGTGCAGGAGCTTCGTTAGAGAAGATGTTGCCTGTTGCTGGCCTCCTGGTTGAATGAATGTGACAACGTGGAGCTTGCTGGAGGTGTTGTTGCTTGTTCAAGAAGAGAGACCAGAATGAGAGCTGGTTGGTGAGGAAGCTCAGAGAAGGACAGCTGGTGGGTCGCCATGCTCGCTGGCGGGAGCGAGGACCGCCAGGCAGGCAGAGGAGAGGCGAGGGTCGCCAGGCAGCGGCGGAGGAGGAGGTGTTGCGTGTTGTAGAAGAGAGGCTAGAATGAATCTCAATGGAGAGACAGAGCTTATATACCCAGCAGCCGCGAGTCCTCTATGAGTCATGTTGGGAAAACCCGAGAAAGTCGCCGGTCTCTAGTTCCATTGCTAGGTTACGGTAACATCTGGTGTCGCCGCTCGCTTGGTTGCTAAGGAAGGCGTCGCAGGTGGGATGCAGCTACGCAGTTTGTAGGGGAGACGTCCGCTACAGGTGTATTGTCAGAAGTACAATAGTCACACAGACAGTACGTATATCATAAAACACACCTTATTATTTCGTTGAAACTTGATTGTTATACATTCGTGCATTATTACTTCACGTTTTTCATTCTTTTAGGGATTTTGAATGTTTCAATCAAAGCTGGATTAACCTTACTTTTATCCTCTTCACCACTAATCGGCTCGTTCAGAGCGAGACGCCACGGGCGTCTCTTCCCACTCACGCAGGTCAGTACCCCATCGTATTTATAAAGGCCTTTCTAGCAGTTTATAAACATTGAAACCTTGTCTAATGTCATAAAGTGAATAAATAGTTGTAATAGTGTGTGGTGATATAAAAATCCCTCAGGCGCTATGATCAGTCGGGCGTCTCTTCTCATACACGCAGGTGTACGCCGAGAGCGTACAGTATGTAGGCCGGGGGGTGGGTGGGGGGGGAGGCGCAGAGCATTGCACAGCCCAGCCATCATCGTCCTCCTCTGAGGCACCCACGTGTTACTGTGGGGAACGCGGCTGGCCACCCTGCAATCTCCTTAAGGCCCCTGGACATCTCACATATCACCATCTAGGACAGAAGACAATGATTGTCTTATATGGAATGATTTGCAGTCGCCCTCCTTTGAGGGCTGGTGCCTGCACTACAACACCTCAACTACCCTGAGAGATTAGAGTGCCTGAAATTGCCTAGCTTTTACAACAGACAGGCAAGGGGAGACCTAATTGAGGTGTATAAGCATCTCAAAGGGCACTTCTCGGTCGAGTGCCCTTACCTGGAACTGGCGGACTCTCGCTCCACAAGGGGTCACAGCTCAAGGTTGAAGAAGCTGCAAGCCCAAGCTCTTTCAAGACTAGACTTGATAAGCACTGGGGCAGGTTCAGATGCATTCAGGAGCCAGTGCATGCCCAGTACTTGCCACCAGTGCATAACAGAGACGTGACTGATCACCCAAGCGGCTAACAAGCCGATCAGTGGTGAAGATGATAAAAGAGAAAAAAAGTAGCCTTAGGCCCTCAAGTTCAGACCTTAATTTGTGTTTTTAAGCTTAATCAGTCAAAACTTCATAAGGTGGTTAAGTAAATGACTTATGTTTATGAAGGCTCTATGGTTATTATATACTAAGGACCTCTTTTATACGTATTTAGTGAGCGACATGAACACCACCATAGGGGATAAAGCTGTCTAAATACCCCATAAATATCTTTTTATCCTCCGTTTTCTCTAAATTCTCATTCAAGATTTAAAAATGTATTGTTTTTATATCATAGTTTGAAAGCAGGAAGAAAGAATTTCATTATATGACTGAAATTGAGTTGTATGCTCTTAATAGAAATTGACTGAAATATCAGAAAAAGAGGATTCAAAAATTTACCATCCAGTTTATAGAATATCTCCACTGACGCCACTGTTAATATTTTGTTTGGCTAACACCAGGCGATTTTATTAAGCTGAGGTGGGGGCCCTATACATAAAGGGATAAAGAAAGACTACCTGCACCTTAAATTCGAAGTTGAATCTAAGAGGGGCATGGATGGACCAGTTACGTAGACAAATAAAAATCTTGCACATTAATCCTTAAATATTTTTTTTTATGTACATCAGCATCCATAGTTGGAGCACACATACCCATGCCAGTAGGAAAATATTTCCAAGTTTTCAGAATAATACTGACCTCCATCATGCAGGGAGTTTAACCCCCAAAATAATGTACCGTGACCTTCATTTTTTCCAAATTTTTTTCTTGTAAAAACATGGCTTTGCACAGGCATATAAATAAATGTGGATCAGCTGAAAATTACCCCTTACAAAGTGCTCACCTGGAGTTCCACCAACCAGTTAACTCACCTGGGGGAGCTAATCTTCAGATGACTGTGGACCTCAGTACTCACCTGAAGATTGACTCCCCAACTTATCCAACATGATGTTAAGTACCCTTACTGAAAACAATGCCCAGTAGCATTCTTACCAAATTGTAGTATGGTTATAAAAATACAAAACAATGCACCTCCACTTGCTGTGAGTGATGGATCCCAGCAGAGCCACAGTTTGTATAATAGGAAAACTTTACCTGGACTATTTCCATGTAGCAAGTTGCTGGTTTAGTGCTCGTGTCGATGATGCCGAAGGCCCATACAATAGTATGTGGTGCTCGTCCCAGATGATGCCTTGGTTTATGAAGAAAATAAAATTGGTCTATTACATGATAATCCCAAGACCAATGAGTTGGGTTGGATTTGATTAAAAATGCCTCATGTACATTTCCAGAAAAAAATAGCAATCAATCATAGTTTTCTTTGAAACTTTTACATGACAGCTTGTTTTGTCAGTGTTCATTCCACAGATATCTTGCATGGACCCATTTCTGAAGTGACACATGGAACAAGGAATAAAATGATCCACTCGTTTTGTTGTCTCGGTAGGGTTACCTAAATCTTACATCCGTTGTCATATTGTCTTGCAATTCTATAAGCATAGTTTTTTATCCTCATCAGGGATTAGCCCGAGTCATGTACTGTATGTGGTTATGCAGTAACATTTTTAAAGAATCCAACAAAGCCTAGGTCCCAGGTCCAATTCCATGTGGTTGACGATGTTGGTGGCTATTACTTTATATCCAAATTTACATTTTATTCTGACTTTTGAACACATACCATAAAGAAAAAGGCAATATACTAGTACAGGTACTGTAATCTATTTTTTGACTATATCTTCTAGCAGCATGTTGCTTTCTAGCTGTTTTTATTCCTATTAATGGGGTGTATAACTGCACAATGACCATTTACAAGCATTGTATCATTTCAGAAACAGGAAAATGTCTAGTCTTTGGAGCAAATTTTGTTTCTGTAATGATACTCACTGTACAGTAGTACCCCGATTTACGCGGTCAATTGAACCCACAGGGTACCGCGGAAAGTGAAATCCGCATAAATGGAACAACAGAACATATGGGATTAATTCCAATAGAGACTGGCCCGACCCCCAAACTCCACTTTTTGACGACACACAACTATGTTGTAGTAAAAATTTTATCTTAACTTTATGATGGTATGCACAAACAAGTAATATAGAAGAGGTTAGGTTAGGAAAAATAAAGGTTAAGTTAAGAAAAATATAGGTTAGGTTAGGAAAACTAAAAGTTAGGTGTAACACTTATGTTAGTAGAAGAGATGGGTCAGCATACGGGGATGGAGGCTGGTTCCGAGGCAGAGGGCAGATTACTGGCCCTCAGGTGAATCACCATTACTAGGTGCGTCACCATCACTATCAGTTACAGTTGTCAGGGCTTCCCTGACAAATCCCTCAAAGTCACCTTCACTGTCACTGGCTCTGGCTGGCTGTGGTGGGTTGCGAGCGAAGAACTCGGTAATGCTTTTTTGACGGCTAGTGTTGATGTTGTCTTGATACACCTTGACATGTTCCTTTCTTCAAATCTTGAATGATCTGGTATTTCACTTCGTAGCTTAGGGAACGGCGTATCTTCTTTGGCTTAGGGCGGCTGGGTCCAGGTAAGGAAAGGTTTCTCTCTGGTGGCAGTGGTCCGGCGGAAGCCATTTCACAGAACAATGGATGCACGTATACACGGTGTGGCCTGGAGGGATGAAACTGCCGCGGCTAGGTCAAGCGTCGTCTTTCCTCCCTCCCTCCCTCCCCGGGTGGACACGTCATATTACTTTAAACCAATTACAGCTAGCAGCAGAGGGGGGTAGGGATGCATGGCCAATCACAGCCCGATACGTCATATGACGTCAGTGATAACGCAACAGAGACATGCACTGCGCAACCTTACCGCGCGGCTTGCCCAGGCGGAGGCGGGAGGAGGGAGGAGGTGGGAGCAGGCGGGTGGGGCGAATCTAAAAATAGCGTCGAGCCGGACACTCTGCGCGTATATGGGTAGATGAACCGCGGAAAGTGAAAGTTCGGTTCTGGCGAGGCACCGTGTATATGAGAAATCGCGTAAAGTGAAACCGCGTAAAGCGGGGTAATACTGTACTTATAAATGATTAACTTACAGTTCTTTACAAACACACAATCAGTCTTTCCTTTAGAAAACTAGATAATGCATGGTTCATTCATAAAAACTGAAAATACACTGTAAAACCTTACCCCTTACCTACTAGGGGGTGAGTGGCCAGGCATACAATATTTTCCAAATAAAGAATGCAAAGGAGGGAGGTTAGGGAAGGTGATGGGAGGTCACTAGGCAGTTTCTCGTCATGGCCAGCTTATATAATTTTTTATCTCTCTGAATGCAGTGTCTTAATTTGTAATTTCTGTAAATGTGTTGCAAGGTGCACACAATCCACATAAAAAATAAACTGTGGGACCATGGCTACCAAATTGTTCTTACAGCAGTAATCATTATAATATTTGGATAGCACTACTTGAGACTAGCTTACAATTAAAAGTTTGCAAATGAAAATAAAAAGTATTTCTTAAATGGATGGGTCCAAGACAACTGCATTTGGACCCAGAGGAGGGAGAGTTGGAGTGGTGTAGTTATTGGGTAGGCAGTGTCTTAGATGACAATCTGTTTTAAATGCAACCAATTTGTCTAAAAATATGACCACCACAAGTTAAAACTAAGAAAACAGGCAATGCACTGGTGTACAATGGAGCTAGGAGTCCATGGAAAGTATGCAGTCCCAGATTCAACAGAAGGATAGAAATATATCTGTTAAAATAAAAATATATATTTTTTAAAATCAAACTACATAATAGAGGGCTGCAGGAGCTTAGAATGCCAGATTACTGTATTGACATTGCACAATATCTGACTTTAAATTGTAAGTTGTATGACACCATATAAGCTTATCCTTTGTCATAAGCTTGCTATCCTATACACTATTAAAAAGAAGATAAACCATAAACTATACAGGTAAGAGTTGAGTTTATCTTGCTGTAAATGGCAGTTACGACATTTCCCTTAAGTACCTGTCTGAACCATTTTCTTTGGTTACTCTTCAGTATAAATTTATTACCAAACTGTACTGTATTTCACTTAGGCTTATTATTGGCTTATAATCATTGTCCAAATTTTCCATTAAAAATATGATTTCTGGCATTTTATCTTTTTTTTTTTCCTTTTCTGTAGGAACACATCGTGGCTTTCATAATGGGAGTCTATAGGAAGAGAACTTTATCATAAACATGGATATACAATTCCCCCTCGCTTAGCGTGGGTTTGTTCAACGTAGATTTGCTTGAACAGTTTTTTTATTACTACCTGGTATCGCTTAACATGGGGCTAAGATTCACTGAAACATGAAACATGGGTTTAGACAGGCTAACACTGGATAATTTGACTGAAAGCAGTCAGGTAGAAAATTTTTTGTGCAGGCCAGCAGTCCAGAGTTTAGCTGGTGCTTGATCCAGCCTCAAACAAAAACTTCACTTGGATTAACTTGTTTTTTTGCTTGCTTTTGTTACCATGGCTCCACCTAAACATTTTCTTTGTAATTTCAGAGCAGTTTTTTTTATTTACAATATTTTTTTTATCTGTATAGTGGGCAAAGAAGTTCATAAATAACTGAGAGTTAAGGGAAGCAACACATGCTTCCACGATGGATCTTGAGGCAAAACACTGGTGTGAGGAGGAACTGGCTGGCGGTGGCTGGCCTGCATCACCTCACACACACACACGATGACCACCAACACCACACTGCCCTCATCATATAGCTTTACTTCATACTCTTCGCCACAATCACTTCCCCAGCAACATCACAATCACTTCTCTCGCACCACCACCACAAATACTCCTAACACACAGACACACACAAAAATCAATAGGGCAGTCAAAATGAATAAACAGTTCTTCATGAGCCAGCAAGATTTACGTTATGGTTATTTCTCAACTGATAAATTTGGGTACATAAATTTAACTTTCTTCATATTTTTTTATTCAGTTACATGCACACACAATCTTATATACAGAATGTGAAAATAAAAAATTAATCATTAGGTCAAAGGCATAAAATGAATTAACATTTCTTTGTGTGCCAGTTGGAAGGGGAGAGTCTCCAACCAGGATGGGTTACTATGCAAAGGTTTGTGGGAGACCATTCAAAACTCAGCCAGCCTCTGCAAATGGCTGCTGTGTTAAACTTTCAGGAATTGATTTTATGGACATGCTAGTGCCTACACAACATTATGTTTATGTGAATTTGGTAGATGTATGTATGAGTATTAGTGAGCTACTTTAGAGCTGTAAGATATCTTTGAACTTTGGTTTTGGAGTGTTTTTGGTGGAGGGGGTGGATTTTTTGGGGGTTCACCTGACGCATTCCCTATCTCCCCATGTTATAATGGGTTTGCTCTACACAGCGTTTTCTGGAAATGCAACCTTCGTGTTAAGCAAGGGGACAGTGTACCTGCATAAAATGAACAATTAATAAATTTACATCAGCAAAGTTTTGCTCCTGTAAACACAATACTGTATACGTATCAAAACAATTTCCATATCAAAAGTAGTATTATCTTAAGACCTAAAATTCAAAACTAAATGTTTCATTTTGTAAAAGAAAATAAATTTGCATTAAACAAGATATATTTACAATACAATCACCAAGCACAATACACGTTTCATTTTATAAAAGAACAACTATATTAAATAGGTTGTATCTGTCATTTAAATATCTAGCACTGTGAACAATGCAACACAACTCCATGTTAATTTTCAACATTTTGACAATTGGACGCTCTTAAGATTTGTTAAAAACACTTTTTTGGTGACGTACTGAATGTTTTTAAAATATGCTCCTGAAGTGGCCCAAGGTATTGTTACTAAGAAATATACTGTACAGTACACTGAAAGTACTGTATAAGCCTTCTTACACTATAGGTTTGTTAATCAATCTATCATTGTCGTCAAGTCTCAACCTTAATCATCCACTTCCATACTCACGCTCATAAAATGAGTAATGTCCAGTGATGGCTCGCGTGTCTCTTGAACATCAGGTGTTACTGACGGTAGTAATGTTCCAGGTGATAGAATACCACTCACAGCAATGTTGCTGAGGCCAAGATTAGCCAAAGATAATGCCCCTCCAGTTACTGGGTCTCCATGATACACCATGACATCTGACACTGATGGATAGGCAGACTTTCTTCCACCTTCACATAAAGCAAGATGCCGTGCTGTTGGTGACAGAGTTAAAATAAGAGACAAGAAAATAAACAATATGGTAATTATGTACATCTGATTCACTTCCAGGATTAACTTCTCACATAAGTGTTGACTGCAAGCAAACTCATATCTCTATGAACGAAAATAGTGAACCTAAAATCCAGATGTGATTACAGTACTTTAAATATCATCGTATTTATGGTCATCCTGTGTACAAAGGCTGGTTTATCTTACAACAACCTATTTGGGGGTGAGTCCTGGCCCCTACAAATTAAAACTGTTATATAAAATGTCACAATTGTCATTCTAGAACACCAGCCTAGAATTTCCAGGGCCATTACATATTTAAAGTAAGCCAAAGCTATGATCAGTACAAATGTGAACAAGTAAACAAAATAAAATATCTAAGAGTATTATTTGCCATACCTTAACAATAACATTGGATAACATATCCCATAAATGCCCTTTGGGGTCCACTGCCAGTTAAGAAGTGAAGCGTGAGCAATCAAATTCTTCAGGGTTTATTTGTTTGGGTTGGACGGTCATCACTTTAATTATACCTTATACCTTCAATTGTGATATAATCACAGTGTCAGGTCCCCCTCACTTGAAGCCGATGGTAGAGGGGGGATGGGAAGGATAATTGGTTTATTCAAGCGATAAACAGATTAATCAAGTTGACAGTGGAAGGTGCTCTTTGATAGATTCAAGGATCCCCTGATAAGTTATTCAGTTATCTGACAGCCTCCTGGTTCAGCATGAATGCTAGAAAATATAAGTTTAACTTATGCAAATTTTTGTGTGTTTGTTCAGGAAACTTTTACCTAATATGGAGACAGGTAACCCACAAGTACACCATTAAGAAATCAAGAATAATTATGCATTTGCAATGACAATACAGTATTTTGTCAAATTAACAAAAAGTTGGCAGCTGGTATCTGTCATTAAAATCCTATTTGCCTTACCTGTGTACCTAATTCTAAAAAACATACTGGGTAATCCAATCTAAACACCTGCCAGCAGAATTACATTTTGACTTCACCAGTCAGCTGACGGTTGAATAACCACATCATGTACAGCTGCTTCCACATGATTGTACCACAGTCTAGGTGTGTGTGTGTGTGTGTGTGGGGGGGGGGGCATTTACAAGATGTAGCAAAGCAGTGCCATAGCCATGGGCGTGAAACCATGGATTACCATGTTTGCTGGTTTCCCATAGTTCATTTCTAGTCACGAGGGTTGTGGCTATACAACATAGCTGCATAATACGTATTACAGGGTTCATTTATCTGTTTGCCTCCTTCATTGTTTGTATCTTATCACAAACGGTAATTTCACTGTTTCATGCCCATTCATTTAGCCCTGATTTTAGCACTGGCATTGCCATATCTCATACTAAAGCCCTCACACACTCCCAGGCTATGATACGTTCACGTGGAGGAAACTGTACATGAACTTGGAAAATACAACTTTTCAGAATTTCCTTGTGGCCTTAAATAATATTTTTGGGGTAAGCAATCTTTAAATAAAAATGCCTTACAAAGAAATTATGAAAGGCAAAGATGTTATGTAGTTGGTTCTCTATAAAATATATAAAAACCATTAGTTGAACAAAAAATCACTGAAAGGGGGATCTTACCAAGGTGGTTACCACTGCGAGTGCTGAATCCACAGATACAGAATAGTGGTTGAGGAAGTATAATAGGTGGGCCAATATTGTAGTGTCGTTTGTTTATTCCACTAGGGTGAAACACTTGGTCATGCCTGCTGATCATACTACTGCAACATGTTGCATAGCTACATTTAGCACACTTCTGAAACACCCTGACCAAAGGGAGAGAAAAACAAATATTGGGTTTGCAAAAAGGAGTATATATTTTTTAAACACATTTATATAGCTACTATTTTTTTACACATTGTATAATGTACAGTACGTATCTAGTTACTACTTTTATACATTTATCAAGTTACTATACTTGTCACTGTGTTTGTGGGTGTCATTGGTACACAATATACTAGAAAATGTTTCTCAGTTAAAGTACTGCTTCTAAGGAAATAGGTTGCTTTAAATAACTTTACAGGTATATCCCCCCCCCCTCCTTCAGTTACAGAAACTAAGGTTGCAGAAATTACCCCATACGGAAATTGTGTATTATGACAACTAATTTTGGTATATGGCCCGTAAATTTGACCTTATAGATATGGAGTAAATTTTCAAAAATTTCAAAGGGGCTAAAAAATCCTTTCATTCCTCTCAAACCAGACAAGTTCCTACACTTAAGAATATTTTGACTCTGCCCTATCGTAATGAATTTGTCCCGTTAGTTCGGTCCCTCAAGCTTCTAAATATTAATGTTGTTTTCAAGTATGACTCTACCATTACCAATATGTTAATAAGGAATAGCCCAAGTTTGAATGTAAATGGAAGTGTTTATTGTATTCCATGTAGCAAATGTAATTGTAATTATGTAGGACAAACAGGAAAAACACTGCAGCTCAGAATCAAACAACATAAGTATAATATCAGAACAGCATCTGAAAGCAGTGCCTTGTTCGTTCATGTTAGGAATAATAATCACCCCATTGCTTGGGAAGAAAGCTTAGAAGTATTTAAATCATCTTGTGTCACAGAAAGACTTCTGGTTGAAGCTAGTTTGATTAAGGAATTAAAATCAATAAACCTTAGTGATGGTCAGTTCAAAACTGATAATATGTTACATAAATTTATTTGTCAGCGGCCCAAGGTTAAAAATGCTTTGAAAACCTTTGATCTAGATGTATGATAGTTATTTTGTGGGTCCCTTATTTTTGACCTGACCTGACTAGTCACATCACCCCCTTCTCTTCAGCTCCTCTACGTGTGTGTTGGTGTGGGGATTAGTGGATGACATCATTATGACCTGACCTCATGTTTTTAAGGTCACCCTGTATATTTAAGCCTCTCTCTGTCCATGTAGTCCAGTTGCCTCTGAAGATGTCTTGAATAAAGACGAAAGCTAAGGTGCTCCGTTGTTCCCATTTTCCTGTGTGATTTTATCAAGATTTATCTTATCCACGTTTTCATTGTGGATTTACATGAAAAAAAAATATATATATATATATATATATATATATATATATATATATATATATATATATATATATATATATATATATATATATATATATATATATATATATATATATATATATATATATATATATATATATATATATATATATATATATATATATATATATATATATATATATATATATATATATATATATATATATATATATATATATATATATAATTTATTTGGTGTTTGCTACCACGAAGTGTGGGTTTGCAGCACAATCCCTTTCATTGTTAGGCTGAAAATCTAACCTGTGGAATCGGACACCGCGCAAAATGTCACCAGAATTGAGGTTAATGAAATATGGTTTTAAGTTGTAACAAAAAGGAAATAGTACTCAATACTAAACTCTGAATGCAACACTTACATCTTTAACTATTTACATACCTGAAATGATTTTCGAGGGTGAGACTTTCATCACACTCAATACAGTAGTAACTCTTATCTTCATCGTTGGTGTCTACCTTCAAGTTGTTTATCACCTCAAGAGTTGAGGATATTGCCACAATGGAATTTTGTTGGCTGTTAGCATAATAGGTCACATCTTGATTTGGCATTGGTGCACTTTTCACCCATGGCCTAAACATAATGCGATTCTGACCAGCAGGCACTTTATAACGTTGAAGACCTGGAATGAGTCATGAATAAGCACTAAAAACCGATTCCTTATGCATGTCTTAATATTACTGTGACATCATTAATGTTCTTGTTATTAAGAAAGACCTTGGAAGGTACTGGAAGCTTATCTGAGACTTACCTCAAGCACTCCTACCAAATACTATTAATACAAGTAGACCTCTATCTACGAAAGGGTTCTCTTCCTGAAAAACCCTTTGTAAATTGAAGCACATTTTCCCAATATCTTCCTTTTACAAAAGCCAAGATATGCTTCTGCAGAAAAGTCTTAAACAACAAAAATGTTACATTTTTGGTGTAGACAATATTTATAATAAGCACATTTAGTGGAATATAACCAAACCATTAAGAAGTGTATAACTGTACAATACAGTAATAAGAAAAATAATAATTATACTTTATTGCTGTACTAATACTGTGAGAAGTCCTGTATTGGTGACTTCATAAGGAGTATGGAGATTACTGTACAGGTATCCCCCACTTAACAAAGGTGTTAGGTTCTTAAAACACTTTGTTCTGTGAAAATTCATTTTGCAGAAGATAGTTTCCTATTATTTCTATGGGTAAAATTTAGTTTGGTGCCTATCACTAAGTTTTTAGTAGCCTAAAGTTCATTCAATAGAAGTGTACAGTTATTAGAAAACAGTATACAGTAAAAGTCCAAAAATCCAGATGCCAGAAATCCGGACCACCTGAGAATCCGGACTTTTCGAAAACTCAAACTTAACTTTTTTTTTTTTTTAGCTGGCTTTTGTGTGCATTCGTGAGCGCCACAGTTGCACAGCGACCACGCGGTCGCCACTTAAAACGAGCTATCAAACTGTGACAACGTATGTAATTTTGAATCCTACTCATTCCATTTACAGAGTACTGTACAAGCCCATAATAATGGCTCCTAAAGTAGATTAACTTCGTTGTGTGAAGAGAAAGAAGAACACTTTGAAATTGAGTGACAAACTTGAAATAATTAAGAAACTAGAACGTGGTGTGAGCAATACTGTTCTAAGGGAAACATATAACATTGGAAAGTCTACAATTTATGATATAAAAAAGGCAAAGAATAAAATTTTAGAATTCACAGCTTTATCTTTAAGACTGCTGTTTTAGATAAATGAAGCATGCTATATTTGCTAATGAATAAACTATCAAAATGTATCTGTTCATCTCTTCTTTATTTCTCCTGAAATTTGAATTTTAAAAGTACTGCCTGAGAATCCGGAAAATCCGAAAATCCGGACCAACCCAATCCCCAAGCAGTCCGGATTTTTGGACTTATACTGTAGTAAGCTATATATGAAAAAGTTTTATTTTCCTATGGCTTTAACTGCACTTAATAAGTTAAATTTAATTACAAAGAATTTATAAAGAAAGTAAAAAGAAAATGACGCGAACAGCAGCGGACGAGGATTTCTCTGACTTCATCTCCTCTTTTGACTACATTACGTATGATATTAAACAAAGTGACTTGTTTTTCTAGTGATTTTCATTAAAATGTTAATGCGAAAATTAGAAGGAAGAAAAGACTGATGAGGCAGCGGGCTCTTGTGAAGGTTTCTTGGATGGCGTAGTGGTGGTAGGCACTATGAGGCAGATGTCGATTGTTTAGAGTGTGAGTCGAGGAAAAGTGTCTTAAATTTCTCTGCTTCTCTTCTTATAATTCCCAGTAACAACGTATGTTTTGTACAATGTCACAAACAACCTTGATGTTACATTCCATTTCTGGATCATTTTCTTTAATAATAGTGAAAGCTTCCTTCATCTTCACAAAGAAATCTCTCAAAACTTTCACACTAAGAGTTTTGTGACCTTCAATTTCATCATCCGACTCTGCTACTACTAGTTAATTTTGTACTTGAATGTCTTCAATTGTAAGTTCCTTGGGAACAGCATAAATAATCTCCCCCATGAAACATAAAGTAATGCTGTGTGTGTTGTGGGAGCCGCTGCCGTCATCCATATTTAAAAAACCTTTGTTATAGCAAACGAACCCCCTCGTCTACCGTGGAGTTGTATAAAGTAAAACCCCTCATTATAGTGAGCATTCGTTCCTCAGACGTTTGTTAAGCAGGTTTTACTTGTACAGTATACTGTACCGGTATACAGTATATAAGTATACTTACCATATTTACACACACTTAAAAACACAAACTCTCCTTACCTTTAACATTGACACAACTAATATGATCTCTTCTTTTATGTTCATCAAGAATATATTTACTGTAAAAGGACAGCACACAGGATTTGCATTTCCAAACTTGGAAAGAATGGTTCTGAAATAGAAAGGAATATCATTAATGTTATTGTTAAATCAAAGAAGACTGCATGCCAATGAGAATTGTACTGTATTACCTTGTACAGTCAATTAATTATACAAGTACACAGTGTGCATGTAAAAATAATAATCCTCCTCCTCCTCAAATGATTTTATAATATTGGCCTTCTACAGATACTTCCTCAACCTACCCTCTTTAACCTTCCATCCAGTTTTGAGTACCTCCAAATTTCCTTTCAACTTATCTGTCAAGTAGCTTTTTTTTATCATATGGAGTTCAAGTAAGAAATTCCACTCTTGGTCTGTTATTGTAATACTGTACAGTACAGACATACCCCGATAACCAACGCAAATAGGAACTGTGAAAAATCATTGTTTAGTGAATCAACAGTTATCAAAGCAATTAATCCCATAAGAATATACAAATTCAGGGGGTTAGGGAACCAGCCATCCCCCCAAAACTCCCATCTACCCTTGATATAGCTCTGTCATGCACACTGTCAAGCAAGAAAATTAAGTAGACATATAAAGCAAGCATAATAAGCCTTAAATGAGGAATTTAAAGCACAAATTGAGACTGTTATTTACCTGTAGTATTGAGGACAGTCTATGGTGGCAAGTTCAAGTCTCTACTAATCTTTGCTGGTCCATTACATCAACAGCACAAGGAACTATCATTGGGGCGTTTACCGTAGGCACGATTGCGTAACCACATTAAGTTGGAAGTAACGAGAAAATCAAGTCTACCAATATTTGCTCGTCCATCACCACTCTTATTACACCTTATCACATCACATCAAGCTGCCCCTATAAAAGGAACTAGCATTTTGGCGTTTAGGCATGAATGTGTAACACACGAAGTCTGGTAAAAAAAACCCGGAGATATGTAGTAAGTGTAAACAAGTCAAGATAGGTGGGAATGAGTCAAAGGCACAGATCCCTCTGGTTGTAAGAATTTGCCACCAGGGTTGGAGAGAGGAAGGGTATCTAGCCATAAAACATGCTAAAATTTGCCGGAGGACATGAGGTAATCATGGCTGGCCCAGTGTAGAAACTGACAATAAAACAGTGATGCTTTGAGCATACATTACAGTACTTGAAACATTTTTAAACTATATAATGTCGAGTTGATGCTGCCCCATGACAAAGATTACGTACAGTAATGAAAAATCGTGGCAAAACATCCCTATCACTTGCCTTTTGGTAAGTATATGTACCAGTACATTATATTCTCTGGTATGCTACCATACATTTAAGGATAACACTCTCATGTTTGCAAGGCAAACAGTAAATAAAATCCCTGTCAAAAGAAAGATCTTACCAGTAAATGCTGGAACATCCGCTGGGAGAAAGTGTTCGCAGATGTGGTGGTGATGGATTTCACTCTGAGGCAGAAGTGACACTGAACATGTGGTGTTTCTTTATGTTCCTGTTGAAGGAAACACAATTGTCACTACAAGCTCTCAAGCACAGAATATAATACAGTACTTCAATCCATCTATAGTCAAAGCCAACATTATTATACAGTTATAAGTATGGATTCTGGAGCAAAGAAATTACAAGTACTGTAACAGAAACAGTGTATTTGAAAGTAATATGTGGGATGAGCAAGACACTGAAAATAAGAAATATTGAAATATAAATGACATGTGGAAGTGAGAGTGTATTTTGGCAGATGCTGGATCATGGTTTGTTCAGATGATGTAAAGGGCGCAGCATAAGTTTACTGCAGGAACTAAAAATAATTTATCCATAACTCATCTTTAGGTTTATATCACTGTGTACAACAACTTGATCTTTCTCATGATTGTAATTAAAAAAATAAGTTATTATGTATGCAGTAAACCCCCACTTTACGCGTTTCCAAGTTTACGCGGTACCCTGCCGAAACCGGAATGCTCACTTTCCGCGGTGTGTGTACCCTTTTACGCGGAGAGCGGCGCGAGCAGGGTGCGCACAAGGTCGCCCAGTCATCAAAACATTACCGAGTTCTTCACCCGCCACAGCCGGCCCAAGTCAGTGATAGTGATAATGATAGTGAGGATATGGACTTATATGGACTTTGAGGGGTTTGACAAAGAGGCCCTGCAAGCCTCTGTGGTGGATAGTGATACAATTGATACAAGTGATACAGGTGAGGGCCAATAATCTGCCCTCTGCCTCGGAACCAACCCCCATCCCCGTGTGCCCAGCCATCTTTTCTACTAATGTAAGTGTTAAAAAACCTAATATTATTGATATTTCTCTTAATTATTAATTGTGTGTGCATACCATCATAAAATTAAGAAGTTATTTTTACTACAATGTAGGTATTGTGTCTGAAAAAGTGGAGTTTGGGGGTCGGCCCGGTCTCTATTTCAATTAATCCCATATGTTATGTTGTTCACTTTACGCGTTTCTCACTTTACGCGGGCCGCCGTGGGTTCAATTGACCGCGTAAAGTGAGGGTTCACTGTATACTGTATATTGAACTCTCACCTCATAAAATAAAATAAGTTTTACATTCATGTGGAATATCTACACAATATTCAGACGTTAATTCACGATCCAAATGACAAATAAAATGTGGAGGAATTATTCAATCAACTTTACTAATTAATATGATGAAAAAAATAGTGATGTATGTACTGTAACCACTTACTTTATTGAAGTGATCAATGACGCTGAAGTAAATCGATGTAGCGAAGTGGCAGAGTTCACAACGGTAAGGAAGTTCACTCGGGTAGTGTTCTACAGTCATGTGGTCTATTAGCTGGTAGTCCTCTTTGAAAGGGTTTGAACATATTCGGCACCAAAAGCAACTTGCATCCACTTGCATATGACGCTAACCAAAAAAAATAAAGAGTAAAATACAGTCAATAAATTCTATCAATATTCAATAAGTTATTTTCTGGGATAACCAAAACTAAAAGACATTAACTTCAGATTCATTACATAATTTATTCAACAACTTCGTTGTGGGAAAAAAAAATCACTAATTTTTGTGCCAGAAACAATATTTTTGCTTTATTTTTCTCTGTTTCATCTGATCTTCTGTCCTATATATCCTCCCTAACATAGTGACATACACCCAGGTCTGGTAATGTCAACTGTCATTTTTGTCACTAAATACAGTAGTCCTTTAAAACTGGGAAAATATACAATGGTAATTCTTCAGTCATTATTTTTTGGGAACAGGTGATAAGAGAATTTTGGCCTTATATCTTTTATTTAAAGAACTAATGCTAATTAAAAATGTGCCAATAACTGCTTTCAGTGATTTACAAACTGAATTATGAGAGTATCATCTTTCTATATTTTGATATTTCTGGAAAATTAAATAAGGATTTACAGTGTGAGCTCTTTTTAATTACATGTATATGTACTTACTGTAATTTAACAACTTCAAAAAGTGTGAGAGGAACACAAGGGACTTAGATAATGTACCAAACCATAAAGTTAAACTGGCCTAAACAACTTGTGTACAAAATCCTTTCTGTACTGAATAAAATCATCTGCATTAGTCAAAGGGGAATTTTCAAGGCCAACTAGACTAAATCCTTAACAATGCACAACACTTGAGTAAGGGCTTTTCTTGACCTACAAGCATGAAATATTTGTTAATTGTGTTGTCTATTTTGGTTGCCTATACCATCTGTAAAAAAACTGGCAGATAAGGCTGAAACTGCATAGAATAATTAATTTAACAGTTTAGTAACAATGTTTACTGCCAACATCAAAAGTCATAATGCAGATCTGCCTATCACTTTAAATTTTCAGTGTAAGAAAAATTGAAAAACTTCTTTTATAGTGTTAGTTACAAAGGCTATTTTTGCCATTAACTTTCTGAATAATATTGTCAAAATTTTTCCTGTTTTTCATTACTATTTGGCAGCTCTTTCATCTACATTGAAATTCCTCTTATTTAACACCAATTTTTTAATTAGCAATGTTGCTCAATACCAAATCACACACACCAAATTTTTCTTACAGTACAGTACTGTATATGTCACTTTGTGAATTGCAAAAATGAAGGTTCCGATCAGAAAAATGCAGATCTGGTTAACCTAGAAATACTGTATCATATTCCTACAACTGCTTGCCTTAATGCACACCTACATCCCTTCTCATATGTATTTACTTACACCATGTTACATGTACTAATCCAGTTGATACTAAATGTGACATAAGTCTTTGACATAAATGTACAGTACAGTATATATATCAGGTGTCACTGAGAGGGATCAGGCTCATAATGGGCTCAGCCATGTCAACATTGTTCTCATTGTCCAGTCTGTATCTGTATTTTTTCCCACTAACTAAACTGTCATGGTCACAATAGCATGTTTAGTCTGTTCAACACTTAATTATTCATATTATGCTACACTGCCCACAAAAGTGTGAAACTCTTGCATTCCCCAGTTGAGACATCCATGCTCTAACTGTTTCAGGAGGCCTGAGTCCTCCGTTTTCCCTTAAGTTTTGCTGCAGAGACTGATATTTCTTTATACCTCATATCGTGTTCAGAGATTTGAAATTGAGAGAGAACACAATTATAATATATTCCATTAGATATGTATGAGTACAGATGAAACATTCAAGATACCTTGTGAGTGATGTTGAAAGCTTCAACTGTGTTTACTGTCAGTAATATTGGCAAATAAGTCAATGTAGAGTCTGTTGTAAGAAGTGACGAATCCTACTATCGTCACTAGGGAATGCAATGACTTGCCAACCGCTACTGAAGTTAGATCATTTTGATTCCCAATCATCAGAGGATTTGATGTTTGTAGTGACATTGTAAATGAGTCTGATGATTATATCTGTGAAAGTTCCGACTTAGTAACTCAGGGGTTGTGTACGTTGAGAGAGCGGGCAGGCAAAAACTCTGAACACTCACTTAAGCCCCGACTCTCCACTGTGAAACAGGTATGTTTAATACTCCGTGCCCACCCAGTCCTATTAAGTGATTTGACGTAGTTGTGTGTTGTTTGAATATGCAAGTAATCCAGTAACGTAACTTTGATGTGTTTTAAGTAAAGTGTTCTTGCGCCTTCAGCTTTTAAAATGTTGACATTCATGTCAACACTCACTTAAGCCCCAACTCTCCTCTGCGAAACAGATAGGCCAAGGGTTGTTATATGCCAGGACGACCTCCAACCCTAGTATTGGAGATAGATTAAAGCCATTGAGATCGGATAGCGGCGTAGACACGGATGTGTTGAGTTAAGTCATCAACTCACCACCAGCCGCTCAGAGGAGGGCGCCAGACTGTGTTCGCTATCCGCCCATGATCTCACATGAGGATTAAACACGGCCAGCTCATACCATTGTTATGAATGAGTCCACCACCAAGTAAAGTTACTTATTGGATGTGTTATTCGTCCGAGTATCCATGTATGTAATCTCCTCAGTTGTACGGGCGTTTGGAGGCAGCAAGAGTATGATGGTCGCCACCTTACTTCTTGGTGAAGGAAGCAAAGTAGAGTAGAGAAGCTAGTAGTCCTAGTGCTGTTAATGTATTAGTGTTGGTGCTATTACCAGTCCTGTCACTGATTAAGAGCTAAGGTTCTCAGGTAACTTGTATTGAGGGTGCTCAAGTGTGCTATATATAAGATTATAGTGTTTGTGTGTTTTGTTAAAGGCACACCAAGTAATGGTGTAAGTTGGAAAATGTACCTAATTGAAAGTACAAGATGAGTAGAGCCAGGGAGTTGATCCTTGTAGTTGTGTGTTACTGAAAGTATTCAGAAGTCTAATTTCATTTTAATAAACCATTTTATTTGTATGTTAGGGGTGTCATTCTCCTGCAGTATTTACCTTAAATTTTCCCCACAACTTGGTACCAGAATTACGGCATACCCCGTGTCCTAATCCTCGAGCCATGCTACCATAGGTCAGAGGTTAGGGAGTAACTATTAGCAGTAATATAACTAAGACATGGCTAACATATGAAATTAATAAAGTAAGAAATTGCAAGAAAGAAGGTTGAAGAGTTAAGAAGTTAAGAAAAAGAAAAATAGTTGATTAAAAATGGTGGGACATAAAAGAAATTAAAGCAAAATAGAAAAGGAGAAATTCCACTATAAAATGGTTAACAGCAGTAGGATAAAAATATAAAAACACTTTCCAGCTCCCCTATAAAATGGTGACAGCAAAACTCTAAACCTTACACTTCCATCCTTTAGTTTCCAATTATTTAAAAGCAACTAAAAAAGAAGAGTACTGTATTTGAAATACTTACAAATTTATGGTGGTTATCTCTCTTTTCTTCCGTTTCAAAATGTTCAATGCAATAGTTGCAGCAGAATTTATCATTAACACCAGCATTGTGACAAAGATGAAACTTCAAGTGTGAGTAAAAGTCCAAATTACTATTGAACACCTCCTGGAAATAAAGGTAAGGTAATTGAATTAAAAAAAAATAAAATCATATCTGTACATAATATTCTGGGCATGGGAGTAAGGTATCTGCTATAGGCATACATAACCTCATTCCTAGCACAGAGACTTATGATTTTAAAGGCTCTTGAGATCCATGTGACAAAGTTGTCTTGTTGCACGAGAGATAAGCGGTAGAGGAAAAGTTGGTAGTGTATTTGAACGGCTGTTTCCAACCATACTTGGCTCTTGGTATGGATGTTCCTAACTTATAGTTTCATATTGTTCACAGGAAAATTCTTACTCGGGGAAAAAGGCTATTGCACCATGTTTTAATAAGTATTACAATGGAGTCGGGATAATTATCAAAATACAAAATCACATCCATAAAATTTTGGTTATTTCTATTAGTACCAATATTTTAAATTTCACAGTCAAATATTCATAATTTGCAACAGAGTGTTACCTACGGCAGCATTTATTTATATAAGAATCCATAAAAGTTGTGGAAATGTAATTTAATTCTGTAATATGACAGAAATAAATTAAATATAATATAAAACTATAAAATAATTTCAAGGAAAAGTGGGAAGTGAATTCTGTGTGGGAGAAATGGCAGGTATGATGGGTGGCCTAAGAAGACAACTCCCTCCTTCTGCTCCATCACCATGAGACCCCTTGAACATGCCAGTATGAAATTTCACCACAATTCCCATATTGTTTATGTTCATTTGGTGCCGAGTTAATAAAACATTACCAAAAAATAATAACTTTTCCAGGAGGGGTTAGGGTGTGGGGTGAGGGGGGGGGGGAAAGAATCAATCCCAGAGGAGTTATTAAATTGCCAGTTTTGTTTATAAAGCGTGAACAGTAGACCAGCCAGCCCGGTGCCACCACTCCAATACAGTGTTGCACTACCTGTCTCGATGCTGACATACTGTATTGGTGTAACCCAAAGGATGATTATGAGATGGAAAGGAGCTGTTTGTCATGTAGAACTACTTTTTGTACAATATATTTGTGTTACCTTTACTAATTTCTATGTATATATACAATGATTAATGCTTATTAAACCAATTTTTTAAAACTTTTTGCCTTTAGAACCTTCGTAATTATTTTCATTTAAATCAATTAAGCTATAATTTACAAATTATAGTCTTCTGGTATGTAAACTGGGAATTATTGTGACTTCACTGTACAGCACAGGGGATCCCCGGGTTATGAACGGGTTCCATTCCTGAGGACGTTCTTAAGTCAGATTTGTACCTAAGTCAGAACACATGCTATATGCATACCATACTTTCAGAACAATATTTAAAATCCCACTATATCATAGCCCAAGTCCTTATATACATCTAAAATCATTTAAGAGAAAAGAAGAAATAGAATGACGAAATACAGAAAATGAAAGTAAAAAATAAATCATCAGGTAAATAAAATACTGTACGTACGTACTGTAAATTTCAAGTTTATCCTCGTTCGTATCTGTGGGCGTTCGTAAGTTTGGGACCCCTTGTACAGTACAGTATTTATAAAGATTTTTTTTTCCCATTCAGAATTATACTTACATTACAAATGTGGCAATTAAACATGTGAATGTTTTCTTCACGACCCATATTTGCAACTCCGTGTTTTTGACCATAGTAACATGGCTCCAGTGCTACAGAATCAAATTTGGGAGATACTGATGCTACAGGAACTTTGCTTCCTGGAGCCCCCAGTGAGGAGCTGTAATAGAGAGCAAACACGTAAACATTACACAAGATTTATTTTGAGAGAGGGCGAGAGAGAAATGCTTACAGGTAACTTGCCAAATGACCTGTTGGACATGCAGTTAAGTTTAATTGTACTTTCCCCAGGTGGGAAAAACAACAATAATAACTGGCAAAATTAAACTCATGTTACAGCTTGCAATATAAGTTGTTAACACAGAGAAGACAGTACATATTAAAGATGGCTGACTGGTAAGTACTGATAAAATATATCACTTACCCTTGCTTCTGAGATAAAGTCCTCTTCTTTGTGTGTTTTATGGGGGTTTGAGTCTGGGATGAAAAACCATTCAATATTAAAAAATCTTAAAATTTTTGACATCATTAAGGTTAACTTCAACATTAACTGGCCTAACAGAATTATTCCATGCCTCCTTACTGCCTATCCTTTATGAACCTACCAATACTTCTAATTCACACTAATAAAATCACCTGTTTCACCACTAGTAACCTCATCACATACACACACATTCAGTTATCTGGTACCAATTGCAATGTCGGTCAATTCACCAATCTCAATGTGAAAACTAATACCCCTTATTGAATCATAATCCTCCTCATCATCACAGATTTTTGGCTGTTTTCCACACTTACTTGGGTTAGCCAGAAATGGAATGCAAATAAATCTTATTATGCCTCCTCAACTTCCACATGTGTGGGGAGGATCAAGGAATGCATAAACCTTGAGAACTGAAAGTAATGGTTGACAACTGCAACCAAGGTAGAAAGCAACAGGAAATGGCTAAAACAAGTAAGAATACTCTAAAACACTTCTCCTTTCCTCAACTTCTATATAAAATGCACCAAGTTAAAAATTTATTTCTACGTACATTGTTTATATATTGTGTAAATAAAGCTGAATCATCAAGCTTATTCTTACTAATACTACCACACAGGAAATAACTATCAAAAGAAATCCACATTCTTATTAACTTCATTAATTCACCCATACAGCCAGTCTCTATGTTTCTCCATCTTCTTGCCTTTATTTCTCCGACAGTGAAGTTATAGATCTTTCTCTCACCAGCTGTTTCTTCCCTGTACCTATACTACCTCAACACACTAGAGCAGTGGTCCCCAACCTTCTGTAGGCTCTGGGCCCCATTTTTCATTATAAACATAGTGGAGGATGCCAAAACACTAGATCTACATTCAAGGAAAAAAAAAAAAAATCTTATATATACAGTACAGTTATTTGCAGTTTTATACAAGTTTAACTGTTAGTTGCATACTTTTTATACACGTTCTGTACACGACAGACTCGGGACAAACAGCGGTTCCCCCCTCTCTCTCTCTCTCTAGTCAAATAAATTTATTACATATTTTCATTAATCTCATTTTTACAAAGAATCCCCAATATTTCACATTTTCAAATAAACCCTTGCGGGTTCCATAATATGGTTCTATGGGCGCCATGGGGACCACTGCACTAGAGAGATTTCATTTGATTTTCTAAGAGTTTTACAAACCCACACACTTTAATCTTTAGCTCTTACTCTGACAACCCTCTGAACTGCCACAATACTGTACTACATAGATGATCAATCCTTATTACTCTCAGCCTTGATCATCACTACCCTGGTATACCAGTTTCATAATGATACATACATTAAGAACTCCACTGTCCACACATTCTTCTGTTATTCATTTTTGCTTTTACATTTTCAACTTTGGTAAGAAATGCTCCTACATTACAAACACCATTCACAACTTCCAAGTGTTCCCCATTCAACATCCCCTTAGAAGAGTCCAACCTTACACTAATCACCAAGTTCCATACAAAATTCTCTCTATTCTTCTACACAATCCTAACCTAACATATACAGACCACTTTTTCTGAACATTATTAGAATTCCTGTTCTTTGACACCCATCATTCAAATCTCATTTTCTCCTCTTGCATCTACACCACCCACTATGTATGTCAAGGGTAACAAAGAGGAATCAATTTACATCTGAGGCTCCTCTTCCTGTTTGAAAGGATGTAACACTCGGGGAAGGAGGCTCTATATGCCCAATATGTTGACTTTTGTATCTCCAGTTATGCTGAGGTTTTTGAGAGACAAAATCTAGAAGATGCAATACCCCCGGATCTGAAAAAGTAAGTGTAATGCAATACAAAAACATCTGCATTTAAAAATATTCACATAAAACTAGCTCTCTAAAATAACAAGGTTGCCTCTATGGGAGGATAAACTCCCCACCATGCCACAGGACTTACTAACTGTGAACAGTGGTCATAGGGTATACTGATTACTGATTTGTAGCATTGTAGTGATCAAATTATCAGGTTCACAACTCCAAATTACTGTACATGTATAGAGAGAAGGATGCATTCCAACATTCTCCTGGGACAAAAGGGGACCTTAAAATGGAAGTACAGTACAGTATACTGTACTGAATATAATAACATGTTTATTTATGGCTTCTCTGGTATGCTATGGCCATTATCCAAAAGATCTCAGCCTTAGAAAAAACTTACTGTTGTCAACTCCAGCTTCAATGTGTACATTATTTAGGAGGAAGGGCATAGGGCCACACTCTCCTGTTAAATTCACTCAGGTTACAATATTTTGTTTATGTTTAATTCCTACTGTCTTCTAAAACTACATAAGGCTAAATTATTTTTTTTTATTAACCAAACTCGTTATCCTTTGAAACTCGCATATTGCTCTGCTTGTTGCTAAAGTTGACTCTTAGTACTGAATATTATTTGTTTCTAATTACTGTTCTTTTATGTATTACAAGTGGTTTTCTATGACTTTACTATGCTGAAAATAATTCTATAAATACTGTACAGTACTTCTAATAACTAGCATGCTGGGCACTGCAATTTTCTTTTCTTTTTAATTCACAAGTGTCTAATCAACATACAGTAGACGACCAACAACACAAATATACATGTAAGTGTGAACATAATGTGTGTATCCTATTTAGGTTTTCAGATTAACTGTTGAAGCTTTCTGAACCCAATTAAAATTGGCACTGTGTCATTACACAGCACATCTTGAAAGAGTAAAAACTTAAAAACTTTCAAAACTTAAACACACCCTTAACCCTTTCGATACAATAGCACACCCTATGCAGTAAGCAACACCAGTACAATTGCAGCACCATGTGCAGTAATAATTTTCACTCCCATACTTTGAATCTAATTGCTAGACAGACTCATCCCGTTTTATCAATTGGAATGTAGTGGGGGGGATCCATGACCCCGACCCACAAACTATCTCTAGGCCTGCCACTGTCTTCCGTCATGGCCAAATCAGATATGCATTCAAGTCAGATTACCCGAGTATCACTAATACCCTAACACCCGACCCTGCTTCAGGTAATCCCATCTAGCTATGAGTGTCAACTAATCTGACCTGAGTATGACAAAGTCAGATCATAACCTATTTGTATAAGCCCGTGTACCATTTTCAGATTTACCCCACGAGAGGGTACCCCCTTCTTTAGGTAATTTTACCTGACTATGACAATGTCATACTGTGTAAACTTCTCTCTCATTGTTGTAAATTCACTTACCTCTGACGATAGAAAAAAAAAATGTGTTTGCATGTACAGTATACTGTACTATATTTGTGTATGTCTACGCTCAAATTCTGGTCAGATACTGTTATTTATTACAAAAAAGTCTTTACATCATATGACACAACTTTGGAGTCTATTTTTTTCTTCACAGTGAGGGTACAGCTGTCTACTAAGGATTTACAACAAAAGGATTCACCAATCTGCCTAGAGGAGTTGACCTTGGCTGTAACATTCAAGGAATAGAAATTCATTGTGCCAAAAGTGCTGCATTGAGGGTACACCTAAAATTCAGACCAGCCAGGGGATACAGTATAAGATTTAGACAAGATACAAAAAACTTACTCTCGACCTCCTGTGCCGTGAGATATGTGATATGATCGACCATTTTGATGTAAGCCTGTGCTGCACAGTAGCCATATCGCTCACGCCAACATAATTCATCTAAAACCAATTGTACTTGTTCTAAATTTAGATGTGACAGTGCACCCTGGAGGAAAAGAAAAGAAAAATATTAAAAAAATTAAATAAAGATGATTATGATACTACCAAGTTTCTGCATTTTACATTATTAGTAATTCCAAACTTTCTTACAACTCTACACCTTTACTGTACACAGCATATGAAATTTAAGAATAAAGAATAATTTTTCACATGAGTGAATAAGGAGAAACTGAACAATAAGGCAACTGACTGAATGACTGTGCTGGAGATGAGCAGAGAGTTTGAGGAGTAGGTTGTAAGATGATAGTAGGAGAATGATGACGCATTGAAAGATTATTTGTAGATATAACAACACTGAGAATATTAGAGAAATGAAATAAGTAAACATACTGGTAATAAAAGAAAACTACAGTACTGTATAGTATTATTTTTTAATATCATCAATAATTATTTGTCTCGTAATTTCAAGCTACTTACAGTACTTGTTAATCAAAGTTTGGATTTTTATTTAATTTTTTAAACAAGTGCAAATTTTCATAAATCAGGTTGTATTTGAATGAAGTGGTCCAAAGTAGCTTGGGAACAACTTTTGAAATTTATACAACAGGAAAACTGCATATGAGCAAACATATTTAACACACGGTAAAAAGCGTTAATTTATTTTTCAATTCAACATAATATACTGTATACTGTACTGTATGTATATTAATATTATACTGTACCCGTACTCGTGTATTAGTTGATGTCATGTACGTCGTCCCCTGACTTTTTGCCACAAATCAATGTTATCGCTGTTCTTTTTCATGTTCACTCCTAAGAAACAGCAGAATCAACTTTACACATTTTTTCAACAGATGATGATAAAGTACTTTTTCTTGCATTAATGTTAATATCATTATTTATAATAATAATACTGTACCCCCAAAGAGGATGACACTTACTACTACCAGTAATACAGTAGAGTACATACCATAATCGAACTGTAATTAAAATTGCAAACTTCCCAAGACTGTACTGTTCAGTATTACGTATACTACTATTACTTTGGTGATACACATTAACCAACAAAACAACCTTACTAAACTAATACAGTATTGAAGTTGATTATTCCCATTAGATTCATGTGGGCAAATGACAGACAGTTCATATGGGGGAAACTTCAATAGGTCAGTGTGCATTGCTTTGGTCATTTGTCACACTCACCATGGCCATCAGGAGACAGCAACACACCATGTACACACTTTTAGTCTGTTGTGCTTTGCATTATACAGTATACATATCAAGTAATTAAAAAACTGTGATGAGTTTACCTTATTGTGGAAAAAAAAATACTGTAATAAATAACTAATGTAGTAAGCACACCTCATTCATAATTTCAGTGATGCGGATATGGATTAGCTTCAGCCAGGGCAGAATCATATGATAGTTACTGCCTCCCACCTACTGCATCACTTACACACTGCCTCTCTACCACAAATGTCACTATTCTTCAAATGACTGTCATTCATGATACAATATTGTATATTTGTTAATCATTAGTTACTAAAGATATATAACTGTTTATTTATATATTTTTGTCTTGGGAAAGTTTTTTGGCCTTAAATGAACTTTAACAAATACTGTATCGTGTACATGAGATGACAAGGGAAGGGTCGATTGCTGAGTGGCGCTTGCGATCATATTTGAATACCAAGTGAAGCTTACTTTTAGTTTAATAAATGTTAACTTCCAATTTTGTCAACTTCCCATCTACTCAGCAGATATTGTGTGTATTTTGCAAACAAAGCACTAATATACTATAAAGGAGAAAATAACAAATACTGTACTGTAAAATAAGTGAAAAGCATTTATGTACAGAACAGTATCATGTACATGTATACCCAATAAAAAATTATTCGGCACCCTTACTGCGTGATACAATAAGCCGAGTAATTTTTCAGTGGGTGTACCTCTCTATACCGAAATAGCTGGTGAGCAGCCAGTTCAGTATAGGGAATTTTTCAGCATAAAATGAATCCGATAAACTTGTCTTAGTTCAGATAAAGTACAGTATCACAATGCCAGAATTTTTTGTTACAGTGGTCCCTCGGTTAACGAACACAATTCGTTCCAGAAGATCGTTCGTTAACCGAAAATTTCGTTAACCGAAACCATTGTTTCAATGGGATATTGGGTAATTGGTTCCAGCTCACAGAAAAGTATATACAAAGTAAAGCCAGAATATAGTTTACATTGCTGGAATTCTTATAAGATAGTGATTAATTTGAATATAAACAAGCGAAAATTTGCATTAGACATACAAATTTTAGATCTAATTTACAAATTTTATTAGAGAGAGCAAAAATTTTATCTTTTGTGCAAAATATATGACGTTTATATTAAAATTATTCCCTCTTGCAAGGATTTCAGCAATGCAAATTATATTATCCTAACTTTAGTCTGAGGTATTATTTATCTTTAAACCTGTAAACCTAGTCATTTTCTCAGGAAGGTGGAGGGTAGGGAGGGAGGGGTGACAGTGACATATTATTGACAGTTGGCGCCTGTGGTGTGAAGTAATTAATTGTTAATTTATATCCTTTAGATTGATTTTTTGTTTTTTGCTTATACAATTTAATAGAAGTGACTAGGGTGAATTTAATTTGCATTGCTGGAATTCTTATAAGATATTGATTAGTTTGAATGTAAACATGGAAGAGATCACTGAATTGGCTGAGTACCTCCTCAGCTTATCAGCTGATGTTCAAAACAAAATGTGATTTTCGTAAGGATTTCATTAATCAAATTTTTTTTCGTTAACCGAATTAAAGATTCTTATGGAAGGTAATTCGTTAACCGAGAGACCACTGTATATAGTTAGGTAACATGAGGTTTAGAAACACTAAATATCATACAGAAAAAATTACAATAACACACAATACTGTAGATATTGTACAAAGAGTAGTTCTATACAGTCGACCCTCGTTAAAATGGACCCCTTTAATCTGGATATCGGATAAACCAGACGAAATCTGAGTTAAGCGAGGGACTGTCCGTGTCAAATTTCTGGTTCTGGGATTGTCCGATAGATGGCTCGCGCGCGCCAGACCGCCAGTCATTGTTGACTTTTAGCGCCATATTCGAGTATCAGTGTTGTGTTGCCCTGCAATTTTCCTTGATATTTCAGTGATTAGGTATCTTTTAGCCTTGTATTTTACATCATGCCTTCAAGGGGGAGTAATACGCCGAAGAGGAAGTATGTGACCCTTTCTGTGAACCAAAAACTGGAACTTATAAAGAAGTTAGAGGCTGGTGCTTCGGTGGCTAGAGTTTGTGACGAGTATGGTGTTAAAAAGCAAACAGTTTCGGACATACGCATGGCTAAGGACAAACTCACTGCATTTTCTTTGAAATATACTGTTGATGCAAATTCTAAATCATCATCTGTTGGTGCAAGGAAGCATATGAGAGTGGCAAAAGATACAAATCTTGAGGAGGCAGTGACGAAGTGGTTTATGCAGCAACGATCCTGTGGTAATGTCATCCGTGGTGTAGAAATTCAAGCTGCTGCTGCTGAGCTAGCAAGTCATATGGACATCGAGAATTTCGAAGCTAGTGACTGGTGGTTATGGCGATTTAGAAATCGCCATGGAATGTGTAATAAAATTACCCATGCTTGGAAAAAACTTCTGTACAATGTGGAGGTAGAGTATGATTTCGAAGGATTCGAGGCAAGGGACTCTCATCGTATCCTTCAGAGGGCCGGCGAAAATGATGTCACAGAAGACGACATCAGAAACTGGCTAGAAGACACAGAGGGTGACCCTGGATACCAAGTCTTAACAGAAGAAGAAATAGCGGATAAGTTCTCGTTGGTGACAGCAGAGATAGTGAAGATGAGGAAGAAGACGAACCATTGCCCAAGAAACCCAAACTCTCTTAATACTAGAATCCATTGATAATGTCATTTCGTACATTGAATTGTCAGCAGAAACTGATGATGTTCAGCATTACTATAAACATATTAGAGCCTTTAGGGAACTCATTATCCAGAAGCAGCATCAGCAAGGTAAACAACTGAAACTCGACTCATTCTTCAAGCCAGTTCGTCCCAACTCTGCTGCAGCTATTGAGCCTGCTGACAATATTGATGACCCTCCTGCTGCTGACTCGGGCCATCCTCAGTCACCTCAGCCTTCTACGAGTGGGGGACAAGGACCAGTGGAGCATCATAGCTCTACTGACTCCGAATGACAAGTTATCACCTCTACCCCCACCTCCACCACATCAAGCTCATCTGTCATCTACCAAAGGTAAATGAAATTAACAATTTCATTATTAACTTTTTTATTAGTACATATTGTAATGTTTTATATAGCTAGTTATATGATGTTTACAGTATTTCCTGTATTTTTGTTACTGTGTATCATGTTCAGTGTACAGTGTATGTACGGTACTGTATTTCCAATATCATATACGTAGGCCTATGCAATATTAACCCCTAAATCGGTTAATTCGGACAATTGGCTAAAACGGACACCCTTCACCCCCTATTAGTCCGTTTTAACGAGGGTTGACTGTACATTACAGAGCTCCTTCCTCGGCTGTCTGGGAGGTTAGCTTAGGGAAATTTGCTTTATGTTTTTTTGGTCATGTTAGCTCAAGTATTACTGAAGTATTAGTAATTATTGGTAGGTGGATGAGGCACCATTGTCAGTAGCTCACACTTTTATATTTAATCATGAGAAAATTGAATGTTTTGAGTAGGTCATCATATAATATTACAAGTGTTAAATTAATGAATCTAATAATGCATATTATTTATACTTTATTACAGTACAGTCGGCCCTTAACATATGCGGGTTTAACATACACGGATTTGCAAATACGCGGATTGCCGCCAGAGGAATATACATTCAAATCGCGCCGACACCACACACTGCACACCGCCCGCCACGCCACACACACACACACATCGCCCGCCACACCACCCTGCGTTCCCGCACTCCCTCAGTCAGTCAGTCAGTCAGTCTCGCTGTAACCACGCTTGTGTTGACATCAGCATTGTAGTTGCTACCCACATTTATCATGGCCCCCCAAGAGAATAAGGTGTTTGTAAACATATACATAGTGTTTTTCTTTACTTAAATAAGGACATGGGGGGCCAGTGGTGTTTGGGGGGAGGGGCAGGAAAAATACGCGGATTCTTAACATTCGCGGGTATCTCTGTTACCTAAACCCCCGCGTATGTTAAGGGCCGACTGTACTGTACAATATTACATAGAAATAATAAGTACAACTATATGGATACATTGTACAAAAACCACTTACTTTGTTTTAATATATATAATAATAATGGTTGACCCTCGCGTAACGAGGATGGCTGGCCCAAGGGCCACCTAGGCAAAAATTTGTATAAAGTGTAGAAGCTGTTGCCGACACAACAACCATGCTCTAAGTTAACGAGCTGCATGATCCAGTATCAAGGAATAGTCTGAGAAGACCGGACAACTCGCCAATCGCACTGGCTAACCATTACCCTGGAAAACTATTCCCAAATCGATTAACATCCAGGTTCCCAATTACTGCTGGGTAAACGGAGACAAATGGCGTGATGAAATTTGCCCAATGTTTCACCCTGTCCGGGGATAGACCCGGGTCCGCTCGCTTGCGAAGCAAGCATGCTGACCATTACACCACAGGTCGCCAAAAATTTATATATATATATATATATATATATATATATATATATATATATATATATATATATATATATATATATATATATATATATATATATATATATATATATATATATATATATATATATATATATATATATATATATATATATATATATATATATATATATATATATATATATATATATATATATATATATATATATATATATATATATATATATATATATATATATATATATATATATATATATATATATATATATATATATATATATATACAGTTAACCTCACTGCGTTAATGTAACCCGGAGACCGCGGAAAGCGAGAAACGCGTAAAGTGAATAACATAACATATGGGATTAATTGAAATGGAGTCCAGGCCGATCCCCAAACTCCACTTTTTGACGACACATAACTATGTTGTAGTAAAAATTTTATCTTAACTTTATGATGGTATGAAAAAACAAGTAATATAGAAGAGGTTAGGTTAGGAAAAATAAAGGTTAACATAGGAAAAATAAAGGTTAGGTTAGAAAACTAAAAATTAGGTGGAACACTTACGGTAGTAGAAGAGATGGGTCGGCATACGGGGATGGAGGCTGGTTCCGAGGCAGAGGGCAGATTACTGGCCCTCAGGTGAATCACCATTACTAGGTGAATCACCATCACTGTCACTTACAGTTGTCAGGGCTTCCCTGACAAATCCCTCAAAGTCATCTTCACTGCCACTATCACTGCGGCGGTCGTAAGTCCCGACGGTCGTAAGTCGTAGCAGTCGTAAGTCGGGGTCTGTCTATATATATATATATATATATATATATATATATATATATATATATATATATATATATATATATATATATATATATATATATATATATATATATATATATATATATACACACACACACACACACACACACACACACACACACACACACACACACACAGTAGTATATGGAAATTTACCTGAAACATCTTAGGGACATGTCTCCGTAAGTAAGACATAATTCTTGCATTAGATTGAAGGTTCTCTTCATTGTCACTTGTTTCACATACAATAACCTGTAATAGTTCATTTTCAAATTTTAATTTCATACAAAATTAATAATTTCATGAATTATGTGTACAATTAACTGTGTGGCAAATAAATGTTGTCAGGTGGTGTAAGAACCAAGTTATTTGAGGTCGAGTTTCATGATTCTAACATTTAACAATTTCTCTGAATGTCAACATTCAAAACACAAAAGTGTTGAGGAATATGGGGATATCATTTACCATATCATAAATCAACCACATTACTTATAAATGATAGTGCCACCACCACATAACTTATAAGTGGTAGTGCCACCACCACAACTTTTCTACCCTAGACTAGCATTGTGGAACTACCAGTTTCAGAGTGTTTTTCCTATGATTCTTGTTGAACAAACACCAAGCTACAGTATAAATATAAGACTGACCCTGTAAATCACATTTCATAGCCAAGTTGAGCCAAGCAAGCTTAAGGCTCTCCCTTGGGTTCTACCCTGAGTTCAGTTGGTGTTGAAACTCCAGTAGGGCTGATAAAGAATAAGGAATAGTGTATGCATAAGCTGTTGTAGAACAAGGACTTGAGTAGCACTCAGCCTTATGAAGTAAACTTCTGTTTTCCAGACCCCACTCTAAGGACTATGTTTGTGATGGAAGAGTTGCCCTTCCAGGGGGTCCCCGGGTTACAAATGGGTTCCGTTCCTGAGGACGTTCTTAAGTCAGAAATGTACGCAAGTCGGAACACATCTTATATGTATACTGTACTTACAGAACATTGTTTAAAATCCCATTATATCATAGCCTAAGTCCTTATATAAATCTAAAATCACTTAATTTAATAGAAAAGAAGAAAGAGAATGACAAAATACAGTAAATTAAAGTAAAAAATAAGTCATCAGGTTAATAATATACAGTACTGTACTGTAAATTTAAAGTTTAACGTCAATTGTCTCAGCAGGCGTTCATAAGTCGGGGACCCCCTGTATTGATAAATCAGTTCCAACTGTTATATGTAAAAGGATAGCCAAGTTGTAACTCACAGACTTGATGGATAAAATTATGAGTCTCCTTGGTCAGGTTTGACTATACTGTACAGTACAGTACAGGTATTTGAGAATTCTCCAGGAACAATTCTTCATTCTCATCAAATATGTTATTATAGAACTTTTCACCCAGTGACAAAAAAGTTTGTTAGAATGGGATATGGGGAAAAGAAAGATAGGAGGAGAATGGGGAAGAATAGAATGGGTGAGGTAAAGTAATCTGGATAGATGTAAACTAAATTGCAATTATTTTTGTTAAGAAATCTTATAATTTGTAAAAACTACCCATAAAATAAAATTCTGATTTAAAATTACTGTTATGTAAATTTGGTAAACTCTGAATGAGAAGTTGCAAATTTTTTTTTAAATTTCTTCTTCATAGAGAGAAGGATAAAAAGAAAAGTACTGTATACTGAAAGGTTAATACTATACCTTTCCATAATTCATGTTGTATAAACAGTTTCTGTCAACAGACTGGTCACAGAGTATTATGGCATTGATATGAACAACTCTTTCTAATGGCTTGAGAATGCGCACAAACCGCCGTGATGAACTACCTGGTTCAGGTTCAAACGCAAACAACCGGTAAGATTTCATTATTCGGTCATATAGACCCAGGATCTCCACCTGAAAAAACAATAGTAATTAAAAGGATTGTGATGCTTAAATAACAAAACAAACTAGATTTATATTAAATGTTACAAAAAAACTCTTAATCTTATCATAAAGTGTATCGACAAATTAAGAAGTTTTGTAATCACACTTGATTGCATTGCTAGTGAGTCTCCCCAACATCAAGCTATGGTACAATGTGTACATACTAGTATGTGTGCCACCTGTTAGTAAATAAAGATACTAATGTTGATGGTTCAGACTCGAACCTCATAGCTTCACTGTCACTGATGGGGATACTTTACTCAAATTCTTCATCATGGGTTTTGGAACAGAGCATGGTGAGTGTAACAAATTATTTCATTGTATTAGTTATTAGTCATACAATATGAGTACATATATACTGTACAAACCTTAAGTGCTTTCTTAGCGCCATCTGCTGTGCTGGTGCCAAGACTGACAATGCCAAGCTCTACAGTTGTTCCATCAAAGCCAAAATCATATACCTTATCTTGAAGCATGACAGAACTTATGCATCTCATGTACTGGTACATTTTGTTGATGAAAGTTTTTTCCACCTGCAATAAATGAGGGAAACTTAGTGACGTTATATGTAATGTACTGTACTGTATACCTTTTGGCTTCCATTTATTCTTACAAAATCTAGGATGATGATACATTTGCACTCTGTATCATGCAAACACACATTCATTCATAACCTTCTTCCATTCTCATCAACATGGGAATGGACAAGGTTTCTATTCTCTTAACTTCCTTACTCCATTACATTCTGAATAGGGTGGTACCAGCTATGTGAGAATACAGTAATAAGGACACACAACAATAATTGTGTTAACTAAAAACTGTACAACACTTGGAAGCAAACACAGCTAGTTTCTGTGCGCTATATAAATTGCTTTGCAACACAAGAAACTTCATAAGAATAAACTACAATATGTTGTTTTGTGAATTTGTGTTTTTGTAAAAGAAGTAACCTCTCGGAAGTGTAAATGGGCTTACATTTCAGTGTTTCTAATATTATGAAACATTGCAACTGCAATTAGATGGCATCCAAATACATAACTGGCAACTGTTGTTGACTAATCAACATGAATATCATTCAAAAATCTTTATTATCAGAGCAACATTGCCACATGATCAAAAAGTTAATACAGCCCAAAAACTAATTCCTACAGTCAATTGTACATGTACATGGTAATAATCTGTGACCAAAGGAAAGTCAGAGTTTCCAAACAAATTTTTTACGAGTAGGAAACTTGATATTATGCTATTGCTATCACAAAGAGATGCTCTACAACTGAGCCATGTTTCTGAGTACTGTATGTAAATAAAACTTGTAAGTACTTTTGTACAAAGTATTTTGATGGAGGATCATTTGTCTTCAACTTATTTCTTCAAACTTAATGATCTGCAACTGCCCTATAAAATAATACTGTTCCCTATCTGGACAATTCAAAATCAACTTAAATAAAATATTGTAAAAACACTAGTAGACGTATTTCAATACTATTACTACTAAAGGAAAGCATTTTTGATGTCTCACCTTAACCCATAATTCCACATTGCTGATAGAAGTCTGGCACGCCCAGTGGTATACCAGTTTGAGCACAGAAGTGGGAGGTACTTTGTCGATTGGAGTTGACCCGAAGATAGAACCACTGTACACGGACACATACTTCTTTCCACAACACTCACTAATCCACACGTATCCTCCACTAGAGGATAGAACTTTTGGGTCCAAGAACTTTCCCAGCTGTAAGAACCAGTTGGAAAATGAGTTTAAAAGATTGAATACAATAATATACTAAACTCATCTATCACAAAAAAAATTATCTAATAGTGGACAATTTTCAGAATACCCACAATTCTAGCACACGTCCACACTGTATCATGGTAATGTACCACGTCCACACTCTCATGGTAATGTAGTTGCTGTGATGTACCCAACCACATTACTCTATGGGGTAAACAATGTTTTATTCCAGACACAACACCTAAGCACTGGTGGCACTTAAACATACACGTACAGAAATTTGAGTCACTATGGTCTTGTCACTAGACCACAGTGTTTGGTATAGTGGTGAACAAATGTTACGAGCAATTTTCTTACAAAATAACACACAGTATTCATTATGAAAAACAAATAACCTGCCAAACTAATTAAGAACACTGCACATAAGTGAACATAGTGAAAAAAACATATAAACGATGTTGGTTATTTTCACTGTCTCCAGATAGTAAATTCAAATAAAAGATGCAAAGCTCAGACAAGACTTACTGTGAGTTTCACAGGAGTTTCGCTGAATGGTATCTTGTGTATTGAACAATACTGGGTGTTGCGTATTAACCTTACAGTGAGCAACCACTCAACGAACTCTTGTGGAGATTTGAAGAGGACCGATTTAATTTCTGCATCTGTATAAATAATGACAATTATTGAATGTATACAGTACTGTATATATAGAAAGTGGGATTTCATAAACCTAAGCACACAATTCTTAATAAAGTAAAAAATCTCCCCAGGCATTTCAATAAATAGTTCCACTGCAATGGTCTTTTATTGGTGTGCAAGTCCCTGATTATCAGTAAGTAAGAATAAATAACTTTATTTAGGCCATATAACTTGTTCATATAATTCCACTTACAACTGCACCCTAATAAATGAGTTTGTGTAATGACAAGGGTGAAATCAGACAAGTGTTAAAATACACCCAGTAGGCTGATGTACTGTACTGTACTGTACACTCAAGTACTGACCACCAATTAGGGATTATGACAGAATAAGGTTCAATTACAGGAGGTAGGTATTAGGTACAGTATTATCTTTTAACTTACTTGGTCATTTTATTACCATACCTATACAAATCTACAAAAAATCACATCAAAAAGTACAATGCAATAACAACTTGTTCCAATATGGTTCATTGGTTGTTTAATCAATTTAAAATCCTAACTGACTTTGCATATCCACACTGCCAGGCTGGCTCAACATGTCTTTCTACAGACATTTGTATCACACAAGTACTATAATCAAAGAGGACCATAAAATTAACAAATGGAGTCATAAAGAGGCATGGGTCATGACAATACCCCACTAACTTTAGCAGCCAGAGTCAAATGGACTATAAAGTTAAGTGATGCACAATGACTGGCAGATGGACTTCTTAGAAGGGCAAGGGCCCTCATAATAACTGGTTCTTGTGTGGTCAGGAGGTAAAAATGGGACTAAAGCTGACCTTTAAGTTCTGTATGCCAAGTACTATATTTAAAAGAAAAGAATGTTTGGGATATATTAATAAGATATTGCACTTATAAATGCAAATTTGCAGAGATTACTGTTGAATAATTAGCATATACAGTACAGTAAGTGTATCAATATCAGCATTTTAGAAAAATCTAAATTACAACTTTTAGTCTCACTGAATAAAATATCCATACAATGTATGCGATCTTTAACTGGTATGTTAAACCACGAGGATTAAGACATTATGTTGACATTCATTCCCACAGATAGCAATAACATGAACAGATACTCAGACTTACCGAGTTCTTTCCGTAGACTAATTGCAACTGCTGGGGGAAGGGTGTTCTTTGGTCTGGCGATAACATTAAGTAGGGGCAAGAACTTATTGATGGGAGGACTTGTCCCGCCACTGGTATTTGGAGGGCTGTTACCACATGATATGGTAGATGTTGTCTGCAAAATCAATTGTACCAATAATTTGTAATAATTCATTGTTTATGAACACTACCTCTATAACAATTAATCCTAGAAGTCACAACCAAATATTAAACAGTATTTCAGGTGATCTTATTATGTACTCTTGCTTTCCCTTATAAACAATGCTCCCAATCCACTTTCTTTTTCTTCTCATTTATCTCTCTAATAAGAAAGTGGCACCCAAATGGGTACAAAGTTAGCTTCCCGTCCTAAGGGTAACTAGTTCCTCTTAATCCACTTTGTTGTAAATATGTACCTAATTTCACAGCTCAGGTGATGGTTTTTGGGTGCAGTGCTGGCCAGCCACACTGCCTCCTCATACAACAAAGGTTAATATTCAATGGGCTGTATACACACTGTCCCTAACAGGCCATCAAGCATTAGAGACCCAGTCTTCTTAAACAATTATTTTTTTTTTTGCACACATTCCACTTAAGGATTCTATGACTTTCTCAACTACTTCCTTCACAATTATGTTCCATCAAACAGCTTCATTACTTTCTCTCTCTCCTTCCTTCTGTTCCTATAGTCCTCTTGTATTTCATAACACAATATCTTGTTTCATTTTCATAGTTCAACTACAATAATCTTAAGACAAAAATTCTTGCTAAAATTTTTGTAATGCCAAATTGTCCCCTTTCTGAATACTGTACTGTAATTGTTTTCTGAAATTCACCATCCTCCCTCCCATCTCATAAAAAAATGTTTTACCTACCAGTATGGTACTCAACTTTTCTTCAATAACCTCCCAGGTGATGACTGTAAGCAATCAAGAATATCTAGATGAAGTCAAGGTCTTCTATTTAATTTATAGGAAAGTAACAAACAGTATGTGTCATTCAATCTTATCGGTACAAGACATGTATGAGATATGAAATTGATTAAGCTTACAGAAACATATGGAGTCACTAACATTTGCCTCAGCAGTTATCAAATACTATCAACTAAGAAATTCTCTCCTCACTACTGCACTAAATGGCTCCAACATAACCTGACTTACTCTTCATATTTCCATACAGTGTAATACAATGCTTGTATTGATATTTATCTCATCTAAAAATTAGGAAAAAAAAAATATAAGAAGCCAGATGGATTAATGAATGCCTCTTTTAATAAGGAAGGAACAATGAGTGAAGTTTGTATCTTACAAGTCCCCATTTTCTGTATGAAGAACAAGTGAAAGTTAATGAGTGCAGTACTGTATAGTGGAAGTTCTATCGTAGCTAGAGTGAACTATCTGCCTGAAATGTTAAAAACATTTTAATGGGAAACCTTCTCTATGGATCAAGTTTTCTTATTTTAACTGGAAGAATAGCTTCTTGAATACAATCAGCCACTGGATTCAATATAACAAAGATTAAGCTGTCACAAAAGATTAGCAAGGACAGTAAATCACACATCATTCCCTGAATTAATAATAAAGAAATGTGTACCTGTGTAGGTAGTTCAGAACTCTGGGTATGTGTGGGGATCCTCATCTCTCGTAACACCTGAATGTCAGGACTGTTCGTGCTATTGGTCGTATTGTTCTTGTTGACAATGCTTCCTCCTAAAACATGAAAAAAAAATTTAATACAATTGTAAAGACATTTAAGCAACTCGAGGCTAAAACTTATTTTTTGGGTCTCGATTCAAATGAATACCACATGATTCTTTCAAATATAAATAGTACAACTGTTCAAATACAGCACAGTAATCTCTTGGTTAGCTGGAACCTTTGATCCCCGGAACTCTACAATAGCCTGAATTCTTTTTGAGCAATTTGAAATTTTCGAAGAAAACTCTCTCCATTCGGGGCATGGGAACAAATTTCCAAGAGATTACATTATGCACCCTTCGTGGAGACGTGTGCCAGGTGTGCCAGTGGATAGGCTCAAAGTACAGTACTTATGAGCTATGATTGGCCACTACTGTTATGTGACTGCATGGATGCCTATGATTGGCGAATGTATCTCGCAGCCTATCTCTTCAAACTCTTGCATTATGACACTCTTAGTTCATTGTCTGATGCAATTTTATTATCAATTTTATTTTTTATGAACTAATGATTACTAATATTAGTATTATTACAGGTACAGTATATATGTGTGTGTATATATATATGTGTGTGTATATATATATGTGTGTGTATATATATATGTGTATATATATACACACACACTTCATGGAGATAAAATTCCTGAAACCTTGTGAGGCAACTACTGTACATTGATCTCCCTGTTAATCTATATCTTGGGAAGTACGTGCTACAAAAATCTTCACATACAAGAGCATTCAAGTTAAAATAAATGTCTAATACAGACAAAGAACACAATAATGCACACTTACTCGTCGACCTGGTTGCTATGGATGTGGCACTGCTTGTTGTGGTGGTACGTATGGTAGAAGTCTGTAAAATATATATTCCACATTATGACAAGACTCACATAGTACAGTATTTAACATAGTAAGGAAATACAGGAGTCTGCACTTAATGTTCCCAAATATTTTAAAGATGCGTATAAGCAGTACCGAACACGATATGTCTCCTTAGTGTAATATGCAGGAAATATTCCAGTGAAATAAAAAAGTGAATCATATGAAGAAAACTTACAAATCAAAATACTGAATAAATCACCTTTGATTTACTGACAGGATCAGTTGTTGTGTTGGAGGGGCTGACACTGACTGTTGATGTTGTTGCTACAAAGCTGGTTGCTGGAAGTAAAAGTTACACTACATCTATAGAATATAAGTCATAATTATACAGTAAATAGGTGACATCTTCATCCATAAAATTTATAAATACATTAACAAATATTATTACATCAATAGCAATTATTAAATACCTACATCCAATACACAACTTTCTAATATAGAGTACAACAGATTAGCAAATGCAAATTCTCCCCTAGCATTCCCATTCTTGTAGTTATTAAATACACCTCATACCAACAGTTCTCTCAAACGCTCCCTCATTCTTTCCTTCTACTTTCTGTCTCATCCGAGTCTCCCTCATCCTCTACCAACATTCTGTTTTCATCCATGCCCAGATCACCTACAAAATCAATCCTTCAGACTTCCAAACACATCTTTCTATATTAAAATCTTACCCGATGATCCTCATTAATTATTCTCTGTTCTCATCTTAATTCACTTTCACAATGATACAGGGTACTTTAAGTACTACTTGTTGATCTACTTTATAAACACTGATGTTATCATTTACACCTGCAATGTTCACACACGTGTAGCTAAATGGTTGGGAGAAAACAGCAGAAAGGGACCAATGAACATTGGAAAAGTCGGGACTGAGCTAGTGGTCAGTGGCCAAAATATGTGGAATAGCCGACTGTCTTATTCTACTTGACCTACTTCAGATCATTCAGAAAGATAGGAAAATAATTTATCTTTCAGGGCTTAATGTGTGTGTACTGCTTCACTACCCCTTTAACTATAGAGCTTTAGCTTTTGTCAGGCAAAGAAAAGGTCATGTGACCATCAGTAAGAAAATAAAATCAAGGTAAAGGCAGCAGGTCACACAGTAGTCTAAAAGTTTTACAGTACCTGGGCAGGGTTTGAACCCATAAACCACTTAATGACTTGCCAACACACAGGTTCTAGGAAGATTAGATGTAACAATTACATTTTTCAAATAGTGTTAACCAATATTATTCAGTGACAGTACAAATACAAATGATTAATGTACAGAGAGAAATTAGAGAAACAATTCTTTAGTCAAGTAAAAACTAAGAGTTATATATATTATCTGTAACTCATAAAAATTAAACATTTGCAAATTTGATCAATATCTGCTAGATCTTGAGAGACATTGGAACTTATGAATACTTTACAGTATAGTCCAATAAAATACAGAAATATATACTGTATAGTACAAGAACAGGTGGACATACAAAGTAAATAAAAAATAATAATAATCAGATGGATCTGTTGTTCATAATGTCTCTAATTCTGAAAAGTTTAAAAGAATACAGTTTACCACGTCAGAATTTGAGCTATGATAAAACTTTGACATTAAATTTAAATTAAGGATATACAGTACTGTATAAGGACAACAGTAAGTGATTTTACATTAAGTACTACATGACCCATAAATACAATACACTGTATGTTTATTAACATCAGAAATGTGCAGACCTGGAGTAGTGGTGACAGTCTGCCCATTCGTTGGCAAAGTACCGGTGGTAGCAATCATCTGACCATTCTGAAGCAGCAGAAACTGGGGAACTTGAAGACCAACCTGAGCCAAAACACATTTATTTATTAAAAATATATTTTGGAAAAACTATACAGAGATATTAACAGAAAGTATGTTTTTACTCTCACTCACGCACACACGCACGCACACACACACACAGGCACTCTTACTCATACACTCTCACTACATGTATCCCTCGTTTAGCGTTAATTCATTTAATGTTAATTCAGTTTAGCGATAAAATTTTTTTGACAACCTTTTTCACTTTTTTTTTTACAGGGATTAGCCCACCCCGGCACAGGTCACTGACCCACATCAGGGCCTGGGGGGCCAAAATGTATTAATAATACTGTAATAATTCAGAGTAAATAAAATTTATAATAAAAAGTAAAATAAAATAATAATGATAACAATAATAATAACAACACTATAATAATAATAATAATAGAAATACAAAGAAATACAAAAATGAAAAAAAATCAATAGTGAGAAACGCTATCTGTATGTTGTGTTGTCAAGTAAGAGAAACAATTGAGACCCAGCAATTGTGCGTAAATGAGGCAAAAAGACAGATTAGCAACCATATAGTAGCAGGGTCTACCATCAGGTCAAAATTTGATTTAACAATAGTTAGGGAAAAAACTGGGGATGAGATGGCCTGTGAGATGGCATGTTGCTAGTGTTAGATGTAATGAAACTATAAAAGTTGTGGAAATTTAATTACAATACTGTACTCTAATATGACTTAGTAATACAGTATGTGTAAAAGAAATTATAAGATAAAACTACAAAATAAGAAAGATGAAGAGAGTGGGTTTGTATGTGTGTGGAGTGAATGTATGTGTAGAGGGTTGTAACTGCATCACCGACTCACCAGCAAGCAGCGCTCCCTGCCCCTCAATGTGATGCTACGGTGCGCACACACACACACACATCTCCGAGTCAGCTGTGTAAGTTGCCAGGCTAAATTGTATCACATCGCGTTGAGGATAGTTTGTGTGGAAGGAGGTATCTTTTGTACATTAAATATGTTATTTTATTTTAAGATATGTATCAATTATATTGTTTTTCATTGCAATTTTGGATCATTTTTGACGTATGCAATTTGAATTTTTTCAAATTGGGCTCGCATTGTGCTCACTAAATCATTTAACTTGGAGCCACATCGTTTATATAGAAGTTTGGTGTTTATATTAACAAATCAATAGTTTAACTTCAAAACCGTCTATAATATTCATTATTATTATTATTAGGGAGTACAGTACTGTACTCAAGTGTTTACAGCCCTGCCATTTGAGCCTCTTTTTTGCCCTCCATGCTTCTCACCTTCTGTGTCCTAAATTTAAATTGAACCAGATAATGGACAAATGGACCAATATAAGAGAAACAGACATGAATAAAACTATATACAGGTACAGTACCTCTTTCATATTTGTAACAGCATAAAATATGAGTGATAAAAAACAAATAGAGAAATACTAAGACTGGCTGGAGCAATGAGATAAATATTGGAGTGGCTAAGTTCCATTTGAAGCACTATGGTGACAGTGATAAGCAGTCCTCTTAATTCCCATTTATCCCTAAACAAATTTGATGGACTGTTTTGAATTAGTTTCATTTCATCCAATGTGGGGGATTAACAAACAGTAAATTAACGGAAAGCTAACAACTGTTAGTTGGCAGTTCCTTTCAGACAAACCAAAGACATAAACTCACAAGTTATATCAAAATCTTGTTACCACAACTACAAAAAACACAAGCTGAAACTTACCACATTGGTGCCATTGGAAAGAGGCTGAGCCACAGTGGCAGCCACTGAGGTAATGTTACTCCCTGCTGTGCCATTAACCAAGGTTTGTACAGAGACATTCTCATTCTGAAATAAATATATAATACAGTAATTATAGTGTACAATACACACAAAAATAAATTCAAATGTTAACATGATCAACATTCATATTTTCCACCCAAAAATTTGCAATTCCTGTGCATGGCGTCCAGACACCTCAGTTTAATATCCCCTTTGTCAAACAAGAATATGTTGCTTCATTCACTCAAATACAGATGAGAAACAGATACAGTACTGAAATACCAGTATACAGACAAGCATGACTAGAAGAGGGCAGTTTTGTTCAGCACACCAAAGGGAGCACAGAACACATTCCAAACAAAATAATATACATGAAGGACTTTCGTTACCCAGCACACTTAGTTTATGTGAACCACATAAAGCTGAAGAAAGGAAAAGAATTAAACCCTGTTTATGACTGGAAGGCTTAAAATTGAGTACAGTACAAGTATTTTAAAAACTTTTACTGTACATAAAACCAGATGTTCCTAAAATCTAAATGGCTCTCAAAGCAGCCACTTAACTAGGCATTGGAAACCAAGATTCACTCTGGTTTAACTGGACAAAGAAGGAACTGCTTTGTGACACTGCACTTTCCATGACCAGTAGGCTAAAATATTAAAATTTTTACCCACACATCAAGCACTACTGAAAGAGTAAAGCAATATTTTACTCAGGTATGCTATAACTACCTATAGATATAAGGCATTACAGGAATTACAGTGATAAAGTACAGGTATATAATTATGAAGTTTAACAGAAATACAATGTTAAGTGAGGAGAGTAAAAAGTCAAGGATAAAACTGAATCTACTGTACATTGTGGTACATAATGCCTTGGTGACAAAAGATAGAGTTCTGGGTGAGGTGCCTTAAAAGTTATCTTTCAAGAGGTTTTGTAAACAAAAGGTTGCTGTATTCCCATTTGCAGAGGTCAATGTAAGAAAAGGTCAAAAGTGGCACCTTGGTGCCAAAATAAATAACCCCAGTCATGTACAGTACACCACAATACCTGCACAGCCCCATTCTTGAGCATGAACTGGAGCTTCAGCAGATCATCTTCAAGTTTCTGAATCTTGGTGATTTGGACATCAGATAATCCTTCACTCTCACACTCCAGCACCAACCCCGGGCCATTATGGGTTGTGGAGGTGCTTCCTGTCAAATGAAATTAAATTTGGTATAGCTACAAAATTTATTTTCTTTGTCAATCTTACTGATTAGTCACGATCTATGTTATGTTATATTATGCTAGGTTAAGTTACAAATACTATAGTATAATTATAATTATTCACATGGTACAATAATGCATAAACAATTAACATATAATCCATGGTCAAATACCCTCTGCCTTTCTAAAAAGAGCTTAGAGCAAAATAAGTATCATGTGTATACTGACTGCCAGATGTAGGTATTATAGAAGAGTACGTGCAGCAACTGGTACTGGTTCACAGTGATATATTCACTTCAATTTTAGTTAGAAATTCTACCAAAACAGACCAAACTAATACAGTGGGGTATGCTATAACGAATCTAATTGGTTCTAGAACCTTGTTCGTTATAGCATTCGTTCGTTATAGGATTAATCCGTTCCAGGCCCCCAAATACAACCACTTAACACTGAAAAATATAATATTAAATTGTAACAATTGTAAAAAAGTGCATAAATATGCATCTAAACCCTTGAAATAAAGAATATCATTAATACTTGTAATACAGAAACAATAAATTAGTAAAAAAAAAAAAAATTATAATGTTCGTTGTACGAGTTTCGTTCGTTATAGCATTATCAATTTTATAGGTAAAACCGTTCTTTATAGGAATATTCGCAGTAGGATCCATTCGTTATAGCATACCCCACTGTATTTGAGATCTTCTGAGGGTAAATTTTTACTTTAGGTCATGAGTCGCTGGGGGTTGACCAATATGTTTTCCCAGTGTATTTTGGTGTGTTTTAAGTGAATCTGACCTTCATTTTTGTCAGAAATTGCTTGTTTTTGCCCAACCCTGACCCCCCAACAATAATGGGTGAGAGCCTGGGAAATCGGAGTTTCTGGGTGGAGGAGAACATGAAAACGAGTAATCTAACCTAACCTAACCTAACCTAACCGTTTCAGTAGTTTAAAACTTTGAGGCGAGCCATGTCCGAAAGTACAATAACTTAGTTAAAAATGGATAGAAAGATCGTCTTTCTCGTAAAACTCAGCAATAAACTTAAAATAATCGTAGAAACACGAATCAGACCCAACCTCCACCACGGTCATTGTCAAACTGGCCATTGAAACTCAAATCCATACCCAGGCTGCTTCCTTTGAAAATATTCAAATGTGATTGGTATGCATGCATGATGCATAATTAACTCAATTTCATGCAGATAACATCTCTTCACAGAGACAAAGACTGAAAAGTATGTAAAATCAATTAAATAAATTGTGTCGCTATTTTCCATGTCCTACTTGTATAAGTGGGGTTCAAAATGCTCAGATTAGGGAGACCTAAATGTTTCAGTAGTTTATAACTTTGGGGCTTGCTATGTCCTGAAGTAAAATAATACCCCTTTTGGCCTAAACTCTGAATTTCTCAGTGTACAAAAGTAAAAGCACTTAATTGGAGAAAAACACTTGGACTTTCCCTTTCCTCTATTATGCCATATGAGTGCTTATGCTCCATTCCAATGGCACAGACCATTGCCTCCACACTTTTAATGATTAACAGAAATAATGTCTCAGCTAAGTATTATGTCAGTAATAATGAACAACTAAACAAAGCGATGAAGACCTGTAATCCATTTCAGTAACTCCTCACACTGCATCAGTATCATTGCTAGACTCTTCAACCACCACATTTAACATGTGTTACTGCGATATTCGTATCAGATTTATATTCAAAGCATTAAAACATCCACCAACAAAAACTAAAGAAAAAGGACAAATAAATTAAGCGGCGACCCTCTCCTTAATGTACTGCGCCTCACCTTTTATGCATGAGGGGACAATTAAAAAACTACACACACGTAAAATTATTATAGTGGATCCCTGTATTCTGTGGATTGTTAAAAAATCTAAGAATAATAAAGAACTCACAATGATCACAGGTAATTTAAGATGGTAAATGAACATATGAAGTTAATCCCTACCTCTGTATAATTAATAATAATGAAGCTAAGTGTAAAATTCCACCTCATACTCCGGCAAAAACAAGGATACTCCTCAACTTCATCTTTACTCGGACTACTGATAAAACTATACATGACCCTACTGACTGATTCTCCAGTCTACCAGTCCTCTGATAAAGCATCATCTATAATTATACAGCACATGCTGACAGTGCTCTCAGCACAGTTTTCTACAACCTTCGTTTATTAATTAATTATTTTTTTTAATAACAGGAATTAATACCATGATTTTTATTATTACTCGCCGTTTGAAGTTAATATATCTCACTTCCTCCACGTTTACTTTATGATCATTATGGTCTTCTTTCTATTTATTTGTGTTGTTTTGAAAATACATCAAGAACATAAACAAGACCACCAAAAGTTATACTAATACGACTTTGGCGGTATTCCATTCTAAACACACGCCATGTTATGAGATAGAATTCCCGTTTTCGAAGAGACTCTCCTTGTCCTGGAGAATAACAGTAAATTTAGGGAAAACCAATCCTTACCTCGCCCCATTAACTTAGACATTTATGGACTGGTTATCCAGCAATCGTCCCAAGAAGTTTCAGAAAATGATATTGAAAAATGGTCAAGTTATCGAAGAAAAACTATAACATTAAAACGAGCACACATGTTTTAGTCGACGCCATATTGTGATGTCAGTCCCAAACAAACCTCTCGACCAATCACAAGCGCCAGAACGCAATGTAACTGTGACGTCATGGTGCAAAAGCATGAGATTAAGATGTGTAAGTTCTTCTAAAATAAACCAATCTGATTTTACTCTCCTTTCTAACCGCTTGCAGTTTTTCATTAAATCGATGAAAACATGAGTAAGGTATCCTTAGAAAAATGTATTTGCTGTTTCCCGTATAACTTTTTTTTAATTGAAGAAACAAGTACGTAATAATGTTCCATAACATTTCATGTTTGACTTGCCGGGCGCAGACACAGAAGACGGGAAGTCGCAGAGTTGATACTTCATTTAAGAATTATTCACAGGAATAATGTATGTTTTCACATTGAAAGTTTTTTCATATGAAGATTGCAGATATATTCATAAGATTACCTTTCGATTACCTTATCTGTAAGTTGTGTAAATTAGGAAAATATGTGTAAAGCAAATTTAGTTGCCCAATTGTGTCCCTTAAAAGAAAAGCTGAGTTTGCATGGTTAACCATTTTTTCTTCTTTTACTGCCTGAAATCTTTAAGTCTGCAATTCGGACGATTGGTCTATCTTTTGTACAATCCTCATTTTACAGTGTTAGTAAAGCAGAAAAAAACCCAGGTAGAGGATTGAACACGGAACACTATTTTATGAACTTATCAAAACAACAATGATAGTACTTGACGAGAAGCATCAATCACCTCATTCCTTTTTTATAAAGAGCAAAGCTGGTGCCTGCACTACGGCACCTCAATTATCCCGCAAGTAGTGTGTAGTGATTAATGGTACGAATCGTCACGTGCATGTACCCTTGACAAACGGGGTACCACAGGGTAGTGTATGGGGCCGTTTTTGTTTGTTTTATAAATGACATGCCAGAAACAGTACACACCTCCATACAAATGATTTCGGACGATACCAAATTATTTAGGGAAATTAAGAACCAAACAGACTGTGAAGAGCTGCAGAAAGATCTCTGTGAGGTTCAAGAATGGTCGAAGAAATGGCTGCTGAGATTCAATGTCACGAGGTGTAAGAGGATGCACCTGGCAGGTGATAATTCTGTAGATTTATATGTAAGAAACTCAGAAATGCCTTTAATTTCAAGACTGGATATCATTTAGCTACATCTATTTGGTTAAGAAGTTTTCGCATTGATTCACTGTTTTATGTTTATGTATAGATAATTTCTGCAGCATTTGTACGTCTGCCAAGCAACAGAGATCGCTCTTATCTTGCATAATTGTATGTCTAAACATTGTGCAAGTTTGCACAATACACAGTCACTCGTTTGCACGTAGTATGATTGCTTTATCGATACAGTATTCATGTTAAAGTAATTAATGCACTATGTGGAGGTCAAGCTGGACAGGAGGCTAGTCTGGCTAGTATATGACCTCCATACTGGGGAGTTGAGCCTGAGACACCTCATCATCAGCTTGGATGGCCCCACACTCAGCAACAACAGGTGGAGTGGCAAGATTGGCGAGATGCTGGACACTGCTACAGGGCTGGAGATAGATTCCAAGTTTGCCAGGATCTGTGTGGGGCCTCCTCTGATCCAGCTGAGTGAAGAAGTTGTGAGGGACCTCTCTACAGACCAGTCCTGTGGCTACAGGATTGCCCAGGCCATCAGGCCATTGCGAGAAGAAGGTAAATCAGGCAATTAAATTATTGGGTCTTATAAGAAGGTTGTTCAGATATCTAGACGGTCCGTCCCTCGTAACGATCTTCAAGAGTGAAGTGCTTCCCCATCTGGAGTACTGTCACCCGGTTTGGTCCCCGAGATATGCTAGGGACTGTCAGTTGGTTGAAAATGTTCAAAGGAGGGCCATCAGACTGGTGCCTGCACTTCGGCACCTCAGCTACCCTGAGAGATTGGAGCGCCTGAACTTGCCTAGCTTATACTACAGACGGGCAAGGGGTGACCTAATTGAGGTGAATTAGCATTTCAAGGCGCACTACTCAGTCGAGTGTCCTTGCTTGGAGCTGGCGGACGCTCGCCCCACAAGGGGTCACAGCTCAAGATTGAAGAAGCCGCAAGTCCAGAAAACTGTGAGGGCAAACTTTTTCGGAGTGAGAGTTGTGAACTCTTGGAACAATCTACCAGACAGTGTTGTGACGGCACCGAGTGTGAGCTCTTTCAAGACAAGACTTGACCAACACTGGAGCAGGTTCAGGTACATTCAGGAGCCGGTGCATGCCCAGTACTTGCCAACAGTGCGCAACAGAGACGTGACCGATCGCCCAAGCGGCTAACGAGCCGATCAGTAGTGAAGAGGATAAAAGTGAAAAGTGAAAGGACTGGAGAGCTGCCCCACAACTTGACCCTGCTGGAAATTGGACCAGTCTGTCATAGCAGGTGGCTGGCAAGTGCACTAGGGATTTGCAGACTGTGGGTGTCTCAGCATGGACTGAAGGGGAAGCACAAGAAGAATCTCAAGCTAATAGTGGAGTTCATAGTGGAGGTGTACTTTTCTTTTTTACGGTAATTAGCCTACCCGGGCACAGGTCAAACGACCCACAACGGGGCCTGGGGGCGAAAAAAAAGAACAGAAAGAAATTAAAAATAGAGAAGAAAAGGGTTATATTGTGTTAATCTACACCACGAAGATGCCGGAAAACCAGCTTTTTAAAGTGAGACAGATTGTATAAGTATGGAAACACAGAAGAAGGCAGAGCATTCCACGGTTTGGCTGTGTGAGGAAAGAAGGAGGTACTATAACGGGTTATTCTCGTGTGACCGACATCCACCGCGGGCAAGACGTGTGTTACGAGCCCACGGCCTTGCCGGCGGTACACAGGATGCCAAATCCACCGAACATTGCCAGTTAAAGTACCTGTAAAAGAGAGAGAGTGAAGCAACATTGCGGCGAAGAGAAAGGGAAGATAGATTGTTGACTAAAGGAGGAGAGTTAATAAGACGAAATGCCTTTGGTTCCACCCTATCTAATAGTTGGACAGAAGAAGAGCCACCCCAGATATGAGAGCAGTACTCCAAGTTAGGACGAATGAATCCCTTATATACTTGGAGCAACTGCTCAGGAGTGAAGTAGCTACGGCATTTGTACAGCATTCCCAACTTTTGGGAGGCAGCTTTAGCTATACTAAGGATGTGTGATTTCCAGGACATATTGGAGGAAATGGTGAGGCCTAACATATTTATTTCAGAATTTGGCAGGATGATAGCGTCCTGAAATGTAATTGGTGGGAGATCGTCTAATTTACAAAGTGTAATTGGTAAATATTGAGTTTTATTACTATTGCACTTAACCAAGTTTGTACCTCCCCATTCAGCTGGAGCTGCTGAGAAGTCAGAAGAAGAAGGTGCTGGACACAGTGATGCCCACTGTGAGGAGGTCAGCCTGGTATGCACACCCAGAGGCAGTGTTGCAGGCCATGCTGTGCAATGAGGTGGAGGATGAGGAGAGAGGCAGTGGACAGGATACTGGAGTTGAGGGAGGAGGGAGATGAGGAGACATAGATTGGTGACAACTCTGTCAGGCCCAGGAGAACACCTGACATAAACCCAGATGCCACCAAGCTGTTAGAGCTGATAGACTGGACCACTAGGGTCACTGAACCAACCCCCTCACCTGTTCTCTCACCACAGCTCAAGTCAAGCAGTTTGTGCACAGGCCTATAGAGGTGCCAGACTGGCCTTCTCATACTCATAGTGTGAAGAGGTGTGTCAAAGTGGTCACAGTGGCAGCTGCCCATGTCTACAGTCACGAGAAAAGGGATGGGGTGATCAAGTCCCAATTGATGAGCAGACTTCTGATGTCTAGGAGCAGGAGCAAGCAGGACCTGGCCTCTGACCAAGTTCAAGAGGTGAAGAGTATAGTATGTGAGCATATGTATGTGTGTGTGTGTGTAAGTGTCTGTACATAGTGTTTGCATTGTGTAGCCGTTTTTGTATATCGCGTTGGCAACAGTAGTGTCAGTCGTTGTAATGCAGAGGTTCCGTGTGTGCCTTGTGTTCTTGCTCGCGATCATTACTACAAGGAGGAAAATACAAAACCTCGATACCTATTGTCAAACAGTACAAAATAAAACTGTAAATACGATTTTCCAGCGTCTCATTTCAGTACAACGGTGATAGATACCAACAGGAAAATTTAGTATTTTGGGCCTAAAACCCCAAATTTAAAATGAAAATTGATGTAGGTAGGACATCTCCAATCTCAAAATCATGGTTATTCCCGAAATCTACATATAAAAATGCATCATTTAATGACCCGCCGTCAGAAAAATTCCTAAAGTTGCACTTCGACCCCTGAAATTGACACCCGCGTATCATATGTCCCAACGGGACGAAGAAACTGCATAAATTGAGACTGGATTGGCATTGGCGTCATGAGATAAGAGGTGAAAAAAGATTATTAGGGATTTAAGAAAAGTGGTGAAACTGAAATACAGTAGAGTAGAAAGACTCTGGACTCAACCAGATCACTTTATCTTTGTTCCCGCCACAGTAAGATAAGCTAGAAGAGAGAGAAAGAGAGGGATAACCATAATAAGATAAACTAGGCGAGAGAGAGAGAGGGGGGGGGGGGTGAGATAAGAGATATAGTGTTGACAACGAATTTGCTGACCAATCTGCTGAGGTGTTTCAATACGAAAACATATGGCCCTCGCCTCCGGGCTGAGATTGCCCTCGAGGGTAGTCTACTGATTTCTACAGGACAGACTACACGTTGGTTCAGACCACTAGACCCTAAAACGTGAGTGATCGTGAAGTATTAGAGTCTGCTAAGAAACTCTAAATAACTTTAATAAGTATATTTGTGTACTGCAATTTGTTCATATTATACCAATTGTCTCCTGTATCAATAGTTATAACATGCGAGTTATATTTAAGATGTTAACAGGCTATGTACTGTATATTGATTGTATTATTCATAATATATGTCCTGAGATAACAGCATTTGTTATATGAGAAATGTTCGTTAACAGGTTTTGACCGAATTATATAGTACGCGTCAACGTTGAGGGTTTATTTCTCCAGCAACAAACCAATAACGCTCCTATGAGCGTTAACAATCTTATCTATTGGGTTTTTATCCTTGTTTAGCTCCCTCGGGTCGTCAGACCTTTGTATTAGTATTGGTTTATTTATACGGCGCTGCTTATTATACTTCTTACTTCGTGGGATTTTTTACTTTGGTGGAGTTAGTGAGCCCTCCCAGGTCCTTGTGTGGCTGGGAGGGTAGTCACATTTTTTTTTAATTACTAATGAGTTTGGTAAATGTTAGTTGTGTAAGTCTAAAGGTACACTGTATGGAGAGGCCTGCAGGTTTTTAGTGGAGCTGGTAGGTCACTCTCATCTTTTATTCTCTCTATAAATGTTTTATGTGTATATTTGGGGTAGGAGATGGTTCAATTACTTTCTTTCTGGCAGATTTAAACCAGCGATGTTCTTGGATTTCTTCATTATCTATATTATTTATCCAGTTTTGGTAAGTTTCTGTGTTGAGTTCAGTCACTTTGTTCCAAATATTTGCGGCTTTGTTGTGTATTTCTCCATTGATGGCTAGGAAGTTTGCTTTCTTGTGTAGCTGTTCATTATTGATGTGGTCTGTATATTTTATGTTGTAAATAAATCTAAGGGCTATATTTTTTTGCTGTTTTTTTACTAAGGGTGTTCAATGGGATGGGATGGGTGGGTAGACCATAATTGATATGACAAGGGCTATATAAATCTTTCTTTTGATATTTATGCTAAGGTTCTTAAATCGTTTTATTTTTTATAGTCTTATTCTTGCCTATCGTTCTTTATCTCTTATGTAAGTTATATATCCTCTTTTTGTTAGTTGAGAAAAGAACCTGGGTGTGTACAGTATGTTGACTATGAACTGAAGTTCTCGGGCCATTGTGAGGTGAACAAAACAACTAGATTATTAGGTCTTATAAGAAGGTCGTTTAGATATAGATCCGTCCAGTGTTAAACTAGATAGACCAACCGCTCCGAGCTAATTAGTGGCGAAAATTATAAAAGAGAGAGAGAGAGAGAGAGAGAATACACGCTCAACTAACTGACTTGGGTTTGTCGTATATTATGTCTACTGGATTTTTATTTTTTTACGGAATTAGCCCACTAGGGCACAGGTCAACCCACATCAGGGCCTGGGGGCGAAAATATAATAATAATAATAATAATAATAATAATAATAATAATAATAATAATAATAATAATAATAATAATAATAATAATAATAATAATCACAATAATAATAATAATAATAATTAATAAAACGGCAAAAGTGTAGATAACGGCTACCACCAGAAGGAATTGTCCGAATTGGTTGAAATTTTTCTTCACACTAACATGATATTAAACACAAAAATGGAAACGACAATGCATAGAACCTAATAGAACCTGACCTAACATACCCATAGCCATAGGTTGGGCTTGTTAGGTCAGGTTCTATCAAATTCTATGCATTATCGTGTTAATTTATGTGTTAAACAACTTACCTTAATATTGAGGTTGATATACATCAGCAATGGCAAGGAAGAATTTGTGGAAGCGTTCACCATCATTTATAGGATTCAGCGAGGTAAACAACAAAAATGGCGCCGGAAGGAGAATTGTAACGCGAAATATAGTAAAGAAAAAAATATTTAAAATCATAATAGAAAGTTGTCATTTCTTTTAATATACTTAAAATCACCAAAGCAATAAATATAGCAAAAATAAAGAAAATCAACAAACAACTTCTGGTGGTAGCCATTATCTATGCCTTTACCATTAAAAAAAATATTAAATAATAATAATCATAATAATAATAATAATAATAATAATAACAAAGGACCATAAAAAAAATCAATGGTGAGAAACGATATATGTAGGCCTATGTTGTGTTGTCACAAAGAGAAATTATTGAAAGCCTGCAATTGTGTGTAAATGAGGCAGAAAGTCAGATCAGCAACCTGGACTTCGTCACATTTTTTGTGATGCCATATGGTAGCAGGGTCTACCATTAGATAATATATTATGTTTCCATTATCTTCCAAGACGGTAGTACCTCCCTGTTTGATAGCTGCCTGCTACCTACTGCCTACGAAAAGTGGAGGTTCGTGGAATTGCAGGAAATATTCTAAAATGGATTAGGGCGTGGTTACAGAACATGAAACAGCCCGTAAGCATTAACGGAACTAATCCGATTGGGGTAACGTCACTAGTGAAGTACCCCCAAGGCTCAGTACATGGACCATTACTATTTATTATACTGTATACATAAGCGATATAGATATAGGCGTAGACAGCAACATAGGTAAATTTGCCGATGACGCTAAAATAGGGCTTGTAATTAAATCTGACGAGGACTCCGCGAAACTACGGGAAGATCTAAAAAAAAATTCGAATGGTCTAAAAAATGACATGAAATTTAATATGGACAAATGTAAAGTAATTAGTCTTGACGTAAACAGAGAAACCAGATATCAGACGAACAACGTTGTTATAGAGCAGTGTTTTTCAAACTTTTTTTACTGCGACCCACAGCCAGAACAACAAATTGAATTGCGACCCATTAAACCTAAGTGTAATGATATGAAATGAGTAAATCAAAGACAAACACTGACATGAGAGGTAAAGAAAGAATCAGGAAATGCTCTCCTTGCAGTCGCTTCCTAGACTGTGTACTGTACATTACAATAACCAAGCCTAAATTATGGTGCATTTATTTTTATTTTCTTATTTATTTTCGCGACCCATTTTATTTTTTTTTCTTATTTTTTTTCGCGACCCATTTTTATTTTGCGACCCAATTTATTTATTTCGCGACCCACTGAAGGGTCGGGACCCATAGTTTGAAAACCCCTCTATAATATAGAAAAATGCGACTGTGAAAAAGATTCAGGAGTAATGATAAGTAGGAATCTTAAACCAAGTCAACAATGTGAATTTGCTTAAAACAAGGCTAACAAAGTACTTGGGTTCATACAAAGGAGTGTTAATTACGAGACTAGCGAGGTTAAACTTAAACTATATCTTGTGCTTGTGAGACCTTACTTGGATTACGCAGTTCAGTTCCGTACTACTGAATGGATAATCCCTAAAAAGAATTCAGAGGAGAATGACAAGACTAATCCCTCAGAATTTTTTGGGAAATCTGGCCAATATAATGAGCATTTTGAGGCCATTTTGAAGTCATGCGCCCTTGATATTAGGAGATATTCTGAAGTCAATGGTAAATACTTTTTACTATATAGTACAAAAATGCCTGAGTACAATACTGCATTAAAGAAAAAGTATTGGAATTTTCTGGTGAAAAGTGGGGTCCGGACACCCGCCCCCCGGATCCGACCTTGCGTAGCAATGGTTTTAAATAAAACAAAATTAGATTTAGGCACGTGATAGGTAAACATTGGTTTGGAAATAGAGTAGTGGATGAGTGGAATAATTTACCAAACATCATCATTGACATTAACTAGAATACGCTGGATAGCTTCAAACATAGGTTGGATGGATATGTGATCGATAGGGGTTGGGTGTAAACTGGACTGCCCAGTATGGGCCAATAGGCCCGCTGCAGTTTCCTTCATTCTTATGTTCTTTTTTTTATCATATTCGCCACTTATCAGCTTACTAGCCGTTTTGGCAACTGTACTTTAACATATGAAAATACCCCCAAAACCCTAACCTGAAAATGTCCCATTTTGCGTATTTGTGGCAATTAAAATGGCAACCTGGCACCCTGCTGCTCCCCTCGGCAGAGACATCGATTTCTTAATACACCTACATTTTACTGTACATACCTTCTCCTATTTATCCTTGTACCCACTGTAATAATATACAATAATTAAACATATATTTTGCTATTTTAGAGAATTATTGTAACTGATAAAAATATTTAAATTGACTATCAACTGGAACTAGAAAGAAAGCGAGTGTGCGCGTGTTGAAGCGCGACACGTCACCAGGCGTCAGCGCGACTGTGAGCCGGGACCCGGGAAGGAAAACAGTGTTAAAAACAAAGTTGACGGAGGTAGATTAACGACAGGATCTCCGCTCACATCATCAATGGCACTGCCTCGTGTAGTGGACCGTCATTACCACAGGAAGCCTTTGCTGTCAAGTTAGTGTTAATGCTTTCACATAATCCCATTCCCACCACGCTAGTGTTCCCGGTTACTGACGCAGGTGGGAGAGCCGCATACTGCCACACTGGGATTGACGTAAGTTCTCATAACCAACACTCCGGCGATTAATACCCGTTCCTCCCTCCAGTACCATCACTCCATCTTATATAATAATATATCATACGCCAAATAAACCTTCACCTATGCTACTACCACCGCCAGAAAGTGAGTGTGAGCTCTTTCAAGACCAGACTTGACCAACACTGGAGCAGGTTCAGGTATATTCAGGAGCCGGTGATTGCCCAGTACTTGCCAACAGTGCGTAACAGAGACGTGACCGATCGCCCAAGCGGCTAACGAGCCGGTCAGTGGTGAAGAGGATGAAAGTAAAAAGTATACCAGTGCCGCAACCAATAATCCCATTCACCAGTACCACCACCATCATTATCATTATCTCCACCACCAGTATCACTATCATCAGCATCACCATACCACTATCTCCACTACCACCACCAGTAACACTACTACCACCAGTATCACCACTATAATCGCCCCGGGCTTAAGGAGATCAATGAACTTGCCACGTCAACTCGATACAGTTTATTTCGGTCAAACCTGTCAAATACAAATAATCAATTTACAAGAGGGAAACTGAAGGTTCAGTGACTTATCAGATATGAATACATTTACCTAAAATTAGCACACAAATGAGTACAGTATCTTAAAAGAAACACAACATAAGCTGCATATCATCAGAAGTTACTCAATTAATATTCTTCACGTCCACAGCGAAACAATGTTTTCACACTTACGCGTTGCAGGTCTGGCTTGGACCAAAATGCCTCTGGTGTGTTTAGGGCGATCAGTTGAGAGGTACTGCCTATGTTTCGTCAGGGGCCTAGGTGAACGTCAAGCCAATTCAGCATATCCACGCTTTTTTCCTCATTATGATACGGGCTGACTCACCATCGTCTCCTCGCTTAGTACACAACACTTCTCATTACTCTGATCATTCTCCCACAATTGCCCTCACCCAGTGTTCGAAATAGGAGTGTATCTGTGGAGGGTCATCAACCTCGACAGTGGCGGTGTGGGGTTATACGATATTGGTTCACACTCAGGATGGGATGGAGAAAGGAAACTCACAATGTGCTCTCTGTATACATATTGTATTGGATGTACAATGCAGCTAGGTGCTGGGAAGGCAGCATGGTTACAAGCGTTGAGTAGAGAGAGCTGGTTGGTGCGAGGGCCACCAGGCAGGAGCGGAGGAGGAGGTGTTGCTTGCTGGTAGCTGTAGGTAGAAAGGAGAGAGGTCACCACGAGGTGAGGTCTTATATAGCAGAGGTAGGCGTGGGTTGATAGTTGACCTCCGCCTTGTTAGGCAGCGCTGGTTGCCGACCCTAGACCACGAGGCGCAGGCTGGGGAATTCGAAGAAGGTCGGCTACTCAGCGACAAACGGCGTTTGTAGGGGAGGAATCCACTACAATACTCCCCCTTCCCTCCAGGTGGTGTAGGAGATTTGTTGTCTGCAGGGTTGCATCCCACATGTGAGGCATTAAGGGCGGTGCAGGAGACTTTTTGTCGGCAGGTTTGTATCCCACATGTGAGACATAACGGCGAGGGCGTGGATGAGCCGGCCGCTATGGGAGACACTTTGTCTAGATACACGAGATCTGTGGGAGAAGAGAGGGAGAGGGAGGGTTGTAGAGGCGAGGAATGTGGTGCTTCTCTCGCGGCAGGTACAGAGTCCTCAGTAGCGCCTGCTGGGGTGTGTGGGTCCGCGTCAGGAAGAGGGTCCATGACAGCAGCAGGGTGCATGACAGCAGCAGGGTGCAAGACAGCAGCAGGGTCCATGACAGCAGCAGGGTGCAGGACAGTAGCAGGGAGTACCTGAGGGAGAAAAGAGGGGTGTGTTGGTCTGCGTCAGGAGGAGGGTCCAGGACAGTAGGAGGGGGTACTGCTGGGCCGGGGGCGGCGTCTGAGGCAGGACGGGTGTGTTGGAGTCGGTAGGACGTGGTGCTTGGGGCAGGAAAAGGAGCAGATCCGTTTCCCCTCCATCCTGTGTGAGTGTGAATCTCCGGGGGTCACCATTTGTGGGGTTATGAGATATTTCTTCTCCATCCTGTGTGAGTGCGGGGGTCACCATTTGTGGGGTAATGTGATAATGGTTTACACTCAGGATGGGATGGAGAAAGGAAACTCACAATGTGCTCTCTGTATACATATTGTATTGGATGTACAATGCAGCTTGGTGATGGGGGGTGGCAGCGTGAGTCTGAGCGTGATGTAGAGAGAGCTGGATGGTGAGGGTGCTCAGAGGACGACAGGCAGCTTGTAGAGCGCCATAGTCGCCGGCGAGAGGGGGAGCCCCCAGGCAGGAGCGGAGGAAGAGGAGGTGTTGCTTGCTGGTGGCTGTAGGTAGAATGAGAGACAGGTCACCACGAGGTGAGGTCTTATATAGCGGAGGTAGGCGTGGCTTGATAGTTGACCTCAGTTATGTTAGGCGGCGCTGGTTGCCGACCTTGACCACGAGGCGCAGGCTGGGGAATTCGAAGAGGGTCGGCTACTCAAAAAGAGGTAGGTCACGGCGGGGTGAGGTCTTATATAGCGGAGGTAGGCGTGACTTGATAGTTGACCTTAGTTATGTTAGGTGGCGCTGGTTGCCGACCTTGACCACGAAGGCGCAGGCTGGGGAATTCAAAGAGGGTCGGCTACTCAGCGACAAACAGCGTTTGTAGGGGAGGAATCCACTACAGCGGCCCTCCACCTGAAGGGGATGGGGGGGGGGGGAGCCTTTACAGCTGGGTACTGTAAGCCCCCTGCGGGATTTTTTTTTAAATCTGACCAATTTGAGGCCATATGCAGGATGTGGCCTTCTTGAAGAATTTGATTGGAAAGGATATAAATAGTGTAAATATTAATAATGGATCTAGCTAGCCTTAAGATAATGCCCTGGAATGTTAATGGTCTACGAAATAGAGTGACAGATGTACAATCAAAGACAAAAGTCGTGTCGCGGTTTTGTCCGAAGATTAAATATAACTCGTGAAACATTATGAGAGCCCCCTACCACAAGGCCGAGCTTACCAAAAGTTTAGCCCTTCGGCATATGTTTTCACCAGATTTCGCGACACGAGTTTTGTATTTCATTGTAAATTACTTTACAGTTAAAAATAATATTGACATAATTACCCTTCAGGAGACTGGGGACAGGAAAGGCGACCTGATTAAACTGTCTGGATATAAGGGATTTCATCTCTATTCGGGTGAAGGTATAAGAGGGGTATCAATATACACATTAAGAATTCCATACCAGCAGAACTAGTTGGAAACCCGAGTAGAGTACAAGGAATAGAAAGTGTCTGTATAAAGATATATTTGAAGGAAGGAGAATTGAACATTCGACCGCCGCATGGTTTATGTGTAGAGGTCTCCTTGTATTCCTAGAGGCACTGGGTTTGGTCTTGGATATATATTTATCGATCAAATGAGTCACTTTACTAGCTATGATATTCAGCGTAGTGTCTGCGTTCTTATGCCTCAGTGAGTTGTCTACCTTAATTTTCATTTTGGAATTATCCAATTAGGAAACAACCATGTTTTCTGACTTCAGCTGTCCGGAGCAAAGTTTTCCGTGGTGACAACTTGGTTGTTTCCTCATCAAAGCAGTGGCTAATGCATATGCAGTCCACCCTGGTCGTTATTTTGAGGGTCAGGATTTCAGTCATACCTGGAAATTTATTATGTGATTATTATGATATATTAATTGAAAATAAAACTTTCACCGTGAATAACAAATTCTTGCAACAAAAGAGGTTACTAACTTGGGATTAAGCAGTAGACTGAAGTAATAATATAGACTCCACACCTAAAATAATAACTGCAGAAGTAAACATAACCACTGCTAAAGTAATTGAAAAAATTCATATCATTGTATGGGTGTAGTGGTTTTCCGGCTTCGTAATGGCCACACCACAAGATATGGTTCTACCCGATATACGAGCAATAGCGATAAAAACAAAAAGTAGTTTATGTGCAGCAAAATGATGAAGCTACTCTTCTGTAAAGGTTATCACATTATTATTTCAATTATATTATTAAATTTATGAAAGTGGAACACATAATTTGGAACCAGTGATCCTGTGTGACCCCGGGTGATACCGATATTTGGTCTGGCACATGGACAGACCAAATGCGTAAACGTTGGTTGGCAAAGTAGGCGGGAACAGTGCCAGGGAGCCGATGGAGGGATGCCAGGTTGGATGTGGGTGGGTGGGTGCCTGGGTAGGGTGGGGCGAGGGTCAGAGCAAGGCGAGTGAAGCACCTTGCATGCTTCAAGTTGAGTTAGTAGTGGTAAAGAGAGTGGTGGTGAGCACTACTTAGTGCTGTAGTGTCACATGTTGTGGTGGTAAAGGTGTTAGTGTCTCACACAGTGTGGTGGTAACGGTGTTAGTGTCTCGCACAGTGTGGTGGTAACGGTGTTAGTGTCTCACACAGTGTGGTGGTAACGGTGTTAGTGTCTCACACAGTGTGGTGGTAACGGTGTTAGTGTCTCACACAGTGTGGTGGTAACGGTGTTAGTGTCTCTCACAGTGTGGTGGTAACGGTGTTAGTGTCTCACACAGTGTGGTGGTAACGGTGTTAGTGTCTCACACAGTGTGGTGGTAACGGTGTTAGTGTCTCACACAGTGTGGTGGTAATGGTGTTAGTGTCTCCAGTGTGGTGGTAACGGTGTTAGTGTCTCCACAGTGTGGTGGTAAAGGTGTTAGTGTCTCACACAGTGTGGTAAAGGTGTTAGTGTCTCTGTGGTGTTAGTGTCTCACACAGTGTGGTGGTGTTAACGGTGTGGTAACGTGTTAGTGTCTCTCACAGTGTGGTGGTAACGGTGTTAGTGTCTCACACAGTGTGGTGGTAACGAGTGTCTCACACAGTGTGGTGGTAAAGGTGTTAACGGTGTTAGTGTCTCACACACAGTGTGGTGGTAAAGGTGTTAGTGTCTCACACTGTGTGGTGGTAGTGTCTCACAGTGTCAGTGTCTCACACAGTGTGGTGGTAACGGTGTTAGTGTCTCACACAGTGTGGTGGTAACGGTGTTAGTGTCTCACAGTGTGGTGGTAAGTGTGTGTGGTGGTAAAGGTGTTAGTGTCTCACACAGTGTGGTGGTGTCTCACACAGTGTGGTGGTAAAGGTGTTAGTGTCTCACACAGTGTGGTGGTAAAGGTGTTAGTGTCTCACACAGTGTGGTGGTAACGGTGTTAGTGTCTCACACAGTGTGGTGGTAACGGTGTTAGTGTCTCACACAGTGTGGTGGTAAAGGTGTTAGTGTCTCACACAGTGTGGTGGTAAAGGTGTTAGTGTCTCTCACAGTGTGGTGGTAACGGTGTTAGTGTCTCTCACAGTGTGGTGGTAACGGTGTTAGTGTCTCACACAGTGTGGTGGTAACGGTGTTAGTGTCTCACACAGTGTGGTGGTAAAGGTGTTAGTGTCTCACACAGTGTGGTGGTAAAGGTGTTAGTGTCTCTCACAGTGTGGTGGTAACGGTGTTAGTGTCTCTCACAGTGTGGTGGTAACGGTGTTAGTGTCTCACACAGTGTGGTGGTAACGGTGTTAGTGTCTCACACAGTGTGGTGGTAACGGTGTTAGTGTCTCACACAGTAATAATAATAATAATAATTAACGGTTTATTGAAAAAGTCGGCAGCCCGAAGGCTGAAAATATACATTGGACAAAAATGACTTATTGCATACAAAGACATGGGGTGGGTGGGTCGTTTGGTGACCGGACAAAACCCCAGTCTCATATATAAAATATAAAATAAAACACTTTTAGGTTAGGTTAGGTTAGATTAGTGTTGATAAATGACAACCCCGTTGGGGTTTTGTCCGTTGGGGTTTTGTCATGAAACCGGGTCGTTCAACAAAAGCTTTCATTACTGAAAGAAGTAGGAACATGAATTGAACATAAAATTATTATAGTTTACAGTTGATGGCCCCGGCCTGGACTGGTTCGTGGACACACCCAGTGGTGTGGTGTTCACGTGGTGTAGTAACTCGTCCTCGGGTGTTAATATGACAGACCTCACGTAGTCATGGGGTCACCAGGTGGTGTGTGACGGTGAGGTGCCGTAGTGTGACCGTGTGGTACAGTGACCAGTAGCATCGGATTTTGAGTGATAATGGTAGTTCATTGCTCAACTCTTACCGCACTGAGATACACATTGTTATGTTGTTGTTTTTATCATATTCGCCATTTATCAGCTTACTATCCGTTTGGGCGGTCTATCCGGTGTTAGAGATGCCATGATGGAACACCTACTACGAAACAACCTTGTAAAGGACTGCCAAAACGGTTTTATGCCGTTTGGGCGGTTTATCCAGTGCAAGTACAGGAGGAAACCGGGACCTACCTGTGGTGTTTGGTAGTGAGGGTCACACTGGATAACACCCTTCTCACGTGTGTCCGGGCCGAGGCTCGAACCCTTGACATATTGGTGAGAGTTATGCGCGTTACCGTTTTTTCCTCAAAAGCATTGAATTGAATTGAAACAGTTAATTTAGCCAGAAAAAAAAATACAGATACAGAGTGGATAATAATAATAATATTAACATGGCTGAGCCAGTTGAGAACCTGAGCTCTCTTTTAGGCACCTGATATATACTATACATTTATCTCAAGGAAGTATTAGGCTATATAACATTTAGTATCATCTGGAATAGTACAATAGCATGGTGGTACTAAGAACATCTCATAATGTTACGACGGTTATCACTTCAATATTTATTAATTTTATTTATGTATTATTTTTTTAGGTTGTTCGCATACTCTCGTGTAAACTGAAGATTTTTTTTTACGAGATTAGCCCACCAGGGCACAGGTCAATGACCCACATGGGCCTTGGAGGCGAAGATATAATAATAATAATAATAATAATAATGATAATAATAATAATAATAATAATAATAATAATAATAATAATAATAATAATAATAATAATAATAATAGTCATAATAATAAAATAAAAAATATAATAAAATAAGAGTAATATAATAATAATAATAATAATAATAATAATAATAATAATAATAATAATAATAATGTATTAATAAATAAATAAATAGAAAAAAATAAAAAAGATCAATAGTGAGAAACAATATAACGTGTATGTTGTGTTGTCAAAGTAAGAGAAGCAACTGAGATCCTGCAATTGTGTGTAAATGAAGCAGAAATTCAGATCAATAACCTGGGACTAGGTCAAAATTTTTGTGATGCCTCCCTGCCAAATTTCATATCTATCTTCAAAACTATAGTCTTAGATCTCGAACAGACGTACAAGAAAACACACACACACGGCATTTATTACACTTTGTTTACATAACTTAATGAGTGTAAAGAAGCAACTCACTTGAGATAACCACTATTTGAACAGTCATCTTATGCTTCTAACACGCGCATCATCCTTTTTAACGAGAATTGTGTAAACATTACAACTAAAAAAAAATTGCCTTTCAGGAATAGAAAATGAATGTCACCACCATGAATGTGCAGTAAAATGAAAGGTTTTATGGACACTGTGTTTTAAGTTACCGCGACTAAACCAAAGAACTGGGGAGACAGTGGACTGTGACTGAGGTATAACACAGAAAAGTTGATAAGAGAGTTTACGAGTGAGGAGAAGCAGTGAGAGGCAGGATGGAGAAGTTCCTAGAACACATAGGAGAGTTTGGGAGATACCAGCAGGGGATGTTCGTGCTTCTGTCACTTCCCACCATCATCGTTGCCATGCAGAAGCTGGCCTGGGTGTTCCTAGGTGCCCGTGTCGACCACAGGTAAGTCTTACAGACAAACACACACACGCGCACACATACACATACGTGCACGCGCATAATTTGTCAGGCGTCAAACCGTATTTTTAAACATTGACAAGAATTTTTGGCTAAAACCTGTGATAGGAGACCGCACCTGCTCCCTATAGACCGTCAGTGCAGGTAGACACTAGGGACTGTTTGAGCAACCTTAAACAAAAAACAACACGTACGTCTAATATTTTATCAACACAGCCTGAAAGTTATGGCTTGCAATATCCTGTTTTGTTTTTTGATCATTAATGTCACGTCAGGTGTAGACCACATTGATCAAGTTCACTCTTAAAGTTTCATGTCAATCCAGCTCTCTCTCCAGCGTTCATTTTACCCTTATCTCTGTTAAAACTATATAGAGCGCATATTCTTCTTCCATATACGTGTTATACTGTACTTAAATGGTAGGTGTCGAGGGTTTAGATGTTTACGCCCTCTGGTTCTTTTAAAGATTACTGCCAGGTGGAACAGTTTCACTTTTACCAAGGATATTGAACAAGATAATGGATATTTGTAAAAAAAACTGTCTATTTACAAGTATTTACACTGATAAGCGGCATGAAGACAGTACAGAGCAACATAAACATATGTAGGTATGAAAATTCCGGACTGCCAGTCAGAGCAAATGTCGGGAGTGTAGTCACTAGATGTGAAGCGTGGGGTCTTGTACAGTATATAATATCAACACGGCGCAGTTGGTAAATAGGTGTCCTCTCCTCAACAAAGGCACAGGAGAGCAACTATCCTTCTAACCGGCACAAGTACTGATAATTAATGGACCTGGGAGGAACAGCACAGAGGCTAGGGCTGACAGTGTCCTAGCTGACGTGCTGACATACAAGACTAGGAGTGCAGCAGTTCACACCAACAGTTTACACAAGGCACCATTAAAACACAAATAACACCATAGGAACCATAAACCACAAACAATAATAAATAATATGGAATACTCACAGGTAGCAGGAGACCAACTGGGTCAGAGGAATGAAGCCTAGGCCCAAGTGACCAGCCATACGGTTACATCCCTCACTGACTCGATTCGAACTACCCATGAGCAACACCTGCTTCACATACAGAGAACAAACTCAACACTGAACAACACAGTTCCAACAATCATTGGACTGGAAAACAAACCTCGTACACTGGGATGGAGAAACTTTTGAGGTCGGAGGGTCAGATTGAATATTTTTTGTGGGGGTCACCTCTTATTTTCAGTGTTAATGCAGATTTAATGGGTATGATTTTTACCCTGGAACATTATCCCTGTGCAGTTCCGCTATTATAAATTAGCCTTATAACAGTGTATTACATCCAAATCTATCGAAAAATTTTATACCCCCGGGCAGGGCCGGATTAAGCTACCCTCAAGGTATATATATATAATATATATATATATATATATATATATATATATATATATATATATATATATATATATATATATATATATATATATATATATATATATATATATATATATATATATATATATATAGCAAGAACAAAATATAACAAAATCTATCAATGATTTCATCAATATTAAGCTTCTGCAAAATAACACATTCAATGTTCATAAGAGACAGAGAATTGAGACGTTGCTAGGACATCGTTGAACGCAGTTCATGTTTTATACGCTTCAACTTCGAGAATGTTTGGATTTGGGGGCCCCTTAGAGTCGGGGGGGCCTGAGGCCAGTGCCTCATGGTTAATCCGGCACTGCCCCCGGGCCCTCTCAGTCTCCCCTTAAAAACAAACAAACAAACACTGAACTTAAGAATGGTTGAGGGCCACAGTTCCTCGCCCTTGGTTTTATTGTATTGTAATTTTGCCATCTATAATTTTCATATTTCATTTTCTCTCTCTCTCCCACTCTCTTCCCCGTTTCTATCTCTCTCTCTACCCTCTCACTATATCTACTCCCCACTCTCTCTTCCCTCTTCTCTTTTTCCTTATCCGCCCTCTCTCTCCTATTCATCATCAGTTGTGATAGTGGCCGTATAGAACAATTATTGTAACGTCAACAAAGCCTGTGATGTTTGTTTACCTGGCCAGGTGTCGACTGCCATGGGAGAGCGACAACGCCACCTTTCCTCTGGATGATCTTATGAAGAATGTGTCGCTGCCCTGGGACGACCAGAAGATGGGCTATGACCAGTGCCACATGTGGAGGTGTGTATGTCATCTATACACAATATACTGTATATAAATATGGGGAGAAGCCATGTGACATTGAATTACAGTAATTTGCTTTCTTAAACTTAGCAGCTAACAGTATATAATTAGTTTTAGTAGTAGTAGAAGTTCATTAGATGAACATGCAGTATTTAGTTCATTGACCCACGAGCTACCTCAGCAGAATGTGACTATCTAATTATTTGTTATCTTACAGTGACGTAACTTTGGAGCCACCAGCACGTCCCAATGATAGCCAGAAATTGAATTGTGATGCCATTGTCTATGACACGTCCAAGTACCAGACCAGTGCTGTCATTGACGTGAGTTCTAGGGTGGGAGCACTCGCATGTGATTATATCTAATTTACCTAACGGCCACCATATTCTGTCATGTGATGGATGATAGCAACCCTCACAGAGTTTCTCAGTTTGCAGATATATAATGTTAAGGTGATTGTTCTATAGTTTTCAGCCCCTCGAGTATTGGGGCGGCGTTGGGTGATTTCCAGACTCAGGCACTTTTCCTTGAGCTAGACGTATTCTGAGTAGCATTCTCACTGGAGTGCAAGTCTCATTCACTACCTCGTTTAATTACCATATTTTTACCAAGTCTCTGACAAATTTACATAGGGGCATAAGTACTGACGTCATGCCGCCATTGGATTGTCAGCCACTGCCATAGCTTGCGCTCCTTCATCTAATGTGCCTCTTTACAATGCAAATATGAACCATATATTTGTGTTTTATATAATTCATAATACCAACCAAAATATTTATGGAATCCTTACCGGTAATATATGGGAAAAGGGTGGCGCAGAAATTGTTTTGGGTTGACAACTCAAACTTAACATGTACAGTACAAGTGTTAAAAGGAAAGTGCACAGGACTATTAATTTTTTGTGGTACAGTATATGCACCAGGGATAAGTACCTGTAGAAACATGTAAGTTTGTGTTCTTGCATATATTAAATAGACTATGAGGATGTCACCATTGGCATCAGACATGCATACAGGCACCCTTATGTCTTTAATATGCCTTAACTACTTGATCGCACATTTTGTTCCTAACTGTATACATTCATCTGTCGTCGAAATGTGCATTAGTAAATAAAAATGAAGTTTACGGTGCATATCTGCATTGCAAAGGGGCATTAAATCAAGGAGCGTAAAATATGGCGGTGGCTGGCAGTTCAGCACTGGGCGTGATGTCACGTATGCAGGACTTCATATATACATGATGACACGGGCCAATTAGGGTGCTGATGTAAAGGTTTCTAGGAGACTTCGTAAAAATGTGCCTCATCCTCTCTTTGAGCCAAGCAGTCCTCCAGGCTGGCTATTTTTGCTTGATGATTTCATCTGTGATTGCTCTTTCTCAATCCATCTTCAACCCCTGAGGTATTGCGTACATCCTCCTAGGTGCTGGCATGTTATCCAATGTATTTTGTGTGAACATTGATTTCAAGTGTTCATTTAGAGTATAATATCTGCTGTCTGTTTATTGTCCTGCAAAAGTGGCAGTGTGGATGTAACAGTAATAAAAGTTTGGTAAAATAAGTGTAGTGTTACAGTACCAACTGGTGTGTGAGCGGGCCTGGCTGAGAGCTACAGTTCAGTCTGTCTTCATGGTGGGGATGCTCGTCGGCTCCTACCTGTTTGGTGACCTCTCCGATAGGTAGGTCATCTTCCACACCTCCTTTCTTCGACACTGACCCGAACCTTAGGTGGTATTGATGGTGGAGGGAGGTGGAGTCCAGCCCTTTTTATGACTTCTGTAATAGTGTGTCACACTGTTGTGGTGACCAGAAGGTAAACTGATTCCCGTCCACCACCATATCCGAACCTCCTTGTACAGCCAATCCAAAAAGTATCAAGGTCCAGTGGTATAGGAAACGAGCAATAACCTCAAATGCGTTCATTTATCAGTTGGGATGGGTTAGGTTGGCCTTCACCTGATGTTTTGTACTGTATTCTTTCAGATGCCTGGAGTCTCAATACTGTTTGGATTGGATATATATATATATATATATATATATATATATATATATATATATATATATATATATATATATATATATATATATATATATATATATATATATATATATATATATATATATATATATATATATATATATATATATATATATATATATATATATACACACACAGTATAATCTGGATTTACGCGGTCAATTGAACCCGTTGAGGCCCGCGTAAAACGAGAATCGCGTAAATGAAATAACAGAACATATGGGATTAATTGAAATAGAGACTGGGCCGACCCTCAAACTCCACTTTTTGCCGACATAATACGTACATCGTAGTAAAAATAGTATCTTAACTTTATGATGGTATGCACACACACATAATATCTAAATAAAAAACTACACAACTGTACAAATAAAGGTGTTAAACACTCACGTTAGTAGAAGAGATGGGTCGGCATATGTGGATGGTGGCTGGTTCCGAGGCAGAGGGCAGATTAGTGGCCCTCAGGTGAATCACTTTCACTATCCACCACAGTTGTCAGGGCCTCCCTGACAAATCCCTCAAAGTCAACATCACTGTCACTATCACTGACTTGGGCTGGCTGTGGTGGGTTGCGGGCGAAGAAGTCTGTGATGTTACGCTGATGGCTAGTGTTGACGTGTTTGTGATACCTCGTGATGTACTGCTCCATACCTTGCTGTAGATGGTTATTGAAGACTTCATACCGTTGATTGTCAGGGTCGTTGGAAAGGATGAGCTTCAGTTTCTCTGAAAACTCGATGGCATCCTTAACATTACCATGTGTTAACTTGTGTTCTTCTCGGGCTGACGCACCACCTGCATCTTCACTGACGTCATCGTCTTCCAACATCTCGTCGGCAGTCACCTCAGGATCCCTGATCACCTCCATAATGTCTTCGTTGGTGGTCTCGGAGAAGCTTGCAGCTGTAACACCTAGGAGGATGTACTCAATACCTCAGGGGTTGAAGATGGATTGAGAAAGAGCAATCACATATGAAATCATCAAGCAAAAATAGCCATCCTGGAGGAATGCATGGCTCAAAGAGAGGATGAGACACATTTTTACGAAGTCTCCTAGAAACCTCTACATCAGCACCCTAGTTGGCCTGTGTCATCATGTATATGAAGTCATGCATGCATGACATCATGCCCAGTGCTGAACTGCCAGCCACTGCCATATTTTACGCTCCTTGATTTAATGCCCCTTTGCAATGCAGATATGCACCGTAAACTTCATTTTTATTTACTAATGCACATTTCGACGACAGATGAATGTATACAGGTAGGAACAAAATGTGCGATCAAGTAGTTAAGGCATATTTTAAGACAAGGGTGAGTGCCTGTATGCATGTCTGATGCCAATGGTGACATCCTCATAGTCTATTTAATATATGCAAGAACACAAACTTACATGTTTCTACAGGTACTTATCCCTGGTGCATATACTGTACCACAAAAAAGTAATAGTCCTGTGCACTTTCCTTTTAACACTTGTACTGTACATGTTAAGTTTGAGTTGTCAACCCAAAACAATTTCTGTGCCACCCTTTTCCCAGTTTATTTCACCTTACTTTTATCCTTTTCACTACTGATCGGCTCATTAGCCACTTGGGCGATTGGTCACGTCTCTGTTATGCACTGTTGGCAAGTACTGGACATGCACCGGCTCCTGAATGTACCTGAACCTTAAGGTTTACCAACCAAATGCTAATCAAACCTAATAACCTTCCAGGTGCTATAATATGTATGTGATCCCAATGTCCTATTAAAATGTTGTCCAAATTTCATCAACACTTATAAAAGCATGTTTAGTTACTATAGACATGAATAAAAAACGTTGCCTAACTGGGGCCAGATGCAAAAAATGTGGTCTGGAAGGTTAGGACAAGAACCTGTGTTTTTGCGTAATGTACTGTACACAAGAATGTTGATGCACTATGGTGGTGATGACTACGTGTCTTGACAGGTTTGGACGTAAGCCAGTCTTCCTCTCCGCCCTGGTATTGATGGTGGTGGTTGGGCTGGGTCAAGCTGTCATCCCAGACTACTATGTCCTCACCATCCTAAGGTTCATCCTTGGTGCCTCTCTCCAAGGAGTCTTCCTCGTCGCCTATGTCATGGGTGAGTGACGGAAGGGAAGGTGTTATGGGTAGGTGACAGGTTTACTAAGGTTGGGTTAAGTAAGTTTCGATAAGTTAGGATTAGTAAGCTTAGTTATGGTGAATAAGTAAGGTTAATTTGGGATAGGTTATCTTTACTTTATCTTATCTGTTTTGCCACTGATGGGCCTGTTAGACACTTGGGTGATGGTTACAGTATGTCTTTTATGCACTGTTGGCAAGTATTGGGCAAAGAGGATAAAAGAAAAAGTATGACTTGACCCAGAATGTACCTGGACTTGCACCAATGTTTTCACACTCTGGCAAGTTATTCCAAGAGTTAAATTATTCCCAAAAAAGTTCACACAGCTGCTCCACTAGCCTCAGGTTAACACACTCCTAATCACTTACAGCCATGGAGCTGGTTGGCAAGAAGCGGCGGGTGTTGGTGGGGGTGCTGGCTCAAGCCTTCTACACGCTGGGCTTCTTTACTGCCGCCGCCTTAGCCTGGAGTATAACCTCCTGGCGCTGGCTCCAGATCAGCATGACTCTCCCGGCACTGCTTTTTATACCCTACTACTGGTATGTGACGTCACACTCTTAGTATTGGTTGGGCAGTCAGTTATGTCTCTCTTACACAAAATTGTCAGGTTCTGGGCATTAGATCGAGAATATAGATACAGTACTGTAGTAGTGTTGGTCAAGTCTGGTATTAAATGAGCTCTCACACTCACTTTCTGACAATTTATTCCAAGAGATTACAACTCTTACTCCAAAAATATTGGTAGTCACTCTTTATACTGGTAAGTCACTGTTACTACTGCAGCCAAGGACACATACAAGTGTACATTATGTGGGTACTTCTACTTGCCATTTTCTCTTATTGTAAACTCTTCTTCTTTGAAGTTGTAGTGTTTCGAGCATTAGTGAATTCTTGAAAAGAACCAGCACTTCTGATAAATTAAAGACCAGCTATTATTACACCCCAGACAAATGTGGGAGAGGAATAACATAATAACTACAAATATACCGGTAGGCAGCATTTGGAGGTGTCCTACATATATTATTTTTATGGACAGTGTAAATGGAAGCTAGTTATTTAATGAATTTGAATGCTGAATTATATCCCGGAAAAATTAAGATTTTATATTTGCACACTAGGGGGGATGGGTGTCTGCATGTATGCACAAGTAGGTGCCTGCATGTGTGTATAATCTGTAGTAAGATACAGATAAAAAGAGTTCTCCCTCAGGATCATCCCAGAGTCCTCTCGCTGGCTCATCACCAAGGGCAGGATATCTGAGGCTCGCATCATTCTGGAGAAGGCTGCCAAAGTCAACAAGAAAGAGGTGGGTGGCTCGTGATACAGTGGTTATCAGCCCATATCCTTCTTTACCCATCGATTTGTTGATCAGTGTTTGCAATAAAAACAATATCATCTGCATATCAAACATTTTCTTTCACTACCATTAAATTTTGAAATCCCTGGAAAGGTCTACAAAATAGTTCATAGCTACATATTCTACTAAAACATTTAATTCCATGTCAGTTTCATTATACAGTATATTAACCATGTTTGATAATATTGAACTTTAATAAACTTTTACATAAGAGGTGTGTAATGTACAATTGATGTTTTTTACATGTGTTAAAAATGAGGGGTGAACCCACAGGTGACAGAGGATGCAATGTTGCAAGCGTTGGAAGTGTCGGGTGTGGGTAAGGATGGCGGGAAGGGCAACTTCTTTGACCTCTTTCGTTACCCAAACCTACGCAAGAAGACCATCAACCTCTTCTTCAATTGGTATGAGAGATGTTGTGTTAAGAGTTACAAACAATTTAATATTATGATTGCTCTCAAATGAAAATTAATGTAAGATTTAATTTACATAGTTCATTAATAGATGTAATGGTTGCTCCTCATGTTGAAGGCTGGTTGTCGTCAACACCACAGCCTAAGTTAACAAGCTGTATGACCCAAGATCAAGGAATAATCCCAGAAAACTGGACAAATAGCCAACATAATCTGTAAAATGAATAACATCCAGGTTCCCAATGGACGAGTTGACGTTCGGAATTTTTTTGTAAGATGGGTAAAGAAAACGCTTAAATTCACTATGGTAATGATATTTTAAAATAAATTAGGCCAAAAAGTGTAAAAAATAAGGGTTAAAGCTGCTAAAAAGTCACGTGACTGTGAAAAGCTCTGATTGTTTGTCATGTCACTGACTAGTGCGAGCCGCAGAGTGGGAGCCTGGAGGCAGCCAGCTGTGGTGTATGTGTTGTTACCAGCAGAAATACAGGACTTGTGGCCATATACAGTGGGGTGTGCTATAACGAACGGATCCTACTACGAATATTCCTATAACGAACGGTTTTACCTATAAAATTGAGAATGCTATAACGAACGAAACTCCTACAACGAACATTATTAAGAAAAAATTTTTTTTTTTTTTTTACTAATTTATTGTTTTTTTATTACAAGCATTAATGATACTCTTTATTTCAGGGGTTTAGATGCATATTTATGCACTTTTTTACAATTTTTACAATTTTATATCATATTTTTCAGTGTTAAGTGGTTGTATTTGGGGGCCTGGAACGGATTAATCCTATAACGAACGAATGCTATAACGAACCAGGTTCTAGAACCAATTAGATTCGTTATAGCATACCCCACTGTACAATGTTGATATGCACAAGCATACCTTATTTTTAGGTTAAAATAAATTACTGCTCAAGTATTATCGTTTGTATTTACTTGCTGGGTGCCAAAATGATGCAAAAGACCGATAACTCCAACAATGAAGTTTTCATCAATGTTCTCTAATTCATGTCTGGAAAATGTAAATTTTGTCACTGATGTCTATATTTAATGTTGTGGAAGGACTAGGGACGATCATGGCCAGGGAATGGGCTTGAGATGATCAGATGACAGATGTAATTTAACGTGCTTCATAGCTGGATGGCCGAGTTCTCGATAATACTGTACTCTACTATCATAATGACATCTACTTTTGGTAAATTTCTTTCATCTGCCTTAATGAACCCTGGAAGTAGTTGTCCAACCTTCTCGGCTAATCGGCTATGTAAATTAACATTATTAGATAATTAATTGTGCTTTACTGTGCAACACAGTAATGCTATATTGAATATATAAATACTACTAAGCACATTAACTAATTCAATGGATATTAGCTGCCCATACAACACATTCCAAACAATATTGGAATTATTTTGGTTTTGGTCATCTGAGGAACCATAAGATTCTAACTATGGGATTAAGTACTTTAAGCAATAAGACAAATTATCGCTGCGGGATTTCTGTCGCAAAACATTTTTCGATCACATAAGAAAATATCAGGTCATATGTTAGGTTAGGTTAGCTTAACATACATCGGCAAGGGGGGATGGTAACTCAAAGCTAGTATTTCCGATAGAAATGAAGGTCTAAATCGTTCAAAACACATTGCAAACCACCAGAAAAATCAAAACATAGTCTGCATGTCAAAGTACAGGGATGACCAAAACTTAAAATTTACCCAATACAGTGACCCCTCCATTAACGAACTCAATCCGTTCCAGAAGGTCGTTTGTTAACCGAAAAGTTCGTTAACCGAAACCATTGTTTCAATGGGTTTTTGGGTAATTGGTTCCAGCTCACCGAAAATTTCCTAAATTCAACAAAAATGGTAGAAAAGTTCACTTACTTTGAGGTGTGTATGTAGAAGGCTCCTGGATGATGATGATGATGATGATGATGATGATGATGATGATTGGAATTAGAATGGGGGTGGAGGAGAAGGAAGAAAAGGCATTGGGGTGGAAGAGAAGTCACCCCATGGCACCATTTCATCCATAAAATTTTAGTTCTCTTGGTGTATTTCAAGATTATTTTCTTTATATCAACACGGCACTGCATTATATATTGTCAATATGTAAAATATATTTCAAAATGACCAATAATTTGCTTGGAAACACAGAAAAAAGCATTTAGTTGAAGAGAGTCTCAAGCAAGATGTTACCTCCAGTGAAAACAGAGAGAGACTAACTCCTGTTTGCTGTGTTAAGAGGCTGGATGCCGCATATTAAACTAGTCACTTTACCTTCAATTATGTTCAATAATTGTTAAAATGACTAAAAAATTGAATATTAAACTTTTAAAATTATTGAATAGTATAAACTTCTTGATATTTACTAAAATAGTAAGGAATTTAAGCCCTAGAACCGATTAATGTATTGGTGGACTCATACTAAAGCTGGTTGCCCGGTCAGTGCAAGCGAAAACATGTTGAGGTCGGTTCGTAAGAACTTCGTTAACCGAATTTTTTTTCGTTAACCGAATTGAAGATCCTTATGGAAGGCAGTTCGTTAATCGAAATTACGTTAACCGAGGTGTTCGTTAAACGAGGGGTCACTGTATAGCCTATCTCGAATCTAAGCATTCAAATACTTATGGTAGTTAAAGTAAAGTTTTACCCATTAATTGATATAAATGATGATATACTGGTATCCCAGTGGTTCATTAGTGAATCATCAAAACAATAACAGAACTATGTTGTCATGCTTACCTAGCATCAGGCATTCTCAAAACAAAGTCCAGACAATGTCATTACAATACTTCTCAATTGACTCATATCTCCATCCGTGCGTCGTCTGCAGGGTAGGTGGTGACGTCATTGTAAATGGCGGTCCTGTTTCTAGAGAAATAAACTTATCTCGACTATTATAGCAGGACTTTAAACTTTTATTACAAATTATATACAGTATCCCGTACTGTGTCACTCTACGAATGTGGCAGAGGCAAAGAAACTTGCCCATAGTTTCACCCTGCCCAGGGATCAGATCTGAGACCACTCTCTTGCAAGGCGAGCATACTAACCAATCACACCACTAGTACACACTACCACTAAAGGGCAATCGGTGCTATTAGTACCATTCCATGGTACTAAAATATTTACTATTGGTGTTGTAATGTGTTACAGGTTTGTCAACAGTGGCGTGTACTATGGGTTGTCACTCAACACAGGTAACCTGGGAGGCAATGACTACATCAACTTTGTCATCAGTGGGGCAGTGGAGCTGCCTGCCCATGCCATGACCATCTTCCTGCTGGATCGTGTGGGACGCCGTATACCGCTGTGTGTCTTCCTGTGTCTGGGGGGCCTAGCACTGTTGTCTACCATGTTCATACCCTCAGGTACAATCTGCTTCCCACTCATTACCATGATCATACTCTCAGCTACTGTCAAGGAAAATCCCATCTTCACTGCAACTGCCATCCAAAGGCAATTCATATCACTAGTACAGTATCTCTAATATAAGGAAGTATCAAGTAAGGAAAGTAAGTAAAGTAACACATCATCATTCCCAGAGTATACTGTACAGTACTGTATATCAAGCACCACACCCTGTGTTCCAAAATGTAAAGTACGGCAAGGGTGAACTAAAACCAGTTGTTTAGGAGGCAATATCTGTTGTTGGGTATTATATACAGTAGTGTGATAATTCATGTTATCGGTGACAGATTGTTAATCTATGGCCCTCATACTGTCAGGTCTGCCATGGTTGGTGATCACACTGGCTATGACAGGAAAGCTGTGCATCACGGCCTCTTATGCCATAGTCTACGTGCTGACAGCCGAGATCTTCCCCACAGTAGTGAGGAACGTGGGCGTTGGCTCCTCTTCCATGGTGGCTCGTGTGGGTGGGGCACTGGCACCCTTCATCAATGTTCTGGTCAGACATGACAACTTTATATAATTCTTATTAGTTTTAAAGAGTCTCTTCTTGTACAGAAATAATCAGTTGAATCCTTGAATTTTCTGTAGGTTTAGTTGCTGGAAATCTTTTTTTTTCCTAGTTATTTCAGCCCTTGGCATTAAGTGAATCTGCCATTTATAAAGTCACATTATTTGTCACAAAATATGTGATTAACTGTCATATGATGCACAATATGAACACAAATAAAGCATGCAGTTGAAACCTGTGAGATTCAGAGGTCCATAGTTACATGCCTCTTTTCATCCTTCTCTTATTACTGGAGTTATAATGGCAGCTTTCTAGTCCCCTGTTAGTTTATCATTTTGAGTGACATGTTAAAGATTACCACTTACAATTTGTATCTAAAATTGTGCACCTCTTTAAATAATGTCAGCACTCAGTCTTTCGTTGTTGAGTGGCGTAAATTGGACAGTGATTACATAAGAGCATCAAGATCATCTTAGTGATGTGAATGTGTAATTGATGTAGTATTTGTATTGCTTCAGAACCTGGGATTTATCAACTTTTGATATTTATGATTTAGGGTGAAACAATCCAATTATATCTTAAGGTGTTATGATGATAATGGACTTTTTCTTGGTGTGTCTCACCCACACACATTCCCTTCTGCCTGAGTCACTATAATGTGCTGTCAGTAGGCCTGTTGGGATTTCCGACTCTTGTTTACCGAACACGCTGATTGGTTCAACTGCTCGCGTTGTGATTGATTGCGAGAACATGACGTAATATTACGATTTTCTATAATAGAAGGGAAAATGTGTGGTGAGGGGTAACGAAGATCCTAGATACAGTAATTGTGTTAGAGTAGTCCTCATACTCAGTGAATTTCATTGTTCCTGTCATTAGTTTTATAAATTTCTGAATAATAAACACTGCATTATACAGTATAGTCGGATTTACGCGGTTTTTGTTTAGGCGTTTGGTCATACGCGGGTGCCTTGCCAGAATGCTTCTACACCATCCTCGACACCGGCTCCTACTACCACCTGAGATCCCTAGTCCGAGAATTGCTGTTCGACACCACAACCGCATCCAGCCCATACGTTCACGAACTGATCGCTATAAGAACAGCCCAGTCCCAACCATTGTAAAAATTATCAATAACTTGTAATAAACCAGTGTATTCACTCCCAGTAAACACTACTCCTTGCACTGTCACTATGTTGAAATGAACTGTAGTTGGAGCTTTTCCCCATCTAGTTATTATGTCTTATTTGTGTCACTTATGTTACTTGTATATTATTTGTAATTCGAAACCCATTCCCCAAATATGTAACTGTATATTTTCAGCCTTCTGGCTGCCAAGCTCTTTCAATAAACCGTTAATTATTATTATTATTATTAATGAAATGTTTTAATTACGCGGTAGATTTGGTCATTTACGGGGCAAGGGCCAGACGCACCGCACCATTTTTTACTCACGCGGTCCATTCTTGACCATACACAGGAAGTGGCGCGGTGAGGGGTGCGCATTATGCCGCTCTTACGTTATCGCTGATGTCATATGACGTATCGGACTGTGATTGGGCCACGCATCCTTACCACCCACGCATTCCCTCCGCCGCTAGCTATGATTGGTCTAATGTAACATGACGTGCCCTGCCACCAGAGGGAAGAAGTCGCTGACCTAGTCGGGCCAGTCTCATTGTTCTCAGTCCGCATATACAGTTCTCTCTTGTGCCCGCTATTCCCCTCACAATGGCTTCCGCTGGACCCCCACCACCTGAGAAAAACCTTGAATTACCTGGGCCAAGCCATGATTGTGTGAAGGAAATCATCGAGTTGGGGGAGAAAATTAAGCTCATCCTTGACAACAACCCAGACAAGCATCGGTATGAAGAGTCTAATAACCATCTGACGAAAGTTATGGTGCCGTATATCCAGATCTATCTCGACAACATCAATGCTAGTCGTTAACGTAGTGTTAAGGACTTCTTCACCCGCAACCCACCACAACCACAGCCAGCCCAAGTCAGTGATAGTGACAGTGAGGATAAAGACTTTGAGGGGTTTGTATGGGAGGCCTTGCAAACCTCTGCGAGTGATTCACCGGAGGGCAACTAATCTGCCCTCTGCCTCGGAACCAGCCGCCATCCACGTGTGCCGACCCATCTTTTCTACTAACGGAAGTGTTAGAAAACCTAATGTTATTGATATTTCTCTTAAATATTAATTGTGTGTGCATACCATCATAATATTAAGATGTTATTTTTACTACAAGGTACGTATTGTGTCAGAAAAAGTGGAGTTTGGGGGTCGGCCCAGTCTCTATTTCAATTAATCCCATATGTTGTTATTTTGTTTACGCGTTTCTCGTTTTACGCGGACCTCCAAGGGTTCAATTGACCGCGTAAATGCAGACTATACTGTACACCATTCAGAGTGTCATATGAGATCTCATTAGATTTGTATTTTATCAATTGTAATATGTATTACTTTAGTTCTGCTAAAATATCGCTAGTAAAATATAGGTAAGGTAAGTAAATACATCTACAATTTATTTCTGTGTATTCAGTGCCGGATTAACCATGAGGCACTTGAGGCACTGGCCTCAGGCCCCCGACTCTAAGGGGCCCCCAAATTCAAACATTCTCGAAGTTGAAGCATATAAAACATGAACTTCGTTCAGCGATGTCCTAGCAACGTCTCAATTTTCTGTCTCTTATGAACATTGAATGTGTTATTTTGCAGAAGCTTAATATTGATGAAATCATTGATAAATTTTGGTATATTTTGTTCTTGCTATACCAGTATATATATACCTTGAGGGTAGGGGGCCCCAAGTTGATCTGTGCCTCAGGCCCCTATTAAGCTTAATCCGGCCCTGTGTGTATTCTATATGGTATTTTAGCCATGAAAAAGCATACGGTATTTCCTAAAGTCGGTAATTTACCTTGAGTCGGAACAGTGACATCACGGCTTACCGACTACATCATCAATTTACCGATTAGCAGACGAATTATCGGATTTGAACCAATCAGCGTGTTCGATAAACAAGAGTCGGAAATCCCGACAGCCCTGGCTGTCAGTATTGGTGTTCACTTTATACTTCACAAACTTCTAAAATCCAGGGAACTTTCAATTTTGCATTTTTAGCATTTTCTGCATTTTTCTGTATTTTCCCGCTTAACTCTTTAGCAGGCAGGAGCTCTCCTCAGCTGAGTAAAATTGTCTGGTATTAGCCATAATAAAATACCCAAGAGATACTTTGCCCTCTAAAGGGTTAAGAATGCCCGAGTGGTAATCTGCGGGTCTCTTGGGTTCGTGGCCTGGCCCGAGATACATGTGTGACCCTACCACACATTTCTGGTTTCCCCCTGTATTAACACTAGACAATAAAGTTCTAAACAATGTAACAAAAAACAGACCAACCTGAATAACTTTGTAAAATAAATTTTTAACTTATCAGTGGGATTTCGTTTTTTGCAATACAACTTATAATATTCCAGGGTGACCAGTGGCAACCTCTCCCTCTACTGATTTTTGGGTCCATGTCACTCTCAGCAGGGGTGCTGACACTCCTCCTGCCTGAGACTCTGGGACAACAACTGCCTGAGACAATCAAGGATGGCGAAAACTTTGACAAGTATGTTCCTCCCTCACCCACATTCACCCAGGTGTTCCTCCCTCCCCAACACTCACTAACTCAGGTGTTCCTCCCTCTAACACACTTTTCATTGTTGTGTCGAAATTTGCCAACCTATTTAAGCTGCTTTAAAAGTAAACTTGACATGGTTGTTTAGCTTGGGAGTTCAACTTTAGGAGTGAACTTCTAGGTAGTGGTGGAAGGGAGTTACTGCAGTTATGTAGCATATGTGATAAATGCTGTCACCATGAATATTACTAAAATAAGTGACCAATAGATTTGCAAAAGAGGGAAGAGTAGCTAATACAGTATTACTGACATTTCTAACAGAAATGTATTTGCTCAAATGAACTTACTACTGTATGTACTGAAGGTACATAACAAAAATATGTCAACCAAAAATCTAATTTACGAAAGATTTGAGCATTTTAAAGATTTAGTTTAAGAATTTAGAATGACAGTACATTGTCTGGGCATGACTGTACACCTGTGTTGTCCACGACTGGAGGTGTAGAGGAGATGGTTCACAACTTTCCCATTACTATCTGAGAAACTGGGTTTGGATTCTTCAAGATAGTTAATATTTTTTATAATTTGTAGATGCCATAAATCAACTGTTCTAATAATTAAATGGATATATGGTGGTGGAGAGGTTCTTGTGCTATGCTGGCAGTCCATTAGTCCTGGGTGCAAATTCTGTTGGGAGTCAATAGGGTATTGTTATGTATATAAGGTAGTGAATATTTAACGTTTCATAGATATCTAGTTCATACCAAACCTATTCAAATCTGTTTGTATTATATGATGCCAGGCCCATGTGATTGACATCTTGAGTATGTCAACCCGAGTGTGATATACAGTAACTATCTCCTCCTGTGTGTGATAATGACTCTCAGCCAGTGTGAGATACTTGACTGTCAGGGGATTTATGGACAAATTTGGTTCAATTACATGGGTAGTATAGTCTGGGTTTACGCGGATATTTTATACGCGTTTGGCCATTTACGCGGCACCTGTCCAGATGTGCCAATTATTAGTTACGCGGTACATTCCTAATTTACGCGGCGGGCAAGCGGCTGGTTGCTGACGTCAGACTCGTGCCAATGACGCCGCGGACTGTGATTGGGCCACGTATCCTTACCACCCACGCACCCCCTCTGCCGAGCGCTGTGATTGGTCTATTTAACCTTGCTTGCCCAGTCAACAAAACATTACCGAGTTCTTCACCCGCCACCCACCACAGCCAGCGATAGTGAGGATATGGACTTTGAGGGGTTTGACAAGGAGGCCCTGCTAGCCTCTGTGGTGGATAGTGATACAGGTAATACAAGTGACACAGGTGAGGGCCCATAATCTGCCCTCTGCCTTTGAACCAACCCCCCATCCCCGTGTGCCCAGCCATCTCTTCTACTAACGTAAGTGTTAAAAAACCTAATATTATTGATATTTCTCTTAAATATTAATTGTGTGTGCATACCATCATAAAATTAAGATGTTATTTTTATTACAACGTACGTATTGTCGGAAAAAGGGTAGTCTGGCGGTCGGCCCAGTCTCTATTTCAATTAATCCCATATGTTCTGTTATTTTATTTACGTGTTTCGCGTTATAAGCGGACCTCCATGGGTTTAATTGACCGCGTAAACCCAGAATATACTGTACACAAAATATTGGATGATGACACAGAGTACATGTACACACAAAAACTTGAGTGTTTTTGTGTACAGTATTTCATTATACAGTACTGTACAGTTATTCTAAGGGTACACTACTCAGTACGATACAGTACTGGTTTAAGGAAAAACCCTTTTACTGGTATATGGAATGAATTCAGCCCCAAGCCACTTTGTAACAATGGGATTTTACTGTAATGAGTTATGTCTTTTATACGGCAATATCCCGGTTAGCCAGAATCTTCAATAAGGACTTGTGAGTGATTGAGAATGGTGACTGAGTACCCACACAAGGCAGCCCACTCTGTCACACTGTTCATTGTTATTTACATGCCTATGCTTTTCTCATCTCAAGTTGTAGTGTGTGAATTTGCCATTATCATACTGTTGACTAGTGCAATATTATTTAAGTAACCTTGTAATGCATATCCAAACTTCTCTATTTATCCATCAACATTAGAAACAAAGTTAGAATATTGAGGTGAGATGAAGCAGGTAACATTTGGTTATGTGTTTGGCCTTGAGAAAAGCTCAAAATATGCCATTTAGAAGAATTACAACAAAATGAGTAACTTAGTGCTGTGCACATCTCTTTTGGCAAAGATAATGCCAAGAATAAGTAAGTCTCAGCTGAAAAAATGGGAAGGCTGCTTCGAATCTGTAGTGAGAACCAGACTCAAAAGAAATGGGTAGCACTCAAGTGGTAACTTGTTCCTGTTGATGCTGATTACTTTATTGAAGTTAATACTGTACCTGATTTATTTCTTATATGTACTGTACAGCATATACAGTAGATATAAAAAAAAAATAAGGTGCCAGTAGAGATTTTGGAATGCATCCCTAATAAATAAATATAATAAATGGCTCTCAAATTGCTTTATGCAAACTTTATTAGGAACACAATCCCCATAAAGTGATCACCACCCATACTTGTAGTACAGTACAGGTAAAATAAAGTAAAATATAATCAACCCTTAAATGATGTCTTTATCAGGAAGTGGAAGTCAGATGAGACAACAGCAAAGGGAGGTGCAGAACAGCTGGAGGTACTCAGAGAGAGCCAGCAGGATGCTCCTATATCACCACAGGACCAACAGGTGAAACAGGAAGGTCAACTGTTAAACCCATCAGATGTAGCTATTTAGTGAATAATAATTATAATAATATCTGAATAAACAAAATAATTAAATCTTTAAAAACAAAAGAAATTTGGTACAGAAAATAGCTCTTTAATAAGATACTTGAATACAAAATAATAATGTTAAAAATGTAGTCAGCCACCAAAGTAAATAAAATTCTGTATTATAATTACACAAACATACTCCAAAAGTCAAAATTATTACATTATGTAAGTATTCAACTACAGTATCAGTTTACTTACACCAAGTTTTCATGACATACTTGATGACCCGATACCGTTATTTTTAATTTTTTAATTGAATTTGACCATTTGGACTAAAATAACAGCTGTGTAGACACTGCTGGCAGGAGCAAATCATTATACAAGTACGGGACTACTTTATTGAACTGACAAGAAATGCACATTTGTATCTTTAAACTACGGTACAGTAATTTGCCTTAAAGTAAAAGGAAATTATGTGATCTTTTGATCTTGATGAAAGTAGATGCGGCAAAATTTCCTTTAAAGGAGGATTGTTATTGGTATACAGAGAAAACACATTCAGTGGAGAGTTCCAACTGCCAGGAGGTATGAGGTACTTCAGACTTTAGGGAAGATGACATTTAACCCCTTCACTATGGGGACACCACTTTTATATTTTATTTGACTAATGCCAGATAATTTTATTCAGCAAAGAATGAACCCTGTACACAAGGGATCACAGGCAGTGAATAAGTAAATAGACAGTGCGAGAGTCAACAAATTCAAGATTATTTATCAAAAATGAAACACTGGTTGCAGTATTAACAATACAGTATACAATAATATTATAGAGGTAGTACATTGACATGGAATTAATGTTGGAACCGATTTCCGATTGGGTGTGGTGGAGGGAACGAGTTATCACACCTGTAAATTAGAACTCGGTGTACAGGGCTGTCGCCTGGCAGAAAAATATACAGTACCTGTACAGTACTGTATATGTAAGATTTACTTATATGAATATAGAAAGATTACATGTTTGTGAATGAGTGCTTGGTAGAGGAGGGTGCACAAAGAGCTGTTTTTAAAGAAAAGTCCTCTGCATCCACTTTACATGGTTAACCAAGTAGGATGTGATTTAAAGAGGCTAGTGGACCATTGAGTGTTAAGACTGCACCATGTCTTCCTGTTAAGTTACTGTCCCTTTATTTGTTTGATATAAACGCATTTAAAAAGTTGTTGGCAAGACTATTGCGGCATATTGTTCTTAAATGGAAGAATAGAATTTACTGACTTTTGAAATATGATTTTCATAATTATACAGATTTCTCATTATTATGAAGAGTTTGTCAGGTTGGGAAGTAGACATAATCAGGAGCAACTAAGAGTGGCCAGCCAGTACCTGTGTGGAGGGTGTCTACTACATAGACTGCTGAATGTTACATTATTGAACATCATCCACAGTATCAGTATCCACCATGGTTATAAAGTGAACTTTTCTAGCCTAATCAAATGTACGGATACAAGGAAGGAGGGGTCCCTAGATGCCTGGATCCCACAAAAAAAGAGAAAAAAGTATTAATGAACACTTCATAAAATCGTAGGTGTGTACTTGTGCTCATGATGACTGAACATATTACATCAGTAATATGCCTGCATTCATGAACAAAAGTGCCTTTACACACCTGTTTGAAACTGTACCAAATCCACATGGCCATCTATGGGTGCATAGGCAGTTCAAAGACTCATCCCAGCAGTTCATAGTCAGCAGTACAGTGGTCCCTCGGTTAACGAGCGCATCGGTTAACGAGATTTCGGTTAACGATTTACCTTCCATAAGATTCTTAACTTCGGTTAACGAGCAATCCCTCGATTAACGAGTTTCTTACGAGCGGACCTCAACATGTTTTCGCTTGCATTTGGTGGTCCACCAGCTGTAGTATTAGTCCGCCAATACAGTAATCAGTTCTAAGGCTTAAATTCCTTACTATTTTAGTAAATATCAAGAAGTTTATACTATTCAATAATTTTAAAAGTTTAATATTAAATTTTTTAGTTATTTTAACAATTATTGAACATAATTGAAGTACAGGAAATTAGTTTTATGCGCGCCAAACAGCCTGTCAACACACCAAACAGGCGTCGGTCTCTGTGTCTTTTCAGTGGAGGTAACATCTTGCTTGAGACTCTCTTCAACTAAACGCTTTTTTCTGTGTTTCCAAGCAAATTATTGGTCATTTTGAAATTTATTTTACATATCGACAATATATAATGCAGTGCAGTGTTGATTTAAAGAAAACAATCTTGAATTACACCAAGAGAACTAAAATTTTATGGGTGAAATGGCACCATGGGGTGACTTCTCTTCCACCCCAATGCCTTTTCTTCTCCCTTCTCCTCCACCCCCATTCTAATTCCCATCATCATCATCATCATCCAGGAGCCTTCTACATACACACCTCAAAGTAAGTGTACTTTACTACCTTTTTTGTTGATTTTAGGCAATTTTCGCCGAGCTGGAACCAATTACCCAAAAACTCATTGAAACAATGGTTTCGGTTAACAAGCAACTTTCTGGAACGAATTGTGCTCGTTAACCGAGGGACCACTGTACATGTGCCACTGTGGTGTGAACTCCTGTGTTTATTTTATTTATTTTAAATCAGGGTCTTTATGACCACTCTAAATGTTTACTAGCAAGGGTCAGATTTCACTGAACTCTGTTTGTTGTAGTCATCCCCACATCACAGAGTGAACACATTCTAGAAAAGTTGCCCCATAACATGGTATCTGTACCACTAACACAATTTTTCCATTGGAGATATATCACATTACTACAGGTTGACAATCCCTTATCCGAAATCCTTGGGCCAGAGGCATTTCGGATTTCGGAATTTTTCGGTTTTCAGAATGGTTAGTTTTTTTATTTATTTATTTATTTATTTTTTTTTTTTATGTGTATTAGCCCACCCAGACATAGATCACTGACCCACATCAGGGCCTGGGGGTGAAAATATAATAAAAATTATAATAACAATAATAATAATTCATAGGTCTAGGTCGTGTTTCTCACTTTTGATCTTTTTTTCATTCTTGTATTTTTTTATTATTATTATTATTTTATTATTACATTATTACATTACATTATTACATTATTATTATATTTTATTATTATTACTATTATTATTAGTATTACTATTATTATTATTGTTATCATTATTATTTTATTTTGGTGTATTTTTATTAAAAATTTTTATTTACTATGAATAATTATTACTACAGTTGTACCCCACTTAACGCGGTCAATTGAACCCAGAGGGTCCCGCGTTAAGTGAAATCCGCGTTAAGTGAACAACAGAACATATGGGATTAATTCCAATAGAAACCAGCCCGACCCCCAAACTCCACTTTTTGACGACACATAACTATGTTGTAGTAAAAATTCTATCTGAACTTTATGATGGTATGAAAAAACAAGTAATATAGAAGAGGTTAGGTTAGGAAAGATAAAGGTTAACATAGGAAAAATGAAGGTTAAGTTAGAGAAACTAAAAGTTAGATGTAACACTTACGGTTGTAGAAGAGATGGGTCGGCATACGGGGATGGAGGCTGGTTCCGAGGCAGAGGGCAGATTACTGGCCCTCAGGTGAATCACCATTACTAGGTGAATCACCATCACTGTCACTTACAGTTGTCAGGGCTTCCCTGACAAATCCCTCAAAGTCAACTTCACTTTCACTATCACTGGCTTGGGCTGGCTGTGGTGGGTTGCGGGCGAAGAACTCGGTTATGCTTTGCTGACGGCTGGCGTTGATGTTGTCATGATACACCGTGATGTACGGCTCCATAGCCTGCACCAGCCGGGTATGGAAGACTTCATAGCGTTCATCGTCATTGTCGCGGGAAAGGACGGACTTAATTTTCTCTGCAAACTCTATGGCACACTTAATATCACTATGACTTAAACTAGGTTCTTCGGAGAATGACGCACCTTCTTCCTCCTCTTCACTGGCGTGTTCTTCTTCCAACATCTCGTCGGCAGTCACTTCAGGATCTCTGATCACCTCCAGGATGTCTTCGTTGGTGGTCTCGGAGAAGCCTTCAGCTGTAATATTGAGCGCAGCTTCTCTGGCAAGGTCCACTGCTACTGCAACAGTCTGAACCTGACCAGTCACAGGTTCACTCCTCCTCTCACCTGGTATGCCATGCAACACATGTCTCCATGCGTGACGAATCGTAGCAATAGTCAGCAGATCCCATGCCTCCACCAAGAAGTCTACAGCTTGTTTAACGTTAAACTTCTTCCAAAATTGTTTGACGAGAAGTTCTTGAGTCACCGCCTCTTGTTCCTTGTCCTCGTCGCTTTTGCTCTCGCTGTCGGTGTCACCCAGCTTACGCAACTCATCCTTGGTGTTGGTAGAGTCGTTCAGCAGCTTGAACTTCTTTGCAGAGTACGCAGCTTTAACATTGCAGATCAACTCCTGGTCCATGGGCTGGATTAATGACGTAGTGTTGGGAGGAAGGAAGACCACTTTTACGTTGGGGTGACGATCCATAAGTAGGGGCGAGTGTCCAGGTGCGTTGTCAAGGAGCAACAAAATATTGAATGAAACATTCTGTTGCTCGCAGAATTTCTTCACATCGGGAACAAAACAGTTGTCAAACCAGAAGAGGGACAGAGAAGAGGACATCCACGCCTTACGTGCGGTTAGCCAGTGGACATTAAGCTTGTTCATGTCCATATTCTTGTAGGCGTGCGGCTTGCGGGCTTTGTGAATCACCGATAACTTTGGTTTTCAGGTACCTGAGGCATTGGTGGTAAACAGGACGGTGATGCGTTCCTTCTGCAACTTCCGACCCCTTACCTTGCTGGCAGACTGGACAACGAAGGTCTTGGAAGGTAACTTTTTCCAGAAAAGACCAGATTCGTCCATGTTAAACACCTGGTCGTCGGTGTACTGTCCTTCCTCCATAATCTCACGTAAGAACGGAGG